CAGATTAAAATTAAAAGATTGTGACGATTTTTAATGTTGATTCTGCAGCGCTAAAGATGCCCCCTCCTACGGCACCGGAGCCAGTACGTGTACACTACACATAACGTGCATAGGCCTACTTGGACAAAAAAACCTAGGTGGGTAAAACGCGGAACTCTCATTTTAAAAGGTCTTCCCGGGTGAATTTCGGAAAGAAAAAAACCACAGGAGTTGTTGAGAATATAATACACTTATCCAGATTAAAATTAAAAGATTGTGACGATTTTTAATGTTGGTTCTGCAGCGATAAATATGCCCCCTCCTACGGCATCGGAGCCAGTATCGCGTATACTGCATACACCGTGCATAGACCTATTTGCACAAAAAACCTAGGTGGGTAAAACGCGGAACTCTCATTTTAAAAGATCTTCCCGGGTGAATTTCGGAAAGAAAAAAATCACAGGAGTTGTTGAGAATATAATACATTTATCCAGATTAAAATTAAAAGATTGTGACGATTTTTAATGTTGGTTCTGCAGCGCTAAAGATGCCCCCTCCTACGGCATCGGAGCCAGTACGTGTACACTGCACATAACGTGCATAGGCCTACTTGGACAAAAAAACCTAGGTGGGTAAAACGCGGAACTCTCATTTTAAAAGGTCTTCCCGGGTGAATTTCGGAAAGAAAAAAATCACAGGAGTTGTTGAGAATATAATACATTTATCCAGATTAAAATTAAAAGATTGTGACGATTTTTAATGTTGGTTCTGCAGCGATAAAGATGCCCCCTCCTACGGCACCGGAGCCAGTACGTGTACACTGCACATAACGTGCATAGGCCTACTTGGACAAAAAAACCTAGGTGGGTAAAACGCGGAACTCTCATTTTAAAAGGTCTTCCCGGGTGAATTTCGGAAAGAAAAAAACCACAGGAGTTGTTGAGAATATAATACACTTATCCAGATTAAAATTAAAATATTGTGACGATTTTTAATGTTGGTTCTGCAGCGCTAAATATGCCCCCTCCTACGGCATCGGAGCCAGTACGCGTATACTGCACATACCGTGCAACAGGCCTATTTGGACAAAAAAAACCTAGGTGGGTAAAACGCGGAACTCTCATTTTAAAAGGTCTTCCCGGGTGAATTTCGGAAAGAAAAAAATCACAGGAGTTGTTGAGAATATAATACATTTATCCAGATTAAAATTAGAACATTGTGACGATTTTTAATGTTGGTTCTGCAGCGATAAATATGCCCCCTCCTACGGCATCGGAGCCAGTACGCGTATACTGCATATACCGTGCAATAGGCCTTTTGGACACAAAAAACCTAGGTGGGTAAAACGCGGAACTCTCATTTTAAAAGGTCTTCCCGGGTGAATTTCCGAAAGAAAAAAACCACAGGAGTTGTTGAGAATATAATACATTTATCCAGATTAAAATTAAAAGATTGTGACGATTTTTAATGTTGGTTCTGCAGCGCTAAAGATGCCCCCTCCTACGGCATCGGAGCACGTACGCGTATACTGCATATACCGTGCAATTGGGCCTATTTGCACAAAAATCCTAGGTGGGTAAAACGCGGAACTCTCATTTTAAAAGGTCTTCCCGGGTGAATTTCTGAAAGAAAAAATTCAGAGGAGTTGTTGAGAATATAATACATTTATTCAGATTAAAATTAAAACATTGTGACGATTTTTAATGTTGGTTCTGCAGCGCTAAAGATGCCCCCTCCTACGGCATCGGAGCCAGTATCGCGTATACTGCATATACCGTGCAATTGGGCCTATTTGCACAAAAATCCTAGGTGGGTAAAACGCGGAACTCTCATTTTAAAAGGTCTTCCCGGGTGAATTTCCGAAAGAAAAAAATCAGAGGAGTTGTTGAGAATATAATACACTTATCCAGATTAAAATTAAAACATTGTGATGATTTTTAATTTTGATTCTGCCTGTGTCAAACGCGAAACTCTTGGAGGCCCGCACCCATTGATCGCGTTGCCTGGGTAAAACATGGAACTATTAAATACAGAGGGCCTTCCCATGAACATGTGGAGGATATAAGACACTTGTCGACATTGCAAATAAAACATTACGATCATTCCATATTGTTACTTCGGCAGAATTCGTTCTGCAGCGGTACATTATCCCCCTATCAACTGTTTAAAACACGTGCTTCACAGAGCACTGAGTCAAAGCTGCACCCTTGGTTTGTAAACGGCATGTATCCCTGTACAGCATGTGTTCTGCACTGTTCTGCAAATACTGCACACAATTATTATACGACGGCACAAACAGGTGGGAAATCTTTTATTTTCAATTCATTTAAGGACAGATTATGGCGATTTTGGGACTTTTTATGAGATTTGGCCCTTGCTGTACTTTGAAAGCCAGTATTTCATCTTAATTTAGTGTTTTATTAACAATTTTGCAGAGTTCCGCAGAGTTCTGCACGTTCTGCGAGTTCCGCAAAATACCAACTGCCCTTTTCTTTCTACATTTGTCATAATTCACTGCTCTGCAGTAGCTTTGAGTAGCTCCAGCTAATAACAAGCTCATCAGGAATTCACATGTGAATTCATGATGAGCTTGTTAAGCTGGAGTTACTCAAGCTAGCTCTGGAGGATTAAAAAAAAAAGGTAAGTACTGTAAAGTCGGAGATATCGGTATAATTGACCAATTTCAATAGCGCAACACAAGCGACCGATCGTGCACATTGTCAATGTCATTGACCGATCACGCCCAACAAGTAACACATGACATCACTTTGCCCCATAGTAACCAACCATTACTAATAAAATAAAAAAATCCGAAACAATTAACGTGGTTGACACGATAACGTTTATGTTTGGCGCCTAGGCTACATACAATAGGGCCTGCATAATTATTGTAGGTAAGCTATTGTCCGGAAACTGGGCACAATGCAAACGTTAATTTTCATGCATTCTCCCTCGTTGACGTTGCCATAAAAGATACAGTAATTTTTCCCTAGAATTTGTTGTAACTTGTACTCATCCCTGCAATAAATGTAAACCCAGTTCAATAAACTTACCAATAACTGGCCTTTTAAGAATAATTTACGACAAATGAATGCATTTTTGATGCGATACGTCAAATTTTCCCCATCACACGGCAACGATAAACAGCCAGACGGCAACCATTCCTATGTATTGATGATTATCGCATGGTACAAAGAATCGACTCCAACTGACCGGTATCGGTACTTTGTGGCGAATGCAGACAAGTTGGGGCGTATGGGAAAGGGGAGGGGGGGGGGGGGGGGAGGGGGGGGGGGGAGGGAACTTAAAAGCACACTCTCGGAAAAAAAAGGTTTCGGGCTTTCTTTTTTCACGAAACATTCGACGCCAACTTAAAATATTGAGTGATGTCTGGTTTACATTAGCTGGCAGGATGCACACTGCCTGATAGACTTTGAGCGACACCATTTTTCCAGAAAGTGTGCCTGTGCTTGAAGTGCAAAATTAACATAGAAACAGCTGACACCTTTAAAACAGGAAACACTGAATTAATTTGTTCGAAAAGATCTCAAAAAACATCAACTGGCTAGTCCTCGACTCCACGCCAATTTTCTCTTCCACAACTTAATATTGCACTCCGGGTAATCTATTTATTAATATTTTTTTAGATGAAAGTGATAATTAAACAGTAATAAAAATCCAGTAAAATTCAAGAAATAAAGTTTCACAATTTTATTATTCTTGCAGCATCATTTTTATCGATTCCCACTTATTGACGCTTTCGATCCTGTCTTTGAACTGAAATTCGTCGAGACGTGTTCAACGGCTGTTTTATTATCTGAATATCTGAATTCATCGTAGAAGGTTAGTGCAGTGCGCAGCCATGCATGACGCATCGACGGCGCGGCGCGGCCGGCGAATTTCTTTATTTTCCATGCGGGTTGCTCCAAAGTCATGAATAATTCAATAGTCTCGATCGGGCCAGTATGTTTATTCATGAACAGAACAATGATATCAAGAGCATTGTTGTTATCAGAGTCAACCAGTTACCTTTAAAGCATTTTAACTTGAATTATTAAACTAACGGACGTCGTCGAGCTACCAAGAAGCCTATAGCGGATAGCGTTATCGATACAAAGATCCCTGGTTCGGATCCACGTCGTCGCTGCTCATTTTGATCGACTACTTTTCTTCTCTGAATTTATCATTGAGAAAAATTTATTCTAAGGGGAAAAAAGAGAACGAGAACCTATTAAGTGCCTTGCAACGATTCAAAGGAAAACTGAATTATGCACGACATTTGAGCAACTTGATAGCCCATAGCGGGGGTGGGGCCCCGGGGTAACTGCGCGTGCCCCTGCAGGTCACCCGGGACAGTCTTCAACTTTATTAATAATATTAAGGTGACTGAGAACCACTAAAGAAAAACTACTTCCTTATAGGGTTTTTTTCTCTCAAAAATAAATTAGCCTCAAAACATGAAGAAAACTGACTTTTTGTCCCAGCACACCGCAACCGCAAGTTCAGTTAATTAGGGCTTATCGCATATCCATGCGATTTTTTGACACTTCATAGTGGCCCCTTAAATTTCACGTTTGAAACAAAGCATGACTTACATTGACAATAGCGCCTTTAAACTTTTTTCTTCTTGCAGGTTAGTTGTGTCGACAAAAGTCGTTTTTATTTGGTTTACAGTCTGTTTGATATTTTGTTCTTCTCAAATTGAGGAAAACGGCTCCACAACTTTAACTGCTCTTGGGCTGCCGGCCTGCCGCACTAGCCCTGCTAGCCAGAGTCGGCTGACACCAAGTACCCCCTCCCCCATACCGAGAAACTATAAAACCCGACTTTGATTAGGTAATCGGATTAACTCGTCTTAAATTCTTTCTCAATATGCAATACGGTTCACTTACTTCTGTCAATAGCAAAGGACGAACTATTGGAGCAACAATGCGTATCGCTGTACAAAGTATCGATCGTTCACACTTGGGTAACCACGAATTGGTTTATACAAGGCGAATCACGGACATACAACGGTCGTTGTATAATAAGTTGACAAACAACAACACTAGCTCTAGCAGGATCAGGACAGGAGGTGCGGCGTGTCGGGACGTCATAAATTAATCGACTGTTTTAACACCAATAAATTGCTGCTGATAAATTGCCTGTGAGAGACAATAAAACTAAAAGGTATGTTAGTCTCCTAGTTATCTCTAGAAAGTGAACAATTGTGTAATAAACGACCCACAAGAAGCAGACCAATTTGCCGGGAAAGTTTTGCGGCACTCGTTTACGGGACGGTGCGTTGGTCGCTATCCTAGCAACGACTTTTATTGCCCATTTCCACCGAAATCGATCGTCGGTAAACTCATTCTGTAGTATTTTCAGAATTGCCAGTTAATGCTTAGATGTTTGCTGACTTTCCATGGCTAACCGTTTTGCAAATTTCACTTAATGGGCTGGACAAATCTTAGATCGGTGAATTTGGGTCGAGACTTGGCAACCATTTGTTTACCTTGCAAGTTGCATTGGTTGTACAGTGCAAGTGCGGCCCATGTCTATTCAGTGTGCGCATAATGGGACCAGCTGGCTTGTGTCGACTGCATGCTCCGCATGTCATGTGTTCACAAACTGATCTTTGAAAATGATTCTCTGTTTTTTCTGACAAAAATGTACGATATTATTTTGATGTAGCCTTATATAGTTTTATATTTTTAAAGCTGAGTCATTAAGATTCCATTTTTCTAGTTCTAACTTAAAAATGCGCTCATACTTAAGAAAGATTAAAGTTATTTTACAGTCGGGATAAAGCCTTAAAATTTCTTTACATACATAATCCTTTAAATTCTTTAAATACAAAACTTCATTTCCCACGTTTTTTTTGGTTTCAATAATTTTGATTGTTTATGAATTACTTTATTTTCAATCAAAGAAGGCATTCTACTCTTTCCTTACTTGTATTACGAGAACTATATTTATTATTTTTGAATTCATATTTCCAAAGAAAAATATTTTCCAGATACCTAAAGGTTGGATTGCAAACTAATAATGATACTAGCGTAACACCTTTTGCCTGAGGTTGTTTCTTTTTGTTATCCAGTCTCACTCTTGTTTATTTTCAGCCGAACCTCGGCTTACATTTGGGGATAATCTTACAGGGAATCCAAGCTTTTTTATATAAAGGCCAACACCTGCAGTCACTTGGATAGTTTTACCTTTTTTGGGTACAATGTTCACATAGATTTGAAGACAAGTTGTGTAGTCGCTACAGCTACATTTTTGCTGTGTTATTTCTAAATATAACCACACAAAAATTATGAAACATCATCTCAGTTGTAATTTGAAAAAAAAAGGCAAAGTGAAATTGTCTGAGCAAGATTTTAACTCATTTTGAATCATTCAGCTATAGGCATAGGGCAAAAAAAAATAGTTCTGCTTCTGGTTACCCTAACTTATCTATTTTGACAGCCCCTACCCTAATTTTGTTTTGGGAAATATGAGGGAAAAAAAAACGAAAACCATCAATTACTACCTTTACCCTTGACTACATGCAGACACCTCCATATGATCGTACACAAAAAAATTGCCAAAAAATATCCTACCCTATTTTCAAATGCCATGTAATCGGAAGCAGAACTATTTTTTTGGCCTAATCAATGGAGTTAGGAATTATAGCTAATATTTAAAAATCAGTTTCTCTTTCATACTGAGAGCAAGATTTTAAAGATCATAAATCTACCTTAATTACCAATATTGCTGAAATTCGTCAACGTTTTGATGCTTTATGGAAAAAAAAATCCTCAAAGGCCATTTCAATATATTCAGAAAAGCCTAGAGGACTGTGCAGAATATACCACATTTGATCATCCGCCGATATATAAATTGCAGTTTACCAAATGGAGCATTTGAAACATGTGGGCCATCTCGAGAGGCCTCTCGAAATATTGTGATGAAATTTTATTCCGCTAAGTTGAGAGGTTTTGTTTGTGAAATGCCACAATTGTGTAGACAGCCACTGTACACGCATGATTTGAGACATGCTCTCAAATTTGTGTCTTTAAAATCTGTCGAAACTAGCTAGTCAGCTATCTAGAAAAATATATCGATATGGTTTTCTTTAATGGTTAAATAATTGTTTGAATATTCGATCAAATCCAATAATTGAATACAACACAATTTCTAAAAATACACAGGGCTAGAAAAACCTCCATAATTAGGTGTTTTTTTTAGCCAATAATTTAACTGGGATAAACTAGTACTGTTCAAATATAAAAAAAACATTTGACTTTTAGCAAAAAAATCCTATTGTTGGATGGAAATGTTTGATTTCTCAGTCCTAAAAATAGTCGCTACAGAGCTAACACCGCACAGCCGTTACAAGTACTGTTATCAGAAATACAAACACAGATGGAGTGATTTTGGGGCAGACCGCTCCACAGATCACCACGGTAACTGTAGGCATGCCATCGGGTATTCACAAAGGTCAAAGGTTAACTGTGGATGCTCAGGCAAAAACTGCAATTTAATTTATGATAGGATTGAACTTTGATATCCGCAAAAACCTAAATTATGGGTATGCACTCTGTTAAAGACTGTACAAATGTATATTTTGTGCACAGTTAATTGTGGGAAATTTCTGCAGGACTTTATATTTAACACACTGGTATGTATAATTGTACAGATATTTTCAATGCAGAGCAATAGCTGTATTTGACATATTTTTTCCTAATTGACAATGGTACAGGTTTTATGATAGTATGTTTTTAAAATTTGTGAAGTTTCAGAAGTTTCTAGATATATTGAGAATTCTGGTAACTTTCTAGGCAAATGCAATGTACTTCTGATATTTTAAACTGGATTTTTTTCACCCATGAACATACAAGAAGAAGTTATGCAAATTGCAGTTTTCCACAAATACATTTTTTGATATTTAGTTCTCTGATAAATTATTTGCTAATTTTGAGATGAAAGTGTACATCATTTCTCTCACATGTATCTTCTTGTCAATTGTCTTACTCCTTGTAATGACTAAACAAAACAACCTGTGTTCACTTTCTTGAAACAAAAATCAATATCAACTCCGTCATAAAAATTATAGTTTGGGTCGTTCCGTACAAAATGACCAAGAGACGTTGTCAGCCGATGATCTCTGATTTGGATGAAACTTCTGGGATCCATAATGGCAACAAAAGTTTCAAATCCAAGACGCCAGATATGATCCCTGCAGTTTTTCAGGGCCTGATTTTCAAAAAAAAAGGAGTTTTTTTTTCCAGGGTAGGCAGCTAAAAGTCTGGTTCTTATTAGATGCACAATGACTTCAGTTTACAGACAGTTCATCCAGATCTGATTAATTCATCCAACAACTTTTCAGAAATGTTGTCGTTTATTTCACAGAATGACCCTATTCACAAATCAGACACTCTGTTTCATCATATGATGCAACATTTGAGACCAGGTTCACAGACCGTACGTCATGTAGATACACTACACGCTACACACTTTTCACAGACCGCACGTCGTGTAGATACACTACACGCTACACACTACTGAGCACCCGAAACATCCCTCAATATAATATTAATTGGAACTAGTTTCCGCCACAGTGCCAAAGCTTTGATGTCTACAGCATCGACACAGTGCTAAAGAGGTCTACAGCATCTACACAGTGCTAAAGAGGTCTACACTATCTACACAGTGGTTAAGAGGTATACAGCATCTACACAGTGGTTAAGAGGTCTACAGCATCTACACAGTGCTAAAGATGTCTACAGCATCTACACAGTGCTAAGGAGGTCTACAGCATCTACACAGTGCTAAAGAGGTCTAAACTATCTACACAGTGGTTAAGAGGTCTACAGCATCTACACAATGCTAAAGAGGTCTACAGCATGTATCCGGTCAACTCGGACCCAAATCAACTAAACTCATGCCAATTCGGACCCACGCTAACTCGGGCCCACGCAAACTGGGACCCACTACCAATTCAGACCACTACCAATTCGGACCCACGACCAACTTGGAACCACTACCAACTCGGAACCACTACCAACTCGGAACCACTACCATCTCGGACCCAAGCATGACCAACTCTGACCCAACAATGATTCAATCATTAGTTTCAGGGATTATAGGTCATCTCACAGTGTTGGATGTATTCTGTAATATATTCGGCTTTTATTGTTTTCTTTTGCTGTCGCTGAGCGGTACTTTATGATGTGTACGGAAGTTGTTGCTAAACGCTTATCGTTTTGAGCGTCATGAAACTCAACGTGCTTAGCTTTACGAAACCGTGACTCAACCATGGCGGGAATATCTGTATATGAAGCTAAACCAAGAGCTGTGTACATGTTCATGTAAAGCAGGTTAGGCCCAAAGATTAGGCCTACCATATATCATTTTGTACAGGTTTGTATATGTTTTAAGGAGCGTCCCGCCAAAGTTGAAATTAATTAGTTGATTACTTGTCATGGGCTGTTTTTGTTGTGTGATGATTCATTGTAAAGCTCATTACTAAAAATTATCAACTTAATTTGAAAATGTTTGTTCAAGGTGCTACACCCAACTAACATGTATACACCAACTTTAAATCCCTTTAAAGCCTGGTTCCTTACAAAATGGTAACCTTAGGCCTGTTGAAGCAAAACATTATGTAACTGTAATCGATTAAGAGCACAAAATCATAGTTTTCGTTGTGACTGTTGGTCCGCCATGTTGGGGTATTTAATTTTGACTAGGCGTTTGTAATTAAGTTCGATGTTTGAAGACACTGCCGCGCTTATGCCATGCTAACGTAACACTAAATCAATTTTATTCGACACGGCATAAGCACATTTGAAAGAGGCCTTACCAAATTGTTTATATTTTTGATCTGTGATGAACGGTAACCTGCTCGCATCCAATTACAACTGTGCACAATGTAGACCTACATATATCTTTGATATACGATCACTATGACGAACGGTAACATACACATTTGTTGTTATTTTAGGATGTAAAACAATGATAACCGAACGGTATTTTTTATGTAGCCTACTACGAGGCAGTGAACATGTTTCAGTGAGGTCACAGGATGTTTTTCATTTGAAATAACTATAGGCAAAAAAGTAATTGATTATTTTTTTTATTCACATGCTTACTTTGATTTTTGTTCTTTTAACGGATTTGTTTAACTTTTTATACTTTTTTGATTTAATTTTTTATATAGATTCATATGGAACTTTCGTTTTTCTTATAAAGTGTATGCAATGGTGCTGATGTATCTTATAAATCAAACGTTTTTATTTTTTTCATATTTTTTTGGCACTTGGAAATGGCACGTTTCGTTTATACAAACTGTGTGGTAGTTTTATAGTTATTTATATTATTTTTTACCCATCTAGGCTGTTAATTTCATATTCAAAATATGCTGACTTTTTGTGGGTGTTTTGAAGTTGGTTATCGTTTAGATCCGTGAATGGTTTATATCTTATATTTTATTTATTGACTTTAGTTTTATCATATACAAATGAATAAAGTTTTGTTTGAAAGTGTTTATATTTCAATGTTCATGCTTTCCAATTTTATTTTTCTATGAAGATCTGTGCTGGATGTGTTAATTTCGTTACGTATAAAGTTTGGATAAAAAATGAAATAACATGAGAAAAATGGCATGAACGATATCACTTAACATGTGTTAATTTAAAAAAAAATAATAATAAAATACACTTTTAGTAAAAGTTTTACTATGAGTTATCGTATTACAATTACAATGAAAAGTTATACTAAACAGCATCACTGTAACACATGTAACTTAAACTGAATGGGAAATGTTTGAAAACGTGCTTAATGAGTCCGAATTGGCATGGGTCCGAGTTGGCTTGGGTCCGATACGTACACAGTGCTAAGAAGATGTTGTAGACCTCTTTAGCATTGTGTAGATAGTGTAGACCTCTTTTAGCACTGTGTAGATGCTGTAGACCTCTTAACCACTGTGTAGATGCTGTAGACCTCTTAACCACTGTGTAGATGCTGTAGACCTCTTAACCACTGTGTAGATGCTGTACACCCCTTAACCACTGTGTAGATGCTGTAGATCTCTTAACCACTGTGTAGATGCTGTAGACCCCTTAACCACTGTGTAGATGCTGTAGATCTCTTAACCACTGTGTAGATGCTGTAGACCCCTTAACCACTGTGTAGATGATGTAGACCTCCTTATCACTGTGTCGATGCTGTAGACATCAAAGCTTTGGCACTGTGGCGGAAACTAGTTCCAATTAATATTATATTGAGGGATGTTTCGGGTGCTCAGTAGTGTGTAGCGTGTAGTGTATCTACACGACGTGCGGTCTGTGAAAAGTGTGGTCATGCTTGGGTCCGAGATGGTAGTGGTTCCGAGTTGGTAGTGGTTCCGAGTTGGTAGTGGTTCCAAGTTGGTCGTGGGTCCGAATTGGTAGTGGTCTGAATTGGTAGTGGGTCCCAGTTTGCGTGGGCCCGAGTTAGCGTGGGTCCGAATTGGCATGAGTTTAGTTGATTTGGGTCCGAGTTGACCGGATACATGCTGTAGACCTCTTTAGCATTGTGTAGATGCTGTAGACCTCTTAACCACTGTGTAGATAGTTTAGACCTCTTTAGCACTGTGTAGATGCTGTAGACCTCCTTAGCACTGTGTAGATGCTGTAGACATCTTTAGCACTGTGTAGATGCTGTAGACCTCTTAACCACTGTGTAGATGCTGTATACCTCTTAACCACTGTGTAGATAGTGTAGACCTCTTTAGCACTGTGTAGATGCTGTAGACCTCTTTAGCACTGTGTCGATGCTGTAGACATCAAAGCTTTGGCACTGTGGCGGAAACTAGTTCCAATTAATATTATATTGAGGGATGTTTCGGGTGCTCAGTAGTGTGTAGCGTGTAGTGTATCTACACGACGTGCGGTCTGTGAAAAGTGTGTAGCGTGTAGTGTATCTACATGACGTACGGTCTGTGAACCTGGTCTCAAATGTTGCATCATATGTGTGTAGATGCTGTAGATCTCTTAACCACTGTGTAGATGTTGTAGATAGCACTGTGTAGATATGCGTAGACTTTTTTTTAGCACTGTGTAGATGCTGTAGACCTCTTAACCACTGTGTAGATGCTGTAGACCTCTTTATCACTGTGTAGATGCTGTAGACCCCTTAACCACTGTGTAGATGCTGTAGACCTCTTAACCACTGTGTAGATGCTGAGGACCTCTTAACCACTGTGTAGATGCTGTAGACCTCTTTAGCACTGTGTAGATGCTGTAGATCAATTTATCACTGTGTAGATGCTGTAGATCTCTTAACCACTGTGTAGATGCTGTAGATCTATTTAGCACTGTGTAGATAGTGTAGACCTCTTAACCACTGTGTAGATGCACTAGTTGTATTTTGAGTTATGTCTGCACATAAACAATTATTTAAAAACATTCATTTTATTGTGTAGGGTGGATGTGTAGACTTTTTAATTTTGTGTGGGGTATTCATTGTGTGCATGTGACCGTAAGAGAGGGTACACGATTGGATATGCCAACTGTGTGTTCTGGAATTACATGACCGATTTTTAGTTCATCTATATGCACATCGCGCATGCTTCCATATTAAAGTTTTGTCACGTCGTAAGCAGGTTGTCCGTGATCAATCTAGCTTCATCCCTGCTGCCTTGTGATGTCGCTTTATTGGTGTAGGGTGTAGTGTATCTACACGCACATAGTGCCAAATTTTTTGGTCTCAAATCTTGCGGGGTATATGTTTCATTTGAGGTCCGGCATTTGAAGTGTCGTCTGTATAATTCCAACCAGTATGGACGGCGTCAAGTACGACATCTCCCGGCTGCGAGAGCGATACAAGACGCTGCAGCAGCAGCAGTTCACGTTTGTCGCGGCCCTGGAACACTCCCGCAGCGACGCCTTTGAGAAAACCAAACCCGTCCGAACAATTACTCAGGTACTGGCTTGTTACGAGTTGTTTGACACTCAGATTCATTCCCAAGTGACAATTAAATTTCTAATAGCCTCGAGCTTACATAATGCAATTCCTTAGACAAAAAAAGGAGATTTTTATCTTGTTACATGTACTTGTATTTAAACAGTAATATTTGGTAAATGAAAAATGAATAACACTGCTGCAAACTGCTTCTTCACTGGATTGACCTGAAACATATAAAGGCCAAGAAAAAAAATATGCAGAACCTAAAAATTTTTCTTCCAAAAAATAGGGGAAACAAATAAAAACTTGGTGCCGTCCCCACCCTAGGTTTTGTGGACACCAAAATCACCAAAGTAGTTAACACCTACAAATTTAAACTTAAATCACTTCAAGAGGATCCATGTGTAGGGGGGTCTTGCCTGAATGGCTGATAACGCGTTTAAAATGATGCGTCAAAATTTTAAAAATCTTGAATCAAATTTTACAACTGTTGCGAAGATAACAGAGTACCAATGCCTTGAAATGATTCTTTCCTCGCAAACAGATCAAGCAAATGTACGAGCGGAGTAAGAACGCCACGGACCGGCGTGCCCTGCGCCAGTGGCTCGATCTCCTCAATGACCTCGGTAACATCCTACGGAGCACAGAGAACGTAGCCGGCTCCGGTGCGAAGGAAGGCTCCATAGGGAGGGCGCTGGATAGATGGAAGGTCCTCCTCAGTCCCAACCACGACCTGTCTGACCTCAGAGCCAAGTACCCACACCAAGAGGTCAGTATTCAGGTCAAAGGTCAATGTCAAACAGTGATTTGATATTTAAAAAAAAAATTGATAATTGGAATGTGAAATAATGCTTATGCAGATTTATGCATTTCAGCTATCTTTGAGGTTATAGTAAAGTGTCTTGCCCAAGAACACAAGCACTAGCTGTCGGGGTTCGAACCCATATTGTCACATGAGTCTAACACCTTAACCATTGGATCACAGTGCTCCCGTAATCTTACTCCTTTGGGTTTTACCTTAAATTTGTTTTGTTTCAGGTGAACCACCTAAGCTGTGCAGAGGCCCGGGTGCTATTCGGAGGTGTGGTCAGCCTGGTACCGTTAATATTTGACCAAGCCCACCGGGTAATGAGTGAGATGTCTAAACGGGCTAAGGAGTCAAGGCCGACGGAGGCAGGGGAGACCAAAGTGGACAGGGGAATATTGAAAGACACACACCCGCCCAGGCGAGCTGTGCAGAGCGCTAAGCACCACCGATCATATACCGACAGTAAGATTCTTTTCTCAAATACTTGAGAATATCGAGGACCTAATGTCCACTGATTATCAGGCTTGCAATTTCTGGTAAAAGTCAACTAGAGTAAGGGGCTAGAATCTCAAAATGTTACTTAAACAGAAGGAAATCAGGAAAGCGTACATTTGCAGTTTGTACAAATTATAAGTGTTCACTTGAATAGGTTGCAGTCAAGTTACATACAAGATCTCTTGTAAGGCATTTGTTACTTTGAATGGTAATGTAAATGAGAAACCAAATATTGCAACAGAGATTAACATAATTTCATGAACATAGGACTTGGTCAAATGGGAAATCATATGTGTTGCAATGTCATCTACAATTTCTGCAGAAGCCAAAACTTGAAGTTGTCATAATATAAAACAGATAAATAAAAAAAATACTTTGCCTTATTTCAGGTGAGGTTCCAGTGCGCGCAAAGACGGCAATGGGCCCCCGCGACAAAAGCGTGGACACCAAGGACCTGTCCAAGCGCATGCTCCGCCTCTCCTTTGGCAAGATGCCAAAGAGCACGGACGAGCCCATGCTCTTCTACCGCCGCACCCTGAACGGCCGGTCGGACAAGCTGTACCCGAACGGCGAGATCACGCTGGACCGCGGGCCCTGGCGGGGCGCATCCTACGACAAAATTAACCACAAGGAGCACCGGCATTTTGTCAATCTGGAAGGCAAGTTGTACTGATGAAGAGGATACATACTGGGTGTGTTACCAAATGGCAGAAATTATGAACTAATTTCAACCTGTATCAAGTCAGTGTGCTAATCCTATGGCAACTATTTGATTAAAAGATATAATACGAAAGACTAATTAAAGTCTTGTATATCCCCCGCCCTCCAAAAAAAACCGTGGCTGTCTTGAAAATGTTTTTCTCCCGTTAGGAAAAGAATATGACTACTTCTGACATTGTTCACTGTATCAAGATGTGCCAGTTAAGAGTTCAAAATTTACCCTCAAAATAATTTATTTTTAAACAGTTTGATCTTAAAAGCCAACAACCAAAGACTTACAGTCTTAAGTAAGTGTTTGTAAAATGCAGTTCTGATAAAAACTATTTATTTGATTGTGGGAATAAGTCAAGATACTTAATATTTTGTCTTTTTCTTAATCCAAATGTGCCAGTGAGTTCAAAATTAAATATGTTCGACTTTTCTTAAATTTACAAACTTTCAAATTGTCAACACCAGATAATCTATTCTTTGGCAAACTTTATCTGCTTGTAAATTTCAAAAACTATAGAACTCAATATTGCGAAAAAGTAGAAATTACAATCAGCCTTTAACATAGAAACGCTGAAATAATCTTCCAATGTGTTTACCTTGCCTGCTTAGAACTTTTACTTTTTTTCTCGAAGCAATAGCGAACAATGTATAGAGTACACGCTGAAATGTGAACAATTTCTAGTTATAAACATGGTAAGTGCTTTCACTTAGATGGATTTATTTTCATAATTCTTAGAATATTTGTTAAATCTGTGAGGTGTTGTGATTCAAAAGGTTGACATGCACAGGTTGTTGCTGTTACAGTTTGTCATTGAATCCTTCTGCATTGAATGTCCAATAAAACAACTTTTTTTCGAGGTAACAAAGCAAGCAGTTTTAAGAAATATTTGGTACACGGAAAAGAAGATAATGTAAATTTGGATTTTTCTCCAAAATGCTGAACACTTGAGAGTAGAGGGGTATGGTGCTCAGCACACATTTTGATGATTTTATGTTCAAAATTGGGCAAAATACCTCCACTGCTAGTTTTTTACAGCAATACCTCAAAAGTTATTACATTCCCGCCCCCTCCCTCCCCCAAAAGGAGGGAGGGGCCACATTCTAAGCTGCTTTACAAATATTTTGGGTGGCAGTAGACAATATGTGAATTGGACTGCAAACATCACAGAAGTTTAGCAGTGGTCAGGGGCAGGTTTTTCATGTATTTTGCTACTTTCATTTGCACGTGCCATTAGATTTGCCGCACCTAATACCTTAATGCAACTATAACAAGTATGATTCAGGATATTTTTCAAGCTTTGCTTTCTGCGACGAGGAGCCTAAATGTGATCAAATACAAAAGGGAATCAGGGATAAAGACATTTGACGTACAAGTTACATAATAGGGTGATGTACTACTTAATATAGTGTCCTTTCAAGTTGCGCGGACGCTGATTTGAGGAATTTCTAATTGTGTGTGTGATTTTTTTTATTCAGTTTTGTGGGGACAGAGAATGTCATCCTCATTAAAGGCCAGTTCATACTCGGCGCGAAAGCGAACATAAACGCGATTTTGTGACGTCGGGGCAAGCTTTTGCGCTGCAAATTCACAAAAGTTGAACACATTTTTGAACTCTGGCGAATTTTGCAGCGAATGCTTCGTGACATCAAATTCGCATCGCATGAACTATGAACAGATCTTAAGCCAAACAATTTCGTCCACAAAGAAATGTGTTTATAATGTGCGAGTGTCCAACATGATGTTAAGGCACAAGAGAAGAACTTTCAGACGTATCATGAAAACAAAAGTCAAGTCACAAATTGTAACAAAATGGTCAGATGGCAGTTTGAAAAAATACTACTACTGGCCATTAGAATGCTTTGTTTCAGTAGAAACAGCCTGAGAAGTTATCTCATTAAATATCTTGGATGAGTATCAGGACAAGTTTACCCACAATATGGCCCTTACATTGGGTGTTAGATGCAGGAATCTTCCAGTGTTGTAGTCGAGTACTTTTATCCGAGTACACAGTACTGCCGAGTACCGAGCTATTGAGTACCGAGCTATCGTGTACCACTCACATCCGAGTACTGTGACCCTTGAGAACGAGTACAGGTACCTTTAGTGCAAGTACATGGACCTCCGAGTACGAGTACTTCGTGGATTACTCAAGTGCAAACGATTAAAATCTCAAGTAATGAGTGGAAACTGAAACCATCCATTCAGCAACATGGATGTTATGGACGACTTTTGAGCCAGACTTCTTGAAAGCAAATTCTGCTACACTGTAAAGAACAAATGAGATTTTTTTTCATTCAAAACTAAAGTACTCGATTCCCCCCCCCCCCAAGTCCCTATATTCAAGTACAAGTACTTTGATGACGTAGTACAATATTGAAAAGTCGAGTCCAGCACTTTGCTTCTCGAGTACATTGTACCGTGAATTCGAGCTTGAGTATTTTGAAGTGCGAGTGTGAGTATTCTCAAAAGTACTCGAGTTGTACTCAAGTACAAGTACTACAACACTAGAATCTTTCCAGCGAAGTTATCAATTATCAGGAAAGATGTTCAGAATCCTGAACACCAAATCCAATAGGATTTAATCTTGACTGCGACGTATCCCAGATATGTAATGAGATTATTTATGTGTTAACATGTATCTGTGAACTAATTTTGAAATACCGCCAAGCTGGTGGTCGTATGTGATGTAGACAGTATTTGTAATATAAAAATAATAAACTACACGTTTGAATAACAATGTAAAAAATGTACACAAATGTTGAATAAATACTTATGTTTCTGTATAGAGTCGAATATGTGTGTGTGCAGTGATTGTTTGCCTCTAAATTTGTTCAGACTCTCGACATAATTTAAACAAAAGTGCTATCACGTGAGGGATGCTTTTGCAGACTTTTTTTTATTAAGAAAACATACCAAACAAAATGGTGTTATACTTCCATGAATTTAAAACAGGTGTTTGTACAGTCAGGGTGTATTCCAAGGTACAGTCGTTTAAAAATCATTTACTAGATGAAAACCAAAAGTGATCCAAATATTCTATTTAAAATCCACTGAAATTTTCTATATAACAAAGGAAATTGGGGAACCATTATAGATTTTAAGGTCAGTATCTCCCCCCCCCCCCAAAAACCCCCACCCCAACAACCTATCATAAGAACTATTAATAAGATGAATTTGCATCGGGATGATGTAAATAATTAGGTTTTTGCCCTTCACCGACGTATAAACACTATATACTCGGTGTGTTACCTCCCGAGTGAAAGTTGGGCAAAATCACTCGGGTGGGACTCGAACCCACGACCTCCTGCTTACATGTACATCAGATTCGAACCAGCAAACCTATCCCGCAAGCTTGGTGGTCGAGTGGTAAGACATCTGCACTAGAAAGCAGGAGGTCGTGGGTTCTCATCCCAGTGATTTTTTCTAACTTTCACTCGGGAGGTAACACACTGAGTATACAGTGTTTATACGTCAGTGAAGGGCAAAACCTAATATCGATTTGTATAATAAGAAATTAACTTCTGTCTGGTTCATGAAAAATGTTTGTCTTTTAACGTACCAATTTAATCTGATGCTTAAAAATGAAATTACATTGTCTTTCAGGTGCCGAAAAATGTTGAGAAAAACAAAATTCAAAGTAGACCTTAAACTTTGTTGGTGATATTCTAAAAACCTCATTTTTTTGGCCCTATGGAAATCTGAAGAATTACTAGTTGGCCTGATCATGCTCTGTAGGTTTCTGGTTATATCGTCTGGCATACTTTCAGACAGATCTTACTCAAAATCCTGGAAAAACAAGGCAGTCCCAAATCTTAACTAACACTTTGTTACTGAGAAGCAGCCGAACACGGCTCACAATGGTTTACCCTACTCAGATGCCCACAGCTTGAAGGTTCGGTCAAAGGATGCCGTGGCAATGTACTGCTGATTGTTGGAGATATCCACGGCCATGATCTTACTGTCATGGCCTGCTAATGTGATCAGGGGGGACCAGCCGGGGTGGGCCCAGACCTGTTAGGGGGACCAGAGACAAAAATTACTCAGAAAAGAAACTTCCAGTGGTAGAAGTTTGACCCTTACCTTGTAGAAAGAATGACAATTACTCGTACAATGTTCCCGATGAGTTAATTTGTCGGGGAGTCAGTCAGTCAGTGACTTGGGGAGTCAGTCGGGGAGTGACTCAGTCGGGGGAGGGAGCCAGTCAGTCAGTCGGGGAGTGCAGGAGTCGGGGAGTCAGTGAGTCAGTCAGTGACATGGGGAGTCGGTCATTCTGACTCTGGGAGTCAGTCAATCATGACTCAGTTAGTGACTCATTTTAGGGACTCAGTCATGACTCAGTCAGTGACTCATTTTAGTGACTCAGTCATGACTCAGTCAGTGACTCATTTTAGTGACTCAGTCATGACTCAGTTAGTGACTCATTTTAGGGACTCAGTCATGACTCAGTCAGTGACTCATTTTAGGGACTCAGTCATGACTCAGTTAGTGACTCATTTTAGGAACTCAGTCATGACTCAGTTAGTGACTCATTTTAGGGACTAAGTCAAGACTTAGTCAGTGACTCATTTTAGTGACTCAGTCATGACTCAGTCAGTCGGTCGGTCAGTCAGTGACTTAGTCAGTGACTCATTTCAGAGGACAAGCAGCTGGCAAAAACTGCCAAGTATAGACCATGTCACTCAGTCAGGCAACCGACAGGCAACTAAAACATTTCAGCATCTTTTGCATGTTGTTTTGCCCACATTAAACAGTTTATGTCAATACTTTTAAAGCTATAGTCCATCATTTGCGGCCATCCAAAAAGTAAGTGGCGTAATTATTGTTGAAAAACATACTTGGTTGAAAGATAGTAAGGGGACTAAACTCCCTGTGAAATTATTCTTTCTGGCAAGCTGTCATTTTGAAGTAATCAACGAAAGAAGGCTTTAAGACGCACCGTAGGAAAATTTAAATTAGTAGTTTGTTTTGTTATTCGGCGAAGCGCGCACAAGCATTGGCACGACGCACACGCGGTTGCTATAATTCGTCGGATCAGTGCGCGACATCGCGTATAGCTGCAATCGGCTCAGTGAGAACGCGTCTCGGACGCTGAATTCAAAACATGGTTCAGCAACTTTTCATTTGAAATTGAGATCATAGAATGCTGTTTTTCTCGGAATATACAGCTGAAGCTGAGCTGAAACTTCATCAGGTTAGTTGTTCAGTATCCTTCATTAGATTTTGAACACTTTTGTTGCTTCAAACGAACAAAATGCACAAATTACAAATGATGGACTATATCTTTAAACCACTCCAATTTCAAGAGATGCACGTGCAGTGCAGGAGAGAACAGTTTGATGAAAGTTGGCATCACGTGACCATAACATCCAATTTTGTAAACAAATGCGGCATGGTCTACTGATTAAGGGTCACTTGTTGGGTATTACTAAATCTCAGTAGAATAACAAATGGGTTGTAAGTTTCGCAAAGTAGGAAGACTATGAAACAAAAACAAGGAGAGTTGCAGTTTCATTTACCTTTGCTGTGTTGTCATATGAGCAGCTGATTAGGTAGTCCCCTGAAGATCCTGTGTGGGAACAGGAAGAAAATTATTAGAAACCTTCCATAATCCTTCAAAATCTATCTCTGTTCACTTTCTGTACATTCTGACTTTCACTGAACATCAAATCCTACATGAGGTAATGGTGTCTTGGTTCTACCTTCCTCAATCCTGCAAAAACCTACAAAACCCTACAAAAGGATTTTTTAGATCTGGGAGGGTTAAGGAAATAAAAAAAAAAGAAATGTTTGGGAAAATAGGGAGATTTCTATCTTCCTCAATCCAACAACATCCTCCAAAACCTACAAGTGGATTTTGAAGGATTTGGGAGGGGTAAACAAAATATAATACAAAATGTTGGAAAAGGGAAATTCCTGCCTTTCTCCATAATACAAAATCCTGTATGAGTGGATTTTGAAGGATTTGGAGGGTTAAGGGTCAAGGAAATAGAGTAAGAACTTTTGGATAAAGAAGAGAACACCAAAAAGTTGATGGCATACCCTGAAATTTGACTCCCGAGACTATGTTGTTGTGGGCTGGTATTGTGTAGACACACTTGCGCTGCCTCAAATCCCACATCTTGACTGAGTGGTCTTCGCTTGCCGTTGCTAGGTGGTAACTATGGTAATACCAAAAAATTCAAAATGTACAGCCAAAAGACAAAATGCCAATATAAAATAAAATACCCGTTGGGTATTCTTCTAAATGAGGTAAAATTGAATGGTCAATATCATTGAGGTGGTACCACGCTTATACTGATGTCGTACACATTCTTAATTTTAGACAAAAGTCGTAATCTAATTGGCCAATCAGCACTGCTTGACAGGTGGGAAGGGCACACTGCATGCTGAGAATGGGATCAGGATTGTTTTTAGTAGTATGGTAGGTGGTAATCTTACCCGTTTGGGGAGAAGTTGACATCCAGGACAGACTTGAGGTGGCCCTCCAGAAACATGATGCATCGGCCAGTTCTCAGGTCCCAGACCCGCCCAAACGCATCCATACCACTGTGTAACAAAATCCAAACAATCACATTCATAGAAATATTAACTTCATTTATGTTTTTAACAGGGACAAAAAACTGGATAAGCTGAAATAAAACATAGAAAATCAGCCAGTTGGAGACAAAATGATTTAAAAAATAGATATATCTCCTCAGAATGGTATCCTCTAGTGATAGACAAAAGATACAATTGTCAGATTAATTTTTAAATTTCTGTCAAGAAAATAATTCTAATACAGCCACCCCGAAAAACACACCAATGTAAAAAAGAAAATTAGGTTGGATAAGAAATGAGTGCAGTGCAGATGTTAAAAAATTTACCTCTAGAAAAACAATTACCAAACCCCCCCCCCCAAAAAAAACCCCTTGTGTTCCTTCAAGTTTTATGCATTCTGAAAAGATGTTAGGGGAGACTTTTTCTCCATCATTTCAAGATCTCACACAAAAACACTGCATGAGAGTCTTACAGAGGCCAAGTTCGCGCAAGGACTATAGTTGACCAATGGTTAACTAACGTTTGCCCAAACTCTGTCTAGTCGACAATGGTTGACTACGCTAGTCGACTATTTGGAACCAGCCTACTGGGGTTGGTTGCTTCGCTGGTAACCAATAACCACGCGAATTCATAACGCTAGCAGAGAGCCAGGATCCAGAAGTTTTGCGATGACATTTTGACCAGCGTTTGACGAGAGACGTTCGCACGTTGCTATTAGTGCGCAGGCGTAAGGTACGTCACAAATCAACCACTAGTCGACTAATGGTCCTTGCCCAAACTTGGCCAGACATAGAGCCAGACATAGTGACATACCCCGTGGCACACAGTGAGCCATCACCCTGGAAGGCAATGGAGTACACCGCCCTGCTGTGCCCTTCTTGGTGGAGAATCTCCTCTTGTGCTTCCAGATCCCAAAGACGCCAAGACATGTCAAAACTTTAAGAAAAAATAAGACAGGCAAGGCATATTTATCAACACAATGCAAGAGTTTCAAGGTGTAACACAGACACTGTATAGGACCAGTTAAAGGTATAGTCCATCATTTGTAATTTGTGCATTTTGTTCGTTTGAACAAAAGTGCTCAAAATCTAAAGAAGGGTGCTGAACAACTAACCTGATGAAGTTTCAGCTCAGCTTTAGCTGTACATTTCGAGAAAAACAACATTCTAGGATCCCGATTTAAAGTCAAAAGTTGCTGAATCATGTTTTGAATTGGGCCTGAATTCAGCGTCTGAGACACATTCTCACTAGCCGATTGCAGCTACGCGATGTCGCGCACCGATCCGATGAATTATAGCAACCACGCACGCATGTGCTTCGTGTCAACGCTTGCGCGCACTTCGCCAAATAAAAAAAAATGAACTACTAACGGAAATTTCCAACGGTGCTTCTTAAGACGCACCGTTGGAAAGGCTTTCTTTCGTTGATTTCTTCAAAATGACAGCTTGCCAGAAAGAATCATTTCACAGGGAGTTTAGTCCCCTTACTATCTTTCAACCACATATGTTTTTCAACAATAATTACACCAATTACTTTTTGGATAGCTGCAAATGATGGACTCTGGCTTTAATGGCTCTGGGTGACGAGAGCCAGTATTTGAAGGGAACAGTGCATACGAGCCCATTGCGTGTGTTTGACAGAGAACAAACAACCCATTTTCATCAAAAACCAAAGGCATCTGTGCGCAAGAAAGCGCCGAGTGTAGGCAGCAATGGAACACAAGTAATCTTAATCCCAATATTTCACTGTTGGGGTTTACGATTGACCTATCGCCGTTTGCGAGTTAGCCACACCCCTAAGACAACCCTATGGAATTTTGTACGTGAAGATTTGTTTGTCTCAGATTTTGCGCGTTCCGCGTCCATTTGTATATCGTGTAATTGGACAACTAGCTGCGTTGACAGAATTCTGCCCGCGATAGGTTAATTAAAGGCCTTGAGTCCATTTACATCATATGTAATGTCACAACCACTTCAAAGCGCCAACTACAAAAAAAAAGTGAATCAGCAATAGGCGCACTTTACAGTCAGAGATAAATGTAGGTTTGGTTGGGATTTTACTTACACAGATGCACAATTTCCTCAATGGACGTTCTTACTGATGTGCGTTTATTCATCCGCTACAGAATCAATTTGATTCGGTATTAAACCAAACAAACCGTAGCAGATCTCTCAACACTTACCAGGTTTAAGATTTGAGGCTTTGCATGGTGGAGTATCAATATCGTTTCGGTTTGCGGTAACACCATGTGGTAATAACTACTGCTTAGAAGATACTTAGTTCTGAAAAGAACTTGTCCTGCTTATTATCAACTTTCGCTAAGTAGTTTTTGTTCTGATAACAGTCCTGGAGCAGGCTAGATGACTAGAGCAGGCTAGTCAAAACGTTGAGACCAAAGACAAGTTCTTTTAGAACTTACAGCAGGACTGTTCTTATCAGAACAAAAACTACTTAGCGAAAGTTGATAATAAGCAGGACAAGTTCTTTTCAGAACTAAATATCTTCTAAGCAGTAGTTATTACCACATGGTGTTACCGCAAACCGAAACGATACTTACCAGGTTGTTCCCAGAAACCTCCCTGACGGATGATAAGCCAGACGTGCTACTCTTGAAGCGTGACCCTCAATGTTTGCAACTGGCTCATCACTATCAAGAAAAGACCCCCAAAATACATAACAAAATGGGTGCACGTTGAAAAATGGCATTCTTTTTGTTAACAGAGATAAGCCTGTTATATTTATTTATGTGAAACCTGTTTTAAACAAGCGTTCCAGAGTTGCGTGGGACCAAACTGGTAACGACCAACTCAGGTCGGCCCAAATAAAGTTTGCCCAAGCCAGGAGAACTTTATGAACTAATTTTCCATTGACTAGGTTCTGACGTTGTTCTTTCAATCTGCCAACAGAGTCGTACCCAACTATTTCAGGCAAACGTTTTGAATTGATTTTCCATGGATTGCAGTCAATCCTGTAATAAACCATTTCAAACACTGAACTTTTCATGTAATTGATTCAAATCTATGGAATGATTTGGTTTAGTGCCGCCTTGGAATGCCAGTATGAAAAAGTGTGAAATAGTATACAAATATTGAGTGGCTCAGCGTGGAATGGGAGGAATATTATCACAAGGTAAAATCTGGACTTTTCCATTTCACGAGGCGAAGCCGAGTGAACTGGAAATGTCCAATTTTACCAAGCGATAATATTTCTCCCATTTCACAATTTAAAGCCACTCAATATTTGTTTTATATAACTGACATATAGATCCTTGTCATTTGATATATTTGAACTTTTATTTCAATACAAAACTGGAGGAAAATGTATTTCTCTCTTCCAAACCACCCCTTCACGAAAATGTTTGAACCCAACGCTGTAGCGCTGGCTCTTTGGAACAATACGCGCTACGCGCAATGCTGAACACGCACACCAGCATGCATTTGCACACAAATACTGCATCAACTCATGATCCTAACTGTTCAATAGTATTTCCCATTCCCCATGGGCGGATAGTACTTTTTGAGCCGCGGCGTGAATGGGAGCAATAATGAATGTCACGTGATGTGAGTTCTACCAATCAAATGACAAGGATCTGAATGTCGGTTATATAATAAAGATTATACAACGCCTGAATAAATCCCGGTCATCTTATTGGTGGGTTGTTGATCACATGTCATTGAATTATTCGTCCCAACACATGGCCCAGCCACGCGGCAAATATAGAAGTTCAATTCCATGGTAAATAGAAGTTCCACTGCCAGTCACACTATTACCACTCAGATGACAAGGATATATTCTGGCACTGTATTTATACAAATAATGAATGTTTCACTTTCGTGCAATGGAAGGAGTAATTTCATTCGGTGACAGATGGAATGTTCCATTCTGTGAGGAGAAGCCGAGTGGAATGGAACATTCCATCAGATGGAATGTTCCATTCTGTGAGGAGAAGCGGAGTGGAATGGAACATCCCATCTGTCCTTTGTGCAATACCTCTGTAGATTCCAGAGCTTGACACTGCCATCAGCAGCACAGGATGCCATACAGCAAGCAGCGTCATCTAAGGATAACGTGGCTTGCGGATGGAACACTACGGCACCGACATTGTGGTTGTGCCCTGTAATATGAAACCAAATAAAGTATTAAAGGTATAGTCCATCATTTGTAATTTGTGCATTTTGTTCGTTTGAAGCAACAAAAGTGCTCGAAATCTAAAGAAGGGTACTGAACAACTAACCTGACGAAGTTTCAGCTTAGCTTCAGCTGTATATTCCGAGAAAAACAACATTCTAGGATCTCGATTTCAAATCAAAAGTTTTTGAATCATGTTTTGAATTGGGCCTGAATTCAGCGTCTGATACACGTTCTCACCGAGCCAATTGCAGCTACGCGATGTCGCGCACTGATCCGACGAATTATAGCAACCGCGCATGCGTGTGCGTCGTGCCAATGCTTGGGTGTTCGCCGAATAATGAAACGAAATACTAATTTGAGTTTCCTACGGTGCTTCTTAAGAAGCACCGTTGGAAAGGCTTTCTTTTGTTGATTTCTTCAAAACGACAGCTTGCCAGAAAGAACTATTTGAAAGGGAGTTTAGTCCCCTTACTATCTTTCAACCAAGAATGTTTTTCTACAATAATTACGCCAGTTACTTTTCAGTTAGCTGCAAATGATGGGGTAAGGGGTTTAAGGGGCGAGTCTGGTTGGTGTGCTAGTGCTTCTGCTGCCTTCAACCCAAGCCAGATGGGCTCAAGCCCTGCACAGGCTGACACGTGGATTGGGTATTCGTCCCTGTCTGATTCCGTGGAGTTTGTCTCGACATCTGTTTAAGATTTTTATGGCGCAAGCACTAAGCATGCGTAAGTTGCGCACTGTTTCATAAGATCAGCTGCAGACATAAAGTGCTTTATTGCTTGTCGGTGACCACTCACCTCTGAGAGTTCTGATTTCTTTCAGCTCTGGGACAGACCACAACTTGATGAGTCCACTCCTGCAGTAAAAAAGGCAAACTTTTGATGAAACAGTTAAGGTAAATTTGCAAAACTGTTATGCTGTTAAAGGACACAAATACATTTTGGTATTGCCTGCTGGATTAACCAGACTTCTGTTTCTGTGTTCAAAATTCAATACATGCAACATTACGCAAAATTGTTTTTTTGTTTGGTTGATGATCAAGTCAAGGTAAGCTTTGCATACTCACCACGATGAAGTGGCTAGGAGTTTAGAGTTGGGACTGAACTGACAGTAAGAAATAGGACGCGTATCCCCAATCTGGCTTGCTATTGCTGTAAGCGACTGTAACACAAATTGGAACACAAAATATCAGTAAGAAGCGAATAACAAATATTATTGTTTATAAGGCTTGTTCAAGGGAAACGAATACGATGACTATCTTCAAATTTGAGCAGCTTCTTTTAAATTTGTTGCTTATAGTTCTGTTGTGTGTCTGTATCATTCCTGTTAGGTAAGAAAGTTACGAACGAGTGTTGAATGTGCATGCACACTACTATCTACTTCATGTACCTATTAGTAACCAGTATTTCATACATGGGTTTTACCATGAAGCTGGGGAATGTTTTCTGACTTGTAGATCAAGTACAAGAGGTTTGCTCAGAGTAACCAAAATAATGTTTGCTTTGACCCCTTTGGTTGTTTAAGAGGGTTCTGAGCATTGGAATGCTATTTGGGCATGATGCTTTAAAATAAAACAGGTATAACGATATAAGGCCCCCCAAAAAGTCTCCGGTTTCTGGTATGGAGCTTGCCCCAAAAGTGGTGCGGCGACGCGGCTTTTTGGTATTTTTTACCGTTTTTTTTTCTTCATATGTCGGCTGATGCCTGCAAATGGTGCCTGACTTAACTTAGTGCAAATATATGGGAGTCCAGAGAGGCCACATAAAGCTTATACTTGATCGTAACCCCATCTAAAAAGATGCTAAAGTTGTGGAGCAGCAGGATTCCAGTCAAACCAGTGAGTTTGGCGGTTTTGAGACATCATCTTTCATTAAAAAAAAAACTATTTCATTTTGCCAACGCACATGGCTATGGCAACGCGCGCGCATACCAGAAACCGGAGTCTTTTTTTTTGGCCTAACATGGTCACCACCCCAGTTTTACCATAGTTGATTAGTATTTGAAAGCTTTATGCACATTTTCCCCCAAATGAATAGCTGAGACTGTAACAGACCGTTCCAAACTTGAACTTTGGAAATTTAAATAAAAGTCTTAGTGCTATTCCAAGAAATCTGCTACTTGATGCCAAGTCCTACAAATACATCCCAACCTCCAGATGGATTTTAACTCTCCCAGGATCCGATATAGTTAAAGTTAAGATATTCCTCTTACCCTAATATGCCGGTGTAGTTCCTGGGTCTTAGCATTCCTCTTGGATTCTGGGACGTTCTTCGCCAGCTTGGCTTCTTGTATTCTCTTCTCTGCCCTAAATCATTCGACAAAATTCAGGGTTTGAAATATGTTGCTTAAATGTCAGACTCAAAAAAAAGGAGAAAGCACAATTAAAAGCAACACACAGTTGCTTTTAGAAATTAAAAGTTTGAAAATATTTCATGAATTTAAAGAATTTAGTTGCTATGTGCTAGTTACTTTTTGTTAATTCATTGTGTATGAAATAAATTTTACTAAAATTTGTCAATAAAAATTGTACTTAACCCATAAGCAAGAGTAAAAAATGTGCAATATTAAAATTATCATGAACCTTGGTAAGGAGTATTCCGCAATCCATAGTCTGGCCCTCTTGAGGCTGTCCGGTCCCTCGTGGTACCATGTGGTCTGCTCTTCCTGTAAGAAAACAGAGAATGTTGTACTGTACATATTAAAGGGAATGTACATGTACATCATTGGTTTTTGCTGTAATTTTCAGAAATGAACTATTTGAGGGGTTAGCATAATAGAGCAAATATTGTTACACTGACATGTTTGAAGTTTTGTGTTCGAAAAAAGCTGGAAACACCAAGAAATACAAAAATGTTCAAGTAGTCTGGTTCCCTGACTCCACTAAAGATGAAATGGATCAATTTATAGATGCCTGAAAATTGTAAGGTAAGGGAACCAGTCTAGCTGGCCTGCACCCGTTCCTGAACATGTAACCAACAGCAAACAAAACTTGGACTGAAAAAAAATGGTAAATTTGGAGCAGTATTTGAAAAATAGTTCGGTTTTTCCAACGGTGGTCGGCTGACCACTGTTGGAAATGTATACAAAAATACCACTTTTCTTGAAAATGACTTTACACCAGGTGTCATAAGTTTACAGGATGCTTTAGACTGTCATTTACCAACATCCTAGTAGGTATTTCGTAAAAAAATTGGTAGTTTTGTTTTTCGATGTTTGCAAATGTTGTATATTCCCTTTAACAAATACAGGAAAGTGGAGTTTTCTCTACAATTTAAATATCACCAATAAAGTGGAGAAAGGCCAAGAATTGGCATCCGATTCGATACTTTGTTTTACATACTCGTGGCAAATATGTGATGCAATCAAGCTAAATGAGTCATTTGTTGACCCTGGTTAATTTTTTTTTTACAGATTTGAAAAGAGCACAATCTCAGCATCACTGCTGTGAAAACCGCATGCATGTACCATCTTTAGTTCAAACATTATGGTAGTCGGAACACCAAGAGATGTGATGAAGTGATGTGATGAAGTGGCCCTACTTTGGCCTTAATCTCTAAATGAAAGTTCCCGACAAATGACTCATTTAGCTTAATCGCATCTCTTATGTGAAATGCCACCAAACCAAGCACTAGTTGCATTTTTTTCGGGTAATTTTTTAACATATTCATGGAACAACATTCAGACACATATGTAGGCATCCATATGAGGTTGCCCAATATTGCTTCCTCATTACTAACCCTCACCTCCTTGAGTGATTTATTAGGAACCTTCTCCAATCTTGCAAAATCCAACACCATATGGTAAACTCAACACCCAAACTGATTATGGTGGTATGCCTGACCCCATGTAAAGCATAATTAGTTTACTAGAGCAGTACTCACTCCAACAGATTCCAACAAAACACACAGTTGGATTTTGAAGGGTTGGGGTGGGTAGGGTTAATATAGAGTGCTTTAGCTTCTGCCGAATCAATGAGTTGATTTTATCAGCCCTGAAACCTTGTGGAGTGGCAGTTCAAATAATTCAGTTTGCAGAGCACTGCTCTGGTTACTCATTTTCATTCTATGCACTGTAAATGTCATTGGAGTGCCGTGGCTTTGTGGTCTGGAGCATTGATTTTGTAGTCTGCGGGTAATTCTGCAGGTTGTGGGTTTGAGTCCAGCCTGGGGTTATGGTGCGTGTGCTCTTGGGTAAGGCACTTTGTCACTCATTGCTTCTCCCACCGAGGAGAGAATGGGTACCTGTGAGGGCAGTGATTGGTTATCATGATTGATTTTGGCTGCTTTGCGCCGAACTGGCAGCATCGAGCTGTATACTCCCTAGGGAGCTGAGATTGTCTTTGGAATGTTTCATTGCCCAATGTTTAGGAATAATAACATTGCAAAGCGCTTTGATCTCAGTTAACAGCCCAATATAAGTACCCGTTATTATAATAATTATTTCATTTTAAAGTCTGGTTCTCTCACCTCTTTTTTCTTCTTCTCTCGTTCTAGTTCTTCGTCCTGCTGTCGAATTAACTCGTCGTCCCCTATCATTGCCAGCAACTGACGTAAACGCTCCCTCCTGTCTGCCTTATCCTCCCCAAATATACCTGATGTCAAAAAAAATTAAGATTTTCAGTAAATCAATTAGTATGATAAACGGTAATCGAACTTCCTTGAGATTAAGCTTACTGTCACCCCCCCCCCCACCACCAAATACAGAAGTAGAAGTAGTAAGTATATAAATATGGCTTTGCTTCTTAGAACATAAAGCAAACATTATCATGAAGATTCCACTAAACAATTTGTCCTTTACCTTAATACTGGGTTACACAGCCATGTTCCGACACACCTGTGTTTTGACTGCTCCCTTACCCTCACCCTAAACAGGAGTAACACAATCTTATGTGCGAGTTGTCGGACCATAGGGGTGTCGGAACATAGAGCAGTCACCCTCACACTGTATCGCAAATATTTCCTCAGCATTCAGAACTACAAAGGGGTTTTTCGTTAAAAAAAGGCCTATGACTTTGTCAATTTGTAGTACCGGTATTTGTGGTGCTGCTTAGCAAGATAGCAAGCTGTGAACTAATCAATAGTTATATTTAGCTGGTACTTGTTTTTGAAGCAAAACTTTCTTGACGCTAAGCAAGTTAGTGTGCTTTACATCTCCATCCAATTGAAGATTTCATCTTTCATCACATGGGACAGGGGATATAAACATGTACTTTTTATCTTTCAACTCACATATTGGCTCTCCTCTCTGCCTGAGCTGAGCCTTGACTTGGGCGTCATCGGTGGATACAGTGATTTGTCGAAGCTGGAAATCAAGAGAGCAAAACCAACAAAATCAAACAAATTCCATCTTATAAAATCAAACAGGCGTATCACTTTGAAGTGATAAACTTAAACCAACCGTTTACAAATATCTCATTAACCACAAACAATCATGGGCTCACTAGTTGTATGTTTCGTTATGGTACACAGGCATGCAACTTGGAAGAAACAAAAAACAAGGAAACTCCAAGACTTTGTACAGTGTTTTTCAATTTTGAATGGCATTCATGAGAAGTAAAAAACGAGGAAATCAGCGGATCCAAGGAAAAGTTGCATGCCTGTTGGGTAAAAGTGAAAACGATGCGGAATTATTCTATCGCTTCAGAGGGGAAAACATTAAATATCAAAATCCTGTAGTCTGATTTAGCTTACCTTTTTTCTCCTTTCGAATTCAGCGAGAAGCTCAAGTCGCTGTTCGCTTACATGCTCTTCGAGGTCAAACGTCTCCCCTAACAAAAAAAATCAAACATAGCTATTTAAGAAAAAAAGTAATGCAAAAAACGTCAGATGAAGAAAAATATGACGATGGCCGGCCATTTGGTTCTGTCATCAAAACTTTTGTACTAGTAGTTTTGGGCTTTGCAAACTGAAATATAGACACAAATTCCCACCTTCACCATGTAATGATCTGTAAAGGAACACAATGGACACTACAGCAAGCCACAAATTCTTAATATTTCATATGAGCATTGTTCTCAATGTCAGGAGAATGAGGCTATATGTTTTAGCAAATTTGTACTGCTAGATTTTTACGATAGTTCGAGCTTTACCTGATGCAATGCTGATGTTGCCAGACTCAATTCCAGCCTGAATGGCCCCCTTGCTCTCCTCCTCTCTTAGCCTCGCCTCAAGAGTTCCATAATGAATTTTGGACCTCTTGGCCACGGGCACATCTTCGTCGTCAGACATATTTGATGCGATGACCTACTGACAATAGGGGTAAAGAAAATATGTATGACCAGAGGATAAGAGGTCTGTATCCAGCAACCACTTATTGGCCCCAAGCACAACAATTTTCACCTCACAATTTTCATTTTCTGTAAAATCATGGGGATAAGGGAACCATTTGCTGCCTTTGTATTATTGTATGACTTTTCTGCCGAAGCATTAAGCCAATGATCAAGTTGGTATATGCTCTTGGAGCTGTAAATAGCCGTCATTTATATCCTCACTGGTAGCTTCTAAAGCTGCACGATGTCTCGGACGATTTGCTCAAAGGTGTCGAGCTTTGCCAAGTAAAGCCAAAGCTTACACTAGATCAGTCAGTGTACTTGGCAGGCTGAGCTCAGACCAAGTCAGCGGTTTCCGGCATGCCCTACAAATAGAGGCAGCAGCAATCAGTCCCTGCTGCTTGCACTTTATTTGCAGAATTCGACAGTGGCAGTTGGGTTTGCCAACGCTTCTCTGGCCAATCAAATCAAACTCCAGTTATTTGCTTGCTCACTCATGTTGTCAAAATGATCTGTTCTGCTTCCAGCAGCCCCTTAAATATTCTCCCAACACAACACACTTGTTTCAAGTCATGTAGGCCTCTGCTATGTTCTCAGTCATCAACTACAATAAAAATGGCATCCTAGCAGTATTCGCGACAGCCCTCGTCAATAAACGGTAAATTTCACTTTTCATACAGATCATTCATGACATAAGTTAACATATTTACCACCACCTTAAACCTAAACCTTCAGTTGTACCTCCGGTGGCATAGTTTTGTGACCATTTTGCAGGTGAAATCTGGTGTTTTTTATTGGGTTTGTTTCGAAAAATATTTGATTGTGTTGCGTGATGCCGGCCATGCAGCTTGGACCCTACTATCGCCAGACCATGTTGCATTGTTAAGAAAGGTGATAGGCCTAAGCTATACTGTCAATTGCAAGTTACTCAGACTACTTTCACACTAAGTTGACTAACCTCCCCTGTCCCCCCTATCCCCCCCCCCCCCCCTAAAATAAATTATTGCAAAGTGGTGGCCGGATACAGAACAGTTTCCCCAATAGGTCATACATAGGCCGTCTAGTAATTATGTACAGCCTACAGTCAGTCACAGTACATACAGCCTTACAGGGCTACATTTCTTTGCATAATTTGTATGATAGTTTGATACCAGTCTAGCGCCCTCTATCTAGCGGCCGCATTTTAAGGTCCCACGTTAACGTTACGATATAGCGTCCAAAATCGTAGGTAACTTTAAAGTTAAGGAATGCACCTTCCCAATTATACACCCACCTTTTAGTTTACGTCAGTTCTCAAACAACATACCTTGCACTTCGAGGAAAATTCAAGCAAAACGTGTGAAAACCTTAGCTGACCTAGTAACGTTTTATTAGAATTTAGTCTTTGTGGAGCGCGCCATGTTTTTTTATTTGCCTTGTTCAAACAAGATCTTTTAAAATGACGCAGCGGTAAGCTGTATTTTCAATATGAAGGGCGATTATTTATATTTAATATACTTACAGCAACCTTTAATTTTTAATTTTTTTATAGTTTAAAAATAAAGTAAAATAATTATTAAAACTTTTTAAGAAATCAAAAGTTTTCAAAATCATAGAGGGCGCCAGATTTGAGTCCATCAGCTGCACTGTGCAGTGTGCTTTTTCAGCTTGAAATTTATATTGGTGATTGATAGAGAATTCAATTTCCAATTCCTTTTCAAAATGATCAGGAGGGGCCCAACAAGGATTGCCCTCAAAATCGACGACATTTCAGAGTTTGACGCTTTCAAGAAGGAACTTGAACAGCAGAGGAGGGAGAAACAGCAACTGGACGGTACAACTGAGATGCAAGGGGTCGAAGGTCAAGATGACGTCACTCCCGGAGCCCCATGGGAACCCCAGGCTGTTGTTCCTGACAGTGCCAAGGACATGGATCCTAAAGCGCGTCAAGAAAGGATACAGCAGAGGATTGGCTTTGACCCTCGACCTGCACCGTCAACTTCCAGTCGTATTGGGGAACTCCGAGGCGGAGAATGAAACTTAAAAGAGCAGCAGATAACGGATGATTGAGCCAAACCTTTCAAACTGTTAGCGGACGCAGATCCATTGTTTGGCTCTGTGCATAAAAGTACTCTGTCAGCGGCAAGAATTGAAGAGTGGGAGTAAACCACTGGGAGAGACATTCAAATGCATTGCCGATGACGCCTGATGCTCACACGAAGACGTGTGTACAAAATGTATGTGAAGGAGCGGTAAAAACTTAAACTACATTTCTGCTTCTTTACGTTACATGCACCTTGTGCCAGATGCACACGAACGAGTATGTGCACATGGTGTGTCCCGTCCACTGGGCTATCAAACTGGTCAAAAGCGCCCTCGCTTGTGCGCGCATGAAGCCCATACTACGAACACAGCAGCAACCCTGGTACCCAGAGTCATGTCGTCAGTAGGAGTTAAGCCTGCCCCCTCGCTTCTGGACACTCCCAACCCCACTTTAATACAGCGAGGGGCTCCACAACCAGGAGAACTTACCACTGCACTGACTGAGTTGTGGGAGTGGGACCACCTGCTATATCACGGCTACCAGCCATTTAGCTATTTATCCACATCCATGAATCATGAATGGATGTCTGTATTACTATTGGGTAACGATAAAGTAAAGTCATAAACAACCCACTTAACAATTGACCTATCGCGGTAGAATCGCGTCAACGCAGCTTGTGAAATAATTTCCAATTACATGACATACAAATGGACGCGGAACGCGCAAATTCTGAGACAAACAAACTTAGTGCACAAATTTAACTATTACTCCATAGGGTTGTCTGAGGGGCGTGGCTAACTCGCAAACAGCGATAGGTCAATTCCTCTTGATTCATCTGTTAAGAGCAAAGTTTGGATCGGCTTCCCATTGGGAAAGATTCCCATATTTGGCCATCGCTAATTTTTCCCATAAGTGACACATCAGCCATCAGAAAGTGATAATACATGTATGTCCGAAAAAGTCAAATTTAGCAGGGAAAGTATTGAAGTATTTACTGAAAAAACACTTAGCAATTTTCAGACCGGTCTCATACGGTTTGTGCACAGGGTGACAAGTGATGGCCAGATATGGGAATCTTTCCTAACATTTAATACATGCAAACGGATCACAAACTAAAAATGTTAGATGATGGGAAGTTCCAGTTTCAGACGTACACTGTGCTTGATTATGGTCATAAATAATCACAAATTGGCTTATTTTTTTCGCAGAAAAGTAGCTACAAAGATTTTAGAAAAAAAGAGAAATTATTTAACCTCATGTTGTAGAAATCAGCTCGAAACACCATGGTGTAGTGCATACTCCGACAAATTGATATTTTCTTGTGTACCCATTAATTAATATTTCAGTTGCAGGTGACAGTTTAAGTGTTGAACATTATTTTAGAAATAATCTATTTTTAAATAAAATACAGGCCATCAGCTAATAATTTTTTTGCATTGATTTATCATTCTGTGGATTTGTCCTGAAGTACATGCAAATTGTGAGCATCTACCTGCTTAGTTTTTGCTACTTCACCAGTAGAGAATACAATTTTAGAGGCAGTTAACAGAAGATAAATCTTTTCATGATTTGTACGTTTTGGTTGAGCATACTCACGTACAATTAAGACGTACATGTTGAAATATTGCAAAAAAGGATTGGTTACTTTCTTGATTGCCTTATGAAGAATATTATTAACATTTTCTGCTAAAAAACAATGTCTGCAGTATTTAAATAAACTTATATTTTAATTGTGTGTCCTGTATTATTATTATTACTTGCAGTTTTGAAAATTAAAACACTACCAACTTCCTAATATTTAAAAAAAAAAAATAAATGAAGAACTACCTGTTCTCATCAATAACATGAACTACGTGTTGTAAATAAAAAACACCAAGTAAAGGGCAACAAGAGAGGTCACAGCAGGGGGGGGGGGGGGCCTTAAAACATCAAGTACACGTTCTACATCAACTACATGGTCTTCTGGGAAGGGCTTTCCAAAGCAAAATCTTGCCCCGGTCACTGCCGGGGGAGGGGGTTGGGGACGAAGTTTTATGAAAATGTTTATTGGGGTGTTCCTTGGTGAGTGGGCATGGCGCCATACATACATGATACATCACCCCCTCCCCCCCCCCCCAATCCCCTATTAACCTCCGCCCCTGCCTCCCCACCCGGCCCTACATTCGAAGTCTAGTGTGTCACAAACGCAGGACTGGAGACCAGTCTAACTTTCATATTTTCGACTTCGCGCACAAAATAAGATCGGGCTGTGATGTCGATCATGTTCATTTTTGTGTTGAAAAAGAAGACGACTTTTTTATTTTAGTGGCAATCTATTTGAAAAGGTAGGATTTCAGAAATGAAGGGTAAACAATTTTCATAAGAGGAAATTAGCATTTAATTTTGACGAAACTAAACTGACAAAGGGCATGCGTAACAACAATGGAACTTGAAGCAAACTGAGACGCCCAACATGCCCAATTTCCGGACGTACGTAATGCGCCTATCAATCATCCCCCCCCCGGGGGGGGGGGGGGGGGGGCTAGGCTGCCCTGGGATGCCTCACCCAATGCGTGGCGATTGTCAATTTTGAAATGGGGGGGGGGGACATTTAATACCTCGGGAATAAATGTTGCAACCTGGCGCCACTTTTTTTCATATCATCTCAATGATGAAGCCTTGAAAAGTTGAAGGTTAGGCCCCTGGCCCTAGTCATTGCAAAATGATGATAAGACATGAATCTGGGACACAGAAACTTTTCCAATTTTGTAAAAAAATACTTAGAAATTGTCTTGGCTCTCCATAGCCCCATAAATGTGGCCTATTTACTGGACTGCCTCCGTAAACATAGGCCACACATCCACATGTACAAAAATCGTGTCGACTTTGCCAAATTTTGATTTTCACATTTAGGCTTAGTTTGTAGGTTTTTTTTGCTTTAGAAGCATACTCACCCTCTTTATAGGCTAATCAGAAAGTGCTGCCTTTTTCAGATGTCTATTTTTCGTGAAATTTTCAGATTTATTTGCACACGTTTGCGTATCAAAATTTCAACATGAACTTTCACAAAAATTAGACATCTGAAAAAGGCAGCACTTTCTGATTAGCCTATAAATGAGGGTGAGTATGCTTCTAAAGCAAAAAAACCCTGCAAACTAAGCCTAAATGTGAAATCAAAATTTGGCAAAGTGCGACACGTTTTTGTACATGTGGATGTGTGGCCTATGTTTACGGAGGCAGTCCAGTAAATAGGCCACATTTATGGGGCTAGGTTAGGACAAGCATGACAAGAACATCAGATAAAATATTCTCATTTGTTTGACTTGTAGTAGTACTGTTGAACATTATGAAAAACTAGGCTTATCAGAGCTTAAAAAAGATTGTTTGAGGTTGCAAAAGTCATTTTGAGTGGAACTATTAAAAACACTACATGTATAAAAACTTAACAGAAAAAGGTGTCCTAAACCACACAAACTCTGTTACCAGTAAGTTTACCTATTCCCATTGTGCTCGGGCCATTTATCAGTGACCAGGTCCCAGCTGGTGTTAAACCACATATTTATAACGGCTCAATCACCAGTTATGTTATTAAAAAGGTATCCCCCTTCCCCCTATAAATAATTATATCACAAATTGTATTCTCTTCACAGCCTGGTGCAGGAAACATACTTCTCTGCTCCAGTGACCAGTTTTTTTTACGGCGAATGGTTGTCTACAAAGTGTTGAAAAGAGTGACTTGGAGAAGTAGTCAGCAACAATTTTCAGTGATCAAGTGAAGTCTGTCCTCCGACTCGGTATGGTAACTGCCCCAGCAAGTGTGTCCTACGGAGCATGCGTGTGGCCACAAACAACACCGAGACAGATAATCCTGCAGACTGTTTCATGTTGATGAACCTCACAATCACAACCAATTCACGTATCAAAAGCAATGGTAGTTTGTAAACACGGACATGGAAAGCACTGATGATGGATTAGAACTTACCAGGGTACTGTCTGCCGAAAACATTAACAAACAACGTGAACAACAGCCCACACTGCAGAACACAGAAACTACGCCATTTGGCTGTGTTTCACGTGGCAAGCATTTTGAAACTGTTCAAAATCTGAAGGAACATCCTTGTCCCGTCCCGGTATCAAATTCGGAGTGCACACCTGATACAGTGATGGAACAACATAACTTGAATCTTGGAAAATTCCTGAAAATGAACTCCAAGAAACCGTTTGTGTGTCAGCTGTGCAGCAAAGCCTTCAAGAGTCGGAGAGAGTCCACAGGACACTTTCTTGTGCACATCGGTGCCAGATTTAGTACTTGCTCTCGGTGTGGTGATCTGTTTTTCAAAGTCGGCCTGTTGTCAAAATATGAGATACGTGCACTTGGCAAACCCATCAAGAAAGATGTTTGCAGCGGCTGCAGCAGAGCTCTCTCCAAAGGTACACGTGTGAATGACAAGGAGCGAAGAGAAGATACCTGTTTGCCACAGGAAGAGGCCTCTGCTGTAGCAGATAGGCTGCCAAGTGTTGCTCAGCACCCTACTGATAATGGAAACGAACAAGTGGAGGGAGACTCAGTTACACCAGCAGCTCAGCAGGATTCAGTTCGGACTAATACTAATAGTCCATCAGACCAGGCACAGCATGATGATGGAAACGACAAGACTGTTGTTGATGAAGACACATTGTTGCGGTCTACAATAGTGAAGCAAGAAGTGGAACAAGAAGAAATGGATCCAGTGAGAATCCCAATTTCATTTAGCCCACTACAGTGTAGCAAAATTAAACAGGAAGTGATGTGTGACGATGAGAACACAGAAGATGTAGAAAGTTCCTCAAACTTGATGCAGCAAGACAAGGAGACTGTTGGTGTTGACATGATTGAAGATGCTGCAAGTTCCAGCTTGGTTCAACCGACGCATGATGATGATAACTTATGCATCAGAGGGCTACTTGTTTGTAGTTGTGGGGAACAGTTTAAGGCATCTTCGGCGTTGGATAGACATCGCAGTTTAGACTGCAGGCTGAAGTCCCAGAGTGAAACAAATCAACACCATGGCCGAGGAAACACTTCCACAGAAGCTGACTTGTTCCATAATGGAACAACTAAGAATGGAAACTCAGAAGTCGATTGTCAGCCTCGGACTGTTCCAGAACACACAGTTGTCTGCACAACCAATGTCAGGAAGCTATTTGTGTGCAACCCCTGTGGACGGCAGTTCACCAGAGTCTATTACCTCATGAGACATCGGTGTGCCCACAACTTGCTCCGCCACAGGCGCCCATCGCCCAAGTTGTGGCCCTGCTCCTTCTGCAAGGATGTGTTCTACCTCAAAAGGGATTTGCTAAGTCACAAACTAGAGCATCTTAAGAGCCCCTTGAAAGGCAATGACAGTTTTGCCCCGTTGCATGAATCATTAGACAATCTTTCTGCTCCTGAGCAGGATGGTCACCGGAAAATAAAACCAAAACCAAGACTTGTAGGGGCTGTTGGTGGTACAAACAATACCAATGGTCCTGTCCCAGAGAGTACTACTCCATGCGGTTTTGTGTGGAAGGGTTTCCGCTGTAAACTCTGCAAGCAGGAATTTCCTGATTTAGAATCATTCAATCAGCATGCTCTATTATGTCAGAACGCTAATGCCAAGAAAGTAGGAGGCAGCGTCAAGAAGAGAACTTCAAAACTCAAAAGTAAAGGCAAATATGCAAAAGGAAAAAAGCACATTTCCACCAAAAAGGAGGCCACAAAAGTTTCGAAACATCGGCGTTCAAGGTGTCACCGCAGTTCTAAGGCTAGAAAGGGTTGCACTGCGCAGAAAATTGCAGAAACTGTTAACGCTTCTAGCTCAAAAGGCATCAAGCATGCAAGTCCCAGATCTATAGCCCCGAAATCAACAGCTCCCAAACCTAATGCACCCCTGCCTATTTTGCCCAAGCCTGACGGTGACCCACTGCCTCAAGGTATTTCCATTCAGACCATTGCTGGCTTGTCCATTGATTCGCAGTCCATTTCCAACCAACCCATTTCCCATCAAGCTCCAGGCTCTCAACCTTCCACCCAACGACCTGTCCATATTTCTTCCCAACCGTTTGTGACGCAGTCCATTTCTCTCCGCCCTCTACCCTGTCCTCCAACTCGCTCTTATCCTGCTCCACAACCTGCCAATATTTCCACCCAAGCTTCTCCCAGTCAAACTTTCGGCCTTGGGCCTAATGCCCCTCGATCTTCACATATTCCAACAAGTCTTAGTTCTACACAACTCTATGTCTCCCAGTCGATAAGTCAATCTACTGCCTCCCGGTCAGTAGTTCCCCAGTCTACACTTGTTTCAACCAGAACTATTCCCTGTCAAATTATCAACCCAAGGACTACTACCCGTCAGTCGTCACACATTTCCACCAGTCATGCCAGTCCTATTGCTGCACAAACGCACGTCTCCCAGTCAATTCCCAGTCGGCCTATTCACTGTCGACTTGCTAGTCCCCAGTCCATAGCACCCTGGTCTAAAGCTCTACAGTCCATAGCTTCCCGGTCAATAGCTCCCCGGTCAATAGCTCCCCAGCCTACACATATTTCCAAGCAAGCTGTTGCTGCCTGGCCCGTCGTTCCGCAATCTATTTCCCTCCAACCCGTTTCCTATCAACCTGTTAACCCAATTCCTACCCTCTCGCAGCCTCTCCGCATTTCTTTCCAGTCAAGTTCCGCGGGACCTATTTCATATCAAGCAATCAACCCAAGGGCTATTGCCCCGTCATCTTTACAGACTTCTGCTAGAACTGTACTTCCCCAGTCGGTAATCTCCCAGCCAATTTCACTCCAACTCGTGCCCGCCAAACTATTACCACCCAAAAGGCAACAACACAGACTGCTGCCTGTGTCCATCAGAAAAAATGCCCAAGGAGTACAGGGCCAAGACCCATAGCACCTGTGCTTATGCCTCACACAATGCTGCTGTTGGAACATATTCAAACTTGCTGCCCCACGTTAGGCAAAATGTACCCCTAGTGCCTTCGTCTATCATCCCAAGATAAATGCAAGCGAGGGTTGAGCCCCCCCCCCCCTACAAAACGGAAAACCATCAACCACACAGAATTATCATGTATTCCGCTCTCAATCCTGACGTGCACAGTTAACAAATGTGCAGATTTTTGGCAATTTAACATGTAAACTGGAATGTGCAATTTCCCAAAGTTTATTACGAGTCTTGGAAACGTATTAGTCAGAGTTGCGAATGTCGAGTCTTTATGTCCAATTTTAATTGTTTTTTTGTTGAATCGCGATGAGCAAGCATGGGCCACAAATCATTTTGTAAGAAAAATAGAAATCGAATGCATTTAATGCCAAGATGATTTTAGTAATACAGGTTTTCCCGGCCAATTTCGCAAAAAAAAAAATTTATCTTGATAGTTACCAATTTGAAGCGAATTAGCTCCTTGCTGTCGTTCCTGTAGTTCATATGAGTTTCTTCTTTTCAGACGTTCAAATTCGTTGTCTGACCCCACATTTTCATGTTTTAACACATTCTAAAATTGATGTTATGTCAATCGGTTTAACTAATCAGTTAATTTAGCAGTCTGTTTGGTTGAGGGTTATTTGCATAATCTTATTTTCGTGCACATTCTATTAAGTTTGGGTTTTCTTATATCTCTAACCTTCTCAATAAGCTTCATCTTAAACATGCTTCATTTTAGTAACGTGCTTGCTTTTTATGCAAAAAAGTGATCAATATGGTCATTTTGGGGCTGCTGCTTTGTAGCCCGATCTTGTGGGGAAACAATTAATTTATGCATTTTCAAATTGGAACAAAGAACAAACAAACAAACGGAAAGATTAAACAAGTGGAACTGAACAAAAGATGTAATTAATAATAAAATAATTTATTTATTTCAGTCATTAGATTTTATGCTATTTTACTAAAGTTTTGATGTTATTTTAATGAAGGATTTTAATAATGTAATATTCATAATTTCTTTTTGAATTTACATTATATGAAGAGAATAAACAAAATATTTTCTTGTAATAAAACCCGGTCAACATGGTTCCTTAACTTACTAAGTGTTGGTGAGTTTTAACCAGAAGTGCACGCCAGCTTATCTTTATATCAACATGAATCAACATGAATATTCATGATTTGAATAACGCAGCATTTGTTTAAGATTTTGGCTGCTTTATGCGAACAGGTCTCGTATAATCTGATTTAGATATTTACAATGATTTGATAGAGTTATAATGGTAAATGAAAGGGTTTATGTAAGTTCACATATATTTCAGTGTTGGCTTTTTGGACTGCCTCAGTTTTTGAGTACTTAGCCAACACCTCTGGAGTTGTCGTATCGCCCCCCCCCCTTCTCCTCATCGCCCCTACTGAAAGTGCTTATCGGAGTTAAATCTAGTCCTGAGACAATCACTTGCCCTAATGTCACAATCTATTTAAATGAGCTATAACAACGGTATTATCTTTCTAGACCATTATCATATTCCGGCTATATTGATTTTTCCCATTCAAATCAACGTAACCAAAGCGAGGTTAGAGGAAAAAAAGTCTGGTTCCATTTTGCACGAAAAAAACATCATTTACTACTGCTTTTGGATATAGGGAACATGACTGAAATGGTGGCACATTATAAAGGTCTATTGACCAGTGAAGGACTTGCGGTGGCCTCGACAACTACCAACTAAATTTTCACGAGCATTATGATCAACAAAACAGGTTTTTAAGTACGGAAAACTTCCACTACCAGATATTTTGTCCAGATTTTAAAATTAATCCAGCCCTGCCTTGTGTCCACAAAGGTCGGGCAATAAATGCATCATCGGGTTTCCAAGAAACATGTTTTTGGCAAAATGAAAAAAATGTTATCCGTCGTAAAACTGAAAGTGCACATGATAAATCTAACTGCACTTAGAATTTTAAGAACAAGGGAACAACTATGCTAGCAGCCTCATCAGGACGTTTCTGATTAGATGTGCAAGAGATGCCGATGGTTTCCAAGTTGATGCTTTGTTATCAAAGAGTTGCCATGGTTACCATCAGAGTTTGGATTCAGGCGACCAATCAGTTGTCTGTCGGAGAGAGAAAAGGGAAGACTTAAGGTACAAACAAGAAGGTCATCTGTGCGTGATCACACTGACCACAAGTCCTTATGGCACTTCAACATTCAACTGCATATTAACCAGGGCCCAATTTCATGGCGCTGCTAAGCACAAAAATTTGCTTAGCACAAAAAAAGTCTGGCTTATAAAAGCAGGTTACCAGCCAAAACTCCATGTGATTTTCATGCTAAGCAAACACCAGCTACTAATCACGAGCAATATACTTCACATTGAGTTTTGGCTGGTAACCTGCTTTTATAAGCCCGACTTTTATTGTGCTAAGCAAACTTTTGTGCTTAGCAGCCCCATGAAATTGGCCCCAGGCTTGTTGTGAAACACAGGGTGGTCCCAAAACAAACCGGAACGGCATACTTCCACTACCCTGCGACTCTAACCATATACCAATGCATGGAGAATCTTTTTAGAAGAAAAATGAAACCAAGATCGCCCGATTTGGTCCAGTAGTGTTTGTTCTAGAGCTTATTTTAAGACGCAAGGTACATAGGGGGCCATTTTTGTCCCGATGAATTACTAAACCGTGCCCGGGAATTTGACTTGCATTGTAATTGATAGAGGGATTGTTATGTAATAATACCCACATGAAAGAAGTGTGCTTCACAAAATAGGCTCTGCAGCAAAAACTACTTGACCAAATCGGGATATTTTGGTATCATAATTACTTTCTATACTAACAATGTCCTCTCAGATCGAAAAGTCTGATTTCAGACAAAAGTCTGAAAAATCTCATGCATGCAAATCACAATGAAAAAGTAAAAATACTGCAAGTACAACTTGCGTGATCCCCCTGGCATCCTGGCAGTTTGTATGCATGTACATGTACAGTTAGTAAGGACAATTTTCATTCACAGCCTTTATTGTCCACCCGGCAGGTACCAGTTCTCAGTTGAATGGGGAGTTTGGGTTGGATGGAGAGTTTCGGTGAGACACCGGACTGACATATGTTAGCGTCATTAGTGATACTGAGCTGAGCTCTCCAGAGACCTCGTAAATATCCATATTGGAAAGGATATTTTGACGTCGGCCTTCTCTCCACAGACCACCTTTCAAGTTTGGTTGAGATTGATGACTGATCTTTACAGTGAAATGGAACACACACACACACACGGACACACAGAAGGACTACGCGATCGTAATATCCCAGAGTCTGGCTTAAAAGCCAGGGAGATAAAAACAAAAACAACAACTCCCAGCTTTACCCCTTCATCTCTCTCCTTGACAGCTTGCTTGAAGCCCACTTCCGCTGATCGATTTTGGAAGGCCACGCCCTCTGGGGTGTGTCTGGACATTCCGTCAAACAGTGTGGCCAGTCGCTGTGTGGCTGACAAGCCCATCTGCTCCACAACCTGTGATGAACCCCAACAGACAAAAAGAATTCAACAAATCCCACTGAAGTCAAAACACAACGTCTCACATTGCCAATCTTTTTTGACCTTGTAAAAATTTCAACATGTTGCATCGTCAGTATTTATGCATTCCTGTTTGCATTGCCACTACTTGAGGCAACAGTGTGATGAAAGCCCCCCCCCCAAAAAAAAAAAACTCTTTAAGGCCCAATTTCAAGCCTCTGCTTACTGTTGGAGAAAACTCATTGCTTACTTAGCACAAAATTCTGTGATTATAGTTACATATTTCACGGGTTAGTGAGGAATTTCGGCTAAGCGCACAACCTATAACTAAGGATTGTGTGCTACGTGATTAGCGCAGAATCAAAGAATAGTGGGCATAAGCACAGAATACTGAGGTTAGCAGAGCCAATTTATTTACAATTGAAATATATTTACAATTACACTCTCAAATATCACAATGTACAACTATGGAGGAATAAAACATGCATGTTTTTCTATTCCTCCATGGTACAACAGCTGTGGTCAAAGGTGTCAGAATGCTTTGCCACTAGCCGTCATATCTGCCATATTTTTAGCCACATCACAAAATAACACATGATTCTGCTACAACTTGGGAAATAATACAGTAGTAATACACCTGGGCACGTTGGTCTAGCGGTAGAGCACAGGATTCATGATCGTGAGGTTGTGGGTTCGAGCCCCGCCGTAGCCATGCGTGTTGTGCCCTTGAGTATTATTATTATTATTATTATTATTTATTCGGCCAAATTACAAGGTACAACAAGCAATTCACAAAAGTAAACAAAACTAAACAAAAACAATCCAATCCAAGCTGGCCAGGATTGACAAAAGTATAATAAAACACTGTGACTCGAAAGCCTGTCAATCCTAACTTGAATGGTACATGTAACATACAAAATATATTAAAAATTAGGTATAAAATTCAATGAAAAATAAGACCGCCTTAAAAATAATACTTAAAAAGATAAATAGATTTAAAAGATTACAGTTACAACAGTGTTCTCAAGGCAAGAATAGCTGGCATAAAAACCTAACAACTGCAGATTATACAAGACTGGGGAAAAACAGACAAACAAACAAACAAACAAAGTAAGGCGCTTTACCTCAATTACTCCTCTCAACCAAGGTGTTAAATGGGTACTGGCATTATTCAATACTGGGAAGGTAACAGACTCACTGTGGAGGAGGTGTGGCGATCCCCCCACAGCAACATACGAGTCTGGCCCAATCGCTAATGAAAGAGAGATGGGCACTCCGTTCCTGTGAACACAGGTTCGTCCCCTTTACTTTTTATAGTGCCAAGGTCACAGCTGTTTAGTAAACGTGTGGTACAACGCGGTGCGCATTTGTTTGCACTCTAATTGTGACGCACCAAAAACCCTGTAGCGTTAAATCAACTAGGGTTATGTTGCGTCCGAATTACGTGGCTACGGCTAGGAATAACACGGATCTATAGGAAGCTGCTCCCATAGACCCATGTGTAATTTTCAGCCGCAGCCACGTAATTTGGACATGGCTTTAGGTTCTTACCTGATTAATGACTTGTTTCTGGAAGAATAGTTGGTTGGTGGGCACCGTGACCATGCGTTGCACCAGTCTATCCACTTCCTCATCCAGTTTGTCTGAGGGTACGGCCTAGAGGGTTGGACACAATCATTCAAAGTGCATCAGGGTCTGTTTTCAGCCTCTTGTTGGCTCAAAAATTTGCCAAACATGGAAGGATTCATTGTTCCTCCAAAAAAAACTTACGATTAGAAAAATTGAAATTTATTTTTGATACCTGAACACAAAACATTTAAATTGTAATAGCTGTCAGTCAATTTTCTTCACTGTTACAATTCCCATTACAAAGCGTAGGCTTTGTAACATTTCTCCTATAATGTACCTGATTTCTTCAATAATCATCAGTACCCTGTTCAACCTCAGAGTTCTGGTTCAGCAAACGTCCCAAGTTAAACGACAACTTTTTCTCTAGAAGTAAAACTTGAGGTTCACAAAATATCTTTTCAGAACCATTCTCTTAGTTGAGAAATTATTCGCACATGGTGTTTCCGCAAACCTTTCATTATTCATTATTTAAATATCTTTTTGTTTGCCCACCTGTCCGACCAGGCCAATCCTTGCGGCCTCTGTTCCACTGATCACGTCACCTGTCAGCAGCAGTCGTTTAGCCCTCTCGGCTCCTACACGGTACGCCCACATCGCTGTGGTCGGGCAACCCCAAACCCTACAAGACAAATAAACAATTCCTCTCATCGAAATGAAGAAAACCAGTCTACTTCACAAACGATTAAGTTACAAAATGTTGAGGTTGGATAAATGACAGTTTGCACCAGACACTTTTTAAAAACTTTTTCATACTGTGCTCATTATCTATGTGCAAACTGATGTGAGGTTGCAATTTTTGTTTTAAGCATACTTTTTCACACCCTTACCGTATGAATCAAACACATACAAAGTTTGTGATTTAAAATCATTATTATCCCAGGCAAATTAAAGCATATATGATGAAAAGACATGTGCCAAATGATCAATCTCAATCCTTTGATATTTCTTCTTAATTCAAGATTCTAGGTATCTTGCAGAGCATTCAACAAAGTTAAAATTGCTTTATACTCGAGTTTCAATTTAAACTAAGGTCGGGAAAATTTAGCAGTGAGAGCGCTCAGGTGTGGGTTGGATCATTGGTTTTTCTCAATGCTGTTTCACAAGGGAGTTAAGCCCGGTTCATACTCTCACGCGAAAGCAAGTGCGACGCGAAATTCATGTCGTCAACAATGGTGGACGCACTTTGAACGTATTGTTGACGTCACGAATTTCGCTTCGCTTTCGCGTGAAGTATGAACCGGGCTTTATGTTTGGTAGTCATCCACTACACAGACGTTTTTTACTGCACAACTCACCGTGACGGTGGATAGCCAATGAATGCGTCTTCGGCCATGACCACCAGATCGCAGCACAGTGCGATGTCGCTACCGCCGGCAATAGCAAATCCATGGACCTTACAAACGGTCGGTTTTAAGCTACGCCACAACGACATGTACTTCTCTGTGGCAGCATGCATCATGCGGTAGTCTGTGTACGGGTCCCACGGCATCTTTTGGCTGCCTAGAGGAAAGAGAATAATAATTTTGAATTTCGGAAGTAATGTAGGTTTGGAGCATAAAACTCAATATCTGTGGGAGATTCTGCAGGATGAAGGTAATGAAATCAGCCTCGGGGAAGGGGGGGGGGGACGTGTCCTGTGGCAAGACAATTTTTTTTCTTATCGCTAGAGTACACGGGCAGTTTTGGGCAATTTTGTGAGATACAGGGACGAATCTCTTTGAAAAAAAAAAAATCAAGAAAGTATGTGTAAGCAAGGGTGTCAACGAATTATTAATCTATTCAGCTAGGTGCCCAGTCCCCCAACATAACACTATTCAAGTTGATCACTGCAGCAGCTGATCTCACTCAGTTTATGGCTCTGTGCAAAAGTGCCCCCTCAACAGAAAGACAGGGAGAGTTGGGGGAGACCACTGGGAGAGACATTCGACCGGATTACCGACGTTTGACACTCACGCGAAGACGCTATGGCTTTTATTAATTTGTGCACACTCGGAATAAGATTTAGTTGTTGGTACTTTGCACTACACATTTATGAACCAACACATACTGAAATTTGTATCCTTGTGGAGACATTTCTTTGTTCTCGTGTAGCAAAGTTTTCGAGTTTGAAAGTGAAGTTTCAAAATGCTCTTATTTTAACCAGAATTAATTTCCTTGGCTGAAATTCGGACTTAATATCTATTTTCTAAAACTCTTCCATTTGCGAAGGATCAACCCACCTTGGAAATTCCTATTTTTTGAGTAAAATCCATATATCTATTTCATGACAACCTTGTGGAGACGTATTCATCTATAGAAATTGCCCTGTGGAGACGTAAACAATGTTTTGTTCCCTATTGTGTGCACGTCTCCAGAGGGCACGGTGTATCAGATCATATTGGCATGCCGTGTGTACCTTCCACGATGTTCTCGAAAGTGGTAAAAAATAAAACCCTCTCTTGTTCTCACATGAAGCCCCTAGCTCAGCCATTTTAACTCATCGACCAGAATTATTCTGAGTCAAAAATTATTCTGGGTCAAAGTGTTTCGCGATGAGTGCGAGCACTTACTTTAACTTCATAGCTGATTAGTTCAACTCAGACTCACCAATCATAGTTCCGCGTCCTTCCTCTGCAAACTTCTTCAGGTCATAGCCAGAGCAAAAAGACCTCCCACTTCCCGACAGAACAATCACCCTCGTGTCGTCATCGTCATTGGCTAGCTGGACTGCCTTCTCCAGCTCACAGGGCATGTGTTCATCAATAGCTATGGAGTGCAAGATCAGACACACACAAAAGGAAAGAAAAAAAAGATGGTTTTCAGACCAGGAAATTTACGAAGTAGTTTTAAGCAACAATGATAACTTTTGTAATCCCAAATTCTGGAAATGACCAGTGTAATAATGACAAAGATATGGTACCTACTGCAGTACTGATGTTCTTGAGCAAGATACTTTACTACAATTGTTCCTCCGTATCTGGGTTAAAATTAGTACATGTGACACCAGAAAAGTTACTGTTGATTATGAAGTGACTGGGAGGAAATTGGTTTATTTCATAAAAATCATTTTGCGGCAAAATGCTGAATACATGACATTTACAGTATTAAATAAAAGGACAGCTAAAAAACAATTATTAAAAAAAAAAATGTATTAAAAAAAAATAGGAAATTACATTTACATTGGATAATAAGATTTTTAAATTGGAGATAAAACATTTAGTTATATGAAAATACAGCACCATAGACAAATGATAAACTCTAGTACCGGTCTGATATTACTTTTGTACGCACTCAGAAATTCACAGTGTGTCAAAGAAGTAATTATGTTTTTCTGACATCATACAACGGAGCCCATAAGAATGCAAAGAACATTCATTTAGTTTATTGTACATGTTCTCCAAAATCTTTTGGACGCAAATCTAAAAAAAAATCATGCTCATTGTGTAAGTAAATACAAAAGCACCAAAGTGATGTCAGGTTAAAGGGAATGCACATCATTGGCTTACAACTGTATGCTTTAATTTTCAGAAATGAACTATTTGAGGGGTTAGTATAATAAATCAAATTATTGTTACACTGACATGTTTGCAGTTTTGTTTTCGAAAATGCTGGAAAAACCAAGAAAAACAAAAATGTTCAAGTAGTCTGGTTCCCTGACTTCACTGAAGATGAAATGGATCAATTTACAGATGCCGGAAAATTGTACGCTAAGGGAACCAGTCTAGCTGACCTGCACCCATTCATGAACATAAAACCAATTAGCAAACAAAATTGGACTGAAAAAAATGGTAAATTTGGAGCAGTAGTGAAAACAAGTTAGGTTTTTCCTACGGTGGTCGGCCGACCACCGTTGGAAATGTAAACAAAAATACAATTTTTTTGAAAATGACTTCACACCAGGTGCCATAATTTTACAGGATGTCATTTACCAACATCCTGTACAGTATTTCGTAAAAACTTGGTCATTTTATTTTTCGATGTTTGCAAATGTTGTATTTTCCCTTTAACTACCATCTTTCCGGTGTTATGTACCGTTCAGAGCCTGTGGTCTGTTGAGTGTGATGTAGGCTACCTTGTCACGAGTTGAATACTTGATGCTCTGGAACTCCCGAGCCATCCTGCTGGATGAGGTCAATGACCTCTGGATGCTGTTGAGTGATGAGTGACACAGGAACCCTTTGGAAAGTCTACAAATCTGAAATACACATACAAAATAGCAACTGCTTTTGAATGAATTACTGTAAAAGGTAGAAAAATGTAAAAACATCATTTTTTATCTCATTTGCAATTTTCATCTATTATTTTAGCATCAAAAAGAAACTGGAACCTTTTTTTGTTCATGCAAGCACAAAAGTTGGAGTGCATACAAAACATCTTAGACCACATGGTGCCGTAAAAAATAATATCAATATTCTGCATGATTTAGCCCCTACTTTATCTCTCGAACTAAAATCGTGCATCATGACAATGTTCGCACTCAACTTGCGTTGAAATCGCAAAAAGGCTGATTGATTAGGGAAATTGTGACTCATTTGTTGTGCCCATTTCACGCCATTTGTTGTGCCCATTTTTTATGCTTGAGCACATACAACCTTTCCGGCTGATTAGAGTTTATATGCACCCCTCGGCACAGCCTCAGCTCGGCCCCGCCCCCACCTGGCCTGCTTCCCAGCTCCACAGGCTAGGCATGACACAGGCATGCCGCATGGAGCTCTTGTCTTGTCAAGTTCTTTTCTCTTGGCACCCTGTTTTCATGTCGTCCACGTGTGTGTTAGCCCCATTACCTCAGAATCTATTGGGTGTGTACTGCATAAATATACCAACAGCTTACAAGTATGCATAAATTATATTTTTCCAATAAAAATAGGACTTACTTTTGACATTGCCATCGCGTCGTCTGCATACCACTATCACAACTTACCCTGTTTAGACGACCGGTGCAAAAAAAGGGGGCGCCCTGTACTTTGACCAGACACGTTTGGTTTGGCCATTTCACAAACCTCGGCTTTATCAGCTTAGTTTCGGAGTATAATTTCTTGATTTTTGAGTTCCTGGCTCAACATAGGAATCTCATCTGCTACGGCAATATCAAACTCATAAGATACAAAAGCTGTGTTTGGAGTATTTTTCGATTATCTCCGACATTAATGGCCTACCAAATATTCTGTGGCCACTGATGAAGCCGAAGGTTTAAGAATACGTGGTTTGAAAAATGACCAAGTTGCAACACACTGTTGCATGCAGTCTTGTTACAAATAAGACTTCCCTCAGTCTCTTTTGTGTTATAAAAATCAGCCTTTCCTGATGAGCCTTCCTATTATTCAGACCACACCATTGGGTCAGAGCATCGTGAGTGCGAACACTAATCTAATTGCTATTTAGAAAATTGGGCACCCTTCACTGTTCAGTGAACATGCGACATAGTGCTATTTTTGAAAACTAAATAAACACCCCAAAAAGGACCCCCCCTCGAAAAAAGACCCCACCAAACAAGCTCTTTTCACTTTTTTATTTTTTATTATTCATATATATATATAGTAATTTATTCACTTGTTTTTTATCACAATTTTTGTTGAGGACATTATAATTTGTATCAAACTGGAAGCATTTGGTATAAATATATTTACAATCACAAGACTAATGTGCAAGAGCAAAAATGAGGAACAAAATGTACCCAACAGAATCTGGGACACTAACAATTTTTTCTTTATATAATTCTTATATCTTTTGTGCTTAATATCATTTGAACTAGCAGTATATCTACAACTTTTTTTTGCATGAAATTTGATTTATAATATAGGTTGCCCAGAAAGAACACTGGTGTGCACAAGTTTACCCTATTAAACTCCCCAGCATAAAATTTACTAGGAACCGTACCCATTCAGGCAAATTCCAACACCCACATGGTAAATCGTACACACACACACGGTTGGACTTAGTTTCTGGAGGTATGCCAACCCCAGTGTAAAAGACCATCAGTTTAGGGGTACTGTACCTATCCCAACAGATTTAAACAAAACCTGCTGTTGAACTTTGATGGGTTGAGTTCGGTAAGATACATAAAACGGATTGTTGCTTTTCGTGAAGGGTAAAACTAATGAGTAAATGAAGAGTTTATTTCCAATGTGATAAATGCCATTGTGTTACTTTTTAGAAACCCACCCACTCCTGGTTGCCCAAAATCAGTTTCAATGACAGTGAAATAGGTAAATACAATTTAAGAATAATATCAAGTGAAAGATGAAGTTAAGAAAAGAGCTTTTTTGTTTTATAAAAGTGCAATTTGTTTCACTTTTTGAAATGGATATATCACGTTTGGGAAATAAACTCTTCACATCACAGCAATGGTCAAGCTCCTCCAAGATCTGGCTGTTTTGCAAAAAAAGTTTTCTTAGTCTTCCATATCCTCAACAATTTTGTAAATGTAGGAATTCTTTGCATAAATTAGAGGATAAAAACAGACTGTAATGTTCATGGGTGTCGTCTGATTACATATTTCACTCACTTTTTACGAACGCCCATGACCCTCGTGTGTACATATACCATGCTCTTACCAATGTTTAAGGTTTTCAAAAGATGTACTAGGTTTGAAACGTTTAGGGGTCCTTGACCCAGATTTCATGCATCAAACAGCCATCCATTCCTAAGAAAGACTTTTTAGGGGTAAATGTTTCTTGTTAATATTGTAAATACAATATCTCTTATTTGTCTGTTTTTGTGCACAAAAAATATTCATGATTGCTTATTTGCCCTTGATTTACCGATATTCCAGGAGTAAATACTTAATAAAGCAGACCAGCAATTGGAAGAAGTAAATTTACACATTTTAAATAATTTGTTGGTCTTTGACAGCTATTTACAGACGCGTCTGTTTCAACTTTATAGTCAACAGCTTCAAGCTTATAATACATTATACCTTTCTTTAAATCGAAACAATTCACGGTTTATCTGAAAACTTTTAAATTATGAAGAGTAAAGACTGCCTTTCCGAATATAAAGTTTGGTGTTAAATGTAAGACATGTTCTTTGTTCACCATGTTCACAATGATATTCTTTGCCCAAAATCATTAAAAGGAAAACAAGGGCATCTACCATGACCAATACAGTTATCAATGAATGAACAGTCGTTTCCCCACTGAATCCAGGAAATGTCATTGATGATGACTCAACTTTATATTTAGTGACCACGAACATTATAGGTGCACCCGAATGAAGTTCAACGTTCCAATCGGACAGTGAGGTTACTCGCTCATGAAATGTTACTATTAAAAGTGTGTAGTAAAGTTCAATTCTACCAATTTTGAAACTAACGATCAGACAGTTGAATTGAAAACAGACTTTATGATGTTTTTGTTCACGGAGATGCTAATCCCTTAGAACCACGAAAAACATCAGACGGGACAGCCATACAACAAATGAGGAACAGCAACAAATAACCCAGCAGCCTCACATACTGAACACTCTTGCACAGCGCAGACTTCGTTGGTTTGGACACCTATACCGACTCCCACCGAATCATCCAACAAGCATCATCTAAGTCTTTGACCCGCAGTCAGCGTGTTGGAAACGCATTGTCAGCAAGCCTCGGACCACTGGTTAGATACCGTCACAACAGATCTCATCCAGCTAGGACTTGACTATGAAACAGCGATAATTGCCGCCCAGAACGAAGATGTCTGGCGCAACCACATTGCACGTGTGACCTCCATGCCTTTCAGGCAGGAGACATGATGATGAGATGGCATCTCAGTTCAAATTACGCCTCAACTTAAGCCCAGAGAGTTAGCCCATACACTTCAAAATGCTTGACAGTTTAATCCCAAGTCCAGTATGCTGAGCCCTTCAAAATCCCTCACATTCTTTTGCTCTGACAAGCAGTTGGGTAGCCTGTAACATTTCACTGTGACATTGGTATGAACAACCTTCCACACAGCGCAATTCATTAACACTCTTCCATACTTCACTTGAGAAACTCTAAAGGCTTTTGAGGTCTAATATATCTTATGCTGAATCTTGATTCACAGTGGAAGGATTTAGGTTTTTTTTTAGGGGGCTACCTTGAGGCCATATATGCCCATCTTCAGCCCACTGTCTATGCCACTCATGTTTCCTTTCCCAGAAAAAAATAACGACGCGCAGTGTTTTACACATTTGATTTCAAACGGAATTGGAAGGGTGAACGCACTCGCATTTCTTCTCCACCAGTCGTTCCCACCTCCTGTAAGGGCAGTAGAAGAAGAATTTGATGCAGTTGCGCAGGTAACCCTCGTCAAAAGGGTTGACGGACTCTTCAAAGTCTCGCAGGTAGGTGATGCGGTTGTGCGACATGAACTCCCACGTGGTCTGATTGGTTATCATCATGTAGCTATGGCAACACAGGAGGCCCGTCAGGGCCATGGCCGCCAAGGCGATGATGACGATGCAGACGAAGAAGAAGGCGTTGGCCTTGAGCCACTCATACAAGGTGCTCTTCCATTGGAAGGCACCCCTAAAAAGAAGTACACAACAGCCAATGAGAATCAGTGTAACTTATCATACAAGGTGCTCTTCCATTGGAAGGCACCCCTCAAAAGAAGTACACAACAGTCAATGAGAATCAGTGTAACTTATCATACAAGGTGCTCTTCCATTGGAAGGCACCCCTGGAAAGAAGTACTTAACAGCCAATGAGAATCAGTGTAACTTATCATACAAGGTCCTCTTCCATTTTCATAATTCACCCACAAATTGTTACGACAACAACGTCTTGAGAATCTTATAGCAGTCGTCGTGGCATGCGCCCGCAACTGTTTCATCTAAGGTGCATTCAACACCTTGCATACTATATTAGGTACGAACCAAACTACGAAGTCTCAGCAAGTAGCACACAAGATGCTACCAGACTTTTCAGACTTTTTTGTCCAACTACATGACAGCTCTCTTGTCGTATGTAGTACAAGTGCAACCAACAATGGACCACATTTGCCTGCAAAAGTAGCAAATACGCAAAAGTTTCCCGAACTTTTCGGGGGGGATTTTACAAGATTCCCAAAACGTTGTTGTGATAGCGGTTCGTGGCTGATACTGATTCATCTACAAGGAAGTCCACAATATCATACCATCAAACCTGCCGTCAAGCCAGAGTAACAACAATCATGCAACAAGACAGAACCTTGGTCCTCATATCATTGTCCCGCCAAATTTCAACAAACTGTGCTATCAGTATTCACTCTACCCAAGAACTACAAGGGAATGGAACCTGCTACCACCCAACATTCACTCTGCTCCCAAAGTCAAAGCTTTCAAAGAGGGAATTGAGCACCTAGATCTCCTCAGCTTAGTTAATAAGGCCCACTTTAAAATTTAGTTCACTGCGCCAACCACTCCGACCTGTGCGAGATAACCACTTAAGAGGTGTTTGCACAGTATACAACCAGAACCAGAACCAGAACCAGAACCATTGTAATAACACCCTCTTGAGGAACAATGTTCTTACCATGTTATTTGTAACGACCACACCACCAGCGCCGTTTCAGTGAGCAGAAAGAGCCAGAAGAAGCGATGGTTGCTCTCCCCGACGCAATTCTCCAACCACGGACAATGGTGGTCAAATTTACGGACGCAACGACTGCAGTCTTCACAGTGCTTGGATCGTATGGGTTGCTGAAAGGGGTCAAGGGTCGGCAACGTGTTTATTTGGTTTTGACAGGTATGAATGAATCTCTTACTGCCACTGTTGTCAGCTGGGTTTGGCTGAAATTTGTGGGGTCAGGCTGGCAGAGTTGTGCTTCAAACATGGTAGATAGGTTCATATTTCATCTGGTACACCATGTGGACTGTGGTCTCTTAGATCACACCGGTTGTCATCCCACACCTTCTTCAAAATTTCCTCAATTGGGATAACATACATTTTCAACGTTGGGGTTTGCCCTTCACCGACATATTCAAAAATTTCTTTTATAAACACTTTATAATACATGTTGTTGTCCGAGGCTTGCAAAAAAAAGTTCTATTAGGTTACTCAGATAAGACTGGAACCCACGACCTCCTGTTTATTAGTGCAGATGTCTAACCATGTGACCACAGAGCCTACCAGGGTCGGTTGGCCGGTTCAAATCTGATATAGCAGCCGGTACTTCAACCAAACTATTTGTAAGATGTAACTTCAATATTGTGTTTCGTCCTTTTTTTTTTCATTTAAATAATCTCTGTTTATTTAGTGGTGTCTGAGGGTTTGTGAGAAAAATCCATCCTATAAACAACACATATTTCCATGGTTTTGTTGACGATCAACAATAACCCTTATCCACCCCCCAACATAAATCAATCATTTTTCTGAGGATTGAAAAAGGTAGAGCCAAGCCACCATTATTTTAAAGTATCTTTTGAAGACTTCAGCACAGACTTCTTTCAGACCTACCTTTATCTCACAAAAGTCACATTTTCTGGGTCTGACGTGGGTGCGTTGCCGTGGCGATGACAGCATCCTCACTGCCTCCTCATCTTTGGAGCTCCTCCTACTGTCATCTTCCTCCTCCTCATCATCCTTTGCATCGTCGGACTCGGAACTACTATCGTTGTCCCAGTTTGGGGTCTAAGACGAGAACATCAATTTAAACATTTCACGGAATTGAACTGAAAGTTCACAACTTCTCAATGGCACAAGTGTTCAATCAATGATAATTCACGACGGGGAGTCAGGACCAGGAAATTTTGCGATAGCGTTTTGACCATCGTTTGACTAGATGCGTTCACATGTTGCTAGGAGTAGGCAGGTGTAAGTAATGTCAAAAATTAACCAATAGTTGACTTATGGTCCGCCTATACTTTCTCAATGATGGGTGTCTTTATTTTCTTCATTTTGTGTGTGTAAAGGAACTTTAAATAGATTGTTTATTGTTTCTCTTTCCCCTTTACCTACCTTGGTTTGATCAACGGGCACAAAGCCTGGGTCCATTAGGCTTGCCTGGAAGTACAGCCCGCCAGATATGGTCAGGAGGGTAGCAAAGGCTAGGACATAGGGGATGTTTCTCTGAAGAATCGCTTCCCTCAAGGCTATTCATTTTAAGGAAAGAAGAACAAAGTTAGCTTTTTTTTCATCAGAATAACATGGATCCACACAGGAGTAATAGTCAAACTTGTCAAAGCAACCTGTTGGCAGCAGTATACAGCAAGCTAAATGAAGAAATTTTGAAGGAATAAGTGAACAAATTAAAGCTTTACTGTAAATGGCTGTGTATGCTTTGAGATTATGACAATATTAAACTCGACGGTTGTTGATTCCCCTCCAAATATTTACAACATTGACCAAGGGGTTTTCAGGGGTGAGGTTGTGAGAAAATGAAAAATCAATGAAATACTCGGCAGAGGGTTTGAGGGTCACTGAAGGCCCCAGAGAAATGTACCCCTATGTTATACATGTGTTTAAGAATAAACTTGCCTAAAGCCACCCCTAAAAATACCAATTTCTTTTATACATGTACATGTAGGTAAAAAACACCCTTCTAGTTAAACCTCAGGAATTCCAGATTTCAATTCCAGGGTTCTTTAAAAATCCTGAAATTTAAAGAAAAAAATCCTGACCAAAAAACCTGAGTTAAGGACAAATCCGGACAAAAATTCCAGAAATCAGGAAAAATCCTTGATAATCTCACTCCTGGGTTTTGGAAGATTCTATGGGATTGTGGAAAGTGCAATTCAGGCAATTTACATGGACATGATGAAAAATGTGAAATTGGGCTCCTGTACATAGTTGAATTCTGGAAGATTTAGACAATTTTCAAGCCAAAATGCATCTGGGGTGTTACTGTTAGGCGAAGTAAAAAAAAAACAAGTTTCTCGTCCCCGCCTGCTTCCTTTTTGGAGGCCGCCTGGATTTTTTTATTATTTTTTATTTTTTAAAAATGTAGTAGAAACACACCGAAAAAGTCTACAAATTCATTGGAAAATAAATACCAATACCAATACAACTCTGAATGACACTGTAAATATGTTCAGTTCTCTTGTCCAACTTGTCTTTCATCTTTAAAAGTGTCTTTGAACAGTGGAACACCAACGGTTGCAGGAAATTTTGAAAAGGCGGTCATCTTGAAAAAAATAAAAAATAAAAAATAAAAAGCCCCGCTTCCTCCCTTTTTTCAAAAACCCCGGACGAGAAACTATTTTTTTTTTTTACTCGGCCTTAGACTAAGGGAGCACCAAGTTGCATTCGTAGCGAAACTTCCTTTGACTGACCTGTGTCTTTGAAGATGAGAACGCACAGGACTGCGACGGTAAGGCCAACATGGAATGTGCGGATGAACATGCCGCTTGTCACCTTCCAAAACAGCTTCTGAGACATGATGGTCAGGTGTCGCCGTCCTCTCACAAACACATTCATCCACTGTGTGACTCGTGTGTGCCAGCCAATTCAAGTAAAGTTTTCCAGATCCTGATTTAAAAACAAAGACAATTTTAATACCTTCATTCCCCGTGCTATGTTCGAATTTCATCCGGAATAATAGATTATTTTCTAAATTGCTAAATTGGGGAGGGGGGGGGGGGGGGAAACAATTGATAATGATACTGTCAGTGATCTGGTGATAGATAGGCGCATTAACTTATCTTGAATTTTTTTTTTACGAAATTGGAAACGTTTCTCAATTTCCTGAGTTCAGCATGTTCATGTTTACTTTTTAAACAATATGCATAAAAAGGGGCTTTTTAATCTGTTAATTAGATACTGCATATAAGAAAAACTTTAAACCCCGCAAAATTCAATGGTTTTAAATAGCGCCCTCTATGGTAGGCAAATGGAGACGGTCAATAAGAATAAGATCCATCAAGAAAATCTAACAGTAACACTGTCATGACTGTGTCACTATAATAAACCATAGCAAATGTACACTCACCAATCCTACAAAACTTCTACTAACCTAAACAAACAGCCAGCAGTTAACATGTTATGTTTCTACCATTTCGACGCTTTAAAAGCCAAGCAAAATGCTGTCTCTTCTCACAATCTGGCACACACAAACAGACAAGCGATGTCCAAAGTTGGAATTTACTACGATGACATGGAAGTTTCCCGATACCATACTAATATTGCCTTCGATTGCACCGGGAAAATGTTTATTGGAGACTGAAGCCAGACCTGAATAAAGTTTCCAAATAGTCGGGTTCCCTTGGATAAATACGTGCAAAAGGAATAATAAGATGGTGAGGTAGTAGTTTTTGTTGACTTTTTTCGCTGGTGTCCATTGAAACCCAGCCTTTCCGACGCATTGCGCGGGTACCATGTTTAACGCTTACAATTTACGCGCACGTGAAACTTGTGACATTGATTGACAGCTGTGCAGCTACAAAAAGCGGTTTTTAACTTCAGAAAGAATGGGCAAAACAATTTTAGCTGATGAGGCTGTGCAAGAGTTTGTAAATGGGCAGTATGGAGTTCACAGTTGGATGATCGGGCTCATTGTTGGTCATGTAAGCAGCATTCATACAAAATTAATGCCTGGTTGCAAATTATTTTTTCCCAAACAACAGCATCCGCATTAGGGTTGTTGAGCGCCCTCTACGATACTTGTATGATACGTACGCACGTGTTTAACATATAAAACCATGAATTTTTAGGATTTGTCGAGCAGTTTGTTTGCTCAGTTGGATAGGATGGTGATTTTGTACCATGAGGGATCCTTGCGGTATGGTTCGAATCACAATTTTAAACCCGATTTTTTTTTCCTTTTCTAATCTTTTCAAAATCATATTTTTCCATTTCCACAATTTTGAATATTCTTTTTCTTGAAATTCTATTATTGCAGTGCACCAGTCAGAAAGACTTTGCTGTTTGCCTGGTTCCGAGTCCCAAAGAAGAAGCCGAAGATGGGGAGACTGACAAACAGACGACACTAGAGGGCGTCAGTGAGCACTGGATTGCTGAGCATGCAAGACAGGTCCGGGCTGCGTTGTGTTGTTACCAGAGGCTACTTTCTACTACCCCTAGAACTATGGTGCTCCGCATAGCGGAGCCCCATAGATGAATCACCAACGAATCACCAACGACTACTACTAGTACTAGTACTACGAAATCACAACAAGTACAAAAATGTACATCAAAATGTAGCCATTTGCCAGAAAACTGCTGCACAGTTTGTCCCTAAACTCTCTTTGGTATTTTGTAAATGAATTTTCTATAAACACAGCCAATTACTTACGTAGTTTAGTTTACGTTTCGACTAGTTTCACTAGTCATCCTCAGAAAGAAGTACCACCAGTCGGTTGGTGGTGCTGTTTCATGATATTTCTTTGGTGCTTCTTGACAAACTCACGTATATTGCACCAAAAGCATCACGAGTGCCCTAAGGATGCCCAATCGTAAATGGGATTGCCTGAGGACACAACACACAGCCAGCATAAGGTTTCACATCCTTGATCTGGTAATTACCAACCACAAACTCTAACAAGCAGGTGTTTGTTGGAGCGGAGTGGCTTGCTCAAGGACACAACATCAGCAGCTGGTGTGTAAATCCTTGATCTGTGACCTCTTAGTCCCAAACTCTAACAAGCAGGCCTTACATTTTCCTTTACTTCATCCTATCCACAGGTGACCCGAATGCTGCCAGGAGGTCTTGGCGTGATGGGCGTGTTTGCCCTGGCCCCGCCCGATGCGATGAAGAGCGCTCAGGCTAAGCTTAGGCAGGTGTTGTTTGCTGTGCACAAGCTGCTGCGGAAGCACAAACTTCTGGAGCAAGGAGAGAACTCCACCGACTGGACCATGCTGCAGATTTGTGACACTACGAGAAAGTATCCTTGAGTGACCCTTAACGTCTGTGGACTGCATGCAGTAACATAGATGGAGTTTTGTGGCCACTTTTGTTCTTGCGTGAAGTGCGCACAACTAACATTACCCTGAATGTGCACAAACTTGTTACGTCTTCTTGTAAGAGTCAGCCATATCAGCAGTGTCCCTTCCAGCAGTCTCCCCCAACTCTCCATTTTGTCGCATAAGTGCAATAAGGTTGTAACTCGATTCTGTAATGAAGTAGTATCTCACGCGAATACGCTCCGTGCAACAACGTCGTATCTCGACGTCCATTGACGTTGCGTGTACATCTGGGTTATTTTAAGTGAGATACGACCTTTTGACAATCTGAAACTTGTGTTTTGCGTTTATGTCATTTCAGGAGATACAACCTTGTTGCACTGACGCTACGATTTGTAACTATTGAGGGGGGTACTTGTGGACGGAATCTATAAGTGTGTTTACAGCATTGTGAATGTTGCTGGCATTTTGCGCAGGATCGCTGGCCACACAGTATTTTGATTTTCAAGACCTCTGACTGACACAAATCGCCTGGCCTGTTACAGCCTGTACCGCCCAGAACCAACCTGGCACTGTATGGTTTCATGGCTTCATCAAGAAATAAATACAATGTAAAGCAACGTAGTACAGGTGTTAATGGGTTAAATGAGAAGACCACTAACAAAGGGCCAAGTGGCACTGTTGGTAGAGTCTCTGGATAGTAGTTTGGAGGTCATAGGTTCAAATCCTATTTCACTCTATTTTCTTTCTTTGTTTAAAATCAACTCGGTGGTTGAGTTTGTGTCATAATTATGTCGTTCACTGTATTTACTGTATTTATTATCCTTAACCCCATACTCTTAGGTTAACCTGCCGCACATTTGATGTCTCGAATCCACAAGTAAGTTGGAGACATTGTGTATAATTTACATGAATATTCGTCTGTGATGTTCGGAGATAAAAGGAATTTAGGGGCCATTTGTAAATGCTGTTCTGCGTCTGGGTTGATCCGTTTATTTCACGTTTATGGAGGAGGTTTAACTCATGTAAACACTTCTGTCTCTCTCATGCTGCCAGTACTGTAAGCTTATGTAGAAGGCGAAATAGCATCTAGGTAAAACTTGATAACGGATGAATCTGAATCGGCTGTTTTTGGGGTACCCTTTCAGTTTTTGCCATCAACTTATTGCGAATAGTTGTACATGTAGGAATAGACAGCAGCGCTCACTTTTATCACTGTCTTATTCTTTGTTTTTGTTCTTATGTTGCGTGTTGATTATCAGAGTACAGCAAGACCGGCCGATTGGAAGTTTCAGAGTTTCCTCTCCCGATGGCCCTACCTGCATTGCAGGATACACGTTGACATCACGGTACCTGTGCAGCATCAGGCCACAGATTGCGGCCAGTACAGCAAACAGATCTCGGTAAGCTAGAACCAATAATGTCATAATTCTCAAATAAAGTGTCTCTCTAAAAAAAAAATGTCCAAGACACTATCCCATTTGACCAAGATTGAAGTACCGTTCAAGCAAAAGTTGTTTTAAGTGCTACAGATTTTTAGCTTGATTCTATTTTAGAAAATGACCAACTTTGAGTAGTTGAACTTCAAAGCTTAATTTGAATTCATAATTTGCCAGAGTTTTCTTTAATTAACCCTAGCAATTCCCATCCAGACAAACCGATAATCAAACTGATAGTCCGACTATTCCCATCCAGTCAAACTCAATAGGTCTCGTTCAAATGACGTTATTTCCTACAGACTATCCACGTGCATCGGCATTTTGAGCGTCAACTTGCATAACGCGCATCGGCTGCGTCGTATATCGAACACATTTCGAGCAACAAGCGCGCGTGTTTGAAACATTTTCAACACTGCACAATGCGGGCTTGACTGCGTATAATACGCAGTTGCAATTCTCCTACAGAGATTGCCGTCATTGAACGAGTCCTATATGATGAGTACTTTACTAATAAACTGATTATGTGTTACATGGGGTTAGGCATACCACAAATAAACACAGTCCAACTGTTCATTTATACAGGTTACCATAAGGATAAGAAAGGTCCTAATCAATCACCCTAGGGGGTTAGGGTTAATTCCAACTCTCTTAAAAATTCACTAGGAGGTTTTGAAGACTTTAGCAGGATTGAGGAAGGTATGGAGCCCAGGCTCAATGCCCCTCAAAGGTATCACATACAGAGGAAGATTTATGCATGATTAAGCTTGGGATCCTTGTGTTTTACTTGAATACAGCCAACTTCAAATTATCATCAATTAATCATTATGTTACTTTTATCACTTCAACAGGCGGGATTGTCGCCTTTTGTAGAAACTATCCACGACTGCTTAGCCATCGTCAACGGTCAACTCAGAGATCCACAGGACAGTCTAGAATCGGCACAAACCAAGGTATCGTAAGAAGAACATTAGTGGATGCATCCATAAGAAATAGTATTCACTTCTTGCACGAAAACTAGCATTTTGTGACTGCTTTTGAGAGTCTCAGTGAGAGACACACAGCGTGTGTGGGCTGGTTCATGCACAGACATACTGAAATTTGTATCCTTGTGGAGTCATTTCTTTGTTCTCGTGTACTAAAGCTTTCGAGTTTGAAAGTGTAGTTTCAAAATGCTCCTATTTTAACCAGAGTTAATTTCCGTGGCTGAAATTCGGACTTAATATCCCTTACATAAAATACTTCAATTTGCGACGATCAACACACCTTGGAAATTCCTACTTTTTGAGTAAAACCCATATATCTATTTTGTGATAACCTTGTGGAGACGTTTTCACCTATAGAAATTGCTCTGTGGAGACGTATTCAATCTTTTGTTCCCTATTATACCCATGTCTCCACAGGGTACCGTGTAACAGATCATACGGTGTGATGTGTGCAAGACTAACTTTATTCTGAATGTGCAAAAACCTGTAGCGTCTTCGTGTGCGTGTCAGGCGATGTCGGCAATGCGTTTGAATGTCTCTCCCAGTGGTCTCCCCCAATTCTCCTTTTTGTGACCATTGAGGGGGTACTTGAACACGGAGCCTATAGTTCGCTATGTGAAATCTTCAAATTTGTGCAACGCTTTGAAATAATCTTGAACCAACAAAAAAAAGTCCCTGTAATGATTATCCATTTTATCATTGAATCGATGTATTAACCTTAAGTTTCAATTTTCAAAATTACAAATGTCTAAAGTCTATAAAGTACAAATGTCTGAAAACTGAGAACCAATTTTTTTTTTTGACATGCAGCGTAAGTCTGGCAAGAAGACTGGCAGTTCTGGAGGGGCCAGTGCTTTGAAATATTCAGTGGAACTTCTAGCACAAAATGTAAGTACTTACTTTTTGCAAACAGTAATTTTTAACAAAACATGTATATATTGCCAAGCACAGAACAGAGTTTACTTTCAGGTTGTTTGGGGGGAGGGGCAAAACAAATCATGAATTTAGCTAAATCGGCTGGTGTGTCTTTCTCACTTGATCATTTGAATGGCATGGTCATTTCTATTTCACATTTTCTTGAGTCTGGAGTTTATAGTAATCAATGAAAATATTAGTGGGAACGTAAAGATATTTTCAGTGGTTATGTAACCCCCCCTCCTTGTGTTTTTGCATTTTGTAGATAAAACAATGTGACAACAAGGTTCAGCACAGTCCCTGCAGTGCACGTATACAGGTGCATGGGGTGATGGAGAGCAGGTCCTATGTGCACAACAAGGCTACAGTGCAAGAGGCAATACAGGTGAGTAGTTACTATTGGCTGTGCGCATATCAAAGCCCTCGTGTGGTACAAATGTGTCCAGTGTGGAGGGGGAGGGGCAGGGGGATGAGGGGGGGGGGGGAGGGGGTTGATTGCATCTTGCCAGAATCAGATCTGTGTTTATATTTGTTTTGGTCACCAGACCAGAGAAGCGTTAATTCGTGAGCAATACATTGAAATTATATCTTGAACAATACTAACATTAACCCTCCTATGCAAACATACATTCTGTGCGAAAGTAGTCCTTTCAGTCAAAATCAATCAAGTGACTGTTTTCAACAGTTAAGAATTCCCAGCCTACATAAAGCAGGATTGACTGGCCGTGACTGTTTATGTAACTCAATACAACTTTGCTTTGGCTGTGGGTAATTGATAAGCCAGCTGTGCCCACAACTTGCCTGCTTTGTCTGTTCATGGTCTGTTGATTGAGTTTGACTCGTCACAGTGCTTGCTTGACATATGATCTGACTGCTGGTGACCAGCCTGTGTTTATCGTATTGCAGGGGAAGTGGATGGAAATTTTGACCGTCTGTGGCTGTTTAAATAGCAGGATGGTTAATTGATAACCGGAACTGAAAATAAAGCAATGACTGTTACCCGAAGATATTCAGTTCAAAGAAATATTACAGTTAAATAAACAATAAGTAAAAGTATAGATAGTTTGCGCTGCAGCCATGTTGGAGGTGTGTGTTTTTGTTTAACGGGGATATGAGTGGACCACGTGTGCATCCATTGTAATGAATTAACATAACAAAACACCCCTCAAAGTTTGCTGCTGAATGCAACTGATCTATAACTAAGAATTCAGCTGTCACTGTGCATTGTGCAAGCTTGGTGACAATTTTCATTGTAGCCATACAGCTGCCCATTTTAACATCGGCATATTTCTAATGAAAGAACTGATTGGAAAAAGTCACACAAAAAAGGTTTGTTGGAGGATCAGAGAGGGTGGTGTAGGGACAGTTGAAGGAACAGCAGCCATGCATCTTTAGACATATGTAGCAAGATATGTGACAGAGGCCCCCCTGTGGTAATTGTGGGACCAGTGTCTTAGGAATTCTTTTGAGATATGGGGGGGGGGGGGTTGCTAGGTAGCAATAGTCTATGGTGTGTATAGGGTATAGGGACATGGGGGGGGGTATTACTCTGTCACAAATAGCTAGGGTGTGCTAGGTAGAAAAAGTCTACCGTGTGTATAGGGTAAAGTGACATGGGGGTACCATTCTGTTACAAATAGTGCTGGGTGTACCTTCATAGACACCGCCTTTGTTCCGCAGTGGGCTTTTTAGTTCTTCTTTTATTCTTGCGTTTGCTGTTCTAGATTGACATCCTCCATTGTTCTGTAGTGGCTTTTTGGAGCTTTCTTTTACATGTAACTGTGTCTGCTTTTCTTGATTGACGCCCCCCCCTGCTCTGTAGTGGGTTTTTTTAGCATTCTTTTATTCTCTTGTCTGCTGTTCTTGATTGACACCCTCCATTGTTCTGTAGTGGGCTTTTTTTGAGCTCCCCTTAACTGTGTCTGATGTTCTTGATTGACAGCCCCTTTTGTTCTGTAGTGGGCTTTTTGATGTCCAATCTACAAGTCTCTGTTTTTCTATGTTGACTCTTCCCTTTTGTTCCACAGTTGGCATTTGGGGAATGTCTTTCTACTTGACTGCCTTTGCACTGTGGCTCTTGCTATGGTGTAAATTGTGTCTTGGTAGAAGTAGCTTTCATTTTGCTTTGGGAGAATGTTGCAGTAAGGCTGAAACACGAGTCTGAGGAAGTGACATTTTGAGTGACATGATTTGATAACATGCTGCTTGTTAGTACTGAGGATAATTGAGAATCCCACTGAATTGGTAGAATTTGGAAGTTACTGCTTTAACTTTTCAAGTTTGTTCATTTGGTAAGATACTTGCAGGTCTCTCTATGTTTTACACTTGTTCTGTCTTCTGCATGTACATTGTACTGTGATAGAGGATTTGCAGGGCATTTCATATGCATTCATTGATGCACTTCAAAAATGACTAAAATTAGGTGACAAATTCTTGGTGTTGCCCCAGTCATTGCATGCATGTTGACTCGTGTTGAGCAGGTCTTACCGTTTTTAATTATTGCTCAGATTTTTTAAGCCATCGTTGAAAAATTTAACACGACTATGCTGTTATTCTGGTACAATACTTTATTAGAGAAATGTTTTTCTTTTGACTTTGGAAACAGGCAGTGAAGGAAGATGTGATTCGTAGCTTGCAAGCGAGGCTGGAGCTGTTATCAGATGAATTACGGCAGAGCAGCACGGAGGAAGAAGTCAAAGAAGTGGACACAGGTACGAGCCGGGTTGAACGATTATTTGAGAAAAAAATGTGTTTTGTGTAAAGTTTTAATTGGAAGTAGGGTTTCAAATTTGAAGGCATTCAATCATTCACAGTAGATGTTTCCTTTATGTTGATTTTAATCAGATAGTAGATCCTTCGGATGGGACGTAAAGTCGTAGGTGTTGTGTAATCCAATGCACGTAAAGAACCTAGTGACACTTATCGTTAAGAGAAGGGGTTTGCCCCGGTGTTTCTGGTCTCCTGTATAAACTCCCACGCGGAGTATTTAGGAGATGAACCAACCAAGAAGAAGTTGTTTTTGGAGATGATGGATCTAGATTTCACAGGTGTTCATCGGCTGTTCTTTACCCGATTTCATTTTGATGGAATGTGCTCTGTTTACTATAAAAAAAATCTAAATTTGTTCACATTTTGTTAGAGGTTTAGATGTTACTGTTGTGTTTCATGTAATCTTGTTTTAATCAATATATCCATCCTGTTGAAGATCAGTGTAAATTTTTTCTGTCACTTTTATGATTTCTGAAATTTTTTTGAAGTTGAAATGCATGCAAGCCAGAGAATAATTTTATTTCACGAAAGCTATGCTGTTTAAAAAAAAAGAGATTTTTTTGAGTGACAAATGTTGTGACTTGTAAAGAAAGGCTGCAAATTTCAAAGGATAATCACCCACTATCACGAGCTACTCGTCGCCAAATGCTTTTCCATCATTTATAATTTGTCCATTGCAGAACCACCCTGCTCCATAGCCACGCCCAAGCGTGTCTTTGCCACCTTGCCCGGTACGCACATCAGCGTCTGCGACTACGCCTTCCGTGATGAGACGCCACAGGACTCACTGGATAGGCTGAATGAGCTTCTTAACCTTCAGGTCATGGAGGAGCAGTTGGAACTGGAGGCTGAAAAAGTACCAGGTACGTTAAGTCAGAAAACAGTCATTTTTAGTAAGAAAATATGATCTTTGAAACCCTGCTTTTTTAAAGATAAATGTTTTGTGTTATTGGACTTGTCTATAGAGTTGATGAGTAGTTTTCTTTTAAATAGGACCGGAGTTTATTTTTTGAGGAAGATTATTGGATGAAAACTGTAGGGCTTTGTATTTGTTCATTCTAATTTAGACTTAATTCAATATTCAAACTGTGCCGATCAAATTCAACAGTCAGCGGCCCAAATTGGTTTTGATCAGAATTTGCATGCCATACTGTTGTTGAAAATTAAAGTAACACAAAGTAACATAGCGAAATGACTGATTTTAAAAGGTTGGTTTTTGACAAACAGGGAAATCACACAACTTTTACGGTTATGAAATAAAAGATAGCTGGAACGTTTATTATCTCATTCCGTTATAAAGCTTGAGTAACTACAATGAATGAAAGATTGGTTGAAGTCGATGTGCATTCTGGATGATCATAACTCAAGAAATTAATAAAAGAGCACAGTTTAGTCCCAAAGCGAACTGTCACCGTCTGTTTTTGTAAAAGCTGTTGGATATCAGTCTTCGCATATTTGTTTTCTCTCAATTTTTTTCCCGTAGATGATAGTGATATGGAAGCATCAGACCGGAGTTCGTTCTCGCTGTCGGCTGCGGAGAGCGAGGAGGGGCAGCAGGAGGCTCGCAAGAGAAGACCGGTCAAATATATAGGTAAGCATTCCAGTTTGACAATAGTAGTCTGGGTGCTAGACCAGTAGGTTATTGTTGTGCGTGATGTCCGATATTGACCCTTTGCATGGCAGCCATCTTGAAGGGTTGTGCAAACGTAGACCTTTTGTGCAGTCACTTTTATGAAGTAAAGTAACAAAATATTTCCAAGATAGCTTTTGTACGACAAAAGAGTTACAGGTCTATTTACACATGCGCATCATAAATGTGCACAAATCAATGAGCGTGGTCACATTTGTGCGACTTATCACAAAACTAAATTCGAAGTGATATTATTGCGCAACACAAAACGTAATGTACGTTTTTCACCTGGACCCTGTGCCTCAACGAATTGGTTGTAAATGATGGCAAAAAAAATATCATGTGACATATCGCATATTTTTGGACACACGTGCATCTTCGACTTTGCTGCACGACAAAATTGCATATTTGTAAATAGTCGTCAATAGCGTCCATGCTCTTATATCTAGTCTCAGTTCCCCTCCAAAAAGTTAAAAACATTTTCGGAATCATTCTCAAAAATTTCGTCAAAAAAAAAAAAGTTGGTTATCTTGATTTTCTTTGGATTATATAAAACTAAAAGGTACTTTGAATACAATGGAATTACAATGGAAGCCAACGGAAGCCAACTTTTTTTCTGAGAAATGGTTGTTTTTAATAAAGGGACTAAGGTTTCACCAATTAGTTTTCCAATTTGAAGTGAATTATGATTTTTGTTTCATCATAGGTGCAGCACTAGGAGCTGCAGGTGCTCTGCTGGCAGCTGGGTTGTCCTATCTAGTCATCCAACAAGAATGAACCAATCAGAACACGGCTTGTAACGTTTCCACCAATCAGCACGGAGGAAGCTGTTTCTATCCAGCAATGGAGCAAGGCCGACCACGTCCACAAAATCTGTAAGAATCTATTGTTCATGAGGAAATTAGTGTTGATTTGGCAATTGTCAATTTCTTTGTCTCGGTAATTTCTTTGGTCATGGTTCAACTTCAGACATGCCATACAGATTGTGAAATTTACTTTCACAATAGGCTTTATTCATGAGTCGGCCATATTCAAATAAAAGCAGGGCAAAATGGAATTGAAAGCAATGAAAGAAATTTAATTAATAAATTAATTTCTGTCTGCTCTGATGAATAATTTTGTGATTAAACATTTAAAAAAATTGAAAGCGAGGCTTGGAATGCATAAATAGTCTGGTACCATCCCATTCAACAGTTTACAATTTATAAAATGCATTCAGGGAATAAGATCAAAAATGGCTGCCTTGTGAATAAGGTGTATTGTTTATTTGCTGAAGACTAAAGTTGCTCTCTCTGTGCTAGACATATTCATTTTTTTCTCTTCACCATTTTTTTTTTCCAATTTGTAATTTTTTTTAAATTAAAAAAAACTCTTTTTTCTGTTGTGGACATTTTCAAATCTCTTTAAATAAGCTTTTATTTTGGATTTTTTTTGCGCCCATGACGCATAAAAAGGTATGCCTGATTTCATGTCAGGCTGCACATCATACCAAAAACCTTGGAAAGTAATTATTCCATAATTTAACATGGAAGATTGTGTATGTATCATTTGGAAAGTAAATTACTTTGGTATTGCTAGTAAACTAGCAATTTAAACAAAACAAATCTACCTTTTCGGGGTGAAACTTGAAAATAATTTTGAGCGAGCAACTTAATTATAAGCACTTTTTAAAAATAGGAATTTTTGCAAACTCCACCTTAATAGAAAATGTATAAATCATAGGAAGAAACAAATATGCATCGATAGTATGTACCACTTGGCCAAGATGCGATCTAGCAAATAGTACAAATCCACCTAGTCTGTGTGATGATGCATTCTCTATGAAAATGCAAGTTGCTGTACGAATTGATAGATAGTTGCACAAAAAATTTGGAAATTTGAGTTTGTTCTTGTTTATCTTTAGACAAGGTATGACAGTGCATTCCCTTCAAAGAAAACAAAAATGAGTCCACCACGTACTCTCAAACTGACCAGAAAATAGTTTGAAAAAACAAGCAGTGTTTAATTTTCCCCCAAAAGCTGCAACAGTTGCAGCCAAATATATGCTTACCATTGCCCTTTTTTACAACCTTATCGTTTAACTTTTTCCTTCTGTCACATGCTCGGAATTCTCAACTTTAGTTTTTACTCTCAAAGAGTTTTTTTTTCAATATTCAAACCTGCCTTTTTGTGGGTAGACCATAAGGCAAAGCAAGGAATGACACATATTGGTTCATTACACTGTTTAAAAATCATGCGTGTTTGTTTACGGCGGTTTGGCAAACGTCTGTTGCTCCAAACAACACAGTCATGTTTTTTACCGGATGGATTTTTACCAGGATAGTGTGCTTGGTCTATCCCTCCTGCTGCTATGTTGATCTTAAAGTGTCGCTGTCCACGCCGTGTTGTATTGCCATTCCAACCTAACAGTAACCCCTCGACAACACTTACCCGAAATTCTAGAGTGCTCATTTTCTGATTTGAAGCTATAGTGTTGAACAATACCATGGCAGTCAGCAATTACGTCCAGCATATTGAAGAATACACGTTTCCACCATTTCATGCTGCGGTGTGTGTGAGTGTAATACTGAAAACATTGACCAGCCAGACCAGTCCCTCCCATGTTCTTATTGTACGTCACGACCGAGCTGGGTTTATTAATGTCCCGAAATCCTGTTTCGCTCTTGCTACAGCGAATCTTCTTTGTGGTAAGGCTGCAATCACCAAAAGTTATCAGTAGAATGACATGGGTTTTTTTTATCTTGCCAAACTACATATAATTGGTCTGCTTTCTCTAGAAAGTGGGGGTCATCTCCGCATGAAAGATCATGCCACATTGAGCCCAGGTGGAGCTCTTCGTGTTGATAGGGTTATCTTGGCTCTTCTTCTTGCATACAATGTATGCTTCTGTACAATACTTAACATAAAATACCACAATATATACCACACTAACATTATATACACGTACCTCTTAGACATATACTATAAAAATACCACCTAAAAAGATACAATACTAAATACATAGATACAACTAGTAACAAGATATATCATACATCCACAGAAGATCGTGGATCATCCCAGTAAAAGGCAAATCTTGCAGGTTGTCATTGTCAAGAAGTGTTGAGAAGTTGCCAGACATTTTTCCAAATACAGGAACGGAAATACGTCCTCCTGCATTTTCTCGTACATCCACACTAGATCATCAGGCAAATCTTGAGGGTTGTCAATGAGAAGTGTCGGGATTCTGTTTACTAGTCTGAAGAAGTCCATGGTATGGTAAGAAGTATTTATTTGACAAACAACATTCAGCTTCAATACAAAATTAAATCAAATGAAAAACATGATAATACAAGCACTCTGATTTGAATTTACAAACAAAAACAAACATAAAAATAGTTCCAGGTGTTCCTGAAAAGGATCGTTAGGTTTTATGGTTTGGAGATCGGCTAGTATTGTCGCTTTCGTTTGATGCCTTTTGTTGGTTGATAGGGTCTTGTGAAAAAGCTCAAGAGTTGTTGAGCGGTGAGATGATCTAGAACCTGGAGTCTTGAGCAAGCTGTTCTTGGGCTGAGCGTCTAGCATTGGTGAGCTGGGCCTCGGTTAAGTGTAGTTGATGCTGGTACTCCTCCAGCGTTACCCTTGTGAAGAGCAACAATGTTCTTTTTTGGAGGTTGCTCCAGCATTCCTGGAGCGATTTCTGAAATTTCAGATACCGATGTGGGCATGGTGGCCGTATCTTAACTTCGATGTATGATGGTGGTGTGGTAGTCTCGATTGACCGGGACAAGAGCTGTATCTGGTTGTTTCTGCTAGAGCCTTCACCTGTTTGAATTTTGCGTCGGGTAGTCAGTGTGAGATTGTTGGTGGATAGGCCGGAATCTAATTCCAGAGACAAGAGAAGTGACTCATCGTCGCATAGAGTGCCGGTGGGAGAACGTTGCCCACAGGAGATGCTAGATGCGGTGGAACTGCATGGAGACGGCGGCTAGCTGCTCTTGCTCCTGCACTTTCTCTTGCTCTTGCTTGACTCGATCTTGCTGAAGTTTTCATTCATACAAATTCAATACATTTGTAGTGTTGTTAAGGTAATTCTGCAACAGCCAGTTGATGTGGACAGTCCAACCTTGGTTTTGGAGACAAATTGTCCTATTTTCTTGTCCTTCTTGCGACCCTGTAGTGCATGATAATACCGCTGTGTTGGTCCTGAAAAGGACCGTTTGGTTTAGTAGTAAGAGACCGACTAATATTGTCGTTTCATTTTGATGCCTCTTGTTGGTTGATGGGGTCTTGTGAAGAAACTCAGCAACTGTTGAGCGGTGATGTGATCTTGACCCTCGAAAGCAGCAAGCTGTTCTTGTGCTGAGCGTCTGGTGTTGGTCAGCTTGGCCTCGGTGAAGTGTAGTTGGTGCTGGTATTCCTCTAGTGTAACTCTTGTAAAGAGCAAGGACGTTCTCTTCTGGAGATTGCTCCAGCGATCCTGGAATGAGCTCTGATATTTCAGAGATCTGTGTGGACGTGGTGGCCATAGTTTAACCTAATATATAAAGGTGGTGGGGTGTTAGTCTCGATTGACCGGGAAAGGAGCTGTATTTGGCGGGTGATGTGACCCTTGGCAGATGTCAATGTGTTGACGTTTTCTGACAGGAGTTTCACCATTTTGAATTTTTCCTCGGATAATCTGTGTGAGACCGTGGTTGGTGTGGATCTTGATGTGGACGGGCCACAGAGTCTAGTTCACAGGATAGAAGGAGTGATTCGTCGTCGCTTGGAATGCTGGTAGGAGACCGTTGTCCACAGGGAATACCGGATGAAGTGGAGCTGGATGATGACCTTTAGGTGGAGTGGGGAGTGCAGCCTGGTTGTAGGTGTTTCGGCAGGTTCTTGGTCTTGACGGCATTCTCCAATAGGGTGATTTGCTTGTTCCATGAGACTCGTCACAAAACAAGTGTTGGAGGAACACTGCTAGTTTTCAGGCAAATCTGTAGTCCTCATTATCTAGACGATGTTTCTGGACTGGTTGCTTGTCTCTTGCTCCGGGGGCTGATTTTACTTTCTGTGTCTCTTATCAAAATCTGACTGATGGGAGTTTGAACTTCAGTCTCTTATTGAAATCTGACTGGGGGAAGTTTTGAACTTTCTGGGCCAGGGTATCAAGGAGAGAAACACTGTTTTCAGACAAGTCTTAATCAGACAAATTTGTGTCAGGAATAATCTGGGCACTTTGGAATCGGAGAACTGGAGATTCTTGATTCTTAGCTTGATAAGTGAAATAATGCTCAATCCCATTCAGAGACACCTCTTATAAATTTGCTTGTGAATAAAAATTGTTTGTAAGAACAACACATTAAGTTATTATTTTATTATTATAAATTTTTGACAAAATCAAGACTTTACAGCCCGTCTTGAACCACTTTCCATATAAAATACTATAAAAACTTAAAAGTAATCATTTAAAGATAAAAACTTAAAGTAATCATGTAAACTGTAAAACAAAAAAGATATTTGAAATTTAACTTATAAGAAAAGAAAAAGTAAAATCAACATGATAAAATCTACAACCAACCCAAAAAACAAGAAAGATAAAATAGACGCGCAGACAAAAATTACACACAATAAAAAATACTTTAAAAATATGTACATATAAATTTAAAAGTGGGGAAAAAACTAGTAAATATAATTCTGAAAGATAGGAACAAAATAACAATAAACAATAATGGAAATGCACAATAAAACCAAATTACACACAAGTTATTCTATGGTATGTCACTGAGAAGTTCATTTCTTCATTTGAGACAATGGGGTCTCAAAATGGGTAGAGTTAAGAGAGAAATCATGGAAGTTTTGACCGGAGCCAAGTTACTCAGGCAGTGGGTTGTGTTAGGTTTTAAATACAATTATGGCTTTATATTTTAGATACCGACAGTGTTGGCACGGCATTTCCCATTCGCAAGTTGTGATGTAAAAGACTTAAATCTTCCCCATATTTTTTTAGTGAGTACTGCCTATCTTCAAAATTAGACCCTGTTAACATGGCATCACCTCTTCTGTAGGTTTATTACCATAACATTGGACTTCGGCCCCTCAAGTGTGAAAAATTGGGATATATAAAACATATCCATCCCCTCCCAACTGAAATTATTGTCTATCTGAGTGATGAAAACCTAAAAATTAATTTTAAGTTGGCCATACCAAGTTTTTAACTAGGAAATGCACTGTCATACCTTGTCTACTTCGGAAATTATGCAAACTAGTGTTAAACGCTTATTTTCATCCTTTTTTTGGTGGTAGTATTAATGTAAATTTCTTGACTATGCAACATGTAAATTTCAGTGAATATTTAGGTTTTGCCTTTCACCGAAGTATAAACACTGATTCAAATCAGCCAACTGATCCCGCAATCTTGATGGTTGAGTGGTATTAAAGATGTCTGCACTTGAAAGCAGGAGGTCGTGGGTTCTAGTCCCACCCAATCAAGTTTTTTTTCAACTTTCACTAGGGAGGTAACACACTGAGTATACAGTGTTTATACGTCAGTGAAGAGCAAAACCTAAATAATGATTTACATCACCTCGACGCAAATTCCATCTTATCAATAGTAAATTTCAGTGGTTGAATGAAATTTTACTATGAGATGTCGATGAAGAGGTCGACATTGTATACCAGATAAATGTCACATTATTGGGTTTTCAAAGGAAGATCAGTTGCTCCCCTCGCGCTCAGTTCCCATACCGAAACGTTCATGTAAACAATGCATTAGGTCATTATGTTGAACCTCTATTGTACAGGAAAATGTTGTGCGTGCATGAGCATGTTTGTTTTGGCCAAGTGGTTCATTTGTAGTCGTATTAATTTCAAAATAATGCCAAAATGTTTAAAAGCACTAAATGGCTCTACTTGTACAGTATAGGTCTCTCTCAAATGACGTCATTTCCTACAGACCAGCCCCATGCATCGACATTTTGAGCGTCACCTTGCATAACGCGCATTGGCTGCGTCGTATTTTGAACACATTTCGAGCAACAAGCACATGTTTGGAACATTTACAAAACTACACAGTTGCAGTTCTCCTACAGAGATGGCCATCTTTGAGAGGGATCTATTTGGTAGTTATAACAATCGTCCTTGGCTCAACCGTTGATGCACTCTCTGAGTTGGCTGATTTTGTGAAACAGTGGGAACTCTAGACGACAGATTTTTTTTTTTCTTTTTTCAAATCAAGATTGTTCATGTATTGTCAAAGTCTGGGCTTTTGTAATTTTTTGACAATTATTGACCTTAATTTTCTCAAAACCCGTTCATATATTAAGAAGGTTAAACATCACACATGTATGTACGGTAATCATAAAATGGCTATATTACAATGTTTATTTCTAAATGGGTGAAATGCACCAGAACCAGTCTTTGTTGATCTTGGTGTTGGTAAATTTGAATTGAAAGGATTACCAAGATGATGGAATAATGTTTATTTTCTAACTGATTTTATTGAACAGTAATCGTGCTTCATTGCAATAAAAAGAACTGCTTTGATTGTCAAATTGTTGAAGTTTTTACATTGTACAATGTACTTGAAATAAGTCTGAAGCATTTTGATCTTTTAGAACTTTATGTATTACAAAAATATTTCCAGAAATTGTACATCAACACATTTCACCATCTAAACCGCAAAGTTCCATTTACAGTCGACTCTCATTAGTACAAACTCTGTTAATACAAAATCTGGTTATAACAAACATAAAGCCTTGGTCCCGACTGTGCATTTATGTGCACAATGAATGGGACTGATGTTCCTTTTAAAGGGAATATACATCATTTGCTTTTACTGTAATTTTCAGAAATGGATGGAATTGGGGGGTTGGAAATATATAGCAAATATAGTTACACTGACTTTTTTGAGGTTTTGGGTTCGAAAATGCTATAAAAACCAAGAAAAACAATCATTTTCCTGTAGTCTGGTTCCCTGACTCCATATAAGAAGAAACAGAGCAGTTTACATACATTGGGGAATTGTAAGGTCAGGGAACCAGTCTAGCTGGCTCGTACCCGTTCATAGGTTTGTAATCGATTGCAAACAAGTGCGATGGTCAATTGGGGCCAGTATTTGAAAAAAAAGCCAGTTTTTTTCCAACGCTGATCGGCCGATCAGCGTTGGAAATTGATACAAAAATACCACTTTTCTTGAAAATGACAGTATACCAGATGATTTTACAGGATGCTTTACACTGTCATTCACTAACAGTCCAGCAAGGTATTTCAAAATGATTTGGTAGTTTTATTTTTTGATGTTTACAAATGTATTTTCCCTTTAATGCAAAATTCTGATACAACAAACAATTTGGACAAACTCGTTATAACGAGACTTGACTGTACTCATATCCCTGTGATCTTCCTGTTGTCCTAATTGACTTTTTTTAATAACCAATTCGGGAGAATAAGAAAACCGCATGGTATTTAGTTATGATTAAGATCATAGCATTTCTAAAATATAAAAAGAAAAGCAATTTGTTTTATCTTGCCAACTTGCTTGCAGTTATCAAAATTACTCAATTTTCGTTTCTTAATGATTTTACTCCATTAATATGTACATAGATCCTGTTGTATCAAAAATAAATATTAATGAAAAGTACATATTTACATTTGTCAGTGTTTTGTTTGTATTCGTTTTAACTTACTGTTAATTTACTGAAAGGTTTGGGAAGCTTGCAAGTCCTACAACAGTCAACATTACATAAAATCTGGATTTCTAACATTTCGAAGCATATAGGATTATTTGCTTTTCATGTTTTTTTGTTCATTCCAATAACATCACTCAAAATCCAAAGAATGTTCAAAACATAACCTGGTGAAATTTCAGCTCGGTGGATATTACACTTTTCAAGAAAACCATGCATGCACAACCTTTGATCACAAAACACAATTTCGTCCCTGGCAATGTTTATTTTGGAAAAATCACTTGCATTTCTTATTTAAATTTGAAAAAAACATCTGGTACACCGACTTGCTCAGAATGCTTGGCACATTTTAACTTTGAATTCTCCAGACCAAAGACACTGTTGCTAATCACATGATTCGGGGCAAGCTCTTGCATAGTTACGTAAGAGACGCTCAGCACCAATACATTCTTCACAATGGGTGAGAATGGAACAAAGACACCAGGCCATGCTGGAGCTGGGGATTGCTAGCATAAGGCTTGCCCCGAATCACATGATATAGTACGTCATTTTGGTCGGGAGAATGCAAACTTAAAACGCACAAAGCATTGGAGTAAGTCAGCGTTCCAGATTTTATTCAAATTTAGCTCGCAAATGGCTTATTAGATGCTTGTGTTTATCGGTTTTTTTTTATTCTGCGGATCACGTCGGAAGACAAGCCGCTTTCAATGTCTCCAGAGCCAGCTGGACTTTCTCATTCAATTTATCGGGATGATCTAGGAGTTGTCGTAGATGGGTTGCATCCATTTCGAGAAGCATACCTGCAATTGAAAATGAGTAGTAGTTGAAAACCTTTTATTAAATTCAAGCATGCAAATTTTTCTCATATCTGCTGATGTCCTTGTTTTTTTTTTAAACTTCTCATTTTTTTTTTAACTTCTCATCAATGCCATTACAAATTGAAAAAAATACTGTACAAAGTTTTCTGTGGTTTGGAATTTTCCTCTTAATTTCCAGTTGCATGCCTGATTAAAAGTGTAGTAAACTTTTCCTCCATTTTGATAATTTGTACATGTACATGTAATAAATGTACATGTAATATCCAAACACACTAAAAAGCCTTTTTTCTAGAAAATTAATATAAAATTATAAAATTGACTTGTGATTAACCCATGATTACTTGTACCAACGCCAAGTGCCTGTTACTCCTTATACCGCCTCAAACGGCCTCAGCACGCTGTGGTGTTATGGATTTATCAATGAGGACATACAGTGACAGTGCAATGTAATACAAGTACTAAAGGGTGAATTCCCCAATGTCATGGTTCTGCTTACAACCAAATTCAGCGTTTATGATCACAATTCTGCGCTTACAGCCTTTAAGCATAAAATAATTTCCGCTTAGCGTGGCAGCTCAGAATCCTTATGAATTTGCACAAGCTGAAAATCCTTAACCAAGAATTCTGTTAAAATTGGAACATGGTTTTCCTGCTGACGTTAACTGGTAAAGAAAAAAATTAATTTAACCAGTTAGCGCGGGATTATTTTTCACTCGACCTCAAGCCAGGCGGGGTGAAGCCATTACTCTCGGGCAGCACACTCATATTTCCGGCCTTGCTCACTGTGAGCAGGTCGCTGACAGATATTTCCGGCCTCGCACCCTGCGGGTTTATTCTTCATCCATTCCGAATACTGCAAAACTGTTTGCGTGTATGTCCGGCGCAAATGGGTTAAGAAGCAGAGCCATAAAAATGGGACCCCAATCAAAGTTTGTTACCGGTGAGTTTTGAAGCGAGCTCTGGGTGTGCCTCCTCAATGATGCAGTACAATTCCTCTCCGAGTTCTTGTTTCTCCTCATCCATCTCAATCCGATATCTTAATATGAAATCAATTATCGAGGAGTAAAAACAAGAAAGGATGTCAGATCAGATGTCAATTGTTTCTCAAAAGATCAGCTTTTGGTTTTAGGTGTTCTCAACTAAGAAACTCAAGTTCCAATGATCCATATCATTCTGAGTGTGCGTGATGAAGTGAGAAAACTCAAGTGGTTTTGCAAAGTCTGCGTTATTAACGATGGAGCAGGTTGAAATTGAAGACAAAAAATACATTTGTACCCATCTTCAGGTTGCTCTTGCAGCAGTGTTGCTGTTGCCTTCCGCACTGCCCTCTGCAGTTCTTGAGGCGACGCTAAGAGGCTGTTGATGGTATCTGGACTGAGCTCAAGAAGCATTCCTGAAAAGTTATCAGACATCAAAGACACATTTGTTACAGCTTTTGGAGAGGGCATGAAAAGCAGCCGTGTTTAAAGTCACGTCAATGTTAGTCAACAAAAAGTCAGGTCATCCAATCCAAAGTCTTTGCTTTCTATACCTGTGACTTTGGCACAGTGGTGTGAGCCGAGCTGCTGTACTTGGAAGTAAAGCTGTTCTCCCAAGCTGTCTTTAGCTGAGGCTTCGAGACAATTCCCCTCAGTCTTGGCACATCTAAGAAAACAATATGCAAATAGTTTTGGATGAGATCTTAACAGGTTGTCTTTGATTCCTACAGCAAACTAGCGTTTGCTTAAAGAAAGCCGGCGCAGCCACTAAACTTAATTATATATCAGTGGCTGTACAATGTACAGTTGATGTTCACAATGATCGTAAGCATAGAACTATATCAATAGCAGAACTATGAAAATGGATCTGAATGGTGGCCTTAGGATTGTTGATATGTCTGTTATGTCCCAACTACATGTAGGCCTATAGTATTGTCCCAACTATAGCCCGGTTCATATTTCACGCAAAAGTGAAAGCGAAGCAAAAATGTGTGACGTCAACAATAATAAGTTTGAAGCATCCACCACTGTTGACGACATGAATTTCGCTTCTCACTTGCTTTCACGTAAAGTATGAATATGGCTTTAACTTGGTACCGACCCAACTATAGTTGAGATGATCAAAACTGCAGTTGGGACCATTGCTATACAGTTGGGGCATAATAATGTGCAAATGAGAGGAGCTCTGTAGCCTTACTCCTCATCAATGACCCTCTTGGCCCCCTCCACCCGCCTCCTCAGAAGACCCTCGTCCTGCAGCATCCGCATCACTTCTTGGTTACCGGCCTCCAGCAGGATACCGGTGATGTGTGAGGCCTGTTGCGGGTACAGTTCTTCCACCTTGGTGAACAAATGCTCGCCTAGGATCTGCTTGGCATCTGGAAGATGGTCGTAATCTCCCGGCAACATCGTGACAATTATTTCTCGATGTGCAAAAGAGGTTCTTGGTCCTGTCTTCCAGCGTGGATTTGTTTATGACCGAACTGTCATCATGCTTTTCCAGTTTCTGGATGCTGAAAATAGGTTACAAATAGGTTATGTAATATTATTATCATGGAGGTACCATGGAGGAATAAGAATTCTTATTCCTCCATGGTAATATCACACAGCCGATAATGTGTACAGTGTAGTTCTTTATAGGGTATGTTTCCAGCTCTAGTGTTGTCCAGAGATTTTGTAGTAGCTTCACCAGTAACAGCTGTTCACGTCCGTCCGTTGAGCAGTTTGGATGTCATTGTCAGCTTTCACAATGATCAGATTGGAATTTCAGGAACCAGTCACTCTGCCAAGTATGACCACACTCTGTTTTGTTACTTTTTTTTTAAGCTCTATTTTATGTCCAAAAAACTCCAGTTGCTAGATTGCAAGTTGAAATATTTAAAGACCCGACCTTATTTGAAATGCATGAAAAAGTACTAAGAACATGGCCAATACTGTAAATATCTAACTGTAAAAAAAGTGTATCCCTCTCCAACAGCTCCTTTACTCAATTTCTGGTTCATATCCAAATGTGTCAACCCCCTCCCTTAATTCTCAACAACAACAACCCTACCTGCCTCTGGACAGACAGACCAGAAATTATAGAGCACGCCCTCTCGTGGCGTTTAAAAATCCTTGATGAAATTGGTGCGGCTCCCGCCGCGCACCTTTGCATCGCGGCCTTATGATAAGCAATTCCGCATACCAGACTAGTCCTTTTCGTTGCGGGACGTGAAAAGGTTGGAACATGTGCCTAAAAATGACCAATAAAGTATCTATTAATCCCCGCTTTTCGTCCATTTTAATGACAAATTATTAATTGATGTCAAAAATCATAAATTCTAGAATTGTTATGAGAGAGATTTATGTTGTAAGGTGTTTCAGAAGTGCCATTTTTTTTCGCATCTTGCAGTGTGTGCAATGTAAATTAGAAATGGCATGCAGTGTGGATGTTCTTGCCCAGTTTCCGGACAAGTGTTGTCCTGTTGGTAGAAATTAATATGTAGCATTGTTTTCACCATCTATAATCAGAATGAGGTAATCATGTAGTTTTGAACACCTCCCGGGAAGAATTTGGGAATAAATGTTGCAACATGACGCCACTTCCGCAATTGTGTACAAAGTCTATGGAGAGTCAAGAAATTTGTTTAAGAAGGCCTAGGCCTATTTCCTAATAAAATTGGAAATGTTTCTTAGTCCCAGATTCATGTCTTATCATCATTTTTGCAATTAATGACCTTCGTTTAGATGGCGTCAAAGTGTACTCCTAGAACTATGAGGCTCCACGTAGTGGAGCCTCATAGGTTCAGAAGCCCGCAAAATTGTTGTCAGCACAAAACACTAATTAAGTACAAAAACGTCCATCCCAAGCAGGCCGTTTTCCACAGAACCGCTGCACAGTTTGCCCCTAAACTCCATACAATACCTCATGACATACTCACGTTATGTGCACCCAACAAACATCGGTGGATTCTGTCTGTTTTTCGGCAAAAATGATGAAAAATATGCCCTTTCCGCACTGAGCCAACCTAACACTTGAAACGAGCACGCGTGCAGAATGATCGCAGTTATTTTCGGTTCGATCGCACTTGCACTTGTACGCATGTGCATACTATCGTTCCGCTCCTACACCATACCCCCCGCGGCGCGCTCCGAGCGATCGAACCGAAAATAACTGCGATCATTCTGCACGCGTGCTCGTTTCAAGTGTTAGGTTGGCTCAGTGCAGAAAGGGCATATTTTTCATCATTTTTGCCGAAAAACAGACAGAATCCACCGATGTTTGTTGGGTGCACATAACGTGAGTATGTCATGAGGTATTGTATGGAGTTTAGGGGCAAACTGTGCAGCGGTTCTGTGGAAAGCGGCCTGCTTGGGATGGACGTTTTTGTACTTAATTAGTGTTTTGTGCTGACAACAATTTTGCGGGCTTCTGAACCTATGAGGCTCCACTACGTGGAGCCTCATAGTTCTAGGAGTAGTCAAAGTGTTCGTTCTCTTATATTACCCAGAATGATGCAGGGTCATCGCGCTTATGTTTAAATGTGGGAGTGAGAAATGTTTGCCTTTTGGGCAATTGTTGGGAGAGCCCGACACCACCTTTCCAAATCCAAGACATTTCCAATTATCTGCATGGTATCCCAAACGGCAATTCATTTATGTTTTCAGAATCTATCCAGCAGTCATGAACAACGCGGCCCCTGACCTCCAGTGGATGATAATCCGCAACAACTCTTGCTTCCTCAAGAAGGGAAATGGCTTGACCTTCAGCTCTGTGAGAAATGTTTTGCTTTTTCAGAGTTTAAAAAATCTTTACCAGAAATTGGACCTCCGCTTTTAGGTTAAAACCTGGCAGTATAAATCTTCACCTTATTACAAATGTATAAATATATCATTTCATTCTCTTTATTCAGTGTAGGCCCAACCAATTTTGCGAAGTAGTACATGGTAGTACATGAAGGAACATTTTGTGCTTGTACCCTAACCCCCTGGGCCCTTTTTGCTACCAACCATCCTCAATCCTCCAAACTCCTCCAACATTTTGTATTTACAGTCGAGTCTCGTTAATACAAACTCGTTCGGACCTAGCCAAATTGTTTGTTATATCAGAATTTTGTATTAAGAAGGAACATCAGTCCCATTCATTGTGCACATAAATGCACAGTCAGGACCAAGGCTTTATGTTTGTTATAACCAGAATTTTGTATTAACAGAGTTTGTACTAACGAGAGTCGACTGTACATGTATGTTCAAGTGAAGGATACCCACTGCCTCAATCCTTCAAAATCCTCCAACACCCCTGCCTCAAAATGCATTCATCCTCAATCCTCCAAAATCCTCCTCTTCTTCAAACACCATTCATCGACAATCCTCCAAAATCAACTGATACTGAATGTCCATGTGCCCTTAATCCTCCACAATCCTCCAAAACCGCCTGGAGGACTTTGGAGGATTGAGGAGGGTCAGGTTTAAATTTAATCTAGCCTTGCTTCTTCATGACTAACTTAAGCAACCCCCCCCCCAAAAAAAAAATTATATTGTAATCTTAACTCTTTTCTATACTTCTAAAATCTTGTTTTATCATGGTTATTGTACTATTTGTCCCATGCGCAGGAGCCCAACAACCTGAAGAACAAGAACACCTTCAAGTTCAATGGGCTGATCCACAGGAAGGTTTGTACTTGCATTGCCATATTCTAAGCTAGTTCGGAGAACTCCCTCCTCTGTGAGATTTTGTTCTTTAATTAGCAAAGCACTTTTTCCCCTGAAAAAAGGCAATTTTTCCTCAATAAAGAACAATCTACACGAAGAGTAATTGTAGCATTTATGTCATGCTTATGATATAGGGAAGCTCAGTGGTTTAAGACCGAGACTCATTTGTTGATAGAGAGACCTTGTTGTTTTTGTAAACATTTCAGGCCGTTTCTCCTCTTGTTGTATTAATGAGAAAAAAAACCCATTACACAGGATGTTAATGATGTATCATTACAGTGATATTTGTTGGCTCTTTATCATTTTTCTCCAGACCGTTGGTATTGAGGCGGCCAAGGATGGCAAAGGTGTTGTTCTCGTCACCAAGAAAATCAGGGGAGGTGAGGCTCAATTTCTCTTCATTTTTTTTCTCGGACTTTATCGCTTGTTCATCACTACTCAACTTGAGATGTCTTACTGTTCTTCAAGAACAATGCAATGCATACTTTGATTATTTACTTGTCAGGAACTTTCATTTGGAGATTCAGGCCAAAATAGGGCCACTTCATCACATCACTTCATCACATCTCTTGGTGTTCTGACTTCCATAATTTTTGAACTAAAGATGGTACCAGCATGCGGTTTTCACAGCAGTAATGCTGAGATTGTGCTCTTTTCAAATCTCTAAAAAAAAAAAAAAAAATTGACCAGGGTTGATAAACGACTCATTTAGCTTGATCGCATCACCTTTTGTCAATCTCACCTTGGTTGTGTTGATATTCCTTTGTGCAGTGGCCAACAAGCCAGCCAAGCAGTACAGCCGTATTGAGCTGAAGAAGGACGCTCGTCGTACCCTGACCTCCATCCGCCATGTCCTCAAGAAGAACAAGTACCGCAGGGACATCAAGAACGTGAGTGGGCTTGTTAGAATCGGAGGAAAATATTTGCCAGGAGATACAACCTTGCTATCAAATCTTTCCCAAAAGCAGGCTTACTATGCCTGTTTTTGTTTCAAGCTACAGGTCTTGGAATTGTAATTAAAACACTGATAAGAAATGTTAACAATTACTGCAATTCCAAAATGTAACTGTCAAAAGTATTGTTGAAACTCTTACTTGGTTTAAAGATAGTAATGGTACTAAACTCCTTGTAAAATTATTCCTTCTGGCATGCTGTCATTTTGAAGAAAACAATTGCAGAAGGCCATTTCCAAAGATGCGTCAAGTAACATATTTTTGGAAATTTCGTTAGTAGTTGGTTTGTAATTTGGCGAATCTGTGAATGGGTGCACACAAGCGTTGACACGATGCACACGCGCGCGCGGTTGCTATTCGTTGGTTCAGTGCGTGACATCGCGTATAGCTGCAATCGGCTGAATGAGAACGTGTCCCAGATACTGATTTCAAGAGCAATTCAAAACATGACTGTGTAACTTTTTAATTGAAATCGAGATCCTACACTATTGTTTTCTCCAAATATACAGCATTGACTGAGCTAAAACTTCATCTGGTTAATGTCATTAGATTTTGAGCACTTTTGTTGCTTCAAAAGAAGAAAAATGCACAAATGACAAATGATCTACCTACCATTACAGCATTAATGGAAACCGTTGAACACAACCTCAGTTGTGCATGTTTTCAACAAAACAATTAAAATCAAATCCTTTGCTCACACATATGTGACCCGCTCCACAAAAATGAGTCTGTTGTGGCAAAACTGACATTTTGAGTTAACTACATTAATAAAATGGGAATGAAATAAGCTTTCATTTGGTATATCATGGGCCTCTCTAGGACATTTGGTTGTACTGTTGTGCCTTTTTTAATTCTGTCAAGTTTTTGCAAAGCAAGAAATGTCTCAATGAAGAAAAAAGGGTTTAAAAATTACAAATACACTGTAACTAACCAAGAAAAGCACCAACAATCATAAATTTGTTAGTCTTTTTCTTACAATATTTAAATTTCTGTGTAAGATATCTGAACTAAAACTATCAAACAACCAAAATAAAACAAAAACAAAAAATCCAAATTTTGAGCAAATTTTCACTGTTTCCATTTAAAAGTGGTAAAAGCTGGAATTCAAGCTATGCGACATCAGACTCATTTTTGCAGAGCGGGTCACATATGGCTATCGTACACAAATCTATTTTGCATTTGACATACAGATTGCCTTTTATTTAACCATAACTCTAGACACTTTTCAAAAAAAAGTAAAATAAAAAGGTGTACAGTACAGTCTCAGTACTTACAATTAGGACCCAAAGCCTTATTATAAAATTGATCGAAGATCGGCAGATTAAGGGTAGTAAGGAATATAAATCAGACTCGGGGACAACCATTTCCGAGGATAAAATGTGCAGGTCTGGTCAATATTTTTATAACACAAAAAAATACTCAACTTTTTTCTTGTGTACGTAGGCTGCACTGAGACGTGCCAGTGCCATCCTCCGCAGTCAGAAGCCGGTCATGCCACTCAGGAAGAAGCGAGGCTCACGCTCCAAGCGCCATTAGAATGCTCTCAATCATGGTACTACCCAAGAAGCACTGAAACCAACAGATTCGACTTAAATCACTTAATAATTTGCATAAAAGACTGCACATCTGGAATCTCATATGCAAAAATTGAAAAAAAAATCATAACATCTTTTGTTTTATATCAACTGGAGTGAGCAAGGAAGAGAGGCATCAATAAAAATCACACTGTATGTAAACAGAAAGAATTGCTTTCAATGTTGTCTTTATTCTGTTCTTCAGTTGTTGTTTTTTCTAAGTTGCAAGAGAGATTTACACATTATCTCAAACTTGCAAACTGCTGCTACACAAAATTAGAGTATTGTTCTTAGTGACAGGAGAATTTGAGATTGAAAAATATTAGCATAACCAGATTTTACAAACTGAATAAACCGAAGTTCCCATCACAGTCATGCCAACAAAAACTGACGAGTGTGGTGCCACATGGAATCGAAATCGAATAGCGAATCCCACCACTGATTGGTCTAGCAAAGGAAGCAATAGAAATATACACTCTTACAAGTTTTTTTTCCATCTCTATTCAATGATACCAGAACCTCAAAACTTGAATACTTTTTTTATAACCTCCACTTCATGGACTCGAGTGTGGTCTACATGTATGTAATCTCCTTCTGAAACGTCTGCAAGCCTACAATTCTCATGGGATTGCAATACAATCGAGGCATCCATATTTCCTAAACACTTCACACGACACCAGCATTGAATACCAAGTAGCAAATTTATGAACCCAGTTCTGTTGATCGTTAATTCACTGAACATTGCAAAAATTGTATACACAAGTAAATACAAAATTTAGGGAATTTCTCAAAATAATCCAATATCGCAAGTTAAACTATAGCTGCAAATAATTTACTAAGAGCACATCTGAACTACTTGGCCAGGTATAGACTCGGTGCACAGGTACCCCTTCAACAAGGGCGGATCCAGGGGGGGGGGGCAAAGAGGGCCATGGCCCCCCCCCCAAAACAAAACCAATTTTTAAATTTTTTTTTATGTGACATCGCAGGCAATGAGTACACCACCATCTTTACCTCAAAAAAAATTGGTTAAAGTGGTCAGAAATTGCCTCAGATCGCACCACAGAGCATCTAGAATCCCCCCAAAAAATTTGACCCACTTTTTGGGGGGACCAAATTTTTTTTGGCCCCTCCCCCCAAAAAATTGTGTTCTGGATCCGCCCTTGCCCCTCAATGGTCACAAAGGGAGAGTTGGCTGAGACCACTAGGAGGGACATTCAAACGCATTGCTGACATCGCCTGACACTCACACAGAGATGGTAAGGGTTTGTGCACATTCAGAATGAAATTAGTGACGCGTAGTTGGCGCCATACATGTTCACACGAGGTGTGTCCCTCCAACTGGGTTCTCGAAAGTTGTCAAAAAGCGCCATCTACTAGCGCACAGAGTCAATTCCACACACACCCATGTCTACGGAAAGTGTCTTCAGCAGCTTCCAATGGCACTTTAGGCAAGTTATTTGGATGGTTTGGTGATGTCAACTGGGTGCGAGTGGATCTTCATATCTAGGTAACCTGTCCAGGACGCTCTGTGCAAGCTGTCTGTAGGCTGCTGCCTGAGGACTCCCAGGGGAAGACACCACGATGGGACGACCCTCGTCCGACGTCTCCCTGATACCGATATGTAGTGGAATATCACCTGCGGTGGGAGATCAATTATGAAACAACACAAGGATTCAGTCATGATTGTAGTACCTGCTGAATTATCAAATTCAAAGCAGTCAGTCACCCTGGCAAGCTGGGTGATTTAAACATTGTTAAAACATTCCACAAGTCAAAAAGAGGTTGTGGGTTCGAGTCCCACTAAAGGTAGACCCGTGAACGTGGCTACATAGCCAAGCTCCGTTCATATCTCTGGACTTTCGCCATGTTCAATATCCCAGATGAAGACCTTCCATTTACAGTCACAAAATTTAACGAGCACTGCATGTTCAGTACTTACATAAAGGGTTATCCAAGAACTTCCAGTGGCATAGGATGTGTGATTTCAAAGAAATTTGAGGGAAAAATGGAGCCCAACACGAACGCGTACTTTAGAAATTTCGAAAGTCCAGAGATATGAACGGAGCTTGGCTATGTAGACATGGCAAAGTTGCTTGTCAAATTTTCTCCCCCGCTGTCAGGTAGACAGGACATTAATAAGGTTCAGCACACTCCATTTGTAAAATGCGTATTACAAATACTCCCCTTCCAAAGCTGTGATTTTCCATCAATTAAAAGCTTAAAAAATGAGCAAAATAATATATCTGTGCCGCTGGACCAACTGAGGTGAAAGCAACTGTGTTTGAATGTTAGGCTTCGGCCTTCACAGATATTTTATTGGCACTGCGTTCTCAGTGCTTTCTGAAAACCCTCACTAGCTTGTATCGACATGGAACTCCAACCCACTATAATTTTTTTTGACTAATACAGACATCTTGGAAGCAGACAACCGAGCTTGAACCGAAACTGCTACTATTTACTGAAGTATTGAGTTGAACTAAAACCGATTTGCTATTCACAGCTGCATACCTAATATTTCAAGTCCCATTTCCTTGGCCACAGCTTGTGCCCCGTCCTGGCCAAATATATGACTCTGGTGTCCGCAGTTGGGGCAGTGGAAGACACTCATGTTCTGCACCAGACCCAAAACCTAAAACAGACAAATATAAACCTTAAGTTAGTACCTGTTTGATTTCACATTCTCCCAACTGAAACCAACTGAATCCACTTCTACATCTTTGGAAAATAAATGAATTTGACGTTCTGCTTTTATAACAACAAACACATTTTCAAGTCGAACTTTCACAGTTTTCAAGATGTAACCGTTACTTACAGGTACACCCACTTTTCTAAACATCTCCGCCCCCTTTCTGGCATCCAGCAATGCTATGTCTTGAGGAGTGGAGACAATCACAGCGCCTGAAAACAGATTGGCAAACTAACGTATCTGATCATCCGAAGGGGTTGAAAAGTCTAAAAGGGACAAATTGTAGACGGGAAAAGTCTACATAAAGATGGGATGTTTTTTTTTTAATTTGGAAACAATCTTGAGAACTTGGGCTTTTGGTATCATTACACACAACCACATTTCAGACATCCTGAGACTAAGACAACCTCTGAGTGGCAATAATTTATTCATTTTTTAGATTTGGTTTTTGATCACCCCTACCTGATATTGGAATGAGCTGGGACATAGATAGCTGTGCATCTCCGGTGCCAGGGGGCATGTCCACTATCAAGTAGTCTAGGGGACCCCAAGCTACCTGTTGGTGGAGGGGGAATTAATCTGAATTAAACACACTGCCTCCAAGCACAAATGTCAGCAAATTTGTTGTCACCCCTTCCCCCACTGAGAATAGTCTGGCAACGCCCCTGGTGGGTTGTTTGCAATTTTTGTAACTCAGCACCTCCAAATAAATAACAGTTCTATAGTTCAGTACCTGTCGTATGAGTCTCTGTATGGCAGACATGACCATCAGACCCCTCCACACTATGGGGGATTTCTCGTCAGTAAGGAAGCCCATGGACATGCTGCAAAGGAAAGAAAATACTTCAACAGACCATCGTAAGCGCTGTGATTTAGTTTACTAATAAGAATGTTTTGAAATGCCAATTATTATTATTATTATTATTGTATCATCTGACACATTGATATGCCTGATATATGTGTTGGGCGTGATCAGTAGATCTGCCCTGTCCGTCTATCCTGTGAGAAAACTTAGACTTTCCCACCCTTTTTCAAAACAATACTCCAGGAACTGTGAATTGGAAAGAAAATGTGATCAATTGATGGATGCGCAATCAAACGATGAGGGCACATTCGACCGATAGCGCAGCGCGACCGATACGATCACGCCAAATAATGCTGATTTCACAGTCAGTTTTGAGTGACTGAAGAGAAAATCAACAATTCAACCTCCGAAATATTTCTGGTGCCTATCTGGCTGAGGTATCCCGCCCAAAATTGGCAGTCTACCCACTTGTTATTGTCTTTATTGGGATCTTGTCACAAGTCACGATATTGGCAATTAACAAGCTGAAAAGACAATTAACAAAATTTATCATTTCATTGGAAAACAACAATCATACTTTACCATGATATGCCAAAGTTTTGGAGGGGCTTCATCAAGTTATCTGCAAGAAAATTGTACAATGAAATGAAATTGAACAGGAAATGAAATTGAACAGGAATCAAAAATTATCTGGAATGAAATTGAGCACATATGCTTCATCCGCCATCCTAAAAACACAATTTTCTAATCATCCTGAAAAAAATCTATTCTTTAACCCTAACCCACCTCACTCCTCCAAAATCCTCCTGGCGGTTTTGGAGGATTCTAGAGGATTGAGGATGAATGGTGATTGAATCAAATGAGGATTCTGGAGGATTGAGGATGAATGGTGATTGAAGCACATGAGGATTTTGGAGGATTGAGGATGAATGGCGATTGAAGCACAAGAGGATTTTGGAGGATTGAGGATGGTTGTAAGCAACAAGGGCCTAGGGGGTTAGGGTTAAAACCCCAAAATCATAAAACTGTTGATGATGATTATCTGTTATGCCCCAACTTTAGTTGGGGTCATTGCTGTAGCTGCGGGCGTAACCCAAAGGGCAAACAAAGGTGCTGACTCGAGGGGCTTCTGTACTCCTAATACTTAGTACATACTTTTAGTGAGTTCTGGTTCCTGGCCACTGAGGTTCATCATCCGTGGAATGGAAGGTCCATAAACATCAGCATCAAGAAGACCAACAACTGCTGACTTCATGTACATGAAAAGAAAAGAATATGCAGCTTCACACAAACAGACAATTTTTTTTTAAGTTAGTGGGTGCTTATATAATTCTGCAAGAAGATAATAATTTTAGTGGACCAGGTTTTGCTCAAATTTTAGACGGGGTTTAAGGGTTTTCTTTGAATGATTTTTGTTTTACTTGAGGAGAGGGGTTTACCAAATACCATTATTATGAAGGTCGGCCCAATTTAATACACAATTTTTTTTTTTAAACAAGAACGAAAAGAAAAAACTGCTAACCTTTTTCACAGCTCCGATACCCAAGGCAAGATTTACTATAAAGAAAAAAACAGCAGAATATTTGAATTGAAATTTACTCTACAGGATAAGAACTAAGCTCAAATTTGATTGAAATCATTTTCATTAATAAAAAGGCTATTTCTGCACATCTTTTCTTCAGCAGAACAGAAGACTAAACACTGTGTACCTGCTGTGGTAGATTTGCCAACTCCTCCCTTCCCGGAGGCAACCAGGACGACTTGCTTGACGCCAGGGATGGGCCATTTCTTAGGAAGTCCTTTCCCTGTGTTTGTCTCGGGGCTCGTCCCAGCTCGCTGCTTCTGTCAATAGTTAAACAATGCTGAATGCAAATGACAAGCCACAAAGTGCCTTAAATATATGCAGTGGCTATCATTATGGCAGCCATAATGCGTATACGCGATTTTAAACTTCTACCATTACAAAACTGTCTGGTTTCCTGACCTATAGTATAGTAGTAGTATTTTACGTCAGGATCATTGGCGCAGAGAATGTTGCATCCTGACATGACGCCACTTTTTTCATCATTTATTATCTCAGTGAAGGTCAGTCATAATTGCAAACATGTTGAATAAGACATGAGGAAAGATACCATATCTGGCCATCACTTGTCACTCTGTGCACAAACCTATTACGTTAGTATGAGACTGGTGAAAATGCCTGTGTTTTTTTCAGTAGATGCTTCAACATTTTCCCTGCTAAATTTTACTTTTTATGACATAGTCATAGTCATAGCCATAGGCCTATTTATTATTATCACTCTCTAATGGCTGATAGGTTACTGCAGGGAAAAATTAGTGATGGCCAGATATGAATTTGGGACTGGAAACAATTCCAATTTTGTTAGAAAATACTTTGAAAATGCACTCAACTCTCCATATAAATACACTTTCCAGTTCACAACACGGCACCACTGCATGCACTTGACCAAACACAAAGAGTCAGACTTTATTTCCCTTTAAAAAATCATCTAATGCCATGCCATGGATAAAGACAAACGAAGAAGAAAATGAAGGTACTCACTTTCATAACATTTCGGCTGAATTTTCTGCTAAACAGCTGAATACACGATGTCTGAATTGGACCTTTTCCAAGGCAGCTGAAAAAAGATTCCATGGGCGCAGCCATATTTGTGTATGCACTATCTTGAACTATGGAGGGCGCTATACATACACTTAGATTCATGCATTTGCGTTTGAAGGGCACGCCCACTGAGCACCTTCAATTGATATGGCTAAAAAAACAACAAAGAACAATTTTCAGTAAATAAGTTTCCCAAAAATGTGCCCTTTGAAAAGTTGACTTCATTTGTACCACTTGATTAATAATGAAACTGAATTGCTAAATGTGAAAACTTAAATTCTCAGCTGTGAAGGTTTGTTGTGGCTTTTGCGAGTCAACACACATTTGGCACACTTAGGTACTCGAGTCGACACTCTTCAAAACATCATTAACCTCAAATTATTTGACAGAACTTTGCTTTTGTTTGCATCGTAACAAAATTTATTACTAGCAATCATTTCAAAATCACTTCTACACATAATAAATGCACACATTTAATACAATACTTAAAATCTGCCACTACCACAATATAATAATGCAGCTACAACGAACATGAAATGCACAAAAAGACATTAGCGATAATTGCTATCTTATACTAAATTAGCATATATAACAATTGGGATGCTAAAAGAGACTTTGATTTCTTACATGAGAAGAACGATTACCAATAAATGATTGTAAAAAGTTGATAATTTTGATAATGACAATATCTTAAATACTTTTTTTAATCAATTAGGGGCAAATTTCTAACATGGAATAAAGAAGTAGTAAACAAAAGTCCTTTCTAGTAAGAAATAAAGTAAAAGTAAAGTAAACTTAAAGAATACCATATTGTATATCATATTGTACTGTAAAACAAAGGCAAATTAACTGTATTTAATTGCAGTACCCTGTCACTTTAGTATTATTATGACCATGGTTTGGTTTCATTTGTAGAGTTAATTTGATGTCGGTCTAACCTTTGGAAATTATGCAATCGATTAGTCCGCCATATTTTTTTTAGTGAATGAGTAAATATTTTATCAATTATTTTCAAATGTGAAACATTTGTGAGTAAAATAGCTTAACCAATTCACGCCACGTAGCAGGCCCTGATATTTCCGGCCTCGCTCGCTGCGCGCGGGGTGCAAACAGATATTTCCTGCCTCGCTCGTAATCTGTAATCCGTTCCAAATACCGCAAAACCTTTGCGTTTATAAACATCATCTAAGGCCAAAAAAAAAAAAAAAAATAGTTCTGCTTCCGATTACATGGCATTTGAAAATAGGGTAGGTAGGTAGGGAATTATTTATTTTTTTTTTTGCCAATTTTTTGTGTGGACGATCGTATGGAGGCGTCTGCGTGTAGTCAAGAGTAAAAGGTAGAAATTGATGGTTTTGGGTTTATTTGCTCATGTTCCCCATAAAAAGAATAGGGTAGGGGCTGTCAGAATAGGGTTGGTAGGGAAACCGGAAGCAGAACTATTTTTTTAAGCCTAATGTGAAACCAGTTAATCCCAGTTGATTTAGGAGGGTCAAAATATACTGAGTTTTTTTATAGATATAAACAACATTCATCAATAACATAAACACGACAATGTATGTACAAGTTTAGATTAAAACATCTTAAAACTACAGCCCACTTCGGGCTTAGTGAGAATTTGAAAGCAAAACAAATTAATTACAGGGTTACGATCGACACAAAAATCGTCAAGAAGGAGGTTCACTTTATGTCATGAATTCACTTCACTTTCATGTTTACACAAAGTATGACATGAATAGCTGACGGTGGCACTACATCTAGAATAATACTTTTACAGGTACCACAGACAGATACAAGGTATATAACTGTATTTAAAATGTAAACATCAATTCACTAAGGCCAAAAAAAAAAAGTCTCCGGTTTCTGGTATGGAGCTTGCCCAAAAAGTGGTGCGGCGAAGCGGCTTTGTTTTTTTTTTTTACCTGATTTTTTTGCTTCAAATGTCGGCTGATGACTGCAAATGGTGCCCGACAAAACTTAGTGCAAATATATGGGAGTCCAGAGAGGCCGCATAAAGCTTATTCTCGACCATAACCCAATCTAAAAACACGTTAAAATTGTGCAGCAGCAGGATTCCAGTCAAACCAGTGAGTTTGGCGGTTTTGATACATCATCTTTCATTGAAAAAAAAACTTTTTCATTTTGCCGACGCGCATGGCTACGGCGACGCGCGCGCATACCAAAAACCGGAGACTTTTTTTTTTGGCCTAACGGTAGTGTTTTTTTTTATTATATGGAAGAATTAGATTAAATGAAACACATGTAGGAAAGAATGTAACATCCTGACGCCACTTTTTTTCATCATAATCTCCATTAAGGTCAGTCATTGCAACAATGTTGAAAAGACATGAATCTGCGACTGAGAAACATTTCTAATTTTGTTAGAAAGTATTTCGAAAATGTACTTGACTCTCCATAGACTTTGCAAATGACGCAACCAAAGAAGTGGCGTATGGATACTACTTTTCTTCTCACGTTTACTCTATGTGAATTTCTCAAGTATCATTTTAAGTCCAAAAACTACAATTGCACCCTTTTGAAATAACTGCACTTATACACGAGGTTTCTGTTAAATTTATAATCATGCTGCTGTTTGAAACAAGAGTTAATATGCAAATCATCTATGGAGCCTGATGTAAACAAATCTTCATCAACTTGATCAAGATTTTATGTACAATCTGAGCTGATTTTATTGAACCATTTTGTTGGTTTCAAATGAGGCTATTCATGTCAAAGGCCAATACAGTGGGATATGGGGACAAACTGGGTTGCAAAAGTCATGAATCCAATATTCATTCAAAACCAGGGCCAAATGTTGAGGCTGTTTCCATGGCAAAAGTATTTTTGCAAACTTAAATAAGCTTAAAATTCAGCATCAAATTTTACCAGGATTGTCATTTTGAATAGGACTAAAATCTCCATCTAAAGTTTTAGTTTCAGAACAATCAAATATCAGCCAATGAACTAAGGTGGGTTTTCACTTTTCCCTTGTTTCAATTTTTCATTTATTTCCCCTAAAACCATTTTTATTTTACACTTTTTAAAAATACATCATTTATTCTCCGACAGCTCCCTCTGAAAAAGTAAATACATGTTTACGAGACAACAAGGTTACATATGGAATATGATATAATAGCTATATTACATTTATCTTTGTGACGTTCAAGATAGGGGACTCCTCCATTTTCAACCAAGGGATGCATAATTGATGATGGGTTGGTCCACTCACCATGTAGGGGAGTCTATGCTTGATCCTTTGGTGCCTTGTCGGTGACTGACCGCTTAGACTCTGGTGGCAGTGATCGCCTGCAAGATGTGAAGAAAAAAATTGAGAAATTATTCAATGCCGTAACGGGGGAAAATGACGAACTTAACAAAGTTTTTGAATACAAAGAAGACTTCAATTTCAAAAAAATCCTGAAAGCAACTTGTAATGGGAGAATAAGGCTTTTTAAAATTCTGGCGATGAGTGGTGAGAAGTAAATTACATCAAAGAACAATGTCAGCAACAGTACTTGGAGAAAGAACATAAAAGGGATGTTTACAATAACAAAGAACAACATCCTAAAGAGGAAAAACCCAGTCCACATCGTAAACCAGATTTATCATTAGAAGAAGAAAATATCTCTACAGGGTGATGCAAAAACGAGAAGGAAACCCACTTTTGACAAAAACGTTCACCTACATACTTACTAAACCTATTTGAACTTTTTTTATACTGTAGTGAAGTGTAGCTCTTCAACCATACATGGCGATTTTTTTTTAAACCCCAAGAAAAGTGTTTTGTCAATTTGAATACAAGTCACCAAAATCACTGTACTCCACACGTGTACAAGTCTAATGTATTTTTTTTCTTCTCCAAATCAAGCTCCGGAGAAACAAGTTTGGCACATGAACGTTTAAACTACCATATCTCAGAGACAAAATATGCATTTGTAATCGTTTTTTTCGTCACTTATGTTTAAAGATCAATATTTTAATATCATTCAATTGAATTTTGAACTATGCTCAACAAGTAGGTGGAAATTGCTGTCAAAAGTGGGTTTCCTTCTTTTTGCACCGCCCTGTACAGTATTATGTATAGCTTATGTCTGATAAGACTAAAAGAGAAAAGAAAAATTACATTTTTCAGAATTTTTTTTTTCTGATGGAAATCAACTGTCACATGGTAAAAATAAACTTTTTGTTTAGAGAGCACACTACTGTAAGCTTGAGGGCCTAACATTTGTGTTACATCCCAACTACAGCATCGTCCCAACTACAGTTGGGACAATCCCAACCACAGTTAGGATCATCTAAACTATAAATAGGAATTCCCCAACAATAGTTGGGACTGTCCCAACTATAGTTGTGACCATGGCCATAGCGGTTAAGAACACCGGACTCATGTTCTGGTGTTTCAGAGGCAACAGTGACGTGGGTTCGAGCCCGCCGGCGGACACTTGTGCTCTTAAGCAAGGCACTTAACCATTATTGCTTCGTCCTTCGGATGGGACGTTAAGCCGTAGGTCCCGTGTGTTGTATAAATGCATGTAAAAGAACCCAGTAAACACTTATCGCTAAGAGAAGGGGTTTGCCCCGGTGTTTCTGGCCTCCTGTATAAACTCCCACGTGGAGTATTTAGGAGAAGAACCAACCAAGAACCAAGAACCATACTTGGGGCCTAACATCTACAATGCTTACCTCGGAGATGTTGACACCGGTCATATTCTCCACCAGCTGAGGCACACGGTTCATGATGTCCATGACCTCGCCGGTCAGCTTGGAGGCTCCCACGTCTCCCTTGCCGCTGGACACCATAGTGATCTTGTTGACCTGGGCCAGCGGAGCGGCGACCTCGGCAGCAATCTGAGGGGGGTTGGGAGTAAAGAGTTGTAGCGAATTGAATTACAAGTTGATCACATGGTGATCACATGTCAGTCTGAAGCCAGTTACATGTTGATCACATGGTGATCACATGTCAGTCTGAAGCCAGTTACATGTTGATCACATGGTGATCACATGTCAGTCTGAAGCCAGTTACATGTTGATCACATGGTGATCACATGTCAGTCTGAAGCCAGTTACATGTTGATCACATGGTGATCACATGTCAGTCTGAAGCCAGTTACATGTTGATCACATGGTGATCACATGTCAGGCTGAAGCCAGTTACATGGTGATCACATGTCAGTCTGAAGCCAGTTACATGTTGATCACATGGTGATCACATGTCAGGCTGAAGCCAGTTACATGGTGATCACATGTCAGTCTGAAGCCAGTTACATGTTGATCACATGGTGATCACATGTCAGTCTGAAGCCAGTTACATGTTGATCACATGTCACTCACAAGTCCATCATATGTCAATCACAAGTCGAACAAAGCTTCTGCAGGGTTACTAGCCGATACGAACCTTTGGTAATGTTTCCAACACCATGTCCACCATGGCAGCATCCTGGTAGTCCTTCCAAGCATCAGCCTTCTTGGCCATTTGCTCCGCCTCTGCCTTGGCCTTCTCCTCGATGGCAAAGGCCTCAGCCTCACCCTTCAGCTGTGAAAGACACAAAACAAAATGTACACGATGTAGCACACTTACAATATACGCCGATTTTGGAGTGTTTTAAATTAAAGGAAAGTTACTGCAGGTGGCCAAAAATCCAACAGTGCATTGTGGGAAAATAACACCTGCTCATCTGACTGAAAACATTTAGAGTTTAATAACAACAGTATGTGTATTTATACAGTGCACGTATCCACCAGTATTGGTGCTCAAGGCACTACATCATTATTACCCTGCTCATTGGGCCAATGAAACATTCCAAATACCATCTCGGCTCCCTGGGGAGTATACAGCTCGATGCTGCCATTTTGACGCACAGCAGCTAAAATCAACTACAATCACCTTCTCTGCCCTCACAGGTACCCGTTTACTCCTGGGTGGAGAGGGGCAATGAGTGACAAAGTGCCTTAACCAAGGGCACATCACATGAATTCCCCCACTTCATTCCTCCCAACCACGAGGCCTTAAGCGAGGGGTACTACTCCAATCAGGGGCGTTGCCAGACCAATTTGAAGGGGGGTGACAACAGTTTGCTGATAGGCCATCCGTGCTGGATGGTAGCTTGGAATTTTTTTCCAGTCACCAGGCCGCCCCAAAATCAAAAAGGGGGAGAGAGAGACAATGGCGGACACCATCTGGCAGATGTCCTTGGAGACTATTCGACAATGGGTGGCGTTATTCGTTACAGCATATTTGCAGACAAACACGCGATTTTGCCAACAGGACAAAAATTTCACCAACAATTACATTCCTCGTCTAGCAACGGCCATGACTCCAACTTGATATTCACAAGCTCTTCAAGTTTTGAAATACTCCCTGAATAAACGAGGACGTAACCCGGGCCTTACCTGGATCGCCTCAGCAGTTGCTTCTGCCTCCATCACGACACGCTTCCTGCAATCAAGAAAACAAACATAAACCGTGCAATAAGTCAAACCGAAGCAGGGGTGTAAATCCCAGGGGGATGAGGGTTATGTATAACTCCCACTTTTTTCCTCATGGGGGGGGGGGGGGGGGGTTAGCTACTGGATCATCCTTCCCCTCAACAAGAATCTTAAGACTTACATGTTAGCATCAGCGAGGGTTTCCAGCCTGTATCTCTCTGCCTCGGCCGGCTGCTTGACCTGGGCCTTCAGTTCCTTCTCTCTGCGGGAAATCTCCTGCTCCTGTACCTGGATCTGCTGCGTGCGTTCCACCACGCGGATCTGCATCTGCTCTTCCTTGATACGCTGCTTGGTCTTGGCAGCCTAGAAAAAAACAAAAAGGTGTTTACATTTTTTATGTTGCATTCTACGCCAAGGCCAGCTTGTGACAGTATGGACTCTTTGTGTGGATCATGCAAATGAGTTCGCTTCATTCAAATCTTGCAAGCAATACACTCTTGTGAGCATAAATGCCTGACGTAGAAATATAATAATAATTTGGGAGGCTAATCATCCTTACTCGCAGCTGGTATGCTGAATTGCGAAGGACGCGGCTACAACGTGGTCGGGACGCTGGCACGTAAAGGCGCCCATGGCTGCCGGCCACATCAACCCATATATGACCACGGAGCACAGCCTGAGATCGAAAGTGTTTGATTTTTCCGGAGGGCCGGGAGAAAAACCCTTGTGGCACAGGAGAGAACCAACGCACAACTCTACTCACATGCGATTCGCGGCCAGGATTCGAACCATGGTCACCTTGGTGAGAGGCGAGCGCTTTACGCAAAAGCCACCCATGCCACCCAGAAACAGTACACAATATAAGTGAGAAATTTGTTTCAAAAAAACTGTGGCGCATATTGTATAATGAATCCTTAGCTTACTGAGATTTTATTTCATAATTTTTGTCTCCACATTATTGACAAATGACCACATTAATCAATCCCAGGTATTTATTTATCCACAACACCAATCCACAAATCTGTTAATCCACTAATCTGCTGGTCCACTAATCCGCTGGTCCACTAATCCGCTGAATGATCAACATGTCCTACCTGCAGGTCATAGGCCAGTTCCGAGTCCGCCTTCTTGGTCTGCACCTCCATGTCGTACGCAGCCTTCTTCAGCTCAAAGTCCCTCTTGGCTTTAGCGATTTCGACGTCGTTGGCATAGCGCGCAGCCATCCTCTCCTCCTCAGCACGGGCTTCCTGCAAAGAAAAAAAATATAGCAATGAAATATCAATACAGAATTATAAACTGGTGTATTGAGTTATCGATTAATTATCAATACAAACTATTAACTGCTGTAATAACTCAATAAACATGGTGTACCTTTTTAATTTTAATTCAATGTTAATGCAATGTCCATTACTGGACACATCGTGGTACTTATGCCTTGGTATACAGCACAATAATACTTTTCTTGCCTTCCACCTCTATTGAACCAGGTTCGAATCCCACCCGGTGTACTTTTCCAACTCGGTGTCAAGTCCCTACTGGAGATGCATGGTCTTCCCTCAACCTCGTTATACTAACACCCTAAGAAAAACTTCATGAATCCTTTAACCCTCCTGCTATTTAAACAGTCACAGACAGTCAAACTTTCCATTCCTTTCCCCTGTTATACTTTTAACACAGGCTAGTCACCAGCAGTCAGATCATAATGTCAAGCAAGCACTGTGACTAGTCAAACTCAATCAACAGACCATGAACAGACAAAGCAGGCAAGTTGTGGGCACACCTGGCTCATCAATTACCCACAGCCAAAGCAAAGCTGTATTGAGTTACATAAAGAGTCAAGACCAGTCAATCCTGCTTTATGTAGGCTGGGATTTCTTAACTGTTGAAAACAGTTACTTGATTGATTTTGACTGAAAGGACAACTTGGCACAGAAAGTATGTTTGCATAGGAAGGATAATGAAAGTGTGAAAGTAAAGGAGAGTCCGATTGACGCGGTGGTTCTTTCCTCGCCTTCCACCTCTATGGCCCGGGTTCGATTCCTACCCTGAATATTCTTCTGAGGGTTTCCCTCCCACTCTAAAACTGTAATATCTTCTCATCGTTTTCTCTGAACAGCTTCTCAGGCTAGACAGCTACAGTACCTAGGGCGCTTTTGAGGAATCCTTGGTTTCATTACCAGAAATAAACAATAATGAGTGATAATGAAATACATTCAAAGAGCAAGGGTTATTCAACGGCAAAATAAAATAACAATTTGACAAACCTTGATACCGGAGTCTCTCTTGGCTTCAGCCTCACCTATCCTGGCATCTCGGTGCACCTCGGCAGTACGAGCCAAGCCCAACGCTTTCAGGTATCCCTGCAGATAACAAAGATATTCACATGACACTAATCTGACCCGATTTATCGCATCCACTTAGCATGACAACACACTCGAGTCAATAGCTCCGAGACATGATGACGTCACGGTCTTGGGAGCCAGGTGGGGAGGGGAGCCACCTACAATCCCGGCCAAAATGGTTGGGACACTTCCTGAGCCTGCCACGGTCACCCACTCCCCCGCTCCCCCGGTCAATGTTGTTCTCTCCAGCTGATGGAGCACACACCGCGCAATGAGAGACAACATTGAACGGGGGCCGGGGGGTTGGGGGCCCAGCGAGATTTGGCCAGGATTGTAGCTCCCATAGGAAAGCACACATGTAAACAAAGAGCAACATCATTATGTCTCAGGTCTATTTTTCTAGCTGATTCCTTGAGCATAAGATGAGCAATATAGATTCCTTGGATAGGCCCCCCCCCCCCCCCCCCCCGAATGGTGATAAAGAAAGGAATAAAACTGACACTTGAACGCCATTTTCACCAAGCTGTCGGTACCTATAAGCAAAAACACTACAGGATTCTGGTTATTCAGATGAGAGTTAGTTAAACTTTCTTTGCACCACATGTGCAAAATGCCCTCAAGCCGTGTAGCCCTTATGTTGGAGGTCTTGCCCCAATTTCATGGTTCTGCTAACCACATAATTTTGCTAACCCTGTCAGCACAGAATCATAAGTTACAGGATTTATGCATGCACAGAAGCCAAAATTCCTCGCTTACTTGTGAAATACGCTTACCGTAAGCATGGAATTGTTCGTTATAGTAAGCAAGGTTTTTTCACTAATTGTAAACAGAGCCATGAAATCGGGCCCTTGTGAATGATCACACAGGGACATCTGTTCCAGCAACAATCATCCCATAACATGTTAGCTGCTAAGGCTTATAACTTTTTTGTATGACTTCTGGATGCTACTACATGGGAACTTACATTTTCATCTCGGACGTCCTTGAGGGTGTAGCTGACCACGCTGATGCCCATGTTCACCAAGTCGGAAGAGGCCACCTCAAACACATTCTTGGCAAACTTCTTGCGGTCCTTATAAATCTCCTACACAAGACAGAAATCAGAATATATCCATGTGTTAACCTTAACGCTCCTGGGTATTTTTTTTACAAGAAAACCCTGCTAAATGCAGCATTATGCAAAATTTGTCAAAATGGCCGATGTCTCATTCAAAAGTGAATAGCTTCTGTTTTGATAGAAAAAATAGCAGTTTAGAAAAAAAATTCCTTTTTCGGGATGAAACTTGAAGCACGTGATTGGTTCTCCAGTATGCCGGCTTTAGAAAGCAGTGCCTATTAGCATGCTGTTTAAATTTAGTTGGGAAAGAATGTAGTATCCAGACGCCACTTCTTTGGTTGTGTAAAAAGTCTACGTAGTGTCGAGTGCATTTTCAAAGTATTTTCTAACAAAATTGGAAATGTTTCTCAGTCCCGGATTCATGTCTTTTCAACATTTTTGGAATGACTGACCTTCATTGAGATGATAGGTTCATGAAAAAAGTGGGTCAGGATGCAACATTCTTTTCGTAAGTTGACCCTACAACACAGGTCGTAAGGATAACAATGCACTGCTTGACCTCTGACTCTACACGTGAATATGATAATAAGACAGGGTGCGGACTAACCTCAACTGTCATCGTCCCCATGATGGCCCTCTGGTGACCCTCCAGTGTTTCCATGGCAACCATTTCAACTTCGTGCTCAGTTTTGCCCAGGAATTGCTGGCAGGCCTGCAGGAGCATGTCTTTGTTCTGTCCTTGAACTTTGACCTACGAGAGACAAAACAAAGGGTAGAATTCAAATACTTTTTTGGAACACCCTAATGGCTGGAATTTGAATGCTGTTGGACAATTCATTTTACAACCATGTACATGCAAATGGGAAATCACAAATACGAAAAAAAACACTGTTATTTATGGTACACTGGGAACACAAATGGCAATACCAATCAATATATTAAACAAATGAACATTTGACTTGGTTAAATTGGAATGTAAATACAGCATTTGTTTCAACATGATATCTTGTGAGTTTTGTGATAAACCACCTACATGTAGGCCACTGGTCTAGTTCAATTCATAGACAGCAAATAGAACAGGTATTTTATAGCTGGACTGAGTTTGGTAACCGGTCACTTTGGCACCTTGCCAACTCAGCACCCACCAACTCGACCAGAAAGTAATACCTATGACGATTTCAGGGATTTTTCCAAAGAAAACAGGGACGAATAACTGATTATTTGGGGACAGACCATGGTTTGGGGAGGTCAGGTGCCAAGTTGGTCAGGTGCAGAGTTGGCTAGGTGCCGAGTTGACTAGGTGTCGAGTTGACTAGGTGCCGAGTTGGCAAGGTGCCGAGTTGGCAGGGTGCCGAGTTGGCCAGGTGCCGAGTTGGCTAGGTGCCGAGTTGACTAGGTGTCGAGTTGACTAGGTGCCGAGTTGGCAGGGTGCCGAGTTGGCAGGGTGCCGAGTTGGCAGGTGCCAAGTTGGCTAGGTGCCGACTAGGTGCCGAGTTGACTAGGTGCCGAGTTGACTAGGTGCCGAGTTGGCTAGGTGCCGAGTTGGCAAGGTGCCGAGTTGGCAGGTGCCAAGTTGGCTAGGTGCCGAAGTGACCGACATTCCTGGGTTCATTGGTACAGTAGGTGTTATGAACCTGACGAGTATTTTTTTCAAAACCAAATATAATCCAGGGAAAATCTCAGTTTTCTGAGGGGGGGGGGGGGGGGGGGGGGGAGAGAGGGAAGGGGAAGGGGAGGGGGGCAAGGGAGGGATGTCTTATCACAAACCTGGGCAATTCCTGTGACGGATATGGGCACACCGAGGCGGGTATAGACATTATCAGTGTCAATCTTCAGCGTCATGGTGTTCAGTGACAGCTTCTGGATCTGCTGAATCCATGGCCAGACAAAAGTCCGCCCTCCGGAGACCAGAAGCGGTTTGGAGTGGCAGCAACCTGGGGCAGGCATGAAGATCAGAATGTTTATTTGTTTGAATTTTTCCATATTTATACATATATTCATAATCATATGCCCAGTAACGTTTGATTGTAAAGGTGATTTTGGGGCAATAAACAAATTTTTGACTCTAATTTGATCCAAACAAAACAGGGTCCCGGCCCTACACTACACGATCACAATCGCAAAGCAAGGAAACAGCACTAGGCATGCTAGGGCTAGGCCTATATGGTGAACAAAAGTGGCGCCAGGATGAAAGTGAAACTGCAATGCATACGGAAAGATTCCCATATCTGGCCAACAGTATTTTTTAGTGTCAGTAATTCCTAAAAAGTCACAATTAGCAGGGACAAATTTGTAATTTTTACTGAGAAAACACTTTTTCAGACCAGTCCCATAGGGTTCCTGCACAGGTTGACAAGTGATGGCCAGATATGGGAATCTTTCCCTGCATACTATGCTTAATATCGCAACTGGTGAATAGCATTAGCAACATCAATGTTTTCCAGTGATGACTCATTTTCCAGGTTTTTTCCACGGTATTTTCTGCAAATGTTTTCAGTCTGAAAAGCACTGTATCCATTCCAAAATTAAACTAAGACTGCAAGTAAGCTTACCCGATACTACCATTGCCTCATTGGGCCCACAAACTTCGAAAAATACCATTTTGATGTCTTCTTGGAGCGAAGAAAGCTCAGAGCTGAAAAAAATTCGCAGAGAGAAATGTAAACAGAATTTTCCACAACCCAACCCTAGCGCGCAGAACCGATACTGATCAATAACATGATAAATCAATACATATTTACTTACCTTGATCTAAAGTGTTGCAATTAACAGAAAAATAATCATTATATACAAACTTTAAAATTTTGACAAAAGAGATAAATCATATCTTTAATTTCCATCCTTTCAATTTTGAAAAATAAAATGTGAAAAAAAAATTATATACTTTCGTGACGAAAATAAAAGCGCAGGGTATGCAACCTCGTCCCCAGTGCTTACTTTATTTCCAACCGCGTTTCCAAGAGCAGGTAGTGGTGGGCGCGTACTGCTCGACACCCTGGGGACGAGGTTGCAGGGTATGGTATATGGTAAAGGTCAAAGGTCCGACGCGATGATTATCGATTATCGGCATTGATCTCCATATGGAGATCAATGATTATCGGATTGCGTACAGCGTGGTACCAAAATTAGTTTCGCACAACTCAAGCAGATTTGTACACTGGGCACCAAACAATAGGTCACGATAGCCTCCTTTCAAGACCTGCACTGTTTCCTGTATTTAGAACGTACTCAGATCATCACACGTACGCAGCAGCTGAAGGGAAGTTAACTGATGCATTTCTTTATTTTTTTTTAGCTTAACGACATACACCCTGTTTTTGTATTGATACTTCATCCAGAAAATGCATTTGGCCCCAGATATACAACATGGAACGCCACTGCCTTGTGACTGAATAATAAAATGATTTGACAGACTTTGAAAAGTTTTCTTAACTCCCAATATCTGCGACATTGTTTTTTTCTGTGTGCGATCTTGAGGGGTATTAAAAATGTGAGTCAATCAATATATGATTAGATTTACCTTGTTGATGATATTGTATTTTTGTTGTTCACTGTGCCTGTAAATTGTGATGTTTTATTTTGCACCTAGGGTGAAAATGCTTCCTACCTGGTACTCTATGTTTATAGTTTATACACAGTGAAACAAATGTTCATCTGCAAGTTCGAAAAAAAATCAAATAGCCGTCGAAAACATATCACCATCTACACGTTAGAAATCCCAAGCCTTTGTTTTTACAACTATATTTCCAAACGTTCAAATACATTCAGATTCAGATTAACTTATATTAATTAAAACAAAAATGACAGATAGTGGAATAATATTTTAAATTTCAACGTGTAGATGGTGATATAATAATCAATAAAATAAATCAAGAAAGTCACAGTGCATACATAAGACCATCATTCCCCTTTTTTTACCCGTTAAAGACGGAATCTGTATAGCTGTTACGCCCCAACTAGTGCGGCAGTTGGGTCGGCCCAACTATAGTTAGGACTGGAGTTGCGCCGGATGCTTCATGCTTGATAGATCTTTTTGGATTAAATGTTCCGCGCGGCGCTGGCACTGTGTATTCGTCGTGCATGCATGCCGCAAGCTGGCCGGTCACGTGGTACTGCCTAGTTGGATCATAGAGCAAGGACATGCTCTATGGTTGGATGAGTTGTCCAGCTGCTGGGTTTTATTGTCCAGCAACATTTTGCAAAATTCAAAGATTGCCATGGCCGGCCAACTAGACTATAGATTGGCCCCACCCATAGCTAATGTCAAAGGTCCCAAGTAAAGTCGGACAGTATGTAACACTGTAGGGAATGTTTTATAGTCGTACATCAATGTAAACTATAGTTGGGACCGCCAAATAAAAATATTGCGGTACGTGGCCCAACTACAGATGGTCCCCACCCATAGATAATTTCATTGGTCCCAAGTAAAGTCAGATGTGTATTAGAGTTGTAGGGAATGTTTTATAATCGTACAACAATGTACACTATAGTTGGGACCGCAAAATAAAAAGATTGGAGTGGCCCAACTATAGATTCGCCCCATCAATAACTAATTTCAGTGGTCCCCAGTAAAGTCAGACGTGTATCAGAGCTGTAGGGAACGTTTTACAGTTGTACATCAATGTAAACTATAGCCGGTACACCGCAAAATAAAAAGATCGGAGTGGCCCAACTATAGATGGGCCAGCCCAACAGTGGAACTTACAGTTGGGACAGGCCCAACTATAGTTGGGCCAGCCCAACTGTGGAACTACAGTTGGGACAGGCCCAGCTATAGTTGGGACCGATGCGATAGTTGGGGCGTAACACAAATCCATCCAACAAACTCATGTAGTTTGAGCGCCACCTGATAAGATAAAGCGACTGAAAAAGAGACTAGGGTTATACCCACATGGCGGTCAAAGGTCATCGTGATTGAACGATGGCGGGCGGTTCGGCTGGAAATTGGTGCTTAATCGAAAGCGATCCAGCAGTTTTTACAGAGCTGATCAGGGGATTTGGTAAGTAACTACGTTATGTCAGATCTCTTATATTTTAAGTATTGAATAACGTTGAATATTAGGTAAAAGACGAGTAAAATTCGTTGGAACATTGGTTGAAATGGTGTTGAAATGAAATCAACATTCCTGATCCTGAACTTCTGAAAGCCCCCCCCCCCCCCCACTGAGTCTGCGCATTATCACGCGCGTGTACGGTGTTGTTGCTGTGCGCCATAGAGTGCGCTTTCTTGCGATTTGCACAATCTTAAGAATGAGCACGCATTCTTAAGAACGAGCGCGCATTCTTAAAAACGAGCGCGCATTCTTAAGAATGAGCACGATCTTAGGCCAAAAAAAAAGTCTTCGGTTTCTGGTATGGAGCTTGCCCCAAAAGTGGTGCGGCGACACAGCTTTTTTTTGTTTTGGCCTTAACTTAATAATGAGCGCTCATTCTTAAGATTGGGTTGGATTCTGTGCGCAATATATGAATAATTATGTTAAATTAAATGTGTTAGGGGTTACTGAAATAATTCATATAACGAGAAAAGAAAATGATCTATGCTTGCTTCTGTATTCGTTAGTGTCGTTTAACTACGATAATTTGAATTAAAGCATGGAGCTATAAAAACTTTTTATATAGCTCCATAATTAAATGAAAGCTGTTAATTTGTTATTTATTTATATTGCTTTTTTCTGCCCCTCATTTCGGAATAATGGAGGACTGAGAGGAAAGAATTCCATACTTGTACACAACAAACTGTACGAGACTGGTCTGAAAAATTCTAAGTGTCTTCCAACTAAATGTTTTCCCCGCTTATGTTATCCCAAAAATCAGAATTTTTCTGCCATGTACTGGTTTCCCCCAAATACAATGTACGTGTATATTTACTTTCATCTCCATTCTAATTTTCATCCCTGTGTCTATATTTCTTGAAGGTGTCGCAGGTGCGCAAGTTGAAGAGATATGGACGTTGGATGATGAAGCCAGCCTTTCAAGACTCAAGTAAGGAAGTAATATACACATGTATCCCCACACTCGATACAATCAGAGAGAATATTAAAGGAGGGACTCAAACACATTCATGACATTGACGCTGCACGCCTGTTGCCGTGTATTGCCATGAAGTGGCACAATAGTCTGGTAGCATCTTGTATGAGCACTACAGGCTTAAAGAGTTGGGACTTTCGTTCGGCACTAATGTGCAAGGTGTGGAACGCACACTGTATACGGACCGCATGACACAACTGCTACAAGATTTCCAAGACGTTAACCCTAACTCCCCAGCCTAATTTACTAGGAACCATACCCATTCTGGCAAATTCCAACACCCACATGGTAAATTGTACACACACACTGTTGGACTTAGTTTCTGGAGGTACGCCAACCCCAGTGTAAAAGACCATCAGTTTAGGGGTACTGTACCTATCCCAACTGACAGATTTAAACAAAACCTGCTGTTGAACTTTGATGGGTTGAGTTCGGTTAGGGTTAAAGTGATAGCGGTTCGTGGGTAGTGGTTCATTTAAACGCCCTCTTTAAAGGGGCACTAGGTCCTCAAATCCCCGAAAATGTTATGTTTTGGATCATTGGTTACTTAGCCTATTTCAAACATCTGGTTGAAAGGAAACCAACCTAATGTCTTACCGTTCCCGAGAAAAGACGAAAAAACCCCGCTTGTTTACATCGGACATGACGGGGTACAAATACGTTTTCCGTGTCGTTCTCATGTACGCTATACATGTTGTGTGTCTCGGGAACAGCGCGCAGTGACCAATCACCAATGCAAAAAATTGTGGTTTCTTCAAAGTCCGCAAAAGGCGAACACTTTACGTGTACGAATGAAATCACAACTAGCATCCAAACAGCTCAAATTTATGGGGTCGCATATTCGTTCTCGCATGCATAATACAGGAATAACACAAAAACGCCCAGTTTTGAAAGGATAGTTGTGTTGATGTTTATATTCTACTTTTAAAAGTTATTTCCGATTATCATCATCTCGTTCAAAGCGCGTTTTGTAGCCCAATTGGGCTGTTCCAGGACCTAGTGTCCCTTTAAGCGGGTGATTGCTTATCCACAGGGACAATATCTTGCCCCAAGACTACCCACTCACAGGAAGATAGTGGGCAGTTATGCGCATTCATATTACATTCAATCGTCTGTATTTTGCGAATACATGCCTGAACCAGTGTTTTCACATGCAGTGTGTTCGGCCCAAGGAGCTCTCAAGAGTGGTCAAGAAACACCATCCACTGTCCATGCACACCGTCCATATTAAATGTACCCCTGTAAAAGCAACGTTTCACTGCACTGCTCAGAAAGTGACTTGGTGGCCATTCGACACAAAATGGCTTGAAATACCCACATGACCAGTGGAGTAAGGGTTAATGATGTGACCATATTTTCCCTTTTTTCGTGTTTGACAGTGTAATAAAAACAGTCCAATTTCAGGGTCAGTCCTTTTGTGACATTTGGTTTTATTCTCGATGATCTGTTTGTAGACCCGTTCATGGCTTGGTTTTCCTGTTCAAGTGGCAAGCTGGGGAGGAACCCTCGGGAGCTGTGGTCCAAGATAGCCGCATGGACAAAATATTCTTTGCCAAACAGGTAAATCAAAAACATTTGGGTGAAGCAGTATTAAAGTCAAAGTCAGGTCCTCACAAGTCAGTCGCAAGTCAATCACAAGTCCATCACAAGGCTATCATAAGTCTATCACAAGTCTATCACAAGTCAATCACAGGTCAATCACAAGTCCATCATAAGCCTATCACAAGCCAGTCACTGGTCAATCACAAGTCAATCACAAGGCTATCACAAGTCAGTCACAGGTCAATCACAGGTCTATCACAAGTCTATCACACGTCTATCACAAGTCAGTCACAGGTCAATCACAAGTCAATCACAAGTCAATCACAAGTCAAACACAAGGCTATCACTATCATAAGCATGTCACAGGTCTATCACAAGTCTATCACAAGTCATTCACAGGTCAATCACAAGTCAATCACAAGTCAAACACAAGGCTATCACTATCATAATCATGTCACAGGTCTATCACAAGTCTATCACAAGTCAGTCACAAGTCAGTCACTGGTCAATCACAAGTCCATCACAAGGCTATCATAAGTCTATCACAAGTCTATCACAAGTCAATCACAAGTCAATCACAAGTCAATCACAAGGCTATCACTATCATAAGCATGTCATAGGTCTATCACAAGTCTATCACAAGTCAGTCACAGGTCAATCACAAGTCAATCACAAGTCAATCACAAGGCTATCACTATCATAAGCATGTCACAGGTCTATCACAAGTCTATCATAAGTCTATCATAAGTCCATCACAAGTCAATCACTAGTCCATCACAGGTCTATCACAAACAAGAATTCTGCAGTCAATGAAAATAGCTGAAAATAATCTTCCCCTGTACCTTGTGAACTAACTTGTGGTTTGACTTGTGATGGACTTGACTTCAGCTAAGAACCACAGGTCCAGGGCTGTCAATTTCCAAATAAATTAGTATTTCATTATTTAAAACTGCATTTTGTTGAATATTCTAACATTTCGAAACTCGCTGATCAAGTTTTACATTTGTCAGCTGCAACAGCATGCCGCGTCGGTCAAAAGCTGTACGCAAAGCGCGCCAGTTAAAATTTGTGTGCAGTGTCGATATTATGGTAAGCTGGAGTGTGTATGTGCGCACGTTTTATTTTTTTCTTGGAATATTCAAACTGGCAAAAAGCCATTCGAATATTCAGTATATTTGGCACAGCTCTCCACAGGTCACATCTTTGTTGTTATCACTTCTACACATCATGGAGCAATTAGTTTAGAAATAATTTGGAAACAAAATACTATCCATGTTTTATTTTTATAAAGGAAAATAAAAGGTACAACAGGCTGTGAATTTCTGTAAAGCAAAAAGTTAAAACTGGTTTTCATGTTGTGAGGCAAATGGAAATAACTCCTTACACTTGTATTGTTGTTTGTGGCAGATTTTTGTATACACCTGTGAGCAGTGATGTAGTGCCTTGATGCTGGGCCTTGGCCTTAAGGCTGCCTTAAGGCTGGATTTTAGGGCCTTGGCCTTGGCCTCGAGGCTTGAGGGCAAAAGCCTTGGCCTTGGCCTTGGCCTTGAGGGTTCAGGGCCTTGCAATTTTGAGTCAAGGCTCTTCAAGGCCCATAGATTTTTGCATTTTCCAGATAAATCTGTTCGAAATTTTGCTGTTACCATTTTAATCGTATTACCATGGAGGAGGGAAGCACCCTATAGATTTGTGTGTTGGGCACACTTCCACTTTTGTAGCATCACATTTTGTTACCATTGTAGTAGATTTGCTGCAAAAATATTCCGTACACTTACGGTGGGGCTAATGAGATGATCACTTTAATTGCATATAATAATAATAAAAGAGAACATTTATATAGCGCCAAAATCCGTCTAAGGCGCATATAACTATGGAATAGATCAGATTGGTTGTTTATGTCTCCCTGATAAGTGCTAAAGATTTGCATGTATCTGTTTTAGATAATGCTGATATTTCTGACCATGTTGGGCCAGCAAATAAAACATTTCCCAAATCAGTTTCTTGGGTCCCCTTTTGATACACTTGGGAGAATTGTGTGTCAATATAGAAGTAAATCATTATTTTGTCTAGTTAAACCATATTGAAGACCTGAACTTATACTTTAATAGATACAGTGCAGTCATAAAACGGTGTAGGCCTATGCGAGCATGTTGATTGCAATTAAAGAAATGTTCTTCGTAACGAGCAATTCGTGATGATATGGGCGGATCCAGGGGGGCCAAAAGGGGCCATGCCCCCCCCCCCCAAAAAAATTCGAAACGGTTTTTTTTTTAATGTGACGTCGTAATAAAGGCAGGCAATGAGTACACCACCATCTTTTCCTCAAAAAAACATTGGTAAAAATGGTCAGAAATTGCCTCAAATCGCACCACAGAGCATATCTCGAGGACAAAAATTTTTCGGGGCCCTTAAGCGGGCCCCTAAGCCCAAGCCGTAATTTTTTGACCCACTTTTTTTTGGGGGGGACCCAAATTTCTTTGCCCCCCCCCCCCCCCAAATTGTGTTCTGGATCCGCCCTTGCGTAATGACGTGTCACTCATGTGACTATAATTAGTTCTATATCAGTGGTCATTTCATAAAACAGGGCCTTGGCCTTGAGGGTTAAGCCTTGGCCTTGGCCTCGAGGCTTGAGGGTCAAAGCCTTGGCCTTGGCCTTGGCCTTGAGGGTCAAAGCCTTAGCCTTGGCCTTGGCCTTGAGGGTCAAAGCCTTTGCTCCAACACTGCCTGTGAGTACCCCTCATTATTTTTCAAGGAATGTGTCTGAATGTTCAAGATATCCAATATTTTGATTTGTGTTCAGGTCATAACGAATGCTTGTGCCACCCAAGCCATTCTCAGTATCCTTCTGAATTGCCAGCATGAGGATGTCGACCTTGGCAAGAAACTCAGCGAGTTCAAGGAGTTCACCAGCAGCTTTGACCCCACTGTAAGTAAATAACACCCCGCCCCCCTCCCCTCGCCCCCCCCCCCCCCCATTTTTTTGACAGTTTGTGGTTTTTCGACAGTTCTATCAGTAGGAAGGTTTTAATTAACCCTCCTATGCAAACATAAATTCTGTTCCAAGTTGTCCTTGCAGTCAGAATCAATCAAGTGACTGTTTTCAACCTGTAAGAATTCCCAGCCCACACAAAGCAGGATCGACTGCCTTGGACTGATTAAGTAACTTGATACAGCTATGCTTTGACTCTGGGTGAGTGATAAAACAGTTGTAACCACAACTTGCCTGCTGTGTCTGTTGACCCAGTTTGACTAGACAATGTACTTGCTTAACATATGATCTGACTTCTGGTGACTAGCCTTTGTTAAAAGTATAGCAGGGGAAGTGGAATTTGACTATGCTTAAATAGCAGGAGGGTTAGTACAGAAAATGCTTGCTTGACAAAAACGGGTCTCCGGCTAAAATTCCACGCCATGCATTCTTGGCTGAATGTTACTTTTGTGCTTAGACTTGTTAAGCAACAATTTCTGATTGGCAGCTATTAAAAACAAATTGGGCCGTGGTAGCTTAGTCATTCGATAGACATTGTTTCTTACAGTAACTTTGTTTCACATGTGACTTTGTAATGGAACCTTTTCTCTCAGTTGCTCCTTTAATGTCTGTTGGAAATGTAATTTAGTAAGACATTTTCTAGGTCGCGAAATTTTGACTTTTGTTTAAAAAGAGTGCAGCTTCAATTTCCAACTTCTGTCATCTGTGTGGCTTATTCTACTCATAACACGAGCCCCGATGTTTCCGTTCTTGTTCAGATGAAAGGACTGAGCATCAGTAACTCAGAAGTCATCAGACAAGTCCATAATGGATTCTCAAGGTAAGAAAGCAATTCCAAATCTGAAAAATTTCCGTTTCAAACTTGCATATACGTGTCAAAGGCATATAGGATCATTTGCATTTATCCCAAAAGTAACCATACCGAATTATTATCAAAAGCTTACTTGGATTAAAGATTGTACTGGCACTAAACACCCGTGAAATTATTCCGTCTGGCTTGCTGTCATTTAGAAGATATCAAGAAATGTAGGTGATTTCCAACGATCAGTCAATTTAGTGATATTTGGAATAAAGAGTGCTATTGACATATTCATGTTTCGTGATCAAAAAGTTGTGCATGGTTGTCCACTGTTTTATCCAAAAGTGTAATATCCGTTGGACTGAAATTTCAAAGGTTAGGCTTTGAACATTCTGTGGATTTTTGAGTGGTGTTAGTATTGGAATCGAACAAAATGCATGAAAAGCAAATGATTCTATATGCCTTAAAGTACCCTGCATGTTCCCATGGACTACTCCAGTGACCATATAAGGCCGTAAGCCCCGCCCACCTGATTGGCATACATTTCTCACAGTGCTTGTTACCAAGTTGGGCTAATGTGGTCACATGACCAAAAGTCATAATGTAATTGGTTAATGGTATATCTCTCTCTTGAGTTGTGTGGTTCTGAGAAGAACCAGTTGTTTTAATTTAACGTTTCGATCAGTATGCGGTGTTCATCATCAGGAGACTGCCGGCCTCTTGCCGGTGTAGGGGTTTAAGTAGTGGAGGCTTTGAATCAGTACAAGGGAGATTAGTTTCGTGGACCATTAAGGCGGAAGATTCTGGAAAAGGATGCTAAGTTGCCGGGTAGGATGCTGGAGTGAACTGTGTGCTCACTGAAGCATGTCAGATGGACGGGGGTTTCAGTTGGGGTGAACATAAAAAAAACCACTCATCTCAACTCGAGGCAGTCCAGCGCAGAGCCGCTAGATTTGTGACAAACCAATACATTTCAAGGCTAAGTTGGAGAATTCTAGAGGAACGCAGAATGGTTGCACGCCTGTCTTTGCTATACAAATCCAAACATCACAGAGCAGCAATAAATTCTGACCATCTTTATCATACCTCAAGCACGACGGGTGTACAAACTCGCACAACAGGATCAATATCCTTTATAAGACAACCCGCAAACAAGGACAGTCACAAGTACTCCTTCCTACCAAGAACTACTACAGAATGGATCCTCCTCCCAGCATTTGTTAGAGAGGCCCCTTTACTTGATGCATTTAAGGACAATCTACTGAAACTAAACTTGTCGAGTATAAAAAGCAGAGCTTAGGCCAAAACAAAAAAATAGTCGGTCTCTGGTCAGACCGAAGTTCCGGAATCTTTTTTTTTTTGGTGGCTTTTTTTTTTTTCAAGCTTGTATTGTACAGACAAGGTGGGTACTATTTTGCTTTTTTGTGTCCTCATTATACATTGGTGTCCTCCATAATTTGCCTTGGTGCCCTTCATCATTTGCCTTGGTGCAATTTCCCCATTCCTTGGTGTTCCTTGGTACAAAAATTTGAGGAGGCGCGGCAATAGAGGGCGTTGGGCGATTAAAATTGATGCGCGCGCTGACCAGAGACCGAGTATTTTTTTTTTTGGCCTTATTATTAGTGCCCCCAGCCACCACACCTGCAACCTATACATCCCATAACGGGAGATTGCTTGCAGTATTGATCCAGATGTAGGGTAAACCCTACACCAGCAAGAGTCCGACAGTCTCCTGATGACAAACAGAGCACACTGTTCAAAACGTTGAGCAAAAACAACTGGTTCTTCTCAGAACCACACAACTCAAGAGAGATAAAACTCACATGGTGTTACCGCAAACCTTCCACACTTACTTTGACCATCATCTCTTGACGCTTCTCCGCAGACAGCAGATGTTTGAGTTTGATTCCTCCCTTGCCAACAAAGACGAGGATGCCTACCATTTTGTGGGTTACATCCCAATCAGCGGCAGGTTATATGAACTGGACGGGCTCAAGGAAGGACCTGTTGATCTCGGTAGGTTTAGGAATGACACAGTTTTCCTATGATATTACATTTTCTGAAGAGACTAAAATTTTGTACCAAAAGCTACCAAATCATTAGCAAAAAGTTTAGTGTGAAATTATTTCATCTGGGACAGTTACTTTATTACATCAACAAATTCCTCATTTTTCAATTTTATTTTTGGTTACTTTTTAAAGGGAAATGTGATCCTGATGATTGGTTGAAGACAGTCAAACCAGCCATTGAACAGAGAATAAAAAAGTAAGTCACTTCTTTGTCCATGAGCAAGATACTTCATTGCAATTGCTTCTCTCTCAGACAGTCCGATCATTTTGGTGAGGTGGCGAGGAACCAACCACCTTTTTATTACAACATTTTAGTAAATCAATATTAGGTTTTGCCCTTCACTGACGTATAAACATTGTATACTCAGTGTGTGTTACTCCCGAGGGAAAGTTGAAAACAATCTCTCAGGTGGGACTTGAACCCACGACCTTCTGCTTTCTAGTGCAGACGTCTTACCACTGGACCACCGAGCTTACGGGATTGGTTGGCCGGTTCAAATCTGATGTACATGTAGCAGCGGGTACTGCAAGTAAATTATTCATCAGTTTAGTAGTTGTAAGGATTTTTTCCTGCTTCACATATAGACCAGTCGGACTATGAAATCACTTTAGAAAAAAAGCTGACAATGCTTTCTCCATTGTAGGGGGCTGTGTGTATACACTTAGCGTGCTTGTTATTCCTAATAGTAGATGGGATTGTTTGAAAGAGCCCATTTTTTAAACAATTTCTTGCAACTTTGCTGACATGTTTACAGATATAGTGCTGGGGAGATTCACTTCAATCTTATGGCGATCATCTCGGATCGGCGGATGATATTCCAGCGAAAGTTTGACAAGTTGAGAGCCCAGCTGGATGCGTTAGAGACACAGGTAAATGACATGTTCTAAAAAAAAGAAAAGAAACCTTGGGACTTAGGGTTATTATGGACGACACTCTCTGACATGTGGGGGTACTATCAAAAGCAGATAATTTTGGACACTATTGGACTATAGGTGGCGCTATTTGTGGTGCCGCTATTCGTGTGGCATATTTGCCGACAGACTGATGAATTTGCCTACATGACGATGATTTTGTAGCTCGCGCTTTTGTGTCCAAAATAACAAAAACTGGCCAAATATTGCAGGGGGCTGGTGGTTGGTGGAAAGGGTTTCGTATTGTTTCCCCCGTGACCCCCCGCCCCAGGCTGAGTATGCAACTAATCCCCCCCCCCCACAAAAAATGAGGTTTCTTTAAGTGCTCCCAAATTACGCCCCTGGTATCCAGTTACCACTGCATCAATGTTCATTGTTTTAAGGGTGAGGCTATGGAGACTGACCAATCAGCAAGTGATCCACAGACAGCTGCGAGCATCCAATCAGAGCTCAGCAGATTGACCATGCTTCTTGAGGAGGAGGATCACAAAGCCAAAAAATTCAAGGTGATTTTTCCTTTTTTTTTTTTTTTTTTTTAACCTAGTTTCCTTTGAAATTATCTATGAAACTCATTAGTTCCGTTTGTGTTGCATTTCTGTGAAAGATGCTTTTGTTGTCTGTTGCTCTTGTTGCTTCTAGTTTAGAAGCCAAGTGAAGTGTTTTATGAACTGTTACCAAATGGATCAATAGAGGGCGACAGACTGAGCTACTGCTGAGCCCAATTTTATATTGTTAGAAAGTGTATGTGAAAAATCGACAATGATCAACTGATTAAAAGTGGGCAGTCAATGAAAAATTAACTTTTTAACTACTGTATCTGAACCCCAAACGTGATCAAGCACTGCCGTGCTTCTAAGGTTTTGTAAATTAAATTGGTTTGAAAACATGATTAATTATTTTTGCTATGTAAATTTAACTCTAAGGATGATCACATGAATGTATGTCCCTTTTTGGTGGTTATTCGAGTTTAGTTTAAAACAGTTTGGAAAATTTGTAAATTGATTTCATTCAAACATTTCAACGTGTTTTTTGTCACATCCTTTTAATAGCTGAGATGCAGTCAGTGACAGTATATGTCACACTGTATTTTGGCTGGTACCCCTTTACTGCGCTTAATATACAATGAGCAGTTCCATGGGATTGGACCCAAGTTATAAGGAAACCGGTTAACCAGTTGGAAAAGTCTCGGCCGAGTTTAGCGCAAAATCAAACAAGTTTTAATGGAAGAGTTGAGAAAAGAAATCTCAAAAGTATAGTTATTCGGCCATTTCAAGCGAAAGGTGGAAGACAACACATCAAAACTGTTTTTGGCCTTTTTGGTCTTTTTGTCAAAATAGGTTGAAAATATCCGACGGAAGCACAACTACCTACCAATGATCATGGAGCTACTGAAAGTACTGGCAAGTAAAGGGGAATTGCTGCCCCTCGTTCAGAAGGTGAGCGATGTGAACTTTAAAGGGAATGTACATCATTGACTTTTGCTGTAATTTTCAGAAAATGAACTATTTGGGGGGTTAGTATAATAGATCAAATATTGTTACACTGACATGTTTGAAGTTTTGTGTTCGAAAATGATGGAAAACCAAGAAAAACAAAAATGTTCAAATAGTCTGGTTCCCTGACTCCACTAAAGATGAAATGGATAAAAAATGCCGGAAAATTGTAAGGTAAGGGAACCAGTGTAGCTGGCCTGCACCCCAATAGCAAACAAAATTTGGACTGGAAAAAAAACCGGTAAATTTGGATCAGTAGTTGAAAAACAGTTAGGTTTTTCCAACGGTGGTCCGTTGATCACCATTCGAAATGTATACAAAAGTACCATTTTTTTTTAAAATGACCTCACACCAGGTGCCCTAATTTTACAGGATGCTTTAGACTGTCATTTACCAACATCCTAGTAAGGTATTTCGTAACAACTTAGTAGTTTTTATTTTTCGATGTTTGCATATGTTATATTTTCCCTTTAATGTTGAGTGTTTTTTAGATTATGTTAGAATTTTATCGACTGAGGCGACGACAAAAACTACTAAGGACACTGGGGAATGACTACATCTCAAGGACATTCAAGGGAAAAACACCAAGATCTGGTGTTTGCATTACACATATGGGTCATTCCACCGGGTTGGGAAGCAGTGCATGTTACATCCATATATTTGGTTATATTATTAAAAGTATCAATGCATTCTAAACAATTGCTCAACATAATATTTGTCTTAGGGTTTTTCAATACTTGAGAAAGTTTGAAATCATTTGAAACTACTTTTTAAAAAATATGAGCAAAAATGTATTAATTCGGATGTAACATTGACACCGTGTCAATGTGTCGGATGTAACATTGACACCGTGTCAATGTTACATCCAAATATTTTTTTTGGCCATTTTTTACAAGTATGTAACATATTACCCAAACTGACATTGCATATTTACAACTGGACACCTAAGCACCAAGAAAAGCTTTTGTTTTGGTATAGTCGGGGTTCAAATATAGCAGAAACAATACCTCAAGTGTGAATGTAACGGTGTAAAAATCACTCAATGGAAGTGTGACATTTGGGTTTTACACCGTGTACATGTTACATCCACACAACCAAGCTATCATTTCTGCTCCATTTGATACCTGACTACCATAACAAAAGCTTTTCTTATTGTATTGCATGTATAGTAAGAAGTACGCAAAGTGAATTTGGGTAATGTTTCGCAGAAATTTAAAAAAAAAGGTACAAATGTCATATTTGGACGTAACACTGACACGGTGTCAATGTTACGTCCAAAATGACATGTTTTGCTCATATTTTTGGCAAAATACATTGAAATGATTTCAAACTTTCTGCAGTAGTGAAACACCCAACAACAAACATCATGTAGAGCAACTGCTAGCAAGGCATTCATGCTTTTCTCAATATGGTCATATGTCACACATTGTTCCCCAACCCGGTGGAATGACCCATATACATTTGTGGATTATATCTTTGCCAGCGCTAGTAACTGACAAGAACAATGGATAAAGCTTTCATGTACAATCTCAGTATGTTAGTATTGACACTCTCAATAATACAATGCCATGGTAGAAGGATATTGCTGTGTAGCAATTGCACAATGAAGGCCTCGTTGATTATATCTTCATGTAATGCTTGATAGCACTAATAATTAAGCAATCAAATGAAATAATGGGTGAGGATTCCTTATCTGACCTGATACCTTCATAATACAGTCAACTCTCGTTAGTACAAACTCTGTTAATACAAAATTCTGGTTATAACAAACATAAGGCATTGGTCCCGACTGTGCATTAATGTGCACAATGAATGGGACTGATGTTCCTCTTAAAACAAAATTCTGATATAACAAACAATTTGGCTTGGTCCGAACGAGTTTGTATTACAACACTCGACTGTACCTTGTTACTGATTGTTTGAAGGTAGGGTAGATTTGTCATTTATCGTTAGTACATTGTTTTCCATTTCAAGCAACAAAAGTGCTCAAAATCTAAAGATGGGTGCTTAACAACTAAACCTAATGAGCTTTTAGCTCAGTGAATGATGTGTTATTCTGAGAAAATAGTATTCTAGGATCGCGATTTCAATTCAAAGGTTGCAGTCGTGTTTGGAATTGTGGCCCAAAATCAGCGTCCGTGACACGTTCTCATTCAGCTGATTGCAGCTACGCGATGTCACGCACTGAACTGATAAATGATAGCAACCCATTCATGGATTCGCCAAATTACAAACCAACTCCCAGCAGATATTTCCAAATATATGTCACTTGACGCATCTTTGGAAATGGCCTTCTTTTATTGTTTTCTTCAAAATGACAGCATGCCAGAAAGAATGATTTCACAGGGAGTTTAGTGCCGGATACTATCTTTAAACCAAAGATCACCTTTTCAACAATAATTTCACATTTACTTTTTGGATGGCTGCAAATGATGGACTGTACCTTTAACCAATGTAGTTGGGCACTTATCAGTTGTTGTTAAGTAAACAACAGTGTGGGTTTTGTTTAAAGCCAGAGTCCATCATTTGCAGCTATCCAAAAATAACTGGCATATTTATTGTTGAAAAACAGACTTGGTTGAAAGATAGTAAGGGGACTAAACTCCCTGTGAAATTATTCTTTCTGGCAAGCTGTCATTTTGTAGAAATCAACAAAAGAAGGCCTTTCCAATGGTGCGTCTTAAGAAGCACCGTTGGAAATTTCCGTTAGTAGTTCATTTTTTTCAATAGGCGAAGTGCGCGCAAGCGTTGGCACGACGCACACGCTCGCGCGGTTGCTATAATTCATCGGATCAGTGCGCGACATTGCGTAGCTGCAATCAGCTCAGTGAGAACGTGTTTTGGGCGCTGAATTCAGACCCAATTCGAAACATGATTCAGCATCTTTTGATTTGAATCGAGATCCTAGAATGTTGTTTTTCTCGAAATATACAGCTAAAGCTGAGCTGAAACTTCATCAGGTTAGTTGTTCAGCAACCTTCTTTAGATCTTGAGCACTTTAATTGCTTCAAACACACAAAATGCACAAATTACAAATGATGGACTACACCTTTAAGTGGAAGTAATGTTTTTTGGTCTTAATCACCCTTAGGCAAAAGAGAAGGCTGCAGCCCAAGCCAAGGAGAAAGAGAAAGACAAGAAGGACGCAGAAGTTGCAAAGTGAGATAATCCTTCGAGCTGTTTCCACGACTACCTTTTTTTGTTTTGCTCTGAGCGTGCCCATTCAGACTAGGCTCAACATGACACTTTAATAATCCAGAAGTTTGTTTATTATTGGAGAGGGGTGCTTTAATCCGTATACAGGGGATTTCCTGGTGGGATTAATATTGGATTATGGGATAAGTAAGGGATTATCCTGGAGATCCGCCCACTGATGTGATGGACTTGGGAGGACCCCTGCTACTGACCTGATCGGACTAATCCCAAAATGCTCCCTGAACTTCCTTATCCTAATCCAATTTTTGGATGAAGATTTTTTTTTCTTCAAAAGAGAGACTCGACCAACTGGATTACGAGTTGACCTTGACCTAGTCCTTCAAGAAATTGCGACTTTGAGGGCCACTTTTATGGAGTTGCTCGCGAAAAATATACTGTTTAGCGGATTTTCTTGTGGAGCTAATGTCAGCTGGTAACCGTTAATATGCAGTGTTCATTAATCACATGATATGTTGAGGTATAAAGGTATGATGGGTACCAGTGGTGTATTCAGGTCCAGATGAGGCAAAGACCAGTCACAGACTTTCTCGTACATTTGTCCCTCTTCAGAAACAAATGCTTGTATATATTGGAAGTTACCATGTTAGTGTTACCAACAGGCAACCGAAATAAGCATCTTCTGCATCTTAGTGTGCCCACATTAAAAGGAATATACATGTACAACATTTGTGACCTGTTCTGTCAAAAGCAGACGCTTCTGGGCAGAGGTTGAAATTGAGATAGGGCCAAAAAACACTGTGGGGGTGATTTTTATCGATTTTCAAATTTTTGCATATTTGTAATCCTGAACATGTCTAAAATATATTATAAAAGTTTGAAACCCTAATTTGAACTCTACATATACTATTTTTGATGATTTTGATAAGGTATATCAGTTAAAGAAATAACTGTTTTGTGACGTTCGTGGCCATTTTCTCCGTGTTCTACTTTTCGACACAATGAACTTCAAAATAGCATAACTCTGCCCAGGAACGACCGGTTTCAAAAATTAAACCACCTATTAAAAGGAAAAAGAACATATGTTAACAATATGTAAAAATATCATTTTCGACCTTATGCCCAGAAAAGTCTGATTTTGACAGGACAGCCACAGGTCACATTTTCTTTTGCTGTAATTTTCAGAAATGGATGGATTCGGGGGGTTACTAGTGTTCTACACCTAATACTGTTCCACAGACTTGTTTGAAGTTTGCTCATTGGCTTCCTGTCATGTACTGAAGCTACAATGAATCACCAAAGAAGGGAAAATTCACAACAGCAAAATGTTCACAATTCTGGCAACTGTTGGTGATGAAATAACTGTATCATTGAGGTTTGTGCCTGAAATGACATCACACTTTTGCTCGTGAATGTACCCTTGAAAATACCCTTGAAAATGGCAAAATAAAATTTTGAAAATAAGGTTAAATGGGACACAAAGGTGCATTTTCAAGGATTGCTTAAAAAATTTACATTGCATGGGTCCTTTAAAGCACGCAGAACCTGTTGGTGTACTTGTATTCCGGCATTTGAAGCACTTGAACATGATCTATGATCCCTTTTCCAGATGTTCCTTGCATAACGGAAGGTCGTAGGCCCCCCCCCCCATTAATATTGTGCACAGATTGACGCTGATGAAGTTATGTTAGTCCACCGATAGTCTGGTACATTGGTGCCCTGGAACATTATCTATGACCCTTACTCCCTTGTATAACTGCTTGAAGGTCACTAGGGACTTGTCAGCCACCTTTGACCCCTTATGTAGCTTGACAATATGTGTTTCATTGTGAGCAGATTGGCACTGATAAAGTGCTTCTGCGTGTGCATTCATTTTTGTCGATTGGAAACTTTTTGTACTCCCGAGATGTCAAGAATTTCTTCTTTTTTTTTTTTTTAATAAAAGAGTTTCTGCTCTGAAAGGCCTATTGCACAAAACAAAAAACATTTTAAAAGTTGTAAAATCAGTTGTTTTTCTCAGGCATCAATAAGAACGTGTCTTGCACTCGCCTTTCAGCCTGAACTAAAATGCCTGTTTTTGTTTAGTGGCGTAAATAAAAGAATTATATTTCAGTATTCAAAAAAAGAATTGTGTCCGGTGTTTTATTTGCCTGAACCAAACCAGCTGTTCGCCGTCGAGACATGCAGATCATACACATGAATAAATTGGGCGTGTCGACAAGCTGTACGGGTTTAGCGTTCTGAAAAGTCCCGTGATGGATTTGTTGATGTCACCGACCATGCGCTTCCCCTCGCGTTTTTTTGGTTCCATGACATTTCAAAAGAAACAGATTGCATACAATTTTCAAATTGACAAACGTTGGCGACCTTGTTTTCCTGGGGTTTTTTTAAAGGTAAGTTCCTGGTAATTTACAAAACAAGACGTGGACAATTGCCATACCTATAAAAAAATCTCCCAACTAAATATTTAGATGTCCAAAGCAAATCTTTGTTGATCGGATATTTGATAAAGCGCCAGTGTTTCGACAATGTCTAGCCGTCAAAGATTTGCGTTCTGTAAATCATGCTGCGCTCAAACGCTGATAATACCCGCAACTTTTGATTCGTGAGGCTCTAGCGTCTGTGCGGAAACACGTACCGCCATTATTTTTATACCGTTTTAAAGCTTGGAATCTGAACTTTATCACTGGCGAGTATTGGTTTGATATGTAAAATAGTTTTAAAATTATTCGTGTTCAAATAAAGGCATGTGAAAAACAAATTCAACCGACTTCAAGGAAAATCGCTGATGCGGTACATCAGATGCAAACTAGAGTCACACTTTGAGCGCGCTTTTTAAATAGGTACATACTTGCACGTAAATTTAAAAATTGAACTTGAAACGAAGCCTATTGTGAATTTATTTAAGGTGTAGTCTACGTGGATCGAAAAGAATAGGAAGCACAGAAAGTAAAACGCAACGAGATCGTCACATCATGAACATGATGAACCTTTTCCACATTACAAAACAATGCGCATGATTGATTTTCGGTTGAGTTTGTTTTTGACATGCCTTTATTTGAATACGAATCAATTCATAACCCTTTTGAAAATCAAACCAATACTTACCAGGGATAAAGTTAAGATTCCAAGCTTTAAAATGATATAAAAATAATGGCGGTACGTGTTTCCTTTACGCGGCGACGCTAGAGCCTTGCAAATACATGTAAATGTTGCGGGCATTTTGGGACGCGCCGTAGCAGACCTGAAGACAACATTCACGGTGACCCCTTCAGTGTGTCACTGTGTTCAGAGCAAACTGTATAGTGAGTGTTCTACACTCGCAAAATATTGTACTACAGGGTGAGTAAAAAAAACCGAAACCCAAATGTTGGGACCATTGTTTTAGGGAAGTTTTGAATGTAGCATTGTGAAAATATAGGATATGAAAGCCCAATTCATAAGCTTTCTTTTAGTACAAGAATCATTCAAGTCACGTATGTACTTTTCAAGTTACGGAATTTTAAAAACAACCACCGTTTTAAGGTTCTATCCACGGATCACAGAATAGGTGTGCGTTCTTTCAGCAAAACGAAAACAATTCACACACATGGGCGTCGCGAGGGGGGGGCAAGGGGGGGCACTTGCCCCCCCCCCCTGGAAAAGCAAAAAAAAAAAAAAAAAAAAAAAAGGAAGAAAAAAAGAAAAGAAAAAAAAAGAAAAAGAGGCGCGAAGACAAAGTGGTGTAAATTTAATGAGTTGGGGGGGGGGGGGCAAAATGTCCCCGCCCCCCTCTAAAACTGATAAATCGAGAATGTGTTGAGAAATACAAGCATTTTTTGGCAAAACAAATTTTTGCCCCCCTCTAGAAAAAATCCTGGCGACGCCCATGTTCACACACATCCTAAATTTGTTTTCGTTTTGCTGAAAGAACACTGAACTTTTTTGTGATCCGTGGACAGAACCTTAAAACGGTGGTTGTGTTTAAAATCCCGTAACTTGAAAAGTACATTGAGTGATTCGAATGATTCTTGTATATAAAAGAAAGCTTATGAATTGGGCTTTCATATCCTAGATTTTGACAATGCTACATGCAGAACTTCCTTAAAACAATGGTCCAAACATTTGGGTTTCGTTTTTTTTTACTCACCCTGTAGAACCGGTTTCCCGGATGTTTACGACCCGACCCGTATATACTGTAGTGTTATGACGGAAATCGGATCCTTAACTCTGGGTCACCCCGGTTCATTGTTAGGTGTCAAATATTAGGCCCAATGGAATTATGAACCTTAGACTGAGTCTTATTTAACGCAACCGTGAAAAACGCCCGTACAATGGGCTCTCCTTTTGGCCAATTAAGGATCTATTTTATCCTCCTAGACGCTCGGTTTTACATTTCATAACTCTGTGAAAACAATTAGGGCAACAAAAATGGATTTTCCATCTGTGTATCATATCGCATTAGTGGGTTTATCTTTATATTCGCAAATAATTTGAAGTGAAAAGAAAGAAAAAAGTTCGGAATATGGAACCTGTCCCCTCCCGATTTTGATTAGATAGAAGACATCTTTTGCCCCCCGCCGTTTTCTGGACATTTTACAATCTTTTTGAGCCCGAAAACCACCATTGCAGGGTCTTTAATCCTCCATGGGTTAACAAAACATAAGTTATGTTCAACACCATCAGAGATCCGGGATGGTAAGGTTAAAACGGCACGTACGTCTGAAATGGTAAACATCCCCAAGAGATTTGTTTCGTGTCTGTTGAAACAAGTTTATAGGCGGCAGTGGTTTCTATTTCTTGGCAGGGGAGCGGATCATGACTCCACATATACCCGGATCTACTCTTGCGGTGTTTTGATTTCTACTTCCTTTTGGACTTGGCCCAACTTCCAATGTCTGAGTGCCCTCCTTTTGCAGCGGCAGATCTACGGAGGGGGAGCATTTAGGAGGTCTAACCCGGCCCCGGCCCTGGCCCTCTGGGCCGCAATTTGTTTTAAAAATATTATGCAGAAATAATAATGTAGCACATCCCTGCTAACCCCAACCCCAACCCGTACCCCGAGCAAAAGCTGGGTGCGCCCGGCCCCTGCATGGTTCAGTGCAAAAGGGACCGTGCCTTTGTCCACTTGGTTAATAATTCATTAGAGCTAGATCAGCTCTGGTGAATTTATGAATAGGTTATGAATATAGGTAGTAATTAGCAATAATACATGGAACGAAGAGACTAACATTTGAAAGTGAGGCTTAGGCCTATCAAGATGCAAGTTTCAACCTCATTCTCGTTTGTGTGTGTGTGAAGAGAAACACTAAAGGGAAACATAGAAAAATATTTAGATTGAAAGAGTTTTCACAGTTTGAGAAAAATGATTTTTTTTTCACTGGTTTTTCTTAACTACACGCAAACAAAGGAATGTCCACACTAGGTATTTAAAACAAACATGCATGTGTGTGTGTGTGTGTGTCGATGTGGCGATTCCAAGCAGACAAAAAGCGAGTAAATCAGCTTGAAACAATAATTTTGGAGAATTGACGTCCATCGAAGGAAATAAGCGCGAACTTTTTTGTTAATGAAGACGATAAATTTAAGGTTTCTCCTCCAGCGATTTGTTGCCATAATTACAGTGAAGGCAGACGTGTGCAACTGTCGGACTTTGAATTTGTGTTATTATATATACCTTTAATTTGGGAGTCGGTAGGTCTCATAGTACGCGTAGTTTGGGATTGTGATGAACTAAAATAAAGGCATTTTTTTCCTGGGACTTTTTTCGGTTGTTGCATTAACTATCTGAGCAGACGCCCAAATCATTTGGCAGGCACAGAGAGAGAAACATAGTTCTCTATTGTCTGGCTCACTGATTAAGTGAAATATAAATATGCTCCCCTCGCACATTCGATAATGATACCACCAAAAATATGTGGCACCACTGGTAAAAAGTTGAACATGAACTGTATGCGTGAACGCCGTATCCTGATATTGTATGCTAATAATTGTTGGCGAATAGGCTCCTGCGATCATCCGGCGCGCACAGTGACCCGGACGAGACCTGGACTTTACAGGGACCGCCCCAAATCCAGCATGGCTCTGTGTATTAAAGTAATGCACCGAGTCCAAATGTTTCAGGATAATTTCTGGTGGTCCCCTAAACTGTCACCGATATGAGGACTTCGTGCAAGCCCTACGCAAGCTCATTCGTTGGTCAGCCTTGAAGAGGTGAGGAACAGGATCCACGAAATGGTAAGTCTCTATTGAACCTTTTGGTACATCGTACATGTAGTACAAAGACCGGATAGTTATACTAGTACCGCGCGACTTCAAAATGTATTAGGCCTATCATCTGGATCAGTTAAACCTCAGTTTAAAACTGCGTTTGTGTTCAAATTCCATAACTCGAAAAGAACATGAGTGATTTGAATGTGTTCTTATTCCTCTATGCTTGTACTAAAAGAAATCTTATTATTTGGGCTTGTACATCCTAGATTTTGATGGTGCTACATGCAGAGCTTCTTTACAAAATAGGGGACGCCATTTGTGTTTCCTTTTTTGACTCACCCTGTACATAAAAAACAATTTAGTTGGATTAACGCGATTTTTCGGTATATACATATAGTATAACTGTTGTATCTGTTTAAAGATTTTTTTATTTATTATTATTTTTTTTTAAGAAGAAAAAAAATTAAAAAATACCTCAACCAAAAGCGATAAAGCATTGAAAGTCAAGCGCACACTTAATTCCAAAAAGTGTAGCTAGGGACTAGACGATTTAGATTGAAAGTCACTTGTAATTTTAGACCGTTAGGCTACTCTTAAAAATCTATCAATAGTGGAAATTCGAGTGAAAACAAGTTCAATCTACCTGATTGAATACATTTCTCGCTGAAACGTCTGGTCCATAGTTTCAGTCGATGGGAGTGCATTTTCACCCAACAAAGTTAATTTTCTTTCTTTGCAAATCAGAGAGACGTCTAATAGTTTTTGTTGTGTCCTAGCTTGAAGTGTTCTTGGAGTGTTAAGATACCTTTTTTGTCCTCTTGCAGTACCGTGTTGTGCTCTTCCTTGCTCTCTGTGGCCTGTTGGCCCAGGCCGCCGTGCCCTCGCGGGACGCAAGCCTGATAGACTCTGCTGACAATCCGTTCAACAGCCAGACAAGCGTGGATCAGCCGGTAGGTTGATAAGAGATGTGTTTTTTCCGCTTTTCCGTCCTTCTCAAGCTGGGGCATATTGCACCCTGCAGTTGGCAAATGTTGATGGAAATTTAGTACAAGGCTCAAGAGGGGTAGTTTGGCTCAAGAGAGGTTTATATTCCCCTTTGCGATCAAAGTGGAGATGGGGGGGGGGGGGGGGGGGGTTAAAACCTCTACCCCTTAGCTCCGCCCCTGCCATCATAGCATAGAGAAATATCAAATACATGTAATTTCTACGAACTTAGTATTGTGGCGTCCCGTAACGTCGCGCACTTCGATGTTTCCCCCCAATTTCCTCGGCAGAGTTACTGAACCTCTTTGTTGACAAGCTTCAACTGTGCATTCAATTAAATATTGGTACTAAAACCTTAAAAATGCTCGCTTATGAACCCCTTTGAACAATTTTATTGTCGTGAATTTTAGTCAGAAATTAAAACACGGTGGCGCCCAGAAATTGGGCACAAAATCGTCCGAGTGTTCCTATACCTTGACGCACTTCAACAAATATCAGAAACTCCCAATTTGAGTATTAAAGATTTTCTTTAAAGTTGACAAGATCTGTTAAACAATAACTCCACTCACCTATCAACTACAATGTTTGGCAGAACGAGATTTTCATATTGTGAGCGCCTTTCAAAAGGGTTACTGCGCGCTTCAAAATAAAATTTGAAAAATCGCACTATTGTAAAAAATTGTCTCTTAACTTTGTAACGGGTAGATAAACTCAAAGTTTACGAACGGGAATATTTATAGCTTGATGAAATTTCTGTGAAATATATTTGAGGTAAAATTTTCGCTGTAACAAGGCACTAGAGGCGAAAAACCACAGGGCGCCACTCGTTAGGAGCGACGCCGACTTAAAGGGGAACATCAACAATTAATAGCCTACACCTGCAAAAATTGTGTTTGGCAATTAAACACTTTTTCAACACTTTTTTGCTGTCAGTTTGTGAGAATGTTTAAATACTGAACATGTTTCGAGTATTGATGAATAGTGTTTTTGCGATTGTGCATTGATGTTTAGAAATTGGATAATTGATTACTTTTTTTGCTTCCAAAGTTTCTTTACAAAGTGATAGCAAGATTTTGTTTAGTTGCTAAGCACAGTTTTTAGAGTGTACGATCTTAGGCCTAAGCCTTTTGATAATAATTCGTCAGGTGTACTTTTGGGGTAAATGCATATGATCTTATTTGTCTTACATGCTAACAATTAAAAATAACATTCATGAATGTAAATAATATTGCAGAGTCGAACCGGTAGTCTGTGGTCATGGTTCAGCGATGGATTCAATTACCTTCGAGGACTGTTTTGGTGAGTTTGTTGAAGAAATGTAAAAATTCACTAAGGGAAACAAAATATTATGCCAGCAGGGTTGGATTCAGCTTTCAGGAAACGTCCCGCAAGCTAGTGGGGTCTATAGGACCTGCTCCCCGTAAAATGTTCAAAATCTACGATGCTTTCTCCTGCATTCTAAGGCAATTCGAGAACAAATATTTGAACGGGATGGACAATTTAAACGCAACGGGCAAACAAAACCCTGGCCTGCCTTGGCCCCATTTTTAGTCTGCTTGTATTTAGTCAGTGGCTGAACGGGCCGCTTTTCAACATCTTCGATTTTTGTTTCTCCAAAAGGATTGTCAATTTTGGTACTTTATTTAAACGAAAAAAAGTTCCTTCCCCTAGTTTTGGACGTTTTCAGCCCTCTTGAAAATACATGTATAACTTTTAGTGTGGGATACTTTTGCGTCCCACTCCTCAGTGTTCAAAACCAATAATGTAATAGGCCAGGGAACACGTTTACTAAAGGCGGATCTGTTGTTCTTCGCAAAAAGCGCCATATTTTAGAGGGGCACAGACGCTCATAATAGCTAAAAATGTGTTTTATTCTTTAAAATAAAAATAAGAACTTTCGTCACATTGATTCTATAATGCACCACCAGCCTTTTGGAATTAGAACGATCCGCCGCTATGACATGTATTTTAAGGATTCAAGTACAACGATTATGGAGTTGTGTCGATCATGTTAAAAGATAATAAATAAATAAAAGAATAATAAATAATATATTTTGATTCTTAAATATATTTTGTTTCTCAAAGGGAACAAGAGGCCCCCAAATACCGACCGTTCCCACCGTACCAGGAGCTGTGCGATCCCCAGGTATCATTCGGGTATCAGGCTCGGTCCTACCCCAAATCTGTCTGGGTTGGCCTCAATATGACCGGTCGGTTTAGTGATGTGGCCGTCCTGTTGGCGCGGCCGAAACTGGAGGAGTACTTCAACGGAAAGAACTCTCGCAGTAAGAAAAGACAGACCAGAGCTAGGCACAGTGGCAAGACTGCATGGGGTGGGGTGGGTGTGAGGGGGTGGGTAGGGGGTGGGGGTTGACGGGGGCACGCCCTCGTGCCTCATCCGAGTTGATATAGATATATATTGTTTCAAACAAGTGGCATAATTAAGGAGGGAGGGGAGGGGGCCTCTCCGTAACCCCCCCCCCCTTGTTCCAGCTCCCCCTGCAAATGGACCCTTACCCAACGTTTTAAATTATTTGAAACCCACGGAGCCTTGCACCCCCACGCGGACATTTTAACCCAATAGTACACTTCCTATGAAATGGAGAACTAGGACAAGATTTTAGAATACCTGTTTACTCTTTTTAGAGGCTCCGAGCTATAGTTCTTGAGATGATCTGTTAAGTGACATATCAGTATGTAACTTGAAAGATTGAATAGTTACGGAAATGTATATATTCATTGTGATGTACAGTTTGCCCCGTCCAGCATGTGTTTGCGAAGAGCAATTTCTAAAGGCTTTATTAACACTTTATTTTGAATGAAACTACATGTACACAGACATGTTCACGTTGGCGGGTGAAATCTTTGAAAATAATTTCTCCCATTTGAAAGACCGTATCTTCATGCAACTTTCAGGATTTATTTCCCCTATAATGATCCAAGTATGTGCTAAAAGTCGTTGTGATATGTTCATTACTTTTCGTTGAAATTGGAAAAAAATGGGCCTCGCTACGTGTAATTTTGAAAATTGTAACACTGGCGTGCGCAATATCTATCAATCTGTTCAAGCCTCACGAATATTAATGAGGTTCCTATCCATTACGGTGTTGTAATATCCCCCTTTTTGCCGGCTTCCATTGGTCGATACCGAGACCCACGCCATGTCACGCCGAGTGACGCTAATGAATATGCTAATATGCCCTCCATCATTGTGTGCCGGTGTAGCGTGAATATCCGACTCCATGAAATGTGGACTCATTGGTAGTACTGCGCACGCGTGAGTACGATACCATGCTATTTTTAGGATCGTTCGGGAGAGTGACCTGTCACGTGCGAGGGATTAACCACTAATAGGGAAAAGGGGGTCCGATTTTCATAGGAGTCGGATTTTCATGTGACACCGGGCCGAAATCGGTCAGCTGTAGCGCCTACGGCGCTTTGCTGAACAATGCACATGGGTTGGGTCGGCAAATAATTGTTTTGATTCTCTTTGAAATTTTCCTTGGAGATGGTTCCACGTGTAATTCTAGCGTCCACAACAACATATTAAGCTGAAATTCGGAAAATACTTAGATGATATAAGTGTTCAACTACTCGAGAAATAACAACTTCGGTAAATTCCTAGAAATTGGGATAAATACATTTGGGGAAGTTTTCGAACGATTTCTTCCAGACTTAAAGGTCAGCTTTGATAGTAACCAGTATTGACGTTTCGGCATCGATGACGGCAATTTTTTCACTGGCATGAAGTTTAGAATTTCTTCTTCAGTTCGGAATGTAACATTTCAATCATACCGAGCATATTTTCTGAGAAACACAACGTTCAAAAGGCCATGTTTTTTTTGGGGGGGGGGGGTACGAATTTCAATGCACTGTTACAGCGTCTTAGTACGTAATCGGATTAGCTTTCCTTGACAACGACCGACGCTCTGCCTTAGCAATTATGGTTGCTTCGTTGTATTTTCCCAATTGTGTTTATGGAAGTTACACCGCGTTCCCACTTGAATTGGAAAAAGGTGGATCAAGATCCGGCATTTTGGTGTGATCGTTATCTTACCGCAACGAAACCGCAAGTCGCGTTCCCACTTATGCTTGATCCACCTTTTCGTACGGAAATGTTGGGTCCGAAAGGTCACTGAGTTCGGAATTACGCGCGCTTTGTGGGAGTGCCATTGTTGCATGGTTGCATGCTAGGCCAGGATGGGTCAGTTTTCAAACAGCACTATCAGAATTCACAGACAAAAATTACGCGAATTCACCAACATAAATCACGGATCCGTAGAGGATCCGTGCGTGCATAAATTAACAGGTGAAATCCAACAGAGCCGCTCATTGTGTGACATCACGGCAGAAACCAATGCATCGATAAGGGATTCCCTGGTTCTGAAGCTTCTCATTGGTTAGAAACGGTCACATGTGTACTACGACATCATTTTCCAATTTTCTATAATCAATACTAGATTTGTCACCTCCGTACGTACCGCGTTATCGGCACTATTCTCATCGCATACTCGTAAGCTTTTCCATGATTCTGTGCCAAAGTAAAGTCTTTTGGTGAGTGCGGACTCAGAGTCATTTATGGATGGAAAAATAAGTAAAATTTCAGGAATGAAAAAGGTTTAGTATTAATGGACGAACACGCAACAAAAATAAGGCCTATAGTGTAGTTTTAGGATACCACGTGCGCTTTTGCATGGGCGGTGCTAGCCCGTAGTTCAGCGGTTGTTTATTGTGCATGTTGTATACGCTGTAAATGTTCACATGAGCTACACGCCTGAAAACGTGTTTCTTCGTTCATGAGACCGCAACATTTTCGCGCCACTCGTGCACCGGGCGGATGTTAACAGGTCAAATTGCCGGATCAGATCCACCTTTTGCGTTCCCATCTGATCGTGATCCGGCAATTGCCGGATCTGATCCACCAATTGGGGGATCTGTATCCTGGTCCAGAGGTGGATCAGAAAAGGTGGATCTGATCCTGATCCACCTTATAACGGTTAGCGTTCCCACTACACACAATTGCCGGATCTGATCCACCAATTGGGGGATCTGATCCGGCAATTTGGCAAAAGGTGGATCAGATCCCCCAATTGGTGGATCAAGTGGGAACGGGGTCTTAGTTTCTTAAGAACTGTACATAGGCAACACGAGTACAATAATTATCACGGTGGAAAAATAATGTCGAAAATTATCCAGAATCACTCGTTATATTTTACTGTGGATGCCATTTTGTTTGTTTCAGATATGACCATCACCATGACAAGCCCACTGCGGTTGAAGACCCCGCGGTCCTCAGGCCAGTGGGGGCCAGGCTATGAGGAGAAGACGCTCATCTACTCCATGTACCTGCCTCCTCAACTTCACGATAATCCGCCGGAACCAACAGACCCAGATGTGAGTACAGCTTTTATGGATTTGTATTTTTAGAAAGTGAATCTACATTACAGAACTTTTTTGGGGTATTTTTGTGCCTTTATTGAAAAAGGATAGTTTAAAAAAATCAACAAGTGAGAGTCGACCGTCGATGGTCTTTCAAAATATTTACATGTTCCATTAAAGACTACTCTTTCCTTATTTTAATTTCCTTTTAGAAACTAACAATTCAATTTAAAGAATCCAAAGTTTAATTTCGAAGTTTAATCATGAATGCATACATTTTACTTGCCTGTATCCTTTGAACAGGAGTTGTTATTTTGGTGGTAGGATTTTAAATGAACTTCAATTTATGTCAGAGGTTTAGAATTTGAAAAGTAGTAAAGTCGGATGCAAAATTAAACCCAGAGAAGACACATTTCAGTGTGTCATATGTGGGTTATTGTGTATTTGTTTATGCTTCAAAAGCGTAACACTAGAAAAAAATTGAAACAATGTACACCACCCTTCGAGATCAAAACTATCAAATCCAATATTTGGTGAACTTTCTTTCCAACAGATGTTCATCATCGAAGAGGAACCCGAACGGTACTTTGTCATCACTTTCCCGAGCTACACTTACGCGTTCTTGGACTTCCAGAAGCGCAATGAGCTTGAAGACCTCCTGAACGGACAGAGGGAGGAGTTCCTTCGCGAATTCTTCTTCGTTGACGTTTACAACACGTGAGCGTATACTCTAAGAAGTCCTTGGTCAGATTTCGACCCGGAATTCGGCTTCTATTTGACCTAGTACTTTTTAGGGTCAAAATGACACTATTCCAGGTCAAAATGACACTTCTGTGGCTCATTTTCGGGTCATTCTGCGGCCCGGAATTCTTGGCAGAAGTGTCCTTTTGAAGTAGAAAAGTGTTTTTTTTACCGTTAAAAGTATCAGGTCAAATGAATCCAGATTCTGGGTCAAATCTAATCCGAAACTTTTCAGAATGTTTGAATCGACAGGATTCAAATCCGCAACATTCTTAATGCCGTGTACCGATTCTCTTGTCTCTTCACCAGCTCTAAGATCCAGTTCAAAAGCTGGCAGGTTCCTAGATTTTGATATGATTGTTTGTTTCATTCCAGCTCCTGATCGAGATCATGTGATCCAGCGGCGTGCGAAAACAAAGAGGACCATTCTCGCGCGTCGAATCGTCATGCGCATGAACACACAAAAACCTTACTTTTTCTCTCCGTCCGTCGAACACGTAGCCATCTTTGATCTTGCGAACCCACCGCCTGAGCAGGATAAGTTAAAACGTGATCCAGAGCAGCTCTCGACGCGTCAGATCACCGATCGCGGATCTACGCGAAACAAACAGGCCCTTTGTTTTGGGTGCCTCGTTGCAGTAGCATCTTCTATACGGTTTTTGATCTTGGGTAAAGCTTACTATACGATCTTATACCCAAATCCTCGAATAAAGTCCATGTGAGATATTTAGTTGTATTTTTTTGTATTCCTTATAGGCAAACGGAAGTAACAGGTCGCCAAAATGAGGTCTTGCTCCTGTTCAACCCAGACGTTCAAAAGCCTAACTGTGCCCCTCTCCAGAAAACCGCACTCCCGTCCATTCCCGTGGTACCAGTTCCGGAGGCCCTCATCAACAATGCGTCCGACCCAGGGTTCACCCAGCTCTGTACCGGCGCCGAGTACGACGCCCGACAGTACGACAGGGCCGTGTGGGTGTCGGTCACCATCAACGCAATATCGTCGGACGTGGGCAAATTCGACGCGTTCCCAAAGCTGGACCACTACATCAAAGGGCACAATGACCAAGGTATATAAACAATGATGACGTACGTGGAATAGCTTAAATGGCTGGCTCGTACTTCACGGAGAGTTGGGTGCCAAGAAAATTCCTTAGCGATAATTAACGGCGAAAGGTGATGAAAATATGATTTTGCTAAGCCGCAAAAAGAGGTTAACTGCTTAATAATTCATGGATGTATAGCTTATGAAGGTTCTCAACTGACTTTGTTAAGCACATAATTTGTTAAGCAAAAGTTTGGCCCAGTTTATTACATTCATGATGTAATGTGGCGCGAATGCGAAAGTGAACGCGACTCTGTGACGTCACGTCGTAGATATAATTTGGCGCGAGGGACACAAAGTTACCGCAAAGATTATAGTGATCAAAGACGGTAAACGAATCTTCCTTGCGATGTCCGCATTTTAAACTCCGTCGGCTTCGTCAATACGGTCGCGTTGAGAATGAATCACAAGGGTCGGTTCATACTCCATGTGAATGCGAAGCGAGATTTACGTCGAGAAACCTTCGCAGTGAAATTCGTCCAGACTAGGTTAAAATGCTCTCAAGTCTTGCGAATTCGGAAGACGTGATGGCCTCAAAAAATCGCGTTCTCGTTCGCACCTGCTATAAGACGTTTCGGGGGAAACAATCAAAAACAAAGAAAGAGACAAAGGGTGAGGGGTAGAGAGTATAAAGCCGGTCGACGAAATGCTTCCTGCCGTGGGTGAAGACAAAATTGGCAAAAATGTACAAAATACAAAAAGGACTGGAATTATATTAAACTTCAGGGATCTGGAATGATTAATACAGTGTTCAGTTTGCCTCACGAAAATGACTTTTAATTTTATTTTAATCATTATTTGGTTTTTATTTGTCATCAGGTTGACTCCTTCATTTTGGCATATATATTGGTAACATAGTCGGATATCCGTTTAATGCTTGTTACATATCAGTGTTGTCAGCTGGGTTCTTGTGACTTTCTTTCAGGTGTAAAGATCGAGAAAACGTTACCAGTTCGCATAACGCAGGAGTGGCCCAAGTCACCGTACGCGTACAACATCTACAGGGATTACACCTATGCGTATTATCTGCCTCCGGAGTTGTATAAGGGTATTCCGCAGCCGCTGGACCCTGCTGTAAGTATTTTTTATCAGAGAAAAAGAACCTATCATTATCACTCTCCTGAAGACGGTCAGAGCATACTGACCGGAACGTCGAGTTTATACCTCTGGTTCTTTTCAGAACCATTCTTTTAGTTGAGAAATTATTCGCACATGGTGTTTCCGCAAACCTTTCTTTATTTAGTATCTCCACCATGCAAAGCCTCAAATCTTACTTAACTTCACACTTCATTGATTTCGCCTTTTGCTACTTAAGTATTTACTTTCTTAGAGTTTAGGCACTCTCTTGAAGACGGTCAGAGCATACTGACCGGAACGTCGAGTTTATACCTCTGGTTCTTTTCAGAACCATTCTTTTAGTTGAGAAATTATTCGCACATGGTGTTTCCGCAAACCTTTCTTTATCTATCATTATCCGTTACTGCATTCATATTTTGTCTTTGTCAATTCCGTTTCATCTCAATTCACAGTTGAAGTCTATGCTGCGATTATACACTTTTATACTTGGTGATTCCAGAGAAAATAGGTTCCATGATTGCATTCATGTTGTGATGACCTGGATTGATTATCATTAGTCTCCACCTTACAATGCGACCACATAAACCTCGTGATATGTAATTCCTTTGGCAAAATCATCATGTTGAAAAAGCAATTAAACAAAATACTGCAGTTGCCGCATCCCTGTGTTTCAGGAAAAGATTTCTCACTTGACTGTAAACGTTCCTTAAGGATCGCTAAAGGAATCTCTTGAAACCATTTAAACTCTGTCAAAACGCGGTGCCTCATAAGGTCCAAGAAAAAAAAGGATGAAAAAAAAATTGATAGGGAGTGGGATTGGAGACCTTCCACCTCCCGTGCACCGTCCTGGCACTTAACCAACAGAAATATCCCTGCAATTATTCGTCTTTGGTCTATCTTTGTTCTCTCGGTCTAGCGATCCTAAAGCTCAGATTTACCCCTTGTTCATTTTTTTCTCGTTTGAAGCAACCGAATTACTCAAAATCTTAAGTAGGGTGAGCAGTAATTAATCAACTATCCTGCTATATCTCAGTGACTACTGTACAATGTCATTTTGAATATTTGGGTCTCGTTACTCAGTTCCGTTGTTATCGCGCGTATACACTATCCTGCGGGCACACTTTTAAAATCGCCTTCAATGACTGTTTTCTTACAATCGAAATCATTTTTGGCGGAATAATTTCACAAGGTATTTGGACCAGCCCTTTCTTCGAACAAGGTTTTCTTATTAAATCGGTATACTTTTCCGGTCCATACCAGTGTTCTTATACCTGCATTTTATGGGCTTTTCCCGGTTAGGTGAGGATTTTGGATGAGCCATCAGCCGTCATGTTTGCTCTCAACTACACCGGCTTTTCCTTCGAGTTCCGAGATGAGCAGATGCTTCAGAAATTGCAGAATCTCTTGATCGATGCTGGCGAGCTTTACATGAGTTCGCGGCGATGGGCCAGGAATCAATACTACCCGTTAGTATCAGGCTTAAAGGCACATGAGATTGTTATGCTTTTCATACATTTTGTCCGTTTATGATACCGCTCAAGAACCTTTTTTTTTCGAGAAAACAGTGACAAGTGTGAATAATCTTTTGATCAGGATTCGTCAATATAACTCTCTTTTTAAAAACAAATCAGTCATTATTGACTGATATTACAAATCACCATACATTTTCGTGACTTCTTCTCAATAAGAACAAGCCAGTCGGACGGATTAATTTCACGAGGTGTTTAGCACCTATAGGCCTACGATCTTTAATCCAAGTAAACGTTTTAGTAATAAAACGGTAGGCTACTTTTGGGATAAATGCAAACGATTCTATATGCCTTTATTATGTAACGCTTTTGCTTGATCCTTATACCGCGCCGATAATATCAGTTTCAGGGAGGCATTCAGAGTCGCGCCGTGAACAAAATTACTCCAGAGACTTGAATTAAATTACCTGAAAAATGTTTATACGTGATGGAAACTGTAAGGAGTAATTATAAAGAAAGATTGACTAACTTTATCTCATCTGTGTTTAGCTCCTACCAGGTGACTGATTGTCGTAACGACATCCTTGTGTACATGGACCCTCTTGCAAAGAGTCCAAGATGTGCGTCGGCTTGTGAACACAGAGGTATAGATGGAATGTCTTGTCTCAGAAGACAACTCAGAAGACATATAAGTCCTTATTTGAGTATTAACTTATGTCCAGTGCTAGACCCAGTAACTGAGGCACTAGAACTCCTTTTTTTCTCTCGAATATTGACTTTTGTCGATCGCACTGGCGCCCGAGTGAATCGTAGGCTTACTGTCTCTAAACCAGTCTTTCACGAACATCCAGCTCAAAAAACTTGCCAAAATCACGGAAAAGACTGGAAAGAAATGTCTTATAAAGCGCCTACTGGCTTCTCAAAGTGTCAAAGATGAACTACTGGGGATGCAAGTTATTTTTTTTAGATTGCTTATGAATATAAATGAGGTCTACTATGTTAAGACATTTTAGAAGTGCCTATATAACAAGCTAATCTAATTGGTTGGCCTATATAATAAGGGGATTTTGCTTTAACTTTCGGTTTCCCATGAAGTTGACCAGAAAGGCTGCAGAAAAAAAAATTTTGTTAAAAGAATTTAAAAAAATACTGATTAACAGATAACCAGAAGAAAAAACTTGCTGATGACATAAAAAAAAAAACACACCCACAAATATTGGGTCAGCAAATATGACTATCATCTGTGTTTTCCTGTTTATGAACCTTAGTTCCATTTCGTAAATACATGTACAAAAAGCAATCAAATTTGGGTAGGCCTAGTCACTGGTTTCTTTTCGACAAATTTTACAAATTAAGCAAGTAATTTGGGGGAAAATCACACATCGAATTGAAGGCAGATGTTATTACATGCATTCTGTATTTCTAACAGGACCTTGAAAAGTTTCACCTTACGTCCTCTTGATCAAAATCGGAAATGTTGAATAACCTGGAAGTATGAGTTCCGGTATTGCAGTGTTCCTGCATGGGTACTGTAAGGGCATATCATTATTTTGGCAATTACAATTAATTTTGTCACTAATGTGCTTCATTTTTCAATGTTGGTTTGCAGGCAAGGAGTGCCCTAGCTACCGCGTGCTTCAGAGCCTAACCGACGACATCCAGCGTCGACACATCTCGGGCAACCTGTACGTCCTCCGCAGAACCAACACCTGCAATATGACCACCGCGTACAATGTGGCTTACATGCCTCTCCACCGCTATTTTAGAGGTGAGATGAACCTATCACCGCGCGATTTCTTTTATGAGTTAAGACATATCATACAAATCAGATGTAACATACAAATCCGATGTAACATACAAAAAATAGATGTAACATAAAATGATAAGATTGAACATAAAAATCAGATGTAATATTGGTCCAGAAAGTTAAATTTTCAAAAGGGGGTCTCCAAAAATCTTGTGTTTCCGATACCAGAAAACGCACCCATTTGTACTCGTATATTGACGGAAACGTGGAATATTAATAATCATGATTACAGTACGCTTTGTTTGATTGAGCTTAAACTCTATGTATACAAGACATGAATATACATCAGCATAACCGACATCTTTCTTCGCTTGCCTCTGACAGGAGCCAACAATCGAAATGAGAGCATCGCACGGCCCACTCCAGTGATCCTGGTTCATAAGTCCACAGACAATCCTCCTCAAGGCTGTGACTTCTCCTACAATCTCATGTTCTACCTGCCCTCAGAGAAACACCAAAATGCCCCAGAACCCACCGAGGCAAGTTTAGGCATATTTTCTTTCATCAAGCGCAATCGTGCATACTCGGACACCATTCAATACCGGGAAAAGGTCCGGTTTGCCAGTCGCATGGTTTACTGCTGCTCAGAGAGCGTCATCTTTGGGATAACGTTATATTTCTAACGAAGAAGATTCGCTTTCCATTTCATATTACCCACGACATGTCCTGGAAGTCTGTTGCAAAAGGTGCCCAACAGCGTGCGGGAAACTTCTTGCAACACAAGAATGACCCGTTCTCCTTATTTTTTTGTTTACACAAGACAGTAACTTTACATTTGTCTAAGTGGTATGGACCACTGAAGTTTTCGATTTTATTTTCTACTTCTTGATGGAGTTCAGAGCACGACGGCTCTTTTGTGATGTTCACGCAAACTTTAAGGATGAATACAGAAACTTACCGTAGCAGGATTTTGACCTGCGGAACACCGTTCCAGCGCCCAACCAATTGAGCTATCCAACCCTTTGTTGGCGGTTTCCCATTTTTTGTAAAAAATATTCAGTGCCGTTGGTTAGAAGCCATGAACCTGTATGTCTTCTAGCCGTTGATCACTCCTAAATGTCACGATGCTATTGATACAAAAGGAACATTAGCAATGCTGCAAACATGGAAGATGACACTCCGGCTTCACTCAGAAATCATAAATGTCAGCTTTTGTTACAATACTTTTTTATTTCAAGACAACTTACACTCCTTTCAATGTTTTCAGGAAGGGGTTGAGTTGTTCAGGTTGGAGGCACGAGACACGTTCGTCATCACATTTGAAGAGTCGTCTACCGAAGAGGTCGTGGATACCAAATTGGCCCGAATGAAAGGCGAGCTGGACAGGCTTGAGCTGTGCTATGCCAGGGATGAGTTTGCTGTCGCCAGTAAGTTCCGCCCATTGGAAGAGAGAGAGAAAAAAGAACTCAGGGAATGCGATTCTCACTTCTTAAGTAACAAATAATTCGACTATTCGAATACTATAGGTGTCATAAACTGATTATTCAATAAACTAAATTTTTGGCTGTTTGAAGTAGCGAAAAATGTGAATAATCGAATATTAAAAGGTGTCATCTTATTATTTGGATATTATAGGTGTACAATACAGTAATCGACAGAGGTATAATCAATTGTATAAGTTAAGATACTCATGTTTGGAAGTCAAAGCTCAGACGTTGGTTTGCTTGCATTCATGTCCTGGGTCAGATTCGACCCGGAATCCGGGTCAGGTTTGGCCTGACACTCTTCTGGGTCAAAATGACACTTTCCGTGTCAAAATGACACTATCCTCTGTCATATGACTCGGAAACAGTGTCAGGTCACCCTGATCCGGGACCTTTAAGATTGTGAGCAGGGAGTGCTTAGAAAAGACGGATTGTTGACTATGAAGTAGATAAGTAACTGATCACAGTTTTTGTTGATTCTTTCCCGTTAACCCCCTCTCTTCGATAGCATATGATGCTCCGTGGCGCCCCCAACCCCACCGTCATGAGATCTGGATCCCCCAGGCCACGTGTGCCAGACCACGGTAATATACATTTTCAGGAAAACTTTAAATCATGATAATCCCCAAAGGAGAGAGAACATATACCACTTACCTTTTTACATAAATCTTGTTCAGTTTGGTTTTAAACACTATCTTGTGAATTCGTTTGAATGATGATGAGTTTGTAGTCCCTCAGTGATGAGACTTCGCAAATTTAGCACTTTTTTCTAAAACCTCTTGATTTTCAAATCTGCCAATCAGTAGCAAGTTTAAAACCGAGTGACTCGCTTTTTTAGAATTATGAATGTACATCAAGCGATAAAACCATATAATTATCTTGAAAACAATTACGGTACTGATATACAGGGTGAGTAAAAAAGACCCCAAATAGCAGGACCAATTATTTAATGAAGTTCTGCATGTAGCACTTTCAAAATCTAGGATATGAAAACCAATTCATGAGCTTTCTTGTAGTACAAAAATCATTCAAATCGCTTATGTACTTTTCAAGTTACGGAATTTCAAACACAAACACCGTTTTTAAACTTCTGTCCACGGATCACAGAAAGGTGTTCTTTCAGCAAAACGAGTACAATTCACATAGGGACGTATGTAGGCCCTAAATTGTTTTCGTTTTGCTAAAAGAACACTTACCTTTTTTGGTGATCCGTGGACAGAAGTTTAAAACTTTTGTCTTTTTTTCATTGCATTTCAGCCCAGAGGGAAGCCCCCAGTACAGCATCCAGGGCTCAGGCTGTGATGTGGGGACCGAGTGTCCAACATATGAGATCGTCCGCTCTTACTCTACCTTCGAGGAAAGACTCTACCAAAGAAGTTAGTACAGCTTTACATTTTCTAATTATTTATTTATTCCTCATAAGTACCCTAAGCATTGTAACTCGAAAGCCTGAAGAAACATGTAGAGAGAAGACAATGAGAAGAAATTACAGTTTTAGAGGTGGGAGGAAAAGCCCAGAGGATTATTCTGAGGAAAACCCACGGAATCAGGTAGGGACTGAAAACCCAATCCACATATTGACCCGGGCGGGATTCGGATTCGGGCGGGATTCGAACCCGGGTCACAGCGGTGGAAGGCGAGGAAAGTACCGCCACGCCAACCCGACTCCCCTATGCCCTTTTTTAAGAATTAATTTCTTTTTACGGGCTTTAGCACGTGCAGTAGCAGAGTACGTGCCACTGTTTGTGCCTTATTCACGAGTTGGCCAGTTTTGTTAAGAGATGGCGCCAGACTAATTTTGCAGGCATAATGCAGCCTTTTTTTACTGTCATTTTTTTTTATCGGGCTTTAAACATTAGGGAACGCTTAATTTTAAACTTTAAATTATCCATTTAAGCAGACTGGAATCAATGAGTAATTAACTTGTTTTCATTTCTCTACGTGCAAAAGTTCCAAAAATGAAGATTTTACCTCACTCTCAATCCAATATGGCCGACTCGTGAATAAGGCCCATAGGGTTGCAGACCAGTAAATAAACTTCCATAGACCCCAATGGTAAATGCTCACACATAAGAAATTCGGGAAAAATACAACTCTCCAAGGTGTTCGAGACACACATCAAATTAAAGTTTATTTCATCATCTTTCATTTTCTTTTCAATTTTTGGGGGGTCAACTGATTACTTTTAGGAGAAATTTCCATCCGAAGATGATCACCCCTGAAAATAGTCCTGAAGCCCATCGCCATGTTGGAAAACGATGCCTACACTCCATTGCAAAATAGAGCGCTTTAAGGGCCCGAATTTCATCCAAATTGAACGGAACTACAAGCTCACAGTCCTGTGCACGGCTTCCATCCATATTTTTTACAAACCCTCAAGTTCATGGCCCACAGTGTGCTCAAATACTGAAGATTTTGAGGGCATGCAAATCGTGATTTGGCCGGCGCAGGCAATTTCGGACCGATTTACTGGTCTGCAACCATAGGGCCTACTGTAACTCTAAGTGTAAGGATAATGGCTAAACTTGTTATGTCTACTAATAATTGTACATTTTACAGCAGATTTGTGGGTTTGCAAGGTGACCACCAATTGTAATATCGAGGATGCTTTTAATGAAGCAATCACCCCGCTGTACGAGTACTACCAGTCCTGCTACGACGTGGAACCCAAAGCTAGGCCTGTCATGTCCTCCGTAAGTTAGCGGGGAAAAAATCAAGGCATTATGGTTTGTTTCCGATAACACAACTCAAAATCTACAGAAGAATGTTACAGACCTAACCTGTTGAAATTTAAGTTCAGTGGATGTTACAATTTTCGTGAAAACAGTGCCAAATCATGCAAAACCTTTTTATCACGAAATCACTCAGTGCACCCAATAAGATTTTGATCATTTTGTGCTTCATACAGGGTGAGTAAAAAAAAAAGCGAAACCCAAATGTCGGGACCATTGTTTTAGTGAAGTTCTACATGTAGCACTTTCAAATTCTAGGATTTGAAAGCCCAATTCATAAGCTTTCTTTCAGTACAAGAATCATTAAAATCATTCATGTACTTTTCAAGTTACGGAATTTTAAACGCAACCCCGTTTTAAAGTTTTGTCAGCGGATCACAAGAAGGTAAGTGTTCTTTCAGCTAAACATTGGGATGTGTGTGAATTGTGTTCGTTTTGCTGAAAGGACACACACTTTTTTGCACCTTTACTAAAAGAAAGCTTATGAATTGGGCTTTCATATCCTAGATTTAGAAAGTGCTGCATGCAGAACTTCACTAAAACAATAGTCCCAACATTTGGGTTTCACTTTTTTGACTCGCCCTGTACAGAAAAAAAATGCACAACAAGCGAAAGGACCTTAAGTACATATAGTGCGCCCAAACTCTTGAGCTAGAATATTATTTGTCTTTTTGTCTTACTCGCAGATGAGCCTCCTTGACTTTCTGAGCACCGAGTGCAACAAAGTCATCGAAACCTGCGCCTTCCTGCCTGAGATTGGCAGATCGCTACCGGAACAGCCTGATAATGATGTATGTTCTTGTGCTCCTGTCTAATGGTTGCTTAGGAAAAAGGGTCCCTAAGAAGTTTAGCAAGTCAGTTGGGAGATGGGACATATTACATATTTCATAACCTGTTTTCTTAAACAAAAATACGTTTTCAGTAGAAGCGGAATATCTCAAAGTCAAAGTGCGAGCTTTTCTTCTTCTCACTTTCACTCGGGGGGGGGGGGGGGGTAACACACTGAGAGCAACTGGTATGATGCGTCGGTGAGGGGCAAAAACTTAATATTGAACTTGCGTCACCCCGTTCAGAATGGTTGACGGAACATTGATTATTTCCCATAATTGCTGTTTCAGTTGATCTTGCACTACTACCCGAGTGAGAGCAGCGAGAGCCAGGCTACGGTGTACATGACAGCCCTGCAAGGCCCGCCCTCTGTTGAGCTCATTCAGTCCGGCATAACCACACTGCTGCGCGATGTCACTGATGCAGACCTCTTGCACAACGTGAGTATAATTATAGGCTATACCTGTTGGGCGCGATCGGTGGATCTGCGCTATCACCCGATCGCGCATGCAGAAATGCTTGCGCAATCGGTCGGTCCGTTAGGAAATCTCAGACTATCCTCCAGAGTCGTGAATTACGAAGAAAAGGTGATCGACCGATGGGGCGCAATACACCGATAGCGCAGCACCACCGATCGATCACGCGATCGACCTACCGCGCCAAACATTATCGTCACAGATTTTCTTTATTGCATTTCAAAACTTAAAATTGTGTTAAAAATATTTTAATTAAAAAATTGAGTGTAATCTTCAGAAAATGAGGTCCCCATTTCTTCGATCAAGTCATTACAAAGAACACGAGAGAGTAAACATGATTGATTTTTAACTTTTTGGTTTTTAAAATCGTGCTTAGGGGTATAATTTCAACTAGCATTCGTATATCTCAGCAAAGCCGCATTATTTTTTTAACGAGGGGCAACATGACCGCATCAATATTGTTTGACCTTTTTGTAAGAGACAAATAATTAATCTTAAGAAAAATTATATGGATGAGTGACTTCAACTTTGCTTTTTTTAACAGAACAAAGTGTTTGTGGCTCGCTACACTTTGCCGTGGGAGGACGATGACGCGAAGACTGAAGTGGGTGTCCAGGCGGAGACCCTGGCCCACCAACTGTAAGGTTACAGTCTTGGTACCAGACCATCCTTGTTTGATGTGACGTCTTGTGACGATTGATGCTTGGCTTTGATTTTATCGTAAAGTTATTATGACTTCAGGGGCGGTGGAACCGGGGGCAGGGGGGGGGCACTTGCTCCCCTCCCCAGATTTTCCTAGGTCAACAAAAGTTCCCCTCTCGCGGTTGTGCCCCCTCGAGATAAAAACAATAATGCCCCTCAAACGCAAACGCATTAAAGCATATGATCGCGCTACAAATATATTTGTCTCCTCTCTTGTAATGCAAAACTGCCCCTCAAAAACGCAAGTACCCCTCTCATATTAACAAGATTATTCACCTTCTCGAGGTGGAGAACTACCCCGCGAAAGCGCAAATACCCCTCTCGCAATAATTGTGCCCCTCTCGAGATGGAAAATTGGCCATCAAAAATAAATCTCGCGATTACTCCTCGATATGGAAAACTGCCCCTCGAAAGCACAATTAGTGCCTCGCTTGCAACATGAAAATTGTGCCCCCTCTCGAGATGGAAAAGTGGCCCCTAAAAAATAATAGTGCTCTTCACACGAATAAAACGTCACTGAACTGGCCATCAAAAGCAATGGTCTCTCTACATATCTAGGTAAAAGAAACACAAAGATTTGTTCCTCGTCATATAGGTTTATAGCGAAATGAACGGGGCCATATTCTTTCCCCCCCCCCCCACTTTTACACCGACGGAAGGTGCCCCTTTTTTTGAGCAAGCGCCCCTTTTTGGTGTCGCCCCCCAGTTTGAAAAGCGTTCTGCCGTCCCTGTATGACTTCACGCGTGCATGTAACTAGTACTATTTAGGATTCTAAATGCTTCTTGACAATATGCAGACTTAACAAAGCCCAAATTATTTCAACAGATCACTGAATTAGATTTAGAATACATATTGCTGCGCCTTCGAAACCACAGAAAATTGGTTGTATTTGGACAATGTAATTTTTTTTTTTATGATGTCTTTGGAAGAACAAGAACTGTTCAGTGAACGGTTCCCTTTATTAAGATGCTGACTTTTGCCTTTAAAATTGTACTCTTCAATTACTTTCAAACAGATATTTTTATATTACTAAAAATTGTTACACTTTGGTAAAACGATTTCGTCATGGCGATCTATATTATTCAGATTTTTTCAAATAATCATCAAGAAAATGATTATTTTTTAGATTCAGATGAAACATAAAATGTGTGCTTTGTCATCCTCACCTACATGGGTGAAGAAGTGAAACTTTCAACACAGTACGTTTGGATAGAACTATCGGCTTAACATCATGAATTCTGTGCTTATACAAATTTGAAACGAGTGCCTGAAACATCATAGAATGTTTGAAAACAGCACGAAAAATGACTGTAAGATGGAATTTCACTACATAATTATCTCACTGTTTTACCCAATTAAATACAACTTTTGAATTAAAACATTCCCTCCCTTTTTGTCATTTCTATATCGGTGTCAATTCTTATAACACGTTTTGCTGATGAAGAAGAAATTGAGTTGATTCTTAACATTGGAAATGTATACTTTGATATTCCGTGCTTCTGTAGTTAGAAAAGTCAATAAATAATTATAAAAAAGCATATAGCACTCGGGTTTCGTTGGTATTTCATTTTGGAAAACTGGTGTGCTGAGGCGTTTTGATATTAGGATGACAACGATTGGCGGTGACTCTTCCGAAATGGACACAAAAGTTGAACATGCCGTTTTGATTTTGATGTCACAGTGAAAGCAAATTTGATCAAGGCATCTAACCCTTGTTAAATTATACAAGGCAAAAGATTATACATGTAAACACTTTTGTTGCTGTAAAAAAAAAGTATTTCCTCTCACCAAGTGAAAATTGATATAATTTTTTTGGGAACAATGAAACGGGATCACTTGACTCTACCTGCAAGAAATCTGTCCTACTTCCACCTTCCCTGAAAAAAGTTGCGTCTTATAGGCCTATAAAATGTATAGACAATAAATTCGCTCAAAAATCTGTGCACTTGTCGTGTTTTGGGAGAGAAAGCTTGGCTCCCATTCAGGAACGAACACAAGTGTATTGCCAAATAACCGTCGTCAGGATGTCGCTCAATGCCCGGAAGCCCGGAAGGGGGGGGGGGCAAGGAGCGAAAAAACAACCAAAAAACAAAAACAAAAAGGGGGGGGGGGGAGAAGAAAAAAGAATTAGAAAAAGAAGAGATGCGAAGTCATATTGCTGTTAGTTTAATGCACATTTAACAACATGGGCGTCCGTGGGCGTGTCAATGGGGTGGGGTGAGCAAATGTCCCTCCGCCCACCCTCGAAGAATGATTAATTTAGAATAGGCCTATGCTATAGAAAGTACAAGGATTTTGGAAAAGTGCTTTGCCCCCCCCCTTGAAAAAATCGTGGCGACGCCCATGGCTACGTGCTGAGCAAAAAGTCATATTCGAGCACGTAGGTCACAAATATTCCCGTGTGCGGTGAATTTTTGCCGAGTTTTCTGCGAGGCAAAAACTCAACGTGTGCGGTCAACCTGAGCTGCGTGCTGAGCTAAAAAGATTACCTGACGCATGAAATCACATTATTCTTGTTTGTCGGTTGCGTGATTTCGGAAAAAAAAGTAGGGACAAACGCCAGACGGTTTAGAAGCTTTGCACAAAAAAATATCTTAAAATCACGTGTACAGAATACGTGATTTCAATAGTTAATAGCTAATCTATTTTTCATAAAATGTGATAGGGAATAAATGATTATGTTTTAGGCATGCGCATTCCCAAATAATAAGAAAAAAGGCGACATCTGGATTCGAACCAGGGACCTCGCGATCTCCAGTCGAATGCTTTACCAGTATCCCCTGCGTTGTAAAGAAATCTTGTTATAAATTACTACGCCCATAAACCGTGACACAGATATGACATTTTTACAGTTAGAAGTCGATTGGGAAGGTGGTAGTTTGCACTCAATGGTTGATGAACAAAGACAAACATTTACTCTTTTTTTTTAAAATAATGTAACCGCAATAATTGGGCATTTTAATTAAATAAAAAATGATAACATAGATATGCACTCTAGGGGACACCCGGATTTGAACCGGGGACCTCTCGATCTGCAGTCGAATGCTCTACCACTGAGCTATATCCCCGTTGTGATCATAAAAGTGTGACATATAGATAGATAAAAAGCCATAGGCGGTACCGTCAACACTAGCATGACACAGGCTGAAATCAAACGTATGTCGTTAATCATTACTTTCAGCAAATCAATGCCGTACTTGGTACTTAATTGGTACTTGGTTGGTTTCCTCCTGAAACATCCTCCAGGGATCTTGACCAGGATCAGGTCACGGGGAGGTTTCGGGTTGCAGACCAGTACATACATTTCCATAGACCCCAATGATTGAATGCCCCCACTTCAGAAATTCAGGAAAAATACTCACAACTCTCCAAGGTGTTCAAGACGTACATCAAATTATAAAGCTTATTTCATCATCTTTCATTTTCTTTTCAATTTTTTGGGAATAAGCTAATGACTTTTGGGAGTAATTTCCATCGGAAGATGATCACCCCTTAAAATAGTCCTGAATCCTATCGACACTTTTAAAAACGGTGCCTACACTCCATTGCAAAATAGAGCGCTGTTAGGGCCCCAATTTCATCCAAATTTCACAGAAATACAAGCTCACGGTCCGGCTGTGCACGGCTTCCACCCATATATATATTTTTTGTAAACCCTCAAGTTTATGGCCCGCAATATGCTCAATATTTTGAAGGCATGCAAACCGTGATTTGGCCGGCGTAGGCAATTTCGGACCGATTTACTGGTCTGCAATCTTCGGCATCTATGTCTCGGTCACGATGTAGTCAGTTGTCTCTTGTGCGTCACAGCTAGAGTCAGTGATGTGTTGAGGCAGGTCATTCCATAATTTAATGGTCCTTGGGGAAAAAAAGAGTTCTTGAATGCAGTTGAGGCCGGATGTTTGTAGTATTATTGGTTATTGTTCCCCCTCTTGGATCTCTGCATTTTGGGCTGAAGATAGTCTGAAGCATCGATGTCAATTGTTTGAGTGATAATCCCTAACCACAACAGGTGTATAAACAGCCCACTCCATCGAGTGTCCCTTATAAGGTTGGCACTTCAGGTGTGGGCGTGCCTGTTTCTCCATTTCCGAAGGGGGTATAACTTCCAGTGTTGCTTCCGCCTGAGATTGTTATCTGGAGAAAAGAATGCGCTTATACAACTTTAGGGTATAATAGTAGCCATTTTGGATCTTTACTAATACTATATCCTTATACAACTTATCCAGTCACTCATATGCTGTAGAAAATATAATTTAAGTAAGAATATGTAAGTCGGATCCCCAAAGTATACTTTTGAAAAAATACAAAAATGAAATATATACCCAAATTTGGGAACAAATATATTTAACGGCATGTATATATTTACGATTTATGCAAACAAGTTAGGCACCATTCTATGATTTCAGGCGGTCACTCCTTCTACGTATCTTTAAGAATCTATCTGCGAAGTTTGTCGCATTGGACCAGTCGGTCACGATCTTGTCAAAAATTGGATCTAAGAAACCAGACTAGGGGAAAACAATTTCAATATCACGTTTCAAGGCCCGTGGGGCGCCCCCCCCCATCCCGCGCCATTTAGCCCGCCCACTACTCACCTGCCGCTAACTGTATGAATAACAAGCCGATAGAGGGCGCTGTCTATTGTTACTATTGGAAATGCACGTAAACATGCATGGCGACTCGCGACTTCCTCGATCACAATACAGATTTTTTAATATGCCAAAGTGGTAAGAAGTCAGTGTTTTTTCAGGAGATTTTAAATGATACCTGCTGTTAGTGTTATCTTTGTTTTTTTGTTCCAAGCGTATTTTAAGCCTCCTTTTTTGCCCATAGTGGTGCAACTGCAAAAGTAGCCCCATAAATGTGGCCTAGCTATTTACTGGACTGCCTCCGTAAACATAGGCCACACATCCACATGTACAAAAATCGTGTCGACTTTGCCAAATTTTGATTTTCACATTTAGGCTTAGTTTGTAGGTTTTTTTTGCTTTAGAAGCATACTCACCCTCTTTATAGGCTAATCAGAAAGTGCTGCCTTTTTCAGATGTATATTTTTCGTGAAATTTCCAGATTCATTTTTACACGTTTGTGTATCAAAATTTCAACATGAAATTTCACAAAAATTAGACATCTGAAAAAGGCAGCACTTTCTGACTAGCCTATAAAGAGGGTGAGTATGCTTCTAAAGCAAAAAAATCCTACAAACTAAGCCTAAATGTGAAAATCAAAATTTGGCAAAGTCAACACGATTTTTGTACATGTGGATGTTGTGCCCATTCTTGAAAATCACGCATTCTCGAGAATGGGCATGCACATTCTTGAGAATGTGCAACTGGATCCTTGCTCAATCTTGGCAAAAAATAACTCTTCCAGACTGAGCGCACATTCTTGAGAATGCGCAACAAGATAACGGTCTTGTCGATGCCTAGCCCCACTAGTGTGGCCGTCGGTATGCTGCGCTGAACCCAAGGTTCGTTTTTTTTTCGTGGCACGCATATGATACATGCAGGGACTTGTAACTTGTCTAGCCTAAACAAAGCACTTCCCAGACTAGTTCCCAGTCCTCCGTTATTACAAAACTTCCCATAGTGGACAGAAAAAAGCAATAATAACAGGATTAATTTGATTCAAATTATCGTAGTTATACGAGTACAGAAGCATAGCACATTTTCTTTCCTCTTTATATGAATTGTTTCCCTTTTAACCGCTATACAATTCATTTAACATAATTATGTCGTGCAATGTTTGTTAAGATTGGGTAAAATTCATAAATTGTGCACGTGATATTCCCACCCAATCTTAAGAATGAGCGCTCATTCTTAAGAACGCGTGCTCGTTCTTAAGAATGGGCGCTCATTCTTAAGAATGCGCGCCCATTCTCGAGAATGTGCATGCCCATTCTCGAGAATGCGTGATTTTCAAGAATGGGCACAACATGGATGTGTGGCCTATGTTTACGGAGGCAGTCCAGTAAATAGGCCACATTTATGGGGCTACTGCAAAAGCTGCACATCTCACAACTAGTCTCAACAAAAAACAACTTGCGTTTTTTCGGACAAACTCCTCAGTAGTAGTTTGGGGGGGGGGGGGGTGCGCATATCTAGGTTCCCCAATACCGATGTTCCCCAATACCAATGACATGTTAAATCCTTACCATATAACCCTAATCCTAAGGATTTCGGGGAACATCGGTATTGGGGAACATTAGTTATTGGGGAACATCGGGTAGACCCCGTTTGGGGAACCTAGCGTGTGGCCAGAAGAAAGAACAGCACAGCAATACAGTGGCCACACTAGTGGGACTAGTAGCAGTACTTTAGTTAGGCCTAGTCTGAGTAACTGGGACTCTACAAATCGCCTTCCGAATGTTAAAAAAAGGCGATTCGTAGAGTCCTATTTACTCGGACCAAGTTAGGCCTACTGAACAAAATTCATTGGTACTGGCAGAGTATATTTGACCGTGAACTGGTCCCCGATTTTACTGGCATGGCACTAAACATGCGCATTAAGTATTTTTTTTTGTTTGGGAAATTGTTATTGTCATGAATCTTTATCTTGTTCCAGACTTTCATTGTTGTTGTGACTTTGTATTCACGAGATGGGAATCAGAGGCTAATGCTACTTTGGACTTAAAACAAATCTATAACTTTCATTCTCAGTCATGGCCTAAATCATGAGAGTTATTATGATAGTCGGATGAGCTTACCAAAGAATGTGAAAGACCATAATGAGAATTTCCATTTATTTTTTTCTGCTGTCATTTTTCCAAGGTAAATGTATGCAGCATGGAAGGTACAACAGAAATGACTGAAGGGAATCAGCAAATGACTTGTGAAGAGACTACAGCTTCACAGGTTACACATATAGATGTAGACAATCCTCAAGATGAAGCACTTCATGTAGACTCTTCACCAAGCCGCAAAGATGAAAAAGAAATTTTGACAGATTCTGATAACAAGATTTCTGAAGAAGCCGGAAGTACTTCTGAACAATCTGAAAATCAATCCTCAGAACAGCAGCAACAGAGTAGCCCTTCAAGTAATATGGAAGCTTCCAAGTTGGGTTCTCCTGTTGAAAGGCCTGATGGTCTTGCAGACGGGAAAGAGGACTATACCATTACAGAAAAGGGTGTAATAGAACCTGAGGAGTCTGTCGCACAAGAAAGAACTTCTCAACAGCTCGGTGATGCTTCTCCTGATATAGAAAATGCTGACACATTGGTTGATGAAAACCAGGAGAAAAAGTTGACGGTCACATTAAATCTTGAAGCGGATGTTGTTGATGCTGACATTCAGGAGGATGTCAGTACCACAGATGACAAATCTCGACTCGACACCAATGATCAAGTTTTTCCAAAGGAAGTTGGCGACAGTGCTGTTGAAGGTTCCGAGAGCACCAGTCCACTGGTTGCTATTCCTCCATCAGAACTGAACGAAGCTAAAGAAGCAGGTTCTGTACCAGGAGTAGACAAGGTGCAGCCTCTTGTGTCAGATCCCACCCAAGAGTCGGACAGACGGATCAGCGTAACGGAAAGTGCTAAAGAACCAAGTGACTCAGTGACGCCCAGCAAGCCGGACACCCCTGAGACTGGGATCTCAATCAACACAAGAGGGGACCCAGGTCTCCAGTCCAGGCTGACAACTCCGCACCCTCCGAGCCGACCCTGGCTGGACAGGCCCCTGACTCAAGCGTCAAACAGCACAGAGTTTACATACGACGAGAAGAAAGACTTTAGGACTCCAGACTACGAGTACGCACAGACGCCGCTGTACTCGGTCCGGGGCGACTCGGCGCTGCGGCAGGAACGGAGGGCTTTAAGCAGAGGAGACAGCACCAAGAGCGTGACCTTTGCAGACGACCTCATGGGTAGGAGGAGTGCTAAAGCTCGTGGGGTAGAGGAGGAGGCAGAGGACGCATCTTCAGATGGAGAAAATGATGTAGGAACACCTGATGTGGAAAGAGAAGAAACTGAATCTGGGTTCAAAGATGAAGCAACAGAAGAGGTCAAAGGTGAAGATGTGACAGAAGAGAAAAAAGAGGTGTGTTGCTTTCAGATAAAATGTCGGTATTCTTTGAAACTTTTTAAAGATTGTTTTACTAGCCAAAATAAATTGATCTTGTCAATAAAGATTAACAGAGCTCACCTACCACCTACTGTTCTAAATCGTCCATCTTACTATCACTTTCGAGTTTTGTCAAAAGAATTTGTGAATTTTTTTTTACACAAAAAAAAAGACAAATAGGGACATCAGATTCAGGAACATTTTTAAGATGGTCAGAGAAGCTTGACGTATACTGGCATGCCTATGTCAGGCTAGATAATCCCCCTTTTACAAATTACAAATGTTGGTAAGTATCAATAATATCAAGGATGTTTTTTAGAAAAACATCTTAGAAATGTGGTTTCATTCTCAGAAATTGCTTTTTATTTATTGTTTGTGTATGTTCTTCTTAAAAATATTCATGACAATTGCCGTCACAGGAGACGGACAGTGGGGACCTCTTCCCAACGGCTGTCAGCGAGGAGAAGATTGAGGAGGCCAAACTCAAGAGGAAAGAGCGAGCGGCCAGCGATGCGGCACTCAAGGAGCAGCGCCTCGTGGGACTGTTTGGGGAACCGAGGCTTGAGGAAAGACGCTCCATGGAAGATGTGGTGGGCAGCAAAGCCAGGGAGCAGTGAGTCCGAATTTGTACTTTTCTTTCTTTTCTTTGCAGAGGGTGGATGTTTTTCGCCTTCAAGTTATAGACTTGATTTAACTTTGTAAAGAGTGAGATGTTAGAATACAGCACATCCGGACACCATGTATAGGATCTGCAACATGTCTAACGTCCTATTTTTTTTGCATTGACTGGGCCATGCAATCAAGGACAATAAATGGGCATTTCGAAAGAAAAGAAAGCGTTACAATATACAACATACTGAAAATATTGCGAAATTGATGTTGACCTCAACTTCCATTCATTTGATCACGCAGATAACAACTGGGTAAATTCAAACACGGGAGTCCGTGACCAGACAAGTCAGTGTTGGGTACCAAGACACTCACAGAAAAAGTGAACGTGGATTGGCAAGACTTACGCGCTCTATTGAGGGACCCAAAGCTCAAGACGGAATGCCGCAAGAAAATGAAATAACCAGTTCATCAATTCTTCCTCTCCATGGAGAGGAAAGATGAAGATCCCCTCTTTCATAAACCTTGGAATGCTTACGTCAAACGTGGCTGGTGAAATTTTGACAAAGGCTGTCCAAATATCTGAGCTATGGGACATCACTCCCCCTCTCCCCCCCCCCCCCCGGCCTTAGCGACACCTGTTGTGTCTTATCATAACCCCAAGTTTTCCTAAATTTTACCCTCCTGAATAATAATGATATCATAAGCCACTTTCATTAACTCTCCTGAGTTTTGAATAAATATTGTGACAATAACCATTCTTCTTCCAATAACCCTCTTCGGTTTGGGTCCTGTCCTGTCATCAACCGTTCTCACTTCCATGTTTCAATCACCCTTGACTCTTCCCCCATTTACCCTCTTCTGAAAAAGGTTGCGTCCTTATATTCGAGCTGTGCTACTCATCCCCCTTCCCCCTCCCCCCCCCCCCCCCGAGCCCTCTAGTGATGCACATGGTGTCACTTCTTGATCTGTTTTCACTTTCCCATTTCCAACCTCCCCAGTTTTGACAAAGGCTGCGTCCTCCTGTCTGAGCTACGCCACGGCCAGGCCGTAGTCTGCTTCGACAAGGCCATCAATCTCTGCCCTAGGGAGGTGCGCTACTACCTGATGCGGGCCGAGGCTTACCTCCAGATGTGCGACTTCCAGTCGGCCATCTTGAATTTCAAGAAGGCCTGCGTGTTGGCCCCGGACAATGACGCATATTACACACGCTTGGCGTTTGTCTACTATTTTCAGGTAGACAGCATTTTTTATACGCATTGGAAACCTTGACCACTTTGCAACTAATTGCTCCATCCTTGTGGTGTATTGTGTAAAGCCAAATAAAAACAGGTTGAAATTCATCAAATTTGGAGGTTGGAATAATTTGGACAGTGGACCAGTGTTAAGGGCTCCTTAAGCTAGGATAATTTAGTTGCTTCTCCCCAGCAGGATCTACTATTTATCATAATCAAATCTGAGTCTAAGGACAAATTTCTACTGAGCTATTGAGCACAAAAAGGTTTCCCCAGCACAGCTAATCCTGCAAACTTTCATGAGACTTTTGCTTTAATAGTATGTACATTTGCAGAGAAGAATTTTCTTTTCGGAGGCTCAAACAATTTTTTGATAAATTGGCCGAGATACCCCAAAATCTGAGTATTTTTCCACATTTTGTTTTGTGTTTGCAGGGGCAGACGTTGTTTGACCAGTGTCTGTTTGCCGAGGCTCTGGAGTCCTTCTCCCGTGCGTCTGAAATGAGACCTGAAGTCATCGGTTACCACACAAGAAGGTATGCTTCATAACCTGCACTCCTGCAGGGAACCAGCCTCGAGAACTGGTTTGGACTGGTTTAGGCTAGTTCAGACTGGATAGATCCACTTTTTCTAGTCTGCCTGGTTTCTTCTAAAATAGCATTCTGGCGCTTTACATCTTCATCGTACTTTTATTTGTACTCAAGCCACTGGGAATTATTACTCCTAGGGATGGAATTTAAAAACGTCTAAGCTCCTTAGAGTGTAAACAAATTCTTTCTGAAAATTGTCTGTGCATGCAAAAGGCTTTATACAAGAAACAGTTTTGTATCAAATGAAATTAAAATTTTCATGGCTACAAGTTTTCTCAAGGGCAGCTAGGGTCATGGGTCATTTTCTTTAGTTTCTGGCGGCGACAAGCCAATTTATCAGCTATCAGAGAGCCTATATATCTGATCAAGTTGTAACTTTTGACAGTATAAATTTTGTTGAACATTTACCACTGATTACAGGTGTACCCTTTTGCATTGAACCTTGGTATGTGAATTGAATCCGTCTGATATTTAAAAACGGAGAGTAACGTTGGAAAACACTTTTGGAATTTTTGTGACAGCGTGGCGTGCCTAGCAGCCTTGCAGAGACACGGTGAGTGCCTGGCACTGGTCAACAAGCGGCTGGAAGTGGAACATAATAACCCAGACCTGTACATCATGAGGGCGCGTCTGCATGAACTCTTCAGGAATGTGAGTGACTATAAGGGGGCTGTGACATTAGGGAGACATGAAAATGTCTCCCTAATGACAGATGTCTCCCACCGTTCGAAGAAATTACGATACCGTGTCTCCTTATTACTTTTACACGTATAATAATAATAATAATAATAACATTAGATTCAGTGTATCATGTTTAATATTCAATTATGCAAATCCCCTTTGCCCTTCCCAGAGATCCCTGTGCTACTATGACCTGAAGGACGCCATTGCCCTGGACCCAGGCCGGGCTGAGGCTAGCGCCCTCATGAGACAGCTAGAGGCCAAGGCAGAGGACAGCCGTGCACACGCCGTGCGTCTGCAGCTTCAAGGCAAACTGAAGGAGGCCATGCACAAGATCACGAACGCGGTGGAAACCAACCCGGCAGTGGCTGACTACCACTTGCTCAGGTGAGAAGATATTTTCTGAAGGAGTTCGTCTTTATGAACTCTCTGTGTATTACGGTTGTCACACGGAGAGATACGAAGGACATTTGGATGCCGTACCTGAGCAGGTTCAATCTCAAACCGTAGTTTGACTCGCTTCACTAAAACTCGTGTTTTTTTTCTACCAAAGTTCAACTTGTCTGCTTGACTATGCAGGACCAGCCTACCGAAGTGGGTTGCATCACTGGTTACCTAAAGCTGTTTGCATCCTTATTCACAGCGGGGTGCCAAGACCAAAAAGATTTGTGATGAGACTTTGACCATTGTTTGAGTGGAGATATTCACACATTCATAAGTTATGTCACAAATCAACCGCTAGTGAGCCAATGGTCCTCTGTCCAAGATCCAAGAACTTTTTGTTCTAGTGGGGAGAAGAAAACTCCAGACGTTTAATCCAGAGAAAAACCCTGAAAATAAAAAAAAACAAGTCCGCATGACAGTCTTAATTGGGATTCACACCTGGGCCGCAGAAGTGGAAGGCTAGAAAAGTATCGCCATCCCGACCTGACTCGCAAACAATTGATTCAAACAATTAAGATTCACATTGTCAACTATTTCTTTCCACTTCACAGGGGTGCCCTCCATCGCCGTCTCCACGACTATAATGCCGCCATCGACGACTTCCTTCTTGCCCTGGACAAGACTGACCACAACGAGCAGAACCGTGTCTATCTGGAAGCCCAGCGACAGCTCTTGCTGACGTACAACGACTTTGCCGTGGAATGCTTCCTCGGGGGACACTTCGAGGAGGCCATCATCCTGCTGAACAAGGCCATCAAGGGGGAGAAGAGAGAAAAGGGACTGTACATCAACCGAGGAGGTGGGGCTTCTTGAAAGGGGCGGGTTTTAATCTCAGTGGGCAGGGGCTTAATCTGATGGGGAGGGGCCTAATCTTAGGGGGTGGGGCCATCATCCTGCTGAACAAGGCCATCAAGGGGGAGAAGAGAGAAAAGGGACTGTACATCAACCGAGGAGGTGGGGCTTCTTGAAAGGGGCGGGTTTTAATCTCAGTGGGCAGGGGCTTAATCTGATGGGGAGGGGCCTAATCTTAGGGGGTGGGGCCATCATCCTGCTGAACAAGGCCATCAAGGGGAGAAGAGAGAAAAGGGACTGTACATCAACCGAGGAGGTGGGGCTTCTTGAAAGGGGCGGGTTTTAATCGCAGCGGGCAGGGGCTTAATCTGACAGGGAGGGGCCTAATCTTAGGGGGTGGAGCCTAACCTCAGGCTGCTAGGCCTTACCTAAGGGGCTAGGGCGTAAAGAGAGCATACTGAAAAGCACAGATCAAATCTTTATACATTGAGTAGAACTAGGGGAGGTGAGGCATCTCAAAAGGAGCAGGGCTATCATGGGGGTTACTAAGCAGAGAATATCAAAAAGCAAAGCAAACCTATGAAGAAGAAAGAATCAAAGCAGTTGTACATGAGCAGAGGAGGTAGGGGCTCTTAAAGGGGGTGGGGCCTTATTTCGAGGGTTGGGGCCTGGTCTCAGGGGTCGGACCTAATCTAACGAGTGGGGGGGGGGGGGTTTAAGTTCAAATTGATTCAGTCATCCCTTTCAAAATCCCTTTGTAATCTTTCCATTACATCAACAGACTGTTTCTTCCGTTTGAATGAGCTTCACTTCGCCCTTGCTGACTACCACCAAGCCTTGGAGCTGGACAACACAGACTGGACTATCCGGTCCCGCATCGCCTCCATTCACAGCGAGTTTGGCCTGATGGACTACGAGGAGCACAGCTACAAAGAGGCCGAGGCTCGCTTCACTGTGGCCATCCAACACAACCCTAGGGTGGGATCGTACTTCATCAGCAGGGCTAAAGTCCGCTTCATGCTGGAGGTAAAACATATGGTCTTAAAGACAGATGGAGTTGTGGCAAGTCCTCGCAAGTCCTCACAAGTCCTCACAAGTCCTTACAAGTCCTCACAAGTCCATCACAAGTCCTCACAAGTCCTCACAAGTCCTCACAAGTCCATCACAAGTCCTCACAAGTCCTCACAAGTCCATCACAAGTCCTCACAAGTCCTCACAAGTCCTCACAGGTCCTCACAAGTCCTCACAAGTCCTCACAAGTCCTCACAAGTCCTCACAAGTCCTCACAAGTCTGCAGCAGTATTGTAGTCGAGTCCATCGCAATTCCACCACAAGTCCTCACAGTCCTCACAAATAATTAAAAAAAATATAATACAAATTGAAAGGTACTTTTGCTTGATTTAAGATAAAACTTCCAGCATTATAGACCTTTATCATGCTGCCACCATTTCAGTCATGTTCCCTGTGTCCAATTACTGTAATGAATGATAAGTTTGTTTGTGCAAAAAGGAACCGGACTATTTTTCCTTCCAGTCTCGCTTTGGTTACATTGATTTGAATGGGAAAAAAATCAAGATGGCCGCAACATGATAATGGTCTATAATGCCTCAGTGCAATTTTCATGGCCTTTCAATGTACTTTTTTTGTTAAGAACCACGGGGGCGCCAGACACGATCTCCTGGTCACCCTCCACATTGAGCCCAACAACGAGGAGATCCTCTCCCTCTTGCCCCGCCTCTTCCCCGGCAAGCCAATCAGTGACATCATGAAGAGCAAAGCGGCAAGACAGGCCAAGGCCGAGGTGGAGAACGCAGTGGTCACAGCGTCACCGGTCCGCCTGCCTACTTTGAATGGGTAAGCTGCGTACTGTGCGGGGGCAAGTTTAAGGGGAGTGATTGGGATGACTGACTACCCACAGGGGGTGTCATGCAACCCTGGTTCTATGTCAGGCATTCTGGCAAAAATGAGACGAAACTGGGCACAGGCCAGAGTGGAGAAAAATGCCAAAAACTGAATCGGGATGATTTTTCTGCGATTTTAAAAATTGATTGATATTTGTAAGCTTTTGTATATTTACTGCACGTTTAAAAGACAGAGTATAAAAGATGTGGAATAAAAGAGTTTTTAGTGAAAAATAAGTGGCATCGTTTATTTTCCTGAATACAAAACTCAAAACCTTATGGGACTTTTTTCAGTATTATACTTTCTTGGCATGTCTACAAATGTGAACTTTACTCAGCCATAACTTGTCAACAGCATGTCCAATTGAAGTAAAACAAACCGTATTGCAAGGAAAACTTTTAGTCTCATTTCTATCTTTGTTAGTGCTATACAAAGTTGTAAAGGGAAATCTTGTACTTGAAAGAAAGCAGGCTCTACCACGGATGAATACATCTGAGAGACGGCACATTTTTGGGGGTCATTTCTGTCAGTCTAAGCTGAGCAAAAGGTTAACCTTTCCATTTTCTTTTCACATATGATTTATTCAGATCAAATTAAATTCTGGGGTTTTTTTCTGTCCACAGGGATGCAGCAAGCAAGGAGGAACAGCCAAGCAGCCCATCACAGGCTAAAGCCCAAGCAGGGGCTGCTGCCAAGCAGGTGACCTTTGCATTAGCCGCTGCCACTCCCCTGGTTCGGTGGTGCCGGACCTGAAAGCGTGCATGGACGAAATCAGCTTCAACACGGTCTTGGCAAAGAAGAAGAAAAAGGTGAACATGTTTTCCCTGTCACTATTTCTTCATTGTGTATGAAGAAATAGTGACTTGGCGTTGTATGGGCGTCGAGCGTTGGTCCGGGAGGATGCCAGATCATGCTCATGAGATGCCAATGTAGGGAAAGCTCCCGAACGGCCGTGGGACGAAGCGTTGGCTATTTGCAACGACCCTCCTTATGAGGAAGGGCAACATCCAGTTTAAAATTTATGTCTCACCTTTACAAATTGGTACATAAGATTCCAATGAGCTAATCCAGCAAGCTTGTTAGTCTATGGTTGAGGTTTTGGCACTAGTGAGCCGAAGGGTATGGGTTTGAGTTCATCCTGAATTTTTCTCTTAGGCGAGCCCTCAAATTAGAATCCCTCCCTGGACCGTTCGGGGTTGAGCCCGCCCAGTATGTTGAAGGGATTGGGACCTTGCATGGAACCGATCGGCCTGGATTAACTCCACCAGGCTTCTGCACCATGGCTCTGGCTCATCACAAAGGAACCAATTTGCGACGCACTAATCCTCCAGTAGGCAACAATGACTGTGATGAGATTCATAGAAGTTGCCCCTGGTAATCCCAGCGGGCCGAATAATCCTCCAACAATGGCCAGACTTCAATTTATGTTGCCTATTGTGAAACCCTGAGTCACCAGTTTGGACCGATTGGGGCGTCACGCTTCAGTGACCGGGTGGCTTCTGGCTTCGTACCGATTGGGGTGAAAGAAATTAGCATACCGGACCCGGTACCCGAACGGTCTGTTATCTGATGGCTCGCCTTAGCTCTTGGATTGCACTAAGCAGTAATACTTTATTCTTTTTTATTTTACAGATCTCTTCCAATGTGAAAGGCCTCCTTCATGACAGACAAACTCTGTGGGTCGACGCCCCGAAACTTTGCCCCCAGCCACCAGCCCGCCCCTATGCCGTCCGAGGAGGGACTTTAAACAAGAACCAGTCTAATATAGATCCTGCTATGGGGTGGCGGTCGTTCAGTGTGGGTGTTGGCCTGAAGTAGTCCAATGCATGCATTTCAGCCACAGCCTTTTTGTGCGACCATATGCAGCCACACCCAACAGTATTTAAACAACCAACCATGGTGTTACAGCAACCATAACGCCATGCCCAATTATGGTGCCACACCCACCATGGTTGCGCATGCGCCACACCTACCATGGTGTCACACCAACCACATTGCCATGCCCATAGTGCGACGCCGAACAATAATACCCCACCCAACCATGGGGTCATTCCTAAACATGGTGCCACATCCAACCATGGGGCCATATTCAACCATGGGGTCATCCCTAACCATGGGGTTATCCCAACCATGGTACCACATCCAACCATGGTGTCTTATCCAACCATGGTGCCACATACAACCATGGTGCCACATACAACCATGGTGCCACGTACATCCAACCATGGTGCCACATCCAACCATGGTGCCATATCCATGCCATTGTACCACATCCAACCATGGTGCCACATCCAACCATGGTGCCACATCCAACCATGGTGCTGCATCCAACCATGGTGCCACATCCAACCATGGTGCCACATCCAACCATGGGTGCCATATCCAACCATGGTGCCATATCAAACCATTGCCCCACACCTACCATGATGCCATTCATAGTGCCATCACAGCCACAGTGCCAGCCGGACCATGGTACCATGCTCAAGTAAAGTTCCTACAACATCTTTAGTCCACATCTCACGTTTCTGTGGTTGCCATGTCTAATGTGAATACCCACCCACGAAGGCTGTCCAAAGTTGCCACGTCCACCAAAGCTGCCATACCCAAAGTTGCCACTGAGGTCCCCTCAGTCTTCAGTCCTTCATGGTCACGGTCCAAACACCCTCTTTGAGATGAGTGTCTTCAGAAATTGCTTTTCTTGTTGTCGTTGCAGTACATACTTGAGTTGCCAATCCCAACTGTGTCCGCGGCCCCCATCACCAAGCCACATTCCTTCCATTCTTGCAACTTAACTTGTGCCACAGCGTTTGGCCAGCAACCCAGTACTGATAAACAGGGTGCATGCAGTTGGGGGTACAACGTACCTGTCAATTTTAATTTAATGTATTGTTTTGCTGCTCCCAGAAGCCAGCCTAGTGTCATAAAACGGGAGTCTCATATAGCGCACAGGTAAATGAAGTTTACGAGAAATATGAGACCCATTATGTAGCACCTTATTAAGGGTTTACAAGGTGCTGCGGTGCATATTGCAGCCACTGCCAGAAACACCGGGGCAAACCCCTTCTCTTGGCGATAAGTGTTACTGGGTTCTTTAACGTGCATTACACAACACACGGGACCTACGGCTTTATGTCCCATCCGATGGACAAAGCAATAATGGTAAAGTGCCTTGCTAAAAAACACATACACCATGTTCCCTGTCAGGATTCGAACCCATGTACCACGGCACATGAGTCGAACACTGTAACCATTGGACCACAGCACCCCAACCCACAACATTTTTGTACCTGTCTCACTACCCGAGTGTCAGTAGCCTTGCCTAGGTTTGTTTTCTAACTCTTGCAGTCCTGCGTGTTTACCAAATACTTGTTGACTTAAATATATCTACCAGAAAGAAAGCACCCGAGTACAAACACCTTTTTCCAAAGTGGGAGACTGCCAACATAGGGCTACCTAAGATTGGGCAAGACAAGTACGCTTTTCGTGCGGGTTCGATGTCCTGCTCAATAGATTAAAAAATTAAAAGAAAATGAGTCTGATTTTTTGGAGTTGCTGAAATCGATTTTAATATTCAATTGATTTTATATAATTGTATCATAAATTCTTTAAAGTTGCAAACCCACATTTGAATAAGCGAAAAAAATATATGTACCAAGTAAGCTATATTATTGGACCATTAACCCATTATTCCCTGAACCGCCCCAAAGCGTCCTGCCTGTTACTCCTTGTACCGCCCAAAACCGCCCAAGCACTCGTGGTTTGATGGATACATCAAGGAGTAGATAAAGTGTAAACAACTAAAGGGTTAAAGAAGTGTTCATCATGTGCTTAACCCTAACTCCTTAGGGTGATTTACTAGGAACCTTCCTTATCCTTTCTCTACGCCTTGAGCATCTAATCAAGATGGATTTGGCGCATTATAAATGCTCTTTATTATTATTATCCTTGCAGATCACAACACCATATGGTAAACTGCACATAAACACTTGGATCTCATTTGTGGTATGCCTAATCCCACCTAAAGCACAGTCAGTTTTGTCAGTGCAGTACTTGTCCCAACAGATCCAAACAAACCCTAGTGTGGGAGATTGGCTAGTCGGGGATCGTTAGGATCAATGGTGTATTGATACTGCATATTCAGAAGCCAGCCAAAATAAATGAATTTAACGCAAGGAGATAAAAGTGAAAAAATGCTCCACTGAAAAATTAAACGAGTTGTATAAATACATGATTACTCAGACAATGCTTACGTAATAAATATCCTCTGTCAAAATATACAAATTGTTCTTATGCCTTTACACTGGTATTGCACAGTCAACAAGAAAACATTGTTTTCATCAGCACCAACAGTTCCGAACAGAACAAGTGAGTTTATAAATGTTAATTAAATCTTACGAATAAATGGTTAGTGTCACAAATAAGAGTTGTTAGTTTTACTTTGTGTTATCACCATAAACATTATCAACACATTTTGTACATAAAAGACATGTAAGATTGAAATTTAAATAAAATAATAACTTTGTAAGCAAAGAGCATTTATTTAGGTATTTTCATGTTGTTTACTTATAATAATATCAAGCATTTATAGAGCGCTCCTTTCACATAAGGTATCACAGCGCTTGTCTGACTTTGATTTCTTTGTCTTTAATAAGCTGCATAAAGAGTTTGTTCAAAATTTCATTATTCTTTTTTTTTGCATGAATTAAAAAAACGAAAGACAAATTTTATAGAGCCTTTTGTAATATTGAAAAAAAAAACCCAGCATTTTTACTTATTTCCCGCTACCAATACTATTGATGCTTGCATAGATAAAACCACAAGATGCATTTCCCATACATTTTTATAAAGTGGAAGACATGTTCTTAAATAAAGTGACAAAAATATAACTTTAGATTGAACAGATTAAGACCTTAATCATACCAAATTGCTCATGATGTATATTTGTGTAATGGTCGCCATGGAAACCCAATTTATTTCTTGCTCTTCCCTGCTCTTGCTAAAAGGCACGATTTAGTCATCAATCACCATGTGCACATCAGTTTCATGAGAAGACAACAAAAATGTTGTCTAAATATGATTGGGTGTTTACAGAAGAAAACAAGCAGTTGGCAATTCCTGCATTATCTAACTGTCAGTGGCAGTGCGTTTAATAAACCTGAAAATTCATTTTCAAACCTTATACATCCATCATTAATAATTGTCAAGAAGATTGCTGACAAGGAGTTTGAATCATTTCTAGTACGAAACATTAGGTTATTTGGCTCGGTCGCAGACACTGCAATTCTTTTCGTAAAGGGCCTGTCACATTATATGCGCTCTCACAGGAGACCTTACGGCGACCAATTTTTTTTCTCCTAAATTGAACAATCGCAGCGAGGACGCAATATAAATTATAATGACAACTTTCTGTTTCAAAGAAGCTCAAGCTGCGCTCATACTGTGCTCTTCCCGCGCTTACGATGCGTTCAACTCGCTCTCTATGCGCCCCCATGTCAAGCCCAATTACTCGATCTAGTCGCTGTCACTGCGCCCACACTACGCTCTGCTCGCTGTTGATACGTCCTAGTAGCAGGCGTCGCGCTCTGTATTCGACCAAAATACGCTCATGTGACGTCACTTGCGCTGTATAAATACCTCGACAAAATGGTCAATACAAAGTCCAGTTTAAAAAAATTATTCTACAAGTTCATCGCAGTCGAGTTACTTTCTCATGAAGACTACGTCGACTGCCTTGCGCCTAATTAAGTTCCCTCAATGCCACGGCGCACGATTCACGCTCGCACAGCGCCCTAGTCGGTTGCGTCATTACGGCGCCCTGGCCAGAGCGCAGAGGTTTGCGATTGTTTTGAGCATGTTCAAAGACCTTTGCGCTCATCGAAGACCATTAAGACCCTCTTGCGCCCAATTGGAGACCTATGTAGTTGTCGCTGCGATCTAGTAGTTGTGTTGCACCCCAGCTATTACAAGAGCGCATACAAGATCGCAGACAGTGTGACAGGGCCTTAACGTTTGAATTTGTCGTATCTGTATATATTAAAGGAAACATGCAGTGGAAATTCAGCTCATCTTGTTTTCATGCACATTACTATGCGTTGCAACAATATATACAAGATCTTAATACTTGTTTGCGTTGAAAGTGACAAAAAATGATAATTGTGCAATTATTAGCAAATCCTTTCATCAAGACATGTAAAAGGGCGCTATTTTGCTTTTGTCAATTGTCAAAAGTGCATATATGAACAGTACAAAAATAAGTCCTTCAAAAATTACCCACAAAAAAAGTTAAGAAGAAATATTGGCTACCAGGCCTACTATTATCCAAACAAGCTGTTTAACGTGATAAACGAGTAAAAACTGGAACTTACTCCAAGAAAGTGAAGAAAAGTTTGATATACATTTATACACAGAGCTATATGAGACACTTCTGTTCTGCCTTGAATTACCGTATATCATGCATTGGCTCATGAATATGGAAATTTTCATTAGCATAAAGGCTAAAAGTGTTGACATTTCTCCCTTTCACTGCTGAAACGGAGGTGGAAAATCGCAGTAACATATGGCAAGAAAGCTGTTTTAGTAAATGTATTTAACTTTCATAAACGTTTTATGGCATGTTTCCTTTAAATATTTCTGGATATAACAATCGATGTAGTGCGAAAAGGCGGGGCTAGAGATGTTATGAAGGGGGGGGGGGGGCGGCTTTTAAACACCAACCACTACATCCGGTCTAAGCTCATTCAGTACCTCCTGAGCGGCCCTCTTCCCAGAATACACTGCGCCGTCCATGAAGCCAAACCACCGGACGGTCGTTTCTTCGCCTGCCCAGTGAACCCTTTGGAAATAGAACGGATATCGTGAAAAGTCACTCTTTAGTTGAAAACTGGGTGAACATTTCAAGTAGGCATAAGTTGTTATGCTAACAAAGACGTGACGACCATGCATACCGCATTTATACTGACGAGTACAAATTCGATTTTTAATTTTAATTGCATTCCTGTCTGGGGGTTTTTTCAAAACAGTTTTCCAGTAAACTTAACTGGAAAAAAAATCCGTTCGGGCTTAGACGAGACAAACACATAGCTGACATTATTGTTTCTGGAATTAAACGAATTCCATTTTACAAAAGAAAAATGCCTTAATCAGCACAAAATTCCTGCCTAAGACAGGCAGCATTGTAGACCAGCTGCTGAGTGCGTGAACATCCTGCCTTCAGCCTTATTAGTCTGAAGTTGAATCCGATCAACATCTATCTTGTCTTCAGAGAACTCGGCGCAAATACTTATTTTAGGGTTTTCCGTTCTGCTGTGGCTATTATAAAGCATATACGCTGCAAGGACACTTTCCGACGCTAATAGTACGTCAAATTGAATTGAAAAGGATATTTGTCTCCCCGAACCCCCCCCCCCCCCCCCGCCAATTACACCTGTGCATGCTTGCGATGTGTCATTAATCGGCCCCCCCGTCAGTAGACTGCACTGCATCATATTATGCAGACTGAAGTTGCTGCACGCGGTGCATGGTATGGAAAGGCCAAAAAAAAAAATATTTGGTCTCTGGTCAGACCAAAGTTCCGGAATTGACGCGGCCACGCGGCTTTTTTTTTTTTTTTTTGCCTTTTTTTTTTTTTTTTCAAGCTTGGATTGTACAGACAAGGTGGGTACTATTTTGCTTTTTTGGTGTCCTCATGTACATTGGTGTCCTCCATAATTTGCCTTGGTGCTTTCGATCATTTGCCTTGGTGCAATTTCCCATTCCTTGGTGCTCTTTGTTAAAAAAAATTGAGGAGGTGCGGAAATAGAGGGCGCTGTTGGAGCTACCGCGGAACATTTTTGGAAAAAAAAGATCGACGCGCATGATTAAAATCGACGCGCGCGCTGACCAGAGACCGACTTAATTTTTTTTTTGGCTAAATAAAAGTACTTGCATATACGGAGTCCCCGAAAGACGTATACTTACACCTTATTTACGAGTCGGAAATATTCAACTAAAAGCGAGGCGAGGGCGGATCCAGGGGGGGGGGGTGTTAAAGTTGTCAGAAATTGCCTCAGATCGCAACACAGAGCATCTAAGAATCCACATTTTTTTCGGGGCCCTTAAGCGACAGCCTGGGGACGAGGTTGCGTCAACGCAGGTTGTGAAATATTGTCCAATTACATGATAATACAAATGGACGCGGAACGCGCAAAATCGGAGACAAACAAAACTTAGTGTACAAAAACTCCATAGGCTTGTCTATAAAAGGTGTGGCTAACTCGCAAACGGCGATAGGTCAATTACGTGTAAAGGCCGCGTCCCGATTTTCGTCTAGGTTTCAAGAAATCACAACGACCGTGCTGATGCACCTTAACGTGGCGCGGCCCCAACGTGGCGCACTTTGCTATTTCGCCTGTAGCGTCCTAGCTAGAGCAAAAGTTTTAACTGAAATTTCACAGAAAGTGAAATTTCATCAAGTTCTAAACACTTCCGTTCATAAATCACGAGTTTGTCTTCCCGTTACAAAGTTAGAAGACAAATTTATTTCGGCGTGATTTTCCGATTTTATTTGGAAGTGCACAGTAAACCATTTGAAAATGTCCCCCCAAAGTAGAAAATAATTTGCTGATAAACTTCTAGTTGGGTATGTAAGTAGAGATAATAATTGTTTATCAGAATTTATCAACTTCACATAAATTCTCAAATGTTATTTTGGTCTTTTCCGAAATTTATTCAAGTGCGCCGCGTTGGGGAACACTCAGCCGATTTGTGCCCAATTTCCGGACACCACCGTTTTTGAATTTCGGATTAAATTTCATGAAACCGAAATTGTTCACAGAGGTTAAATAGCAAGCATTAATAAGGTAAATGTACCAGTATTTCACTGAATGACTGTGAAGTTTGTCAACAAAGAAGTTTGGCAACACTGATGTGGAAAGTCGGGGTTGAAACCCGTCGAAGTTCGCCACGTTAGGGGACACCACTATAACACCGAAGTGTGCCGCGTATTCTAGTTCACGCGCAGTGTGTGAAGACGTCGGATCAGCGCGTGAACAAGCAGCGCGTCATAGATGATCCAGAACAAAGGCGGCTGACGTCAGACCTCGGTACTCTGACGTAGCCGTAGCTCTAAAAAGCCCGTTTCACACCCCATGGCCTTAATTAAAACAAATCCTAGTGTTGCAGTCGAAGATTATAATGATACGTTTCTCTTGTAATTTACCCGTAACACAATGAGAACCATTACCTCTGAAATGGCGTTTTGAGTGCCTGGAAGTAGCCGGTGATTGCCCCGGGAGCGAAGACACAAGATGGGTAGCTGGAACAGAACGATTCTGTGCCCCAGTCCTGATAGTGTGAATAAGAGAGATGAAAGGTAGGACCCGTGGTTTTTTCTTCTTCAAATTGATAATTTCACCATTGACTTTTCCCCCCTCAATTGAGTTTTTTTTTTCCTGAAGAGTCATCGCACTGGAAAACGGCCTCACAATTAATGAGTCAGTGATAATGCTCGTTATTTTGATGGAACATCAGATTTGGTTGAGTCCAACTTGAATGAGCGAAAGACTATAGACGTTTTGACTAAACATTCAAATCAGTTTGGTTTTTTAAATGTTTAATTACAATGTAGCTTGGATTAAAGATCTGGAACTAAACTCTCCGTGAATTGTTTTCGTCCAGCTTTCAGTCATTTGGGAAAAACATCAGGAATTTTAGATTTCCAACGATCAGTCAATTGACTGATCTTTGGATATAAAGAGTGTTGTAGGTAATGCGTAATTTTTATACGTTTTTGCTCAAAATGCGTAACATTCACTGAACTGACGCTTTAGTTTTGAAAATAATTGGCTTTTAGTTTCATAAATCACTGTAATAAACAAAACATAAAGTCAAAGTCAGTATTGCAATGTATAATATTATGTGGCGTCATCATGGGCGTCGCGAGGGGGGGGGGGGGGGGGGCAAGGGGGCACTTGCCCCCCCCCCCCCCGGAAAATGAAAAAAAAGAGGGGGGAAAAAGGGAAAAGAGGCGCGAAGCCATACTGCTGTTAATTTGATGGGGCAAATGCTCCCCTGCTCACGCTTGGAAAAATGATAAATTGAGAATATAATGAAAAAGTTAAGGAATTTTTTGGGGATTTTTTTTTTTGCTTTGCCCCCCCCCCCCCCGGAAAAAATCCTGGCGACGCCCATGGGCGTCATGATAACGTCAACAATATGCATTTTTTTACAACGCATATTTATTATAAAGGATGGTGTTATCTTCATGATCAGGCAATAATTGTGAATCCCCGATCAAGTATATCTGAAAACAACATCTTCCACTCATTAAGTCCAAAATCTGGAGAACAAAAACAACAGCGAATAAACGATGAAACTGTATTCAAAACATACAAAGTATCACCTCGTTAAAAAAAACATAATGTGGAAAAGCCCTGTGTTCTGTTGCAAAAAGACATAAATCTCTGGTTCTTTTTTGGATTGTGAGTGGTGTTGTGATTTGAAACGAACAAAGTACATGAAGAGCAAAAGGCATGCCTTTGATGAACGAAGACGTTTTCCAGCTTTTCGTGAGTCTACAGGGGGTATAGACCGACACGGGGATTGTGCTAACGAGCAAGGAAACCTTAATTTAATACCACAGCTAGGGACCACTCTCAGAAATCGTTTCTTATTTGTGTGAAAATGGTTTCTTTTTGTGTCTCGAAGAAGCATGCACTGGATACAACATAGCGAGGTCTTAGTTAACTATGAGACCATGGTCCATTCTTTTAAAAGTTCAAGAGACAAAAAAACGAACGGCACCGAAGTTGTGTTGTCACAGTTTTGTGTTGTGGAAATCCTGCCCAACGTTAAAATCGAACTGTGCGTTATCTGGTGACTGACTGGTTATTGTAATGGATTTTTTTTCCTGAAGAGCCACGGGGAAAAGGCAATTGTGTTTCATAAAACTAGTTTCGCTATGCCGGGCTTAGCACATTAAATGTCCCGATTCTGCAGCTTTTAAAAATTGTCCCAAGATTTCGTCTTACCACTTCTGCGTAGTCTAAAGGCTCCATTGCCTCTACACCAAAGTAGAACTCGATGCCTTTGAGTATGGCCACCTTCCTCTCCTCAATCTGCATGAAAATATGCATACAGTGATGTCATCAGAAGACATCCAATTAGAGAGAAGTCATTTGCATACCATTAATATTCATGACTTATCGGGAGATGGGATAGGTTAATTAAGACTTTTTGTTTTCCATCCGAGTCTTGCGCGCAATTCCTGTTATTCCTTTCCATTTTCGTTTCTTTTTAGGCCTATTGGTGTCATTTGAGGTTTTTTTCCAAATGCTTTAAGAAAAATAACTACAGGGATGGGAAAGTAAACCTCCAAGCTATTACGCAAACAATTTGAACCATGACGTCTTACAGGAATCTGTCTCCATTTCGTTGCCTCCACCTTCCCGGACAGAGCTGGGCTCTGGTCCATGGTCGTTGCGTCAAACAGAGCAGTGAATGGTATCTGGGGGCCGGCGCCGTTCTCAGTCGTCTCAGCCTCACTTTGAGATGGCTTGTTGGCAGATGACGTCACTCGGATGACGTAACCGCTGAATCCCTGCTTCTGCCAAAACGCCTGCCAGAAAGCAGCGAAAAAATGTACAGTTACGGTTCTGAAACATGCACAGAGCTCGGTACACTGTAACTATTTGTATTTTGTCCTCATATCCACGCTTACTACCCTATCCATGGCACGGGTGATGACTAATTTCTCTTGGCTGTGATTGGATGGATTTTGTTGAAGGGTCGCGACATGCATTTTGTCTGCGTGCGCACGACGCATACGCACAGAATAACCTTGCACAGATCATAGCAGGATGCTACTATCTATGTTTTGCATTCATTTCACAATATTTTGTGAAAGACATTTTGTCGCCTCCAGCGTCCCTTGGTTAGGTAGGTTGCGTTTGCCAACATGATGGTTCATTACTTTCATCTTGCAACATTAATATTGTTGGAAATTGTGACTTACTCAATCATTTGAAGATGATTACTAAATCATTTGAAGAGCTTGCTTGTTAATTTTCTTTAATTAATCCTGTTTAATTTCTTCAATCGTCAGTCAGTTTGTGACGATTGATCGATTGGTTACATATTTCGTTGTTTGGTTGAATTTCTTTTAAACAATGTAATTTTGTAATAACGACCTCTTTGTAGGTGACGACAAAGTAGAGGGAATTCCCAGAAGGCATCCGCTGTAACAGACCATCCCGCTCCATGGTCATCGGTGGAGAGAAATTGATCTTGGCTGTGAAATTTTTAAAAAGAGGTTATAAGTGCATGTATCATAGCTTTGTTTATATTATACAAATAATGAACGTTTATGAGTGCAATGGTAAGAATAATTTCATGAGGTGTCAGATGGAAAGTTCCATTCCACGAGGCGAATAGAACATCCCAGATCATGGAACAGGACCCACAACCATCTCATTCTCGCAAGTGAAGATGTCTTGCAATTCGACCACCCCGCTTCTCGTTCCCGTGGTACCGGTATCGGCTGGCTGTTTTAAATATAATATTGCAGAGGGTGCTAGATTGCAATCTTTTGGTAATACGCTTTCATTGTGTTGATATAAAGTTGGAAGTTGCCGTTTTCCGACTTAAACAAAATCCATTCTATTAGCGTGATATCCACCATCCGATTTATAATAAGGATTGATAGAACTATACAAGGACTCCATAAACTAAGACGTACGTGTAGTCACGTTCGGCCGTAATTTTGAAAAAGAAATTCTGGAAAATCCTCGAAAGAGATGTTAAGATGAAAGATGGAATGAAACATCGAGTGCTGATAATAAAAAAAAACCAACAACAACAACAACTTAGCTACATCCCTACCCAAAGGTAGGGACAGGTTTGCCCTTGGCGAGATTCTAACCCGGGTCAAAGAGCAGGGCCGGATTAAGTGTTCCGTATAGGCCGTGGGCACCAGTGTTCCGTAGGCCCTACACAAGCACCAGCGCCAATTTCCATGTTGCTGCTACAAGGAACAAACGCCACTATGGTATTTTCATAGGTCCTCAAGTTTCCGTAGGCCTCGATTTTTTCGTAGGCCGTATAGGCACAGTGCCTACTGTGCCTATTGGATAATCCGGGCCTGTCAAAGAGGTGCAAAAGTTAGATTTGGCTAGAAAACAGTCACGGTGCACGTTTGACTTTTTTGTATCAACTTTAACTAGTGTTTTCAGAGCATGGGAGGCGTGAAAATTATACCACTGCGCCACTCTGACTCCCTCAACCGACCCTCGTATTTATAAAGCTCTTATCGTGCATCTTACATAGTTCTCACCTGTGTATTTTGGCGGTAGGGCAACGATGACTCTCTCGCACCGGTACCGCTTGCCGCTCAGGGTTTGTACCGTGACCAGCTCCGAGTCACTCTGGTTGATGGACACAACGGGGTCGCCAAGCTTCAGGTAAGAACGGTTGATCTTGTCCGCCAGGATCTCACAAACCCGCTGTGTGCCACCCTTTTGGAGTTTTGTGCGATAAGGAACAAAAATTACCTTAATGTCTATCTCTTATTTACTTGCTAACTGATTACTGATTGATCAGAGGATCGCTCGCTAACCATAATAGGCCAATATCACAAGGAAGGTCGGCAAACAAAGCTTGCTCACGAATTTTGAATTCCTAATTTTAAAACTCTTAAGATTATAGTAAAATCTTGTCCGCGATCACCATTTAGAAAGGATTTGGAAAGTAGCTTACATTTATATCGAAACATTGATTTCAGGTCATCCCAGTATAGTAAGCACTTTACATCAGCTTCGTATGTTTGGCTAGCATATATTTGCTAGTAAAGCCGGCCCCATACCAATTGGATCTAAAGGGTTTCAGTAGTCACCCGAGTCCAACCTTTGGGACAAGCTGAGCCTTAAGCAAGTCTAATTCACAGGTGATAGTCAGATAAGAACAAAGAGAACGCTAGTCTGGCCTTCGGGGACAAGCACTATGCATGCTGTAAATCAATATTAAGCTGAAGAAACCAATCAACTGAAGTGGAATGTTAACGAGAGACCTCAGGAACATCATTATCAGAGGCTGTTCCAACTGAGATTGCCAACCAAATTTTGCTGGCGACGCGAGCTCCATTAAAAAAACCACTACAGGATGTTAGGATTAATATCCATCGCCTCGTAGATGTCAGGGTTGAATGAACGTAACACGCAACTTTTTGCAGAAGCATGCAGGTTGTTTTTGTGGCAAACATTGATCGTGGGGCCGGGGCCAGCATCTTCCAAACTGGTTCATGTAGTTCATACCTATTCGGTCGAGCTGACTTACTCGTTTGCTGAGATTTTTGTGAATATACTTTTTTTGCAGGACACTGTTAATTGTTGAGTGTCTGTCTGTTTCTTTGTCCAATGGTTGGCGGTATAGGCATCGATGCCTTCGACATTATAATACATGTACCGTTAAATATGCAGCTACTTTGGATTTTAGCAATAGCTTTCATTAACCTTTATTCGGAATTCCCGAGCTGTCTCGCTGCCCATCTCGAACAAGGAGTGCCACCCGCCGGCGCTGCTGATTACGAACAGGAAGAAGAGCGTAGACATCTCGGAAGGCGGGACCCCAAACACAAGCTTGATCTGAGCATCGAAGTACTGCTGAGCAGCTGACATTTAGGACATAACAGAAAACAAAACAGTCATTTTAAAGTCTATATAGTAGCATGCCTGTCGATGTGTTCCTGACCAAGAAATATCGGTGTGCGCGTGAATTGCATGCACCCAGAGGACAGACAGACAAAGGGAGAACAACAGGTTCTTTGTTGTCCTCGAGAGTTCATCTTTTGTTGAAAACAGTCCTCGGTAGTGAGTTTGTGTGCTTAGTCTACAGGGACAAAGGGAAAGACAATGCCTTGTCCTCGAGAGTTATGTAAAATACGACTTTGTGTTTTCATATGTGTTTGGTGTAGATCGAAGAAACACCGTTTGGCGAAACTTCTTTTCTTACTGAGGACATGTACTCAGTAGGGACAGTCCTCGTTCACAAAACGTGTACGAAACCAATGAGAGGTGCTGCAAAAAGTTTTAGAACAAAAAGAATATTTGGATGTCCACGATTTACACCCAAAACAAAATTGGCCAGCCTGGATGAAAATGCTTTTTATTTTTTCCCTGGTAATTATCGCGGAATCCGTGGAGACTGGAACGTATATACAGGCAGTGTACCTTTGAACAAAACATGACCTTATTTATTTTTTTCCATCGGGGTGAATGTGGAGACGTGCGTACAGCCCTTCCCTCTAAAGCTTTGAATGTACCTAATGCTTTTAAGCATATGAACATTCTCTGGACTGCTACAGTGAAAATAGAGCCGATGGCCAAGATTTCAACGGAAAGGCTACCAACCTGCAGTCCAGATGTGCTGTTTGCGGAACTGTTCCAGGGTCACGGAGTCCCACTCGCGGGCCATGGGACAGTCTTCGGGATTCTCTAGGGATACCTCCAGTCGGAGTTTCTCCACCTGAATTATCATCACCGAGAGAATCAGTGAAAGAAGGGAATAAGTGAGGAAAGAGAGGGATTACATAGGTATGGCAGATTGTGGTGATTATTAGTGGCAGCATTGTCATTGCAGTGATTGAAGCTAATTTTTGCGATTTGATGGATTTCAAGTATGATGAGAAATTGTCATTCACCATCCATGACGTCGCCAACCAAGTAGGCCTACAGATATGAGCTCTCGATGGTCCATGTATAACATCACACAAGAGATACAATTTCAATCTAAACATTCTGGCCTGGCAATTTCAGCTGAATACCAAAAAGAAAATGCTTTGCAGATTGTTGTGCTAAGCCAACATGTGCTGAGAACCAGCAAGGGCGGATTTTCTCCACCCCTTTTTTTTTGGGGGGGGGGGGCAAAGGGGGCCATGGCCCCCCCCAAAAAAACGAAACCAATTTTTTTTTTTAAATGTGACATCGCAATAAAGGCAGGCAATGAGTACACCACCATCTTTTTCTCACAATAAATTGGTTAAAGTGGTCAGAAATTGCCTCAGATCGCACCGCACCACAGAGCATCTAGAATCCAAATTTTTTTCGGGGCCCTTAAGCGGGCTCCGACCCCCACGCCGTAATTTTTTAGACCCACTTTTTGGGGGACCAAAATTTTTTTGGCCCCCCCCCAAAAAATTGTGTTCTGGATCCGCCCTTGAGAACCAGTGACAGTTAACGTATTTTTTTTTTAGCCACTTGGCTGGTACCTTGATTTTTGCTCAGCAAACTTTATCAGTGATTAGCAATAGGAGACATTGAGACGCTTGGTGGCAGCAAACACGTTCATTGAAGAGATAATCGTGTTCTGAAGTATAACATTTTGCAAAAAAGCCTTCGGACAGCGAAGTGTTTTAAGGTGTCTTGTGTGTCAAAACTTTTGTGCGAACGAAAGTCCCATCTCTTTTCGGTTGCGCGAATAATTGCACAGAATGCAGATTTGGTTACCACGTCCCCATAGCCGTGTATTCATTTATCTGCCGCGGTGATCTCGAAAAAAAAATCGTCGAATCTAGCTGTGCACCAGACTATTTTTGGAATACCGACGAGGCTTATTGTTTACGTCACGTTTAAGCTCGTGTGCGCATGCTCAAAATGACATAAACAATAGACAAGGACTGATGCGTTTGCTGCCAAATGCGTCTCAAAAGTCTCCCCCTTTTCGGAATGTACAATCGTTTTCCAAACCCAAACCACCCACTGTAGCCTTCCTCAGGGGTGGTGGGTCCCAAATGGTAACGAAGATCGAGTGAAGAGCCATTTTGAGAGGATACCAGACAGAGCCACCGAGTTTACCTTTGATATAAACGTGGTGTAGTCCAGTTTAGTCATGGATGAAAAAGGATGAGTAAGCGCTTCGAAGGCAACCTTCCTGCCGTCATCGAAGTGGGCCAAGTGTGTGCCCGCGTCGGTCTGGGTGTACATCTGTAAGTCCAGCTGATCCACAAGCTGCATCATGTGGATCTGTGAGCTGACAGGGTAAAGTGTCGTGTTACTGTGTTGTTGGATAGTGGACATTAGTGGATTGGTAGTTGACGTGTAACTTTGGTAAATTTATCTCAGACATTTCGGTCGACAAGCTGCATCATGTTCAATGTGAGCTGACAAGGTAAGGTGCAGTGTTGTTGATATTGGACATTTATTTAGTGGATGGTATAGTTGACCTGAAAAATTAACTTTGGTAAATTTATCTCCGAAGGTTGGTCGACAGGCTGCATCACCACCATGTAAGTCTAGCTGATCCACAAGCTACATCATGTGGATCTGTGAGCAGACAGGATAAAGTGTCGTGCTACTGTGTTGTTGAATGGTGGACATTAGTGGATGGTACAGTTGACGTGACAAATTCAACTTTGGTAAAATTATCTCAGAAACTTGTTCGACAAGCTACATCATGCTAAACAGTGAGCTGACAGGATAAGGTGCAGTGTTGTTGATGATTGGACATTAGTGGATAGTTGTTGACATGGCAAACTGTAAACTTTGGTAAATTTATCTCTGAAATTTTGTCAACAAGCTGCATATCATGTTGATCTGTGAGCTGAAAGGAAACAATGTGATGCTACTGTGTTGTTGGTTGCCGGACATTATAAGTGGATGGTAGTTGACTTGATAGATTATATTTCAGATAATGTATAGTTTATTACACAGGCTCATGTACAACATTTTATCAGCATATTTAAGTGACTTACTCCTTATTTTTGTACTCAGTAATGTTATTTCCATGATGACTTATTTATGTGTGAAATTAAATGAACTCTGTTTCTGCGGGGGGGGGGGGGTGTCTTTTTAGTGAAAAGTATGGTGATACCAACCCGCTTATCCACTGAGCGCCGAGATCCCAGAAGTCCCTACCGTTACTCGACTCCAAATCTCGGGTAACTATTCGGCTTCCAACTCGGTCTGTGTGGCCAAAAAGGACGGCGTTCAACGGGATATTACTAACTTTTTTCTTATCAAAATTCTAAGCTGATGGGGCACAATAAAGGGGGGGGGGACATAGGCTTCGAGTAGGGGGGATGCCTCCGTGCATCCCCCCACCCACACACACACACACACCCATCTTTGTAAACACCGGCAATCGTGGACCCCTATCCTCATTTATTTGTTTGTACTCTTAACTTTTTAGCAACAGCTCTCATTGGTTTTGTACACGAATTTCAACCGAGGACTATCGGCCAATCGTGGACGTATTGTTTGTGCCCTAGCCCTGTTGTCGTAGGTCCACGATTGCCGGTGTTTACATATTCAAGGTTTCCCCCTCTCTGAAAAACAGGTTGGTTTAGAGGCATTTTGGGGTTAGATTTATCCGTCGCAAAATGAAGAGAAACACTCGATGTCAAGGGAATCATAGTAAACACAAAAAAAGCGGGTTGAAAGAATTTTCACCGTGTGAGTAAAATGAGTTTTGTTCACAAGTTTTTCTTAACTACAAGAGAACAAAGGAATGTCCACACAAGGTATGTAACGTAAACATGTGTGGACGTGAGCAAGTCCAGACATCTGAAAAACATCTGAGAACTGGTTTATGTGGACATCTTTTGTTTGGAAGTCCACACAGTGAATATGATGCTTGTATACACCAACAAGCACTCATCACTTTGTCTGATTCGCAATAAGAAATATTCGGAAGCACTTCAGATGACCTAACACACACACACACACCCACCCATACAGACAAATTACTCATCGATTCGTCTTTTGGGAATAACAGCCAATGTAAGTGGGCTTGCTCAAAATCCTCTGGAAAATCGAAAACTAATTTCATTCCTTTGTTTTCGATTTTCCGAAGGATTTTCAATTAACTAGCCCTCTTATGTTGGCTTACGTTGACTGGGATTGCCACAGACGAAGTGATGAGTAAATTAATATGTGTGTGTGAGCGCAAATTTGTATCCTTGTGGAGACATTTCCACAATAGGGAACAAAAGATTGTATAGGTCTCCACAGAGCAATTTCTATAGATGAATAGGTCTCCACAAGGTTTTCACGAAATAGATATATGGATTTTACTCTTACTCAAAAACTAGGAATTTCCAAGGTGGGTTGATGTGTCGCAAATGGAAGAGTTTTAGAAAAGGGATATTAAGTCCGAATTTCAGCCAAGGAAATTAATTCTGGTTAAAATAAGAACATTTTGAAACTTAAACTCGAAAACTTTACTACACGAGAACAAAGACATCTTGGTCACTGTGTGGACCTGTGAACAAAAGGGTTCCACACGATGCAGTAACTTAAGACGTTACGGTATGTGCACGTGCCACAATGCCCGCAACTTCCTGAAAAACAGCATGTCTAGAGGAAAACAAATTAGCTTTGCGATTTCGTAATTAGAAATAATGAATTTGGCCTCGCTGGGCCGGATGGCGCGCAGTCCATACATGATGGAGATGTTGTTGTTGTTGTTGTTGTTATTTTGCTTTTCTCGATTCCTTTTCCGGTCCACGAGTGGTTGTTATTTCCGTTCTACCGTCTGTAGCTACATAAAAATGAAGCCCGCAGTGAATCTCCACATAAAACCATGGCAACTCGGGAAAATTATTTTAGGGGGATGATTTTGTTTTCGCCGATCCTCATTTTTATAAGATGGAATTTTAATCATCGTTTGATCCTCATTTTAATCATCGTTTTTTGTTTTTTGTTTTTTACTAATGACGTATTGTCGACATTTACTGGGGATCATATTCATATAATATTGGATGGCTTTGAGGTGGAAACAAGATGATATATTGTCATAGCGAGTGCAATATATTCTTGTATCCCCCGAAAAAAAGCCATCCAATATTATTATTATTATTTATATCAGGCTGACTTGTTGTCGATTATCTGGAGTGAAAATTTTATGTCAAGAGCATACTATCAGCTGCATGCTATGAATTAACTAACCGCTAGATTCCAGTACGAGGAGCGAGATTCCCTGATTAGCGCAGCGGAGACTGTGCGCCGCGGCCAGCCCCGCCAGCCCCGCCCCGACGATCACCACGCTCACCGACGGTGACTTGCTGCCTGCATCCGGTTCGTCCGTACCGGCAGCAACACCATGGTTACTCGGGTGCAGCTCAGTCAAGAGATCGCCCGTCGTGATTTTCTTGAAGGCACTGGCCTGTTTCAAGTGAAATAAAAAAAAAATGGGGCAAAATGCGAACAATCTTATATCCTAGACTCCGTTATTTATGGTTTATTACTGTTATCCGTTATTAAGACACGTATGTCATTATTGTCCAGGTTTCAGTGTCAGTATTTTGGGAAGAACAACTTTATAAGATGCAGAATTCTCCCAACCCGACGTATGGGTGTTGAATTTCGTTTTCACTCAACAGTTATTCGAAGATTGTACAAAACTATACAGCTATTACTTCAATGACTTTGTTGTCAGGTAAGCTATTGTGTTTGGCGAGCAACTAGGCTGTCAAGGCAGGTCCAGGCTGTCAAATTTAAGGCAGGTCCAGGCTAGACTGGTTCGTCCCGGTCCCTCCATTGTCCTTCGGACTTCGAATGTATAGACCATTATCATGTTGCAGCCATTTGATTTTTTCCCATTCAGGTCAATGTAACCAAAGCGAGGCTGGAAGGAAAAATAGTGTGGTTCCTTTTTGCACGAAAACATTATCATTCAGTACTGTTATTGGATACAGGGAACATGACTAAAATGGTGGAAGCATGATAAAGGTCTATAGGGACAGGTAGCTAGCAATGAATCCTGTATACATATGCAAAAATATCCCACCCCCTGAATACAAAATCACAACGATAATTTTAGCCCGGAACAAGCCTATAGACCGCTTGCAGATGCGTTCGATAATCGACGCGCGAAGGCGCGCGGCGCCATGTTATGGGACAAGCGCATATCTGTCCATGCACATTTTGTCCCACAACATGGCGTCGCGCACCTTCGCGCGTCAATTATCGAACGCGTCTGCAAGCGGTCTATTGCAAAATGGCAAGCAGGCTACCACTAATGTGCAAATCTGCGCACGCGTTGCAAAATCTTGAGGTGCGCGTGCATTTAGCAATTTGCAAATTGTCATTGGTCAACAAGGCTTTGAGCGCGCGCAGTGTGCGCACGTGTTGTTTCACCTGCGCAGTAGGCAACAACACGCGTGCGTCTCTCCGATGCCACAATGTGCGCGCTCATCTAATGAAGTCCATCAGAGAGGCAGGTGACACCCAAATCAACCATGTGAGACATTTCAAATCGGGAATATTAACAAAGAGAGAAGGTATTTACCAATGAAAGCCCGACCGCACTGCTCCTGGGCGTGGCCGACGGGCTTGGGGCGGGGCTCCGAGCCGTTGCTATGGCACCCGTGGTCTTGGTGCTTGCTGATTGGCCGGTCTCCGTAGACAGCGCGTCCCCGTTCTCGATGAAAACAGGGGCCTCGTCTCCGCCCCCAGCTTTTTCATTGCGTTTCTGCATGGTATGAAAGAAAGAGATTCATTAATAAACGAGATTTGTGAGGTCATCACTTCTTTGAGATATGATGGGCAAAATGGCAATGGTTCATTGTGTGTAATTGGCCCACACCCCGTCAGACTGATATACAGACCCACCCATGGCTAGCTTTTAAATGTGTTTGTCCGGACGTACGTGCACATAGGAAAATCAGGAAACTTCAAACTGAAAATACCTTAAGGCCGTGGTAAGTCAAGCTATACCATTTTTTTCAGGCACGTTCCCCTCAGCGGACTGCCGTGCCCCGATGTACAAAACAATGTATCAGGGAGTGGGAGAAAGGGAGAGGAGAAACAAAACGAGAATGAAACAAGGAGGATAATTAGTACTTCTTACATCAGTTCTTTTATAATTGATGATACCGCTCAATAGTCCGAGGTATCCCAAGCTTTTTCCCCTCTTTACATATTTTACTCGCCTGTTTTTTTTTAGCATAAAAATACAAATGCACCTCTTGAACATTAATTTTGCAAGACGAAAATTGACGAAAATTGATGATGGGACACAATTAAAGGTGCAAAAGAAAAATGCATTGCATGCGGCTTTTAATGAGCATTGGTCACGAAGACATAGAATCCACGTCGGGGTAAGCAGCGGAAGCAGTTTCCCTTAACGACCTCCCCCAAGACTTTTCCATCATGAGTTCCCCCCTTTAAGCCCCTGTTGCCCCTCCCCCCCCCAAAAAAACACCCCAAAAAACAATGTCGCGTCTTCCACACGTATGGCCTATAGCTCTCAAGCACCGGTAAGCTGAAGCTCGTGAAGTTCGTGAGCGTATAAATATCCAACATTATCCAATTTTTTCTATTAGGTTTTTATTTTTGGAACTATGTTTTAATTTATTTGTACTATATTCTACCCCAGTATTTTTATTGCATCACCCGATTTTAGTTAGTTTATATATAAATTTCCTGTTTTAATATTTTAACGCGATTGTGGATTTTATACGGGTTATGTAACCTTTTCCACAACCCGCGACAGAAATGTCGAAGTAAATAAATATGTAATATAGGTTGAACATTGAGGAAGTAACAAAGTAAGATTATTATTTTTTTTTTTGTCGAGAAAACATTCCTCGATTCACGCACGAAAAGAACTTACACAAGCAACTGACACAGGTCCATCCATGCAATGAGCTTGATCTTTTTTCTATGGTTCACTGTATATTTCAATTCCACAAACAACCTCATAGGCGTAGCCAGCGGGGGGGGGGGGGGGGGGGGGGGGTATTTACCCCCCCACACACCCAATATTTTGCAAAGACTGCCTTTTTCCATTCAAATGCCCTTTTTTTTAACGGGCTTAACCCCCCCCCCCAATAATTTGTAAAGAGTGCCCTTTTTTTTACGAAATCATGCCCTTTTTTCTGAACAAGTGCCCTGTAAAAAAAGTAGTGGTGCCCTTTTTTGTGGCAGCTGCCGTTTTGGGTGCCTTTTTCTGAATTTGCACATATATCGCTCTGAAAAGCGCCAGAAATTGGCCCTTTGTGTGCATAATCGTCGGTTTTGAACGGCGCCCCCATGGACAGATGGTACCAAGCCCCCCCCCCCCCCCCCCCCCCACACACACTTTTTGATTTTACGGAGGCCAAGTGTCCGGAGAAAAAAAACCTGTCTACATTTTACCACGGATGTGGAAGTGCCCTTTTCAAAAAAATTTACCCCCCCCCCCAATAAAAATGACCGTGCTACGCCACTGAACCTTAGATTGTTTTTTCCCAGTAAATTACCACAAAAAAACCCCACAGGCACACTCCTAAAAGATATTTCCCGTAACAGCTGCAAAGCGGAACATTTCTTATTCCCTATAAGCCGAGAATATCACTTAGCACCCCCCCCCCCAAAAAAAAAAAAACCAACTGCATGCACTTTATTTTTGGACATTGTCCAGGTACCAGTAAATTAATGTTGAACAAAATATTTGCGCTTGGGATATTAGCTTATTTGGATTATCCAGTCATAATAGGTGAACCATTTCTTTCGTTGAGCTAAATTCACAGGTGATCCTATCAGTAGCGACAGGTATAGACATCGTGTATATCAGGTACAATAATAACGATATTACTTCAAGGGCAGATCCAGAACACAATTTTTTTTGGGGGGGGGCCAAAAAAATTGTGATCCCCCAAAAGTGGGTCAAAAAAATTACGACGTTGGGTTCGGGGCCCGCTTTAGATGCTCTGTAGTGCGATCTGAGGCAATTTCTGACCACTTTAACCAATTTTTTTCAGGAAAAGATGGTGGTGTACGCAGTGCCTGCCTTTATTGCGACGTCACTTTAAAAAAAAAGGTGTTTTTTTTTGGGGGGGGGGGCATGGCCCCCGTGTGCCCCCCTGGATCTGCCCTTGTATTACTTGTAAATAATATTTCCACCCTGCTAATTGATCATGTGCTTTATAAACGGAGAAATAATAAGAGCAGTTTGTTTATTCTTCTGTCGTTTGTGTGCAACATTATGTCACGGGCTACAGTTCGGCCCACAGTAGGATGACACGAATTTATACAACTGCTTACAAATCAGCATAGGCCTAACTCTCCAGACCATATTTAGACTGTTCGGCATTCCTATCATCGCTCGTCTAACAGCAAATTAACTTGCTAATTATACGTACCAACAAAGAGGAGAAAAAACTCATTATTCTCTTGGAGGTTTCGTCCACGATGTCCGAGTCCGACACTGTCTAAGCCTCCTGCAAATTGTCGCTTTAACCTTGACGGGCTTTCCCCGCCAATTTTCAGGCCGACGAAAATTGGACCCAAAGTTCGCTATAGATATACGTTTGGCGGTACATGTATATGGAGTTAGTAAGACAATGACATCGCTATTTAACGTGCTTTCGACATGGCGCACACATGCTGGTGGTTCATGCGACCCTCGATAGCATGAAGCGAACAAGGATCCCAGTCATTTTGCCAGTATAAATAGCAGTGTTTTATTTGTGTTTGGTAAAATGCTCGGCGGTTACAATAATTATCATTTTATTACCTCAGCAGCCAAAACCTGCTGGTATCGACCTCGCGTTTTGAGCAACGATTCCGTTGTGACGCTTACTCATTATGAATAATTATAAATAGTCACCATTTATGACATGTCGATTTCATCTAGAGTTGTTTTCCCTCTTAATTATTAATTCAGCGTTTCCGAGTTAATTCATAACCAGTAAGATTGAAATGGTGCGTTACCGTATTCATTCTTGTATAGGCCTATCAGATTCTCGGTTGGTGCTGGGTGTACTTGTTGTTATGTCTGGCGATATTGTCATTAAAATATTGCTGTAAACGTGTCAGGTAATGTTGTTTCTTTTGATGCAAGCTTAGCCCATAATATTACAGCATGGTTAGTATCACTTTTTGTGTTTCCATTGTGCTGGGTGTAAATAATATCCAATGGAAATTAAATATGCAACAGTGCCTGGCCATCTGTTGCGTATCGCGTCTGGCTGCCTACGCAATTAGACTTGCCTAAGTATTTTCTAGGTTTGTTTTGTTTTCGTTTAGAGCGATTGTGATTTCGTAAAAACGGTGTTTACAGTCATGTAGTTGCAAAAAATGCGATATTATTTGCACAGCGACTAGGTGGGCCAGCGTAGTTTGAATGTTATCAGTTTTGTCCAGTCTGTATAATTGAAGTGCTGTTTTGTGATGCGATTTCGCCAGGACGATTTTTCAAGTCTATCATAATTGTGAACTTCCATTTTATGATAGGTCAACAGTGCCTATAATGTATATCGATTAGTGGTCGCCGCATTGTGTTATGTGTTTTCAAAAATGTACAGTTAATTCATGATGGAAAGCGGCTCTTTTATTCAGTGCACTCACACAACTATATAATAATGGAGCTCCAGTGCATTACAACCGCCATCTTGGCTTAAAACATAACGCGAAGCATTGTGGGACAAACAGGGAACTTTTCCAACACTTCGCATATGATTGTGCATGTTTCCTTTTGACCCAATCATTCCCATTACCCCATACTTGCCTACATGTACAATGTACATCAGTGTCCAAAGAACATCACCCATATTATATTCAAAAATATATCGATATTTTATTGACCACATACATCAGCGCACATCGCACCATCTGTTACTGGGCTACGTCATAATTTTCCATTATTCAACCTAACCCAACCCTCTAGTTGCATACCAGCACAACAGTTTGTGATATGTTCCGTGTACATGTATAGCTTTGTCAAAATAAACAGCACAATATTTTTTGCTGGGTAAGGAGCGTCTCTATACGCAGCTGGTCGATAGCCACTGAACATTTCCCGTAAAACTGACTTCACTTCCTCCACTGAAGCATGGACAAACTCAAGGGATTTGCCAGCGGTGCCGGGACATTTCTCAACAGAACTGTTCAGGTCGGTATTAATATTATGCAGTATACATTACAAACATTCAGCATGCATTATATTTTCATGTATATTCAGTGTCAGTGAGTAAAATACTGTGTGCATTTATATTTCCTAGTGCTTTATTTTAATAGTTTATGGCGACCTCTATACATGTGCATGTACATCTTTCATTTACAGCGCGGGGTACGGGTGCGCAGCCCATGATACCGGTGTAAAAGATTACCAGCTCAAAGATGTACACGTACGCATAGTGCTGGTTTTCACTGGTTCACGCTTTGCCATCAAGAAAATTTGCCAATGATCAACCTTTTTTTGTATCCAAATAAAACACGCTAATCAAACAACAAACAATGTTATCACAACGTGCTTACTTTCGCAATTGACACAAATTAAAATCAGCTTGTGGTTTTCAGACGTTTGACATGTTTTTATCACAAACAGTAATTGATCTTGCACTTTCAAATGGTGTCTTGTCTCACTGATTTGATTCCTTTTTTTGGGGGGGGGTGTCTTTCCAAACAAATTGTTTTAGGTCCAATAAAATAAATGTATTATAGTTTATCACCCTAAATGGAGAAAAATTATGCGGGCGGGCGTTTTTTTTCTCTTCAAGTCTAATCGTACACAGGCGGATCCAGGAATCTTCGCGGGGGGGGGGTATTCATCGGCAAATTTTTTTGAAATGTTGACACTTTTTTCCGGACACTTTGCATCCGTAAAATAAAAAAAGCGGGGGGGGGGGGGAGGGGGCTCGTACCATACTTTCAATGGGGACGCTGTTCAATTTCGACGATTATTAACACCCACTAACCAAGCTGGTTCTGTACGTATTTGGGTGTCGGAACGGGGTTGGGGGGGGGTCGGATTTTTTTTCAGGAATTTCTATGGATTTGTTATTGGGACAGAGCTGAGGAGGGGGGGGGGGTCCCCCCCTTCTGACTCTGCGCCTGGTACAAGTGCAATTCCGTCAAAAGGCACATAGTCGTGATATGGCCATAAAAAATATACTCGGTCTCTGGTCAGCGCGCGCGTCGATTTTAATCATGCGCGTCAACCTTTTTTTTCTCTTCAAATTAACACGGAAGCTACAACAGCGCCCTCTATTGCCGCACCTCCTTAAATTTTTGTACCAAGGAGCACCAAGGAATGGGGAAATTGCACCAAGGCAAATGATCAAGGGCACCAAGGCAAATGATGGAGGACACCAATGTATAATGAGGACACAAAAAAGCAAAATAGCACCCACCTTGTCTGTACAATTGAAGCTTGAAAAAAAAAGAAAAAAAAGCCACCCCCAAAAAAAAACCCCGCGTCGCCGCATCAATTCCGGAACTTCGGTCTGACCAGAGACCGATTATTATTATTTGTTTGGCCTTACATGGACTGCAATAGTGTACCGTGCAAATTAAGGCCACGGGATCAAGAAGGGGCGCTGTGGAGGATATTTTCATGAGAGAGAACGATGTCCCCAAAAAAGTCCTTTTCCCGGTGTTGCATGATGTTCATCTATTTGGGATTATTCAGCGCTATAGAACTGCTCGAAAATAACGGGCGCAGGTGGCCAGATTTTTATTGTGCTCTTGAATCGTCAAACTAATTGCGCTGGTATGGCCTACACGTACACGTACACAGAAAATGAAAAATCCAGTGGGGAAGTTATGAAATGATTACCTGAACCAGTGACACTCAAATAAACTTTCACAAGTGTATGAGCAAAGTTCCAAATACGGAAAAATAAAAAAAAATACAGTGGAACGTCGCTATACCGAACACCGCTATACCGAACATTCGGCTATATCGAACATCGTCCTTGGCTCCCGATTTTTGTGTACAAAAAATACCGAAAAATGTGTTTGAAAAATGTCAACAGAAGAGCGACAAGTGGCTATTATTTCCCCAAGGAATAGCAGGGGAATACCACCCATTGATGTAGGTACTAAGCTCAAAAACGGTGTAATTACATAATTCAATATAGTTGGCACGCGTTCCACGTCGTCTTTCAGAAACTTCCAGGGCGTGCAGCGCAGGAAGATGTTCTGAAGGGTGTTTTTTATTGAGAACGAACGATCGCTATGACGAATAATTTTTATGGATCCGGCGGTGTTCGTTATAGGCGGTGTTCGTTATAGCGGCGTTCCACTGTATACCCAAACTGTAGTCTATGGAATGTATTCTACACAGCAAGGGTCTATGATATGTGAACAGATTGTACATGTACATGTATTACCAAAAAAGCATGTCAGCCAAATGACCAATCAACAGCTTAGTCCACATTTCTGATCGAAATGACGTCACAATTTCTAAAGTCGACTCCGATTGGCTGGCGTGCGGGGTCGCAATGTTTATTCTGCATTCTTCACATTAAGACGTTGGTTACAGAGAGTGTTCCGGTGGACAACAAGTGATACTCAGACTACCCGGAGTGATGCGGGGGGGGGGGTAATTAATGTAATGGGGCCTTAATAATATGACCATTGATGAGAAAATTTTACATTTAAATATAAATGTACTCTTTACAACAATTGCAAATAATGTGGATTGCCGACGTTGATACAATGCCTCTCTTTATACTTGGATGGATGTGGTGACAATCAACGGTTAATGAAGGAATGGGACTTTTATGATTTTAACAAATATATATTCTTTTACAACTACCGGTTTTACTACAAATTGCCGACATTGATACAATTATGCCTCTTTTACTTGACTAAAAAAAAAGGAAAAAGACGGATAAGTTGATTTGTCAACTAAAATTGCGTTCCTCGAGTTTCATCCCGAAGAATATATTTCTTATCTAAATCTCTATATTTCGAGCAAGACGTCGACCGAAAAAAATCAGCCCATGTTTTAAAAGTTATTCAAAACATGTAAATAATTTATATTTTCGAATTATTGGCTTCCAGACAATAATTACGTTCTCGCGGGAAAAAAAACCCCAAACAAACAAACAAAAACCCCAAAAGGTTGCAGACGTCGAAAAAGGGAAAGAAGTAGGTTTCAATAATTTGATTGAAATAACCTACAAGGCAGCGAGGAATGTGCCCCGTTGTGGGAAATTGCATTTTACAAATTCTGACTCAGTACTTATAATTTCCAGCGTCTTGACTACCTAATTGTTGGTAGATACGTGCGCTATATAAGACTTCGGTATTATTATTATTATTATTATATTTCCGCTGAATACTGAAGTACATCATTGACCTCTATAACGTTATACTAAATCTGATGCAGTAATCCTTTGTTGGCGGAGGGAATCTTGTTGGTTTTCCATGCGAACTGCTATTGCAGGAACCGTCTGCCGTAAGACCTTTTTGTCCAGTCGGAGTAGTTTCAGCAATTGTCTCCTGAACACTGACGAGTTGGCGGCGTAGATGAAAGGGTTGACCACGCTACATAGCGAGGTCAGGGCAGGGAAGATTACCATGAGGCGGGGCTCATCCTCAACCACGCCCACCGCCCATAAGGAGATGAAGACCACGTAAGGCATGTAGCTTACGATGAACGCACTTACCACCATGAGCAGCGACTTAGCCGTGGCGATGTCAAAGCGGTTCGTGGGACGTGCGACCCTCGCTGCGCCCGCCGCTGCCTCGACAGTCTGACGCAGCCTTGCCTCGATACCAGCTTTCTGCCGCTTGGTGCCGTAATAAATCCAGGTGTAGGTGATGCTGATCACGGTAAGCTCCCCGATGATAATGCCCAGGCCTACTAGACGTTCGCGAAGTTTTAGCCGCATGCGGCGGTCTAGGCAGAACGAATAGGTTCCGCTCTTGTAGGTGAAAGCAGAGAATGTCAGCGAAATGATGTAGTTGATTAAGATGAGGGCGCAGGGCACGATTTTTCGGATACGGAACCTGATGTTCTTGGTGGACTTGAGCACGGCAATGGCCCTGATGATTCCCATCTGCGTCATGGTCATGAGAGACTGCGCTGTACAGACGTAGTGCGTAAACGCTGAAATGTGGCAGACAACGAAGATACCTGATGAGTTTGTCTGTGAAGGAGCTCCCGTCTTCACCACCAAAAGCTCGTACGCCAGGCGAGCGGCGTAAGTCGGCGCTACCAGCACCCCTAGAAGCAGATCAGTCACCGCCAAGTTGAAGACGAGAATGTTGAAGACCGTGCGCATCTGGTGGTACGTGGCGATGACCAGGCACACCAGGAAGTTCCCTACCGTGCCCAAGACGAATATGACGGCCAGCGTGGCCACGGTGCACGCAATTATTGTGATCTCAGTTGGTGAGAGCGGTCGAAACTCCCCATAATCACCCACATCAGTGTCATTTTCCACGGGGTACAACGGGACACTTGCTGTGGTCATCTCTCCCCACATAGCCATCGCCATCTCGCCTCTCTTGAGTAAAGGCTGTTGAAACCGAGTGTTTTGAATTTTGTTCACATTTTGTTTACACTTCGTCGCAACAAGTCAGAAGCAGATCGTGCACACGGGCCGAGATGGCCACTCGTTCAACTTGGGACAACTTCTCTTGCGGATCGGTTTATGCATTATGTTTTATGCGACTAGCTCTCGGGCCTACATGTATTTAGCCTTTAGTCAAGTCCCACGCGCCTATACCTGGATCATCCGGACACGTAACGCACCCAGTGACGCTGCTGCGTAACAATGCGCAGTGTCTGTAGAGATTACTTAAGCGAGTCCCTTGACTCCTCATTTCCTTTGTATAATGAGCAAGCGTTTCCCTTAATCACCGTGTACCCCTCGCCATTTTAATTGGGCAAGACCCCCCACCGATGTGCGCGCTTTGTTGCATTTCATTGGTGCATCTTCTGACTCCGTCATACTTCCTTCAAGATGCCCACGTCATACCATAGAGCAAGTGCCAAATGGTCATACCTACGGCGTAGAACTAGTTACGGCTTCGTGTGCGTGACAATTGAAACGAAAAACGGAACGGCGATTGGGTTTGGGCACTGTTTCCTTGCACTATTATATACGCCAAAGATCGTATAATTATGGAAAGATAAAACACTGGATATCTTTGTACAGCATTCGATCATGAAACGCTATACGTCATTAAATTAAATCGGGGAAGGGCGCCTCAAGCGTTAGGTGTAGGTAAACGCGTGTACACAATGTAGGGCGACGGTGAATCAACACGGTGAATCAACATCGGGTAAAATGCAGGAGTTTCATTAACTTCCAAAAGATGAGGAAATGAAGAGACGAATAACTGTCTTTTTATTGAAGACTTGTAACTTTATTATTATTGTGTGCAGAATAACTTTGCATTCTTGGATAATATACCTCTGGATCTGCCGAATCTGGATCTGAGAAAAAAAATAAAATAAATGTGTCCCCATAAATTACGGAAGTAGAAATCAGATTATAGGAATGCCGATATTTCCTGCTACACGGAAGGAGATAAAAATGTACCGAGACTGGAGATAAATATAGAAAACAGTATTTATTTTACAGGCCTCATTAGTAAAAGAGAAATTGTGGGCCTTTTCATTTCCATAGGTTTCACAGGGCAGTATTCCATCGCTTCGAATGCCCACTCCCGGGTGGCGAAATTTTTTCCCCAAAACTAGATCGGACAATATCAGAAGAGGGCGCTCTCTCTGCGTTATGCATATTCATGATGTCCAGAGAAATAAGAGAATAAATTATAGGGAATAATAATGTTTAAATCACAAACGATTTGCAGTTCATTGGTGGACTGGTTGGAAGAAGTCCTGACTTCTAATCAGGTGATCCGAGTTCGAATCTCAGTGACCAGTTAAGACGTAAAGCCTATCTTGGATTTGTGTTGTGGAGAATAAGGCATTAGATATGCATGTAATGGACCAATCAGAAGATGGAAAGCGGATGTCGTTTGGGAAAAAAGATTCGCAAGCGCTTACTGGTGCAGGCCAGTGAATAACCCGTGAGGTTATGGACAAAGAACATGCAGTAAGAGACGAAGTTGTACTTGAGCTGATGTGCTGTCTGTCTGATTTCTAGATTCCACTGGGTTTTTATACAGTAAATGAGCAATTACATTCATATCTTACAGGTTTTTTTGGCCTTATCAGGAATTGTTCACTAACTATATAGCAAGCCCCCCTCATGAAACCTTGTCGCCCCCCCCCCCCAGTCGCCCCCCCCCCCCACTGAGATTTTGAGTTTCTAAAAAATTATCATTGATCTACATGACGCCCCCCATGAAATGTTCCAGCCCCCCCCCCCCTCAGCGCCCCCCCCCCCCCCCCCCCACACACACACACTGAAAAAATTCCTGGCTACGCCACTGCTCAAAATATTCTATATTAGAGAGTTCTGAGCGCCGTTAAATTGGGAATTGAAGAGATATGGTAATGAACATCTGGCCCGGACTTGGGGCTTCCAATTCTGAGAATTTTGGATGCTGTTGGGCTCGAAAGTGGCGCTATTCTGCCATGTTGTTGAGGGATCGTTTTTCAAGATGGCTACTTTTCCGCTTTGGGGAAAATAGGGGTCGTCTTCTTTGGGTGAGAATATCTCGAAAAGTCAATGGTCAACCCACCAAAAAATGAAAAGAAAACGAAAGATGACATGTTGATCATCATTTTTCTGTGCAGCTTGAATACCTGTGAGAGTTCTGAGTATTTTTAAAAGAATTTTGAAGTATGGGCATTTAGCACTAGTGTCTATGGGAATTTACTTGCAGGGTTGCATCCTGGTACTGCAACCCACTTGCTGCAACCCTAATGTCGGTGGGGGCGCTCTTCCTTTTCATTGAACCCCGGAAGCATTTAACGTACGCACGACTGTGTACCTGTGTACGTGTAATTTTTTCTCGACGAAATCTCACCCAGTGATGGCTACTTAACACCGCAATTTGAAGTACCTGCCATCTAATTTCAAGGGTTAAGTCACCCGTAAATAGCCAGATTACAGTGGTCTGCGAGCGAACAGTGGCATGACATCGCAAACCATGGAAAATGTGAAGAAATTCGCGGGGCAGGCTGGTACATTTTTTACACGAGCGAGACAGGTATAAATAATTTTAATATGGCATGTATGGCATTGGGCATGCACAATTGCAATGTATTGAAAATTAGGCGATCGTGTATCTACGGGCCCGGTTCCCTATGCTATAGTATAGGGACAAAATCCACTTTTAAATCATTTGACCTATCAATTAATTAGCGACAAGAACAGGCAGGTATGTCGTTCAATAGATTGAGGGCAGATTTTTGATTTTTTGAGGGAAATTTGGGGGTAAAAAATGACAATGACAACGACAATATGCAACTAGAAATGTGTTTGTGGACAAACACAAGCTGTTTCGGATATTTGAAATACTCTGTGCAAATGATGAACACTTGATGAAGTCACTTCGAATGTCATCTGCCAAGTGAAAAGTCAATCAGACATATAGTGCCAAAGTATTATTTGAAGAAAAACGTGTACAAAACCTACGGGGAAAATGCATCTTTAATGTGAAGTAACCTTACCACCTGATGATGTCACGATCACGAATTTCTTCTAGAATCATCTTTGGGTGGTAGTCTAAGTGTGTGCCAAGTCTAACGTCGATCGGATTTACAAAAGTGCCAAAGTAGAATGTTTTAAAACGTGTACAAACCCTATGGGGAAAAATGCATCTTTAATGTGACATAACCCAACACCTGATGACGTCATGATCACAAATTTCTTCTAAGACCATCTGTGGGTGGTGGTCTAAGTATGTATTAAGTCTGAGGTCGATCGGATTAACAAAAGTGCCAAAGTGGAGTGTTTTATAACGTGTACAAACCCTATGGGGAAAAATGCATCTTTAATGTGACGTAACCCAACACCTGATGACGTCACGATCACAAATTTCTTCTAGGACCATCTGTGGGTGGTGGTCTAAGTATGTATCAAGTCTGAGGTCGATCGGATTTACGAAGAGGCCAAAGTGGAGTGTTTTAAAACGTGTACAAAACATATGGGGAAAAATGCATCTTTAATGTGACGTAACCCGACACCTGATGACGTCATGGTCACGAATTTCTTCTAGGACCATCTGTGGGTGGTAGTCTAAGTATGTTTCAAGTCTGAAATCAATCGGATTTGAAAAAGTGGCAAAGTGGACTGGTGGAAGAAACGTGTGTTAAACCTATGGAGAAAAAGGCTGAAAAAGGAGAAAAAAAAAACACTAGAAATGTGTTTGTGGACAAACACAAGCTGTTTCGGATATTTGAAATACTCTGTGCACGTGATGAACACTTGATGAAGTCACTTCGAATGTCATCTGCCAAGTGAAAAGTCAATCAGACATAAAGTGCCAAAGTATGATTTGAAGAAAAACGTGTACAAACCCTATGGGGAAAAATACATCTTTAATGTGAAGTAACCTTACACCTGATGATGTCACGATCACGAATTTCTTCTAGGACCATCTGTAGGTGGTAGTCTAAGTGTGTACCAAGTCTAACATCGATCGGATTTACGAAAGTGCCAAAGTAGAATGTTTTAAAACGTGTACAAACCCTATGGGGAAAAATACATCTTTAATGTAACGTAACCCAACACCTGATGACGTCACGATCACAAATTTCTTCCAGGACCATCTACGGGTGGTATTCTAAGTGTGTACCAAGTCTGACGTCGATTGGATTTACAAAAGTGCCAAAGTGGAGTGTTTTATAACGTGTACAAACCCTATGGGGAAAAATGCATCTTTAATGTGACGTAACCCAACACCAGATGACGTCACGATCACAAATTTCTTCTAGGACCATCTGTGGGTGGTGGTCTAAGTATGTATCAAGTCTGAGGTCGATCGAATTTACGAAGAGGCCAAAGTGGAGTGTTTTAAAACGTGTACAAAACATATGGGGAAAAATGCATCTTTAATGTGACGTAACCCGACACCTGATGATGCATGATCACGAATTTCTTCTAGGACCATCTGTAGGTGGTGGTCTAAGAGTGTATCAAGTCTGAGGTCGATCGGATTTACGAAGAGGCCAAAGTGGAGTGTTTTAAAACGTGTACAAAACATATGGGGAAAAATGCATCTTTAATGTGACGTAACCCGACACCTGATGACGTCACGGTCACGAATTTCTTCTAGGACCATCTGTGGGTGGTGGTCTAAGTATGTATCAAGTCTGAAATCAATCGGATTTGAAAAAGTGGCAAAGTGGACTGGTGGAAGAAACGTGTGTTAAACCTATGGAGAAAAAGTCTGAAAAAGGAGAAAAAAGAAAAAAAAAAAAAAAAAGAAAAAAAAAATCTTAACGAAAACAAGAGCTGTTTCGGTGTGTCACCGAAACAGCTAATAAAGATGGCGATCACCGCACGATGTACTGTGAATGCGCAAGGCACCAACCATAAATCGGGTAGGAAAATCTTAATTTCTACCCCAAGAAACTGTTCAAATATTTTAAAAAAAAGGTGTCATTATAATTGAGAGAAGTCTGCTTAGTTTAGGTTGAAAAGGTCATTTTTCAGTAAAAAAAAACACCCTTGACTTAGCCCAGGTTGGACGAAGTCTTCATTGCGTTACAACTGACATCCAGGATGAGAAATCTCTACGTAATACCATCCAAAATTTTGACCTAAATTTTGTTACGTTTTACCTCGTTATACTAAGCTTGTTTCACGCCTACATACTCTATGTATCCTTATCTATTGATCCGGGGGGTTCAGGAATTCCATATGTGATGCTGACCAACGTTAATCAGGAAAATAAACTCTAAAGCAACGTTAAACTTGTACTTTTTGTAGTCTCTTTTCATCAGTTTCTCACCGAATTGCTAGCGCCCTCCTTTGTTTAGTTTTGGTTGGAACAGCGACGTCACTCCAGCCGACCGAAGTCGCGAAAACGCTCAACCAATGGCAAAAGCCGAAACATGTTTCTGGTAACTGTCGCGAAAACACGCTCGGTCATTGGATAGGCGACCGCCTCTACAAGTTAGTGCGCATGCGTATGAGGGCGGTTATTCGCACGGCCGTACGTACGCCATTTACGACTGGACTCGGTACGTGTGAGCATGGAGGAACTGATGAAAAGAGTCTACAAAAACGTACAAGTTTAACGTTGCTTTAGAGTTTATTTTCCTGATTAACGTCGGTCAACATCGCGTATGGAATTCCTGAACCCCCCGGCCCAATAGATAAGGCTACATAGAATACTAAGACGTAAAAATTAGCTTCTCCAACAAGGTAAAAATATTGAAAATATTAGGCATAATTTTTTTGCCCGGTTTTGAGCACTTCATACCCTGGACTCCCTCCGTAACATAGGGAGGAAAGGGAGTCCACCTGGGCTAACCCTTGACTCTCATTTGATCGAAACTTGCGCATGCTCAGTTTCATGTACATGTAGGCGTGTATGTAGTCTACACGACACAGCTGTCTGTTCACGTTGTCCGATATGTTACCGTAAATGGCCAAACCAACAGAACTTTGTTTTGTTGGCTTTTTTTTTGGTAGTCACTTGACTTTTAGGGATCTTGTTTGAGAAAAATCTGCCCCATTTCACACCACGTGTTTGACGGAAGACCGTCTTAAAGGGAATATACATCATTTGCTTTTGCTGTAATTTTCAGAAATGGATGGAATTGGGGGTTGGAAATATATAGCAAATATAGTTACACTGACTTTTTTGAGGTTTTGGGTTCGAAAATGCTATAAAAACCAAGAAAAACAATCATTTTCCTGTAGTCTGGTTCCCTGACTCCATATAAGAAGAAACAGAGCAGTTTACATACCATTGGGGAATTGTAAGGTCAGGGAACCAGTCTAGCTGGCTCGTACCCGTTCATAGGTTTGTAATCGATTGCAAACAAGTGCGATGGTCAATTGGGGCCAGTATTTGAAAAAAAAAGCCAGTTTTTTCCAACGCTGATCGGCCGATCAGCGTTGGAAATTGATACAAAAATACCACTTTTCTTGAAAATGACAGTATACCAGGTGCCATGATTTTACAGGATGCTTTACACTGTCATTCACTAACAGTCCAGCAAGGTATTTCAAAATGATTTGGTAGTTTTATTTTTTGATGTTTGCAAATGTTGTATTTTCCCTTTAAAATATAACGTGAGTTACTATGGAATTGCATAGCTGCTCACGATGCATGTCATCGACGAATCATTTTCTGATGGTTGACCTCAATACTTTGACCTTTGACCCCCTGCAGTACACAGAGGAGAAACTGGGCAGTGCTGAGAAGACTGAACTGGACGCTCAGTTTGAGAACCTGCAGCAGAGAGCTGACCGCACCAAATTATGGACGGAGCGTATCCTATCACGCACAGAGGCAGTCCTACAGCCAAACCCAAGTAAGAAAAACTTTTATGATTATTGTCAAACACTGAGGTCAGCACACCTTGCAAAACTTTCTGCATTATGTTTTAGCACATTTGCATTGGTCATGTTGGTGTTGTGTTTAAGGGACACTATGGCCTGAAATTCCCTGAAAATTTTATGTTTTGGATTGTTTACTTGTCCTATTTCAAATGTCTGGTTGAAAGGAAACTAACCTAATGTCTTACCATTCCCGAGAAAAGATGGTTGTTTACATCAGACGCAGCGGACATTTTGTGGCATATGCATGTTTCCAGCCATGTTAATTCAATGTTCAGTACACGTTATGTGTGTTTCACACACAGCACCAATGCACAAATGTTGTTTCTTGAACGTCCGCAGATGCAATGCACTGTGCGTCAGGATGCACAACTAGCACTCAACAACGCGATTTTTGAGAGTCAAAATGTTGATCCCCGAAATTCGTTCTCGCATATGGTTCCCGCAAGAATAAAAAAAAATGCCCAGTTTTTAAAGGACGTTTGTGTGGACGTTTATATGCTACTTTTAAATGCTCTTTCCTAACATCATTTTGTTTAAAATGCATTTTTAAGCCGAATTGGGCGCATTGCAGGACCTAATGTCCCTTTTAATGTTTCTGTAATTGTCGTGATTTTTATCAAACACTGAGGTCAACACACCTTGCTACACTTTCTGCACTATATTTTAGCACATTTGCATTGGTGTTGCGTTTATAATCAGCAGCTTCAGACTTCACATCATTTTTCTAATCGATTTTCAAATTTCAGTAGCTTGCTTTATGACTTGAAAATGAATAACTTGTGACAATGGACTCCTGTTGGACTGGTGATGAATTGTGACTTACCTGTGATGACTCATGATTGAATTGTGATTGACTAGTAGAATGCCATGGCCCAGTGGTTACAGTGTTTGATGGTATGCGGGTTCGAACCCTGCCAGGAACATGGTGTTTGTGCGCTTGGGCAAGACACTTAACTACAATTGCCTCTCTCCTCCTAGGAGTATGAATGGGTACCTGTGAGGGTCAAGGACCGATTGAGCGCTGATATCGGCTGTCGCGTGGTCCCATGGCCTGATGAACGGGGAATAATTGTAAAGCGCTTTGAGATTGTTGAGACAATGGAAAGCGATAAGCATTACAATTAATTTTTTTTAATTATGATTGACTATTGATAGACTTTTGTCTTGTGACTTGCATTGGATGACATGTGGTGGACTTGTGACGACTTGACTGCAGTCTACGCAAAACCCTTAAATTCAGGTCCTGTCTGTCTCCTCGTTTTTCAGGCCGACGTATGGAGGATTTCTTGAACACCAAGCTGGATCGTAAGGTGCAGGACAGGGAGACCAACTTTGATGGTTGCGGGGCAACGATGATCGAAGCAGGCAACGAGCTGGGGCCAGGCACCCAGTATGGTGAGAATATCTAAGAACACAAACTGAGACCTCAATCACTTTAAAGGGAAAATACAACATTTGCAAACATCAAAAAACTACCAAATCATTTTGAAATACCTTGCTGGACTGTTAGTGAATGACAGTGTAAAGCATCCTGTAAAATCATGGCACCTGGTATACTGTCATTTTCAAGAAAAGTGGTATTTTTGTATCAATTTCCAACGCTGATCGGCCGATCAGCGTTGGAGAAAACTGGCTTTGTTTCAAATACTGGCCCCAGTTGACCATCGCACTTGTTTGCAATCGATTACACACCTATGAACGGGTACGAGCCAGCTAGACTGGTTCCCTGACCTTACAATTCCCCAATATATGTAAACTGCTCTGTTTCTTCTTAAATGGAGTCAGGGAACCAGACTACAGGAAAATGATTGTTTTTTCTTGGTTTTTATAGCATTTTCGCACCCAAAACCTCAAAAAAGTCAGTGTAACTATATTTGCTATATATTTCCAACCCCCCAATTCCATCCATTTCTGAAAATTACAGCAAAAGCAAATGATGTATATTCCCTTTAATCCTAACTCGTAACCCTAACCCTCTTCAATCCTCCAAAATCAACCAGGCAGTTTTAGAGGATTTTGGAGGATTGAGGCTGAATGGCAGAAAAATGTCAGTTGATTTTGCGTTGTGGCGAGGTCAGAGGCTGTGCCATGCAGTGTTTATAATCAGACGTGCATAATTGAGGCCCACGTTGGTTTGGATACCATCCTCACCACTTCAGGATATCATTGACACCACCTCAAGATATTAACAGTGATTGTGGGAGGATTTTGACAGATGGAGGCATTCATGGCTTCCCCTCAAACTCTTCAAAGGCATATCAAGCCTACTGGAAAGCAGTAGTGGCTAAGCTCTGCTGTCTTCAGTCCTTTGGCCGATTGAATCCACAAAATTTCCGGAGTTTTAGAGGAGTCCAGAATGCTTTCAAGTAAGGCCGTGCATTTTCGAATAATTTAGTATTCGATTATTCCAACTTGGACTTGATCCAATATTCAAATATTCGATTTTGAAACGTATGATCAAAACGCCAGCCTTATCTGGTCTGTTGATCGGGATTCGCGTGCGCTTGTAATTTTCAAAAATTGACAAAGAACTTATTAAAACGAACTGTCAACGGAATGGCTGATATTTGGCCGATTTAAAAGAAAAGAAAAATCTACTCATATCCTCATTAAAAGCCCTCAAATCATGCTCTAGAGTTGATTTTAACTAAAAGTGTAGCATTGGACAAGTTGTAAGACCAAGCAATTTATGCGATTAAAATAACATCATGGACGTTTTTCATCATCGCCTTGAGACCTCTCGCATTTTAAAAATATTTGACTTCGGTTGATGATCGAGTGGTTGAATATTCAGGACATCCCTAGTTCCAAGAACATTTTTTTATGTTTTAAGGGTAAAAAGAACTTAAACCAACTTTATTTCATATGTAAGATTTTAGGCATTGCATGGTGGAGTATCAGTATCGTTTCGGTTTGCGGTAACACCATGTGGTAATAACTACTGTCGCTCAGCAGATATTTAGTTCTGATAAGAACTCGTCCTGCTTATTATCAACTTTCGCTAAGTAGTTTTTTTTAGCTCTGATAAGAACAGTCCTGCTTAGTTCTAAAAGAACTTTTCTTTGGTCCCAACGTTTCGACTAGCCTGCTCTAGTCATCGTGGACTGATTTTGTATTTTATAGCTGAAATATACCAACAGGACGTAATTGACATAGTTTATTCTAAATCTGGCCTTGCCCGTACAGACATATCAAGTTGTGGTATCAATTATTTAAGAAGAAGTATGAATTTTTCCTGAAGGATTGATGACTTACGTTTTTTTCTTCAGTTGTTTTTAATTGCTGAAAAAAATTGACATTTGAAATGCTTGGTTTCGGCTCTCCAAGGTGGTCGTTAAATTGTTGAGTTTCAGTACGGAGATCTGTTTTTATTAATTGGTGGCTGCATTTTTTTTTTAGTTCAAGATTCTGTATGCTGCAAATTGCACCATGTTGTTAAAATTTGTCGTGGGAAAATCTTAAGAAATTTCAGGACCCATGAATTGTCTTCATTAGTTCTTCATATTTTCTGTCTTTATTTCTGATAAAGTTCAGGTTGACCTTTACTTAATATTTCAGAAATTTCAAGGTGGCTTATGTCCAAAATTGATGATTTTTGAAGTCGGTAAATTGTAAGACATAGTATAAAAATGCAAATGAGGAGTTAAGTCGCCCACAAAATATACAATTACAAAAGCGTTCACATTGGTTGAAAAAATCCAAAACTTTCAGCAACAGGTTGAAAATAATGTTTTCAAAAAGCGATTTTTTTTCTTAAAGAAGGAAATAATAAACTTCTGATTTGTTTCTTTGAATTTAAGAAAATTTTTTGACTTTCAGAAAATTGTTCATTCAAAACTTGTTTTGAAAATTGGTAAAAAGGATACTGTGACTCAGAGACCATAAGAACTGTAAATTCTCCAAACATTTGTTACGGTAGTAGTCAAAACTTCTTTTGTGATTGTCACAAATATCAGGGAGCACTAACATAAAGAATACAACATACATGTATATTAAACATCAATTGGCCACGACCCAGGTTGACAAACCAATGCTATAATACAATGTTTCTTATTTCTTTCTTTCTTTCTTTGTTTCACCCTAGGTGCGGCTCTTGTGCAATGCGGAAGCACCCAGAAGAAGATGGGTCAGTTTGAGAAGGAGTTCATGCAGTCCGCTATCACCAACTTCATCAATCCACTGCACAACTTCTTGGATGCGGACATGAAGACTATCAGCGTAAAAAGCTTTCCATGTCTTTAAAAATGAATCATTGGCTTACTGGATTTCTGACTCGCAGGCTGGATTACTGGCTAGCCAGCTAGAAGGCCTGGTGGCTAGCATGCTGGCAGGTTGGCTAGCTAGGTGGCTGGTTTGATTGTTTGTTAGCAGGCTAGCTACTGGCTGGCCGGCTGGTTGACTTTCTGGCTGTCTTGATGGCCTGTTGGATGGCTGGTTGGTTAGCTAGCTAGCTGGCTGGCTGGTTGGCTTGCTGGCTAGTTGGCTAGCAAGCTGGCTGAATGGATGGATGGTTGGCCAGAAGGCCAGGGGGCTAGCTGGCTGGTTGGCTGGCTTGATTGTTTGTTAGCTGGCTAGCTACTGGCTGGCCGGCTGGTTGACTTTCTGGCTGTCTTGATGGCCTGTTGGATGGCTGGTTGGTTGGCTAGCTAGCTGGCTGGCTGGCTGGATGGATGGTTGGCCAGAAGGCCAGGGGGCAAGCAGACTGGCTGGTTGGCTGGCTTGATTGTTTGTTAGCTGGCTAGCTACTGGCTGGCCGGCTGGTTGACTTTCTGGCTGTCTTGATGGCCTGTTGGATGGCTGGTTGGTTAGCTAGCTAGCTGGCTGGCTTGTTGGCTAGTTGGCTAGAAAGCTGGCTGAATGGATGGATGGTTGGCCAGAAGGCCAGGGGGCTAGCAGGCTGGCTGGCTGGTTGGCTGGTTGTTTGCTTTTAGCTGGCTAGCTGCTGGATGGCTGGCTGGTTGACTTTTTGGCTGGCTTGCTTGCTGACTGGCTCCTCGGCTGTCTGGTTTTTTGGCTGGTTTGCTGGCTGGCTTGCTTGTTAAAGATTATGTTATTCTAAAACAAACAAAAAAGGCTGAACAATTTTTGAAATAAAATGCTTTTCAAAAAAAATGTTGGTACGGTGAAAATTTGAGGTTATCAAATTCCTGTTATCTCTTTCTAGTTTTTTTCAAAGCATATCGTACAGTTCTCACAATTTTCTTTATATCGCCATATAGAAAGAGCGCAAAATCTTAGAGAACAAGCGACTGGATTTGGATGCTGCCAAGGGCAAACTGCGCAAGGCCAAGAGCCCAGAGTCATCCAAACTTGTGAGTAAAAAACTAATTTATCCTTCCCCTTTTTATTCGTTATTCTATGTGTAAATTTTTAACTTTCAGAATTGTTAATCCCAAAACTATCGGTACGGGCCAGTTTTCCCATCTTTACCTGAACTGTATTTCATGTATTTGTCAATTGATGTTTGGGCTTTTAGTGTCACTGGTTTAAGCAAGGTTTTCTTTCAAGGGTCACAGGCTTTTCGATGCACATCTTCATTGCAGTCTCTGCTGAAAAGACATGAGCGCAGTTTGCAGAATAATAATGTGCTAAAGTAGTGCCAGGAAATGGGGCCTAGGGTTTCGGGAATTCACCACATTATTAATATCAGAACCATATTTTCATAGTTGAATGAGCAACACATTTCACCCGGTATAAGTGGATATCTAACATGAGGCAATGAAAGATATGTGACGTGGTATGTCAAAACCAGGCACATTTAGGCAAGAAGTCAATTTTGAGTTATTGCAACATAGTTTAAATATAGACCTTTCTCTTTCAAATGCCACTTTGTTTTTTGAAATTGGATATTCTAAAGCGCAGTTAATACATTTTGAAATCAGACTGTCCGAAATGTCAAAAACGAGAAGTCTCCGGTTTCTGGTATGCGCGCGCGCGCGTCGCCGTAGCCATGCGCGTCGGCAAAATGAAAAAGTTTTTTTTTCAATACAAGATGATGTCTCAAAACCGCCAAACTCACTGGTTTGACTGGAATCCTGCTGCTGCACAATTTTAACGTGTTTTTAGATGGGGTTATGATCGAGAATAAGTTTTATGTGGCCCTCTCTGGACTCCCATATATTTGCACTAAGTTTAGTCGGGCACCATTTGCAGTCATCAGCCGACATTTGAAGCCAAAAAAAAAAAAAAACAGGTAAAAAAAAAAAAAGCCGCGTCGCCGCACCACTTTTGGGGCAAGCTCCATACCAGAAACCGGAGACTTTTTTTTTTGGCCTTACAGTTTGATTTTTAGTGAAAAAATAATTTGTAGATGAAATTTCAGTTTGAAACTTTTACAGAACATTTTCAATATTAGAAACATTACAACTCTCAAAAAAATTCAAAATTGCTGAAAATCACCCCAATGTCATTTTTCACCCGTTTTTCAATTCGTAGCTCTGCCTAATTCCGCCAGATTTTTGACATACCGCGTCACATATTAGGATTTCGTACGTGTCCCCGTCTTTTTGGCTGTGCAGGACTGTTAACAAAGTGACAACATGAGCTGAGTGTGGTGCAAGTGATTGCCATGCACGGCTGATTTTCATTTTTCACGTGCAATAAGCACTGGCTGAAAAATTGTCTAACACTCGTGGTTTTTCTTTCTGTAGGAGTGATTGAAGAATTTGCTTGATTTTTGTAGTGCTTTTAAAAAAAAAAAAGATGGAGTGTGGCCGTGCATGACAGTCTTTGCAAACTGCCTGGCTTCAAATCACAGTTACTGTTAAAAAAAATTTAACAACTATTTGGATGAACTACTTTATAATTTACACCTCGTAAACTTGTTCACTTCATTTAAAGATATAGCCCATCATTTGTAATTTGTGCATTTTGTTCGTTTGAAGCAACAAAAGTGCTCAAACTCTAAAAAAAGGGTACTGAACAACTAACCTGATGAAGTTTCAGCTCAGTTTCAGCTGTATATTCCAAGAAAAACCGCATTCTAGGATCTCAATTTCAAATCAAAAGTTGCTGAATCATGTTTTGAATTGGGCCTGAATTCAGCATCCGAGACACGTTCTCACTGAGCCGATTGCAGCTACGCGATGTCGTGCACTGATCCGACGAATTATAGCAACCGCGTGTGCGTGTGCGTCATGCCAATGCTTGCGCACGCTTCACCAAATAACAAAACGAACCACTAATTTAAATTTCCTACGGTGCGTCTTAAGAAGCACCGTTGGAAAGGCCTTCTTTCGTCGATTTCTTCAAAATGACAGCTTGCCAGAAAGAATAATTTCACAGGGAGTTTAGTCCCCTTACTATCTTTCAACCAAGTATGTTTCTCAACAATAATTACGCCAGTTACTTTTCGGATAGCTGCAAATGATGGACTATAGCTTTAAACATGCGCTTTGATTTTTATGCCGAATTGCTATTTAAATTTCTTGGTTCTATATGGCACTCTTTTTATCGTCATCATTTTCCCTTCTCAATTTCTGTTCTGAATCTTTTCCTGCTTTTACTCATGCCTCCTCTATCAGCCAAACAGTGAAGACTTGATTCGTACAGTAAGTGTCCGTGTTTAAGCAGTGCGTCATGTATCTGTGCATACCTCGTCCAGTTCAATTAATACTTCATTTAACCGTGGTCCTGCATCCTCCAGAACACTTCAGTATACCCTCCAAAGTTCCATGACATGAATTTTGCACGGGAGCATATTTGCAGCAAATAGCTGAAATGAAATAAAAACTATGAGACGTCCCTTTTTGATAAAACTTTTTGCAAATATTTAAAAAGTTTCATGTTTTTCCCGACACTTGAGGGCGCTGTAGCTGTAATGTCATTTGAGGAACCACTCTTCAGATTAGGCCAAAAAAAAAAAGTCTCCGGTTTCTGGTATGCGCGCGCGTCGCCGTAGCCATGCGCGTCGGCAAAATGAAAAAGTTTTTTTTTCAGTACAAGATGATGTCTCAAAACCGCCAAACTCACTGGTTCGACTGGAATTCTGCTGCTGCACAATTTTAACGTGTTTTTAGATGGGGTTATGATCGAGAATAAGCTTTATGTGGCCTCTTTGGACTCCCATATATTTGCACTAAGTTTAGTCGGGCACCATTTGCAGTCATCAGCCGACATTTGAAGCCAAAAAAAAAAAAAAACAGGTAAAAAAAAAAAAAAAGCCGCGTCGCCGCACCACTTTTGGGGCAAGCTCCATACCAGAAACCGGAGACTTTTTTTTTTTGGCCTTAGCTTCGTTTTTTCTCTTCGAATTATAAATCCAAAACTCTGCTTATTGAAACATTTGTGCATATAGTTTTCTCATTATTTCTTATTATTTCTCATTATAAAGAAGGCACCCAAACCCCTTAAACAAGCAGTGTGAAGATCGAAAGTAACTTAAAGGGAACATGATAGTACAATTCAAGGATTGCATTTAAAAAAAAATCCATTACATGGGCCCTTTAAAGGGAGTGGCAATGCAGTTTATTTTATGGGCCTTATTCACGAGTTGGTCATTTTTGTCGAGTTCCCTGAATGCATTTCATTAATTGTTAACTGTTGAATGGGATGGCACCTGACTATTTATGCAGGCACAATGCAGACTTATTTTACTGTCATTTTTTTAAAATATGGCTTGAAACATTAGGGAATGTTTGTTTACAAATGGTAAATTATTCATTGATATCTGAAACAGACTGGAATTTATTATACACTCACTTGCTTTCATTTCTCTTCGCAAGTTCCAAAAATGAAGATTTTACCTCACTTTCAATTCAATATGGCCGACTCGTGAATAAGGCCCATACTACATGTACATTGAATTTTTGCCAGTTGCAAGTGTACTGTGAGCAGCCGAGGGATGTAATTAAGGTTACCGTCACCAGAGGTCGAAGGTCTCTGCTGTTTGGCAGGATAACTGTTCTGTTGTTCTTGATTTCCCGTAGGGTAATGATGCCTTACAAAAAAGACGGCAGAAATTCCAATTTAAATTTGAAAGGAAACCCCAGAGGAATTTTTACAAGGACAGTTTTTGAAATGTTAGGCATGGGCAAATAAACATCAAAATAACTAGCTCTTTTTTTTCTTTCAAAACAACTTTTTGAGTTTGGCAGGAATGGATAATTGCATTGCCCTCGATTGCCTGTAGGGTCATGGTGCCTTATAAGAAAGACAGGGATGAAATTCCAATTTGAATTTGAAAGGAAACCACAGAGGAACTCTTACGGAGACAGTTTTTGAAAAATAACTTGAGGCATGGAAAAATAAATATCAAAGTAGTTTTTTATTTCAAAACAACTATTTGTCTGTATGTTGGCTAGATACTTTTTTGTGGTCGGATTTGGTTCAGTTGATGTGAATCGACCAGCAGCAGCGCAACGGTGCTGTCTTTGTGAATTTCCAAGGTTTTTTAATGAAAAGTAGACTGCATCTTTTTTTTTTCCATTCAAATTGTTCAGATCCAGTCACAATGTATTTAAGATGGGATCTCACCCTATGTTGTCAATCATGGAAAGTGGATATTTTTTCCAAATTTTAATTTTGTTTGGTTGAGCTTAGGCAAACCTGACAGAAAAAATTGCCAACAGGCGAAAGAAACTTAGCAACTGATTTTGAAACAAACAAACAAAAAGATCTGCAGCACTGTTACTAAGAACAGTACGTACTTTGTAAATTTCAGGTTTCTTTGGGGAAAATACAGAAGTGTTGACCTACCGTTTGCATCTTTAACTATTTGAATATTAACTACCTAAAATAACAAAAAGCATCACAAACAGCAGGTTTTCAGGTAGTTTTGTCGATGGATTAAATATGTCCTAATTGTGTGTGCGTGGGGGAGGGAAAAGAGACAATAAATGAGGTCCCCTAATTGCCCCGCCCCCATCCATGGACTAAATATGTACTTGTGTGTGGGTGGGTGGGGGGAGGGAGCAGGGGTGGAAAATGAGGTCCCTTTGTGCCCCGCCCCCATAAAATTGCAAAACAATGGGCCATGCATGGGTAACTGCACAGTATAGGATTTTGCCAATTGGTTTTCGTGTGAATATTCCTGCTAGGGATATGCGTTTGTAAACATACATGGACAAAATGCTCTCTATGTACACCGACATGCACGTTGGTTTCTATGTTATTTTTGTCATAATTGTAATCGTTAAGTTATTGCATTATAGTGGACGTATGCAAATGTATTGATTGCTGTGTGTTGTCAGTGTATACAGCTGTGTTAGCATAGCACAGTACAGAAACGACTCATGTACCCGGTACATGTACATGTTCATGGATCCTGCTCTTGTGCATCAAGTTTGTTCAGTGATTTTACTTTCCATCGTAACACTTGATGTTGTGTATTTGGATGTTCAGTACAATAGGTTTGCTCTTATTTTCTTCACTAAACTGCACAAGCACAGCCATTTGTTGACTGAGTGTTTGTTTTATTTTTGCCTGTTGGATTTGACTGTTTTGTGGATTTGGTGGTTCTAGTTATCATTTGCTGTTACCAAACAAAAATTAATAACCAATAAGATCCAAAACCGAAAAAAAAAAATCAAAAAAAAAAAATCAGTTTTACTAATGTCTGGAAAATTGGGCGGCAAAACTAAACAGAAATGGTGAAAATTGTATGAAGAAAAACTTATTCCAGTGATATTTGCAATCAAACAAATAAAATAAATACTGAAAAATTCCTGATAACCGTAAAGCTACAAAAATACTTCAGTATATAAGTGTGCACAACACCCATAGTATTCTGTAGTACTCAGTTCTTTATCCCTTAGTAATGGCTAGGACGTTGTGTACCCTTTTGGAGACATTTTTTTCCTTTAGTTATATCATAAGGGAGACACCGGCATTTGGGAGACGTTTCAATGTCTCGTCAATGTCACAGCTCCTATTTAGAGGCAAAATTATAATGACGCAAATAGGCTAGATCAATTGCTCAGAGTCCGAAATACAAATATACCAAAACTCATGGGGGTAGGACAAGGGAAAATTGAGTTAGGGGTCATTAAAATTGGAAAAACATTTTGTGCACAACCTTATGGGAATGCTTCCCTGAGGTACCATTTCACTGTTCATATTTTCAATATGAATTTTTTTTTCCAGTTTGCATGCATCCTGTATCTCTCTAAACCTACCAGTCATGTATCTGTAGACGCAGAGCATTGTGAAGCACAATTATATTTTTGTAGTTAGCAATGTATGTATTTACCCGAGCCGTTTCTGTTTTCTGTAATCATATGTCTGAAACCCAGCCAAGTATATTTTTCTTGCGTGTCATTGTGCTGGTACAGTGCTGGTACGTGCATGCCATTTTGTTGTTATCGTTGTAACTCGAGTAGGGAGCCATTATTATTGCAGCCCATATGACAGTATGCTTCATTACGTTAGGACAGAACATACCAGAGGGGAAAAAACATTGAAAGACATTTGAGTATTACTCTGGGGTTTTGGTAATAGGCCATCAGCATGGGGGTTTGGTCAGTATCAAATCAGGGCATAAATGATTATAGTGCGCATGCGCAAGGTATACTGCCCCTAGAGTGGTAACAAGCATTTTGATGGACATCTTCAAAAAAAAAGGGTGATAACACCCAAAAAGCTGCCACCGCTGCAATGCTATCACATATTTTCCAACTCTGGAGATGAAAACCTTGCCAAAAATCGCTATGACGATTATTCCCCTCATTTGATGCCAGTGGCCAAAATTTTGGACTGAGGCTGATGGCCTATAAAGGCCAATTTTTTTGCATAAATTTAGAAATGGATGGCCAAACAACTTCATTACATTGGATATATTTACGAGCTGATTGAAGTTGAACTGATCCTCACTAGTAATTCACTAATTAAATCAATTTCCAAAAGCACACTTTATTTATTTTTGAGTATGTTTTCCTAATTTCCAAATGTGTTAAGATATTGAAAATAAACAATTAATCAGTTACTTTGTTAACTGATTGATTTTTTTTTTCTAATCAGGCTGAAGCAGAGCTGCGTGTGGCTCAGTCAGAGTTCGACCGACAGTATGAGATCACCAAACTGCTTCTGGAAGGGATCAGCAGTGCCCACGTGAGTATTCAGCATGCCCGTTTAAAGACGGGCCCAACTTGGAACGATTCTTGAACAAACAAAAACCCACGATCCACTAATTCAGTTGATCGCTTTCCACGCAATCAGGTGTTCGTCCCACATATGCTGTCCATGATAAGAGTATGCACTTTAACAGGATGGTGCCAAACTGAAATTGCCGAGCCAAATGGTTCTAAACGCCATTCTATTGCCGTGCTGAATTCAAAAATGTCAAAAACCTTGCACCACCAGATCCCTCAAAGTCCACTTTGAGGATTTGAAGGATTTTGAAGGATTTTGAAGGATTTTGAAGGATTAAGGAAAGTCTAGAGCCAAGCCTGGCATGATTCCCTTTGAATTGATAAAAGAAAGTGTCATGAATTGGGTGTATACTTTGTACAGGACTTTCGAGGAAGACTCCCTCTCTGGCTGGCAATTTTAGCCGCGCGATCACAGCAGTCAAAATCAATCAAGTGACTGTTTTAACAGCTAAGAATTCCCTTGTTAATTTGATATAGCCATGCTTTGACTAGGTGATTGATAAGCCAGCTGTACCTATCAGTAACATCTGTTGTCTGTTGATGGCATTTGACTAGTCACAGTGTTTACATGAATGTAATCTGACTCTTTGTTACTAGTCTGTATACAAATGCAAGGCAGGGACGTGGAAGAAATTCTTGACTGTCTGTGAATGGTCAGACAATAGGAGCTTAATTAGTTAATGAAATAATGGAATATTTCTGGAAATATCTTTCCACCATGCAAACCTTCAAATCTCATATTTCTGGAAAGAATGCGTACGGACCCAGTTTTAAGATATTTCACAAACTATTCACTAATTAGCCACCGGCCTTCAGTTTTTCCTCCGATCACTAGAGATCAGGTAATTTACTTATAAAAGTTGTAACTTCTCATCTGTGTTATTAAAAATAAGAAAAATCACTGGATGGAAAGTCTAATGAAGCCTTGGAATGTCCTCACTGTGACTTCCAAGTTGAATTTCTGTAACCCTTTTCTTCATTATTATGACTTGTTTATTTTCTGTGGGGAGTGTGGCCTAGCAGTTAGGGTTCGTGACTCATGGTCGAAGGGTCTGGGGCTCGAATCCAGCTGCTGGCCATATGTTGTGTCCTTGGGCAAGCCACATTACTCCAACTTGCCTCTCTCCACCCAGGAGTATAAGTGGGAACCGGCATTAGCTGGGGAGTAACCTGCGATGGACTGGCATCCCATCCAGGGGGAGTAGAAATCTTCTCAGTCGTTTCATGCTACTGAAACCGGAGATAAACGCCGGCCTGATGGGCCACATTGGCTCGTGACAGACCTGACCTTTTACTTTGTTTACGTTATTTCTTTATGACAATAACTTCCCGGATATCATCCTACCTGTTTCCTTTCTCTTGCCAGTCCAACCATCTCAGTCGACTGCAATACTTCATCGAGGCCCAGCAGGCCTACTATGAGCAGTGCTTGAAGGCCATGACGGAACTCCAGAGTCAGATGGCCAAGTAAGATCCAAATCAGCAGCAACCACATATCCATACCATGGCGCCACTTAAGCACAGAAATCTGCTAAAGCACAGATAATTATTTGCTTAGGAAAATCAGGTTACCAGCCAAACTGCCATTCAGTTTATATGGTTTGCTACTGGTACTCGGCTGAATCATGCTTAGCAATTCATATATTCTGCTTATACTTAGTTGCTAAATCTATTTGGTTGGGCTGTCAGTAACGCCAGTTTGAACCAGGGGTTACTTTCCATGACTGGGTGCTGTTTTTACAGGAAAGTCGCTTAGCGAATTTGGTTCCCAAAGCAAATAGCAGCCAGGGACCCGTCTGGCAAGCCATCCTGGCTGGTAACCTGTGTGTGCTCAGCAGCAAATTTGTGTACCTAGCGGCTCTATGAAAATCCCCCCTGATATCTATTCCAGATATATGACCACCTATATTATATGGGACTAGCAAACTTATTTTGTGTGTGTACAAAACCGTTTTTTTCCCCTTCTGTTTAGAAACTGTGTTCCCTGTTACCTTTTCAAAAATGAGAATGTGGATTTTTTTGAGGGCTATTCAAATTTTAATCTTTTAAAACCAATGTGGACAAATCATATTTCATACCCTTTCATGGCACCCAACATGTAAACATGACAGAACAATAAACGCCCCTCCCAAACGTTTTTACATTTGTGCAATCTGATTGCCTTTTAGTCAGACACAGTACAAGTAAGTATTTTCATAGTTTAGCAGAATAACACCAGTGTAACAATTTTTCTTCTAAGAAGAAACACAGAAATTGCAAAATCTATTTGATTTGATACTGATAGAAGTAACAGCGGACAGGCACCCCAAATGGCCATGGAACCACAGGAAGGGTAAAAAGGTCAAAGGTGAAAGTTCACAGGCCAAAGGTGGGTTTTTTTGCCAAGCAGAGATCTGTGGTGGAGTGTCAGTTCTTTGCATGCGCCAACTATTTGCCTAGTTACAGAGTTTTTAAAAGCAACCGTGCTCAGCAATTTTGTCCCTTTTTTTGAACAGTGGTATTGAATAACCATGCATCGAATAAAATTATCTGTTTCTTTTACATTTTAATTTTGCTAGCATTTTTGTGTTTGAAGGGTCATTCATTCACTTTTGAATTTTAGTTTGAAAACAAAGTTGGTGCAAGCTCAGATTCGCACAGTCACCACGTGCTCTCTATTATTTTAGTTTCGTGCATGATAAGACAATTATCATCATAAGTGGTTCATCTTTTCTCCTTTCTTTTCTTTTTTGGCCTTTTCCGCTTTCCCTTGCCCCTCTCTGGTCACTAATTTCTCCACTCCATTTAGTATCCCTGGGTCGTTGGGAAACATCCGCCCCTATAACCCTCCCCAGGCTGCGGGTAATTCCTCCACAACCCCCTCCGCGCCACCTATAGGGGGCGACATACTGCAAGACAGCCCCACAGACCCGCAAAGTGGCAGGCGAAAGGCCCGGGTGCTGTACGACTACGATGCGTCAGACCCGACAGAACTGTCCTGTCTCGCAGATGAGGTATGCATGTGGTGGCACTGTCGCTATGAGTGATAATTTAAACTGAACTACATGTTATTAAAAAAAAATCAACTTCTTTCAAACGAGAGGGAATCCTTACCTTAAAAAGTTTCAAGAAATGTGGTTGTTGCCAGATGGTGACTTTGCTCTGTGGTGGTGTCAAGCTTTTTCACGAAGCACCTTTTCTCAAAATATAATGGACATGGTCAGGGCAGTGAAAAAGGGAATGGGGGGCCTTAGTTCATTTGCATTTCTTTGGGGCAAAAGCCTTCATTTGCACTTCTTTTTATAAAGGGAAGATACAACATTTGCAAAAATCACAAAACGAAATGATCAAATTATCACGTAATACCTTACTGGATTGTTAGGGAATGACAGTCTAAGCATCCTGTAAAATCGTGGCTCCTGGTGTGCTGACATTTTCAAGAAAATTGGTATTTTTCCAACGCTGGTCCGCCGACCAGCGTTGGAGAAAACTGGCTTTTTTGCAAAAACTGCTCCTATTTTTTCATAATTAGTTATTCCACACTTTTTTTTTGCAATTGATAACACACCTGTGAAGGGTTCAAGCCTGCTAGATTGATTCTTTGACCTTACAGTTCCCCAGTCTATAAATTTGCCCCGTTTCATCTTAAGTGGGGTCAGGGAACCAGACTACGAGAACAGGATTGGTTTTCGTTTTTGTTTCCATCATATCTACTCGCTCAAAACTTGAAACATGTCATTTTAACAATATTTGCTATAACATACTAATCCTCCAAATCCATTTATTTCTGAAAATTGCAGCAAAAGCAAATGTTGTACATTCCCTTTAAAGGTTGGGGCACTTTTCCAAATGCATGTAATAAACATGGCTGCATGAGATGAAAGCTGGGTGTATCATACAAAAATGCAAGCTGAAATTTCATTGCTGGTTGTTGCAGTTTTCTGAGATCAGAACGTTTTGGTTTCCGTGAGGTCATGTGTTATCAGTTTCCCCCCTTTTTTCTTAAACATCTGTACATACAGGGTGTTCCAAAAAAAGTTGTGCAAGCAGATATCCTTTTATTTCTCAAAAACTACTTCACATGAGTATTTCACCTTGATGGAGCATATTAACTATACTCTTGTGTATAATCAGTGAAAATGCCATGGAAATCCATTCATGCAAATCAGAGATCTAACAGATTGTAAAAGGCTATGGGTTTTTCACCCATTCCAATGAAATTTACACAGTTAGTGATATTTATCAGCGCATCAGATTGACTTGAGCCTTTTCACTCTGATGTAAATTGAGTTTATAACTGTGGCTCATCCCAGTTTTGGACACCCTGTATAGAACATGCTTGTAAGACAGCTGGATTTGTATACGAAACTGACTTTATTCAGTTTTTAAGTCCCCACCACAACGGAAACAAAGTCTGAAATCTTACGTTTCAAATTACCTTGCTTTGTAATTTCCCAAATAATACGCTGACATTTTCAAGCAAATGTTTTCAAGCTTACATTTTGATGGAATGATTCGGTATTTAACTGTGAAATGACTAACACAACTTTCTTTTGATTTCTGTGCTTGGCATGTCCAACATGGAAATAATGAACTTTCAGTGGCACATTTTGAGTTGAAATTTCCAATGTTTTGGTGAGCTAAAATGGTAATCTGAAACTCGTACTGACTCAAAATAATGTTTAAATGAAATCTTGAATTCTGAGTTATAACCCAAGAGTCTGGGACTTGGAATTGAGTTTTCAATACGATTTAAGATGTGTCAGAATTATGTGGCTACGACTGTCAATAACAGATGTCCCCATGGATGCGGCTAAGTTCACTTGCTATAGATGAATGTGTTATTGACAGCCATGTACAGATCACTTTGAACGCAGCCTTTCAGTACTTGATAGTGGGGTCTGGCGTCTGATCTCATCTCTGTGTCTTTTGCTCTACAGGTGATGACAGTGTACAGCCTGCCTGGCATGGACAAAGATTGGATGATGGCAGAGAGGGGGAGCCAGCAGGGCAGGGTACCGCTCACTTATCTTGAAATGATATCCTGAACGAGACCAGTCATTAAAAAAAAAAGAAGATAATCAATTATAGTAAATGTTCTGTTTTTTTCTGTTTTTACATTTTATTCTCCTAACACTTATATAACTTAGGCTGTTAAGCTGTTTGGTCTTTGCGACCTTTTTTTTATGATGCTTTCTAATGGAAATAAAGACTTTTATGAGTGCAATGGTAAGAATAATTTCATGAGGTGACAGATGGGAGGTTAACCTTCTACAAGGCGAATGGAACATTCCATCTGTCACTGAATGAAATTCTTCTTTCCACTGCACGAATGTGAAGCATTCGTTATTTGTTTTATGCAATGCCTGAATGAATCCTCGTCTTCTAATTGGTAAAAAATGTGACTGTGGCAAAGGAATTCAGTTTGAAATTCGGTGCAACCAGGCCGCGAATTGTTTTTTTTCCAAAAGACATCCATCCTCTGTTTGGTCTATTACATGCATATCTAATGCCGTGTTCTCCACAACACAAACCCAAGATAGGCTTAACGTCTTGTGAGAAATGTTCCTTCCTCACTTTAGTTATGTAAAAGGTAAAATGAGAAGAAGTGAAAAATGCTCATTGGGATTCGAACTCACCTCACCTGATTAGAAGTCGGGACTACTTCAACCAGTCCACGAATGAGCTGCCAATCGTCGGTGATTTAAACACCTTTATTCCTTGTTATATAACTTATTCTCTAAAGCCCTGGACATCATGAATATGCATAACGCAGAGAGAGAATGCATCCTCTTTTGATATTGTCGGATGTCATTTGGGAAAAACAATTTGCAACCAGGCCATGGGTAGGGACGAATAATTTAATGATGGTGATTAACAACCCACTAATTAGATGACGGGTGTTTATTCAGGCATTGTGTAATGGATGATATGACATATCAATAACCCAGATATAAACAAAAATATATTGTTTAACAGAGCTGGACATTGTTTTAATACATCATCATTCAGAACAACCTCAATTTAAAAACAGACAGTCGCATAAAAGTTGCAAAAAAAAAGGAGATAAGTATTTCACTTGGACAATGGAAAATAAGGATTTCTTTTTGCATGTGTATTTTTCTTGACTTCACCCTGTAAATACGACTTCTGCCTAGTTATTTTGCACTTTATGCAAGTATTTTAGTCAAATCATAAAGGCATTTGAGATAAATTATACTCAAAAATTTCAACACCTTATTTTGATGTTTGTTTGGGGACTTGAACGATCAGAACTTCTGAAAGATGCCTGAGAAATATAAACAGGGAGTTGGAATTAAAAAGATGGCTGGTGTACATGAACCAGTATTCCATCTGGCATGATGTTATGTTAACAAGTTTTAAGGGGAAATATTTTTCAAAATTAAAAATAAAAGAACAGAAGTAATGAAATTCCAGAATAAATTGGTTGTGACGGCCAATGAATAGATTTACAAAAGTTAATTATGGAATCAAGCTCGTGGTAGTTTTACTTCATAATATTGCTGGAGATAATATTGGTCTTCCATTTTAAACACGATTTTGAGTATGGGCCCAATTTAGTGTAGCATTGCATTGGAACAAATGTATCGTGCATGTAATACTGTCCATGTTGTGTAAGTGTTAAGTTAGTGTCGTGTAAATGCAAGAAATAGTGCTCCAACATCTTTTGTTCCAAAGTTTGTTTCAACTTTAACTTCATTCAACTTGCCACTGTAAACACCTTTTATGTTCCTCAATTGTTTCCCCTTTGTTCGAGTATTCCTTCAACTCCTGTGTATTTTACATTGTTATTATTCGAAGTTATTATCAACAAAAATGTAAAATGATGTAATCATGGTTTCTTTGAATTAGAATCCATATTTATTCATTTTTTTTTTATAGCTAGCTCGTTAAATTTGATTCCGAAAAAGCTTTTGGAGACGCGAGATTGATTAACGTTGTAGTTCTGTGTGGGTAAAGTGTACTGGTCGGAAGGTGTTATGAGGTAGTGTACATTTTGAATATTTATGAACTAAACGTGACGCACTATATTTTAGAGTTCACCAGACCACCAAAACACTAAAAATAAATTGGCTCGTATAAAGGGACGTTGTTGATAACCTGGGGCCAGTCTTTTAGATCAGAGTACATTTCAAAAATCTGAAAAATAGGCCGTATATGTGCTTAGCACCAAAAAGTGCACTTACAGAAGAGATTTTCTGGCAAATGATGCCATAAGGATAGCCCTTGAACTATGAACACAATGCCCCGAATTTCCCTCATTTACCTTGTAGAAATGTTTTTTGTTTCATGACATTTACCAAACAAGTGCAATTGTATTATTCCAAACTGGACATCGTTCATACCGACGTATAAGACGCTGTTGTAGATAGGGCAGATACATTTGTGTAGATGATCATAAGAATAAAGGCACAGCATTCCAAAGTGCATTGAAGCAGACACGGCGAATACGCCTATCTTTTTTATTTGTCGTTTTATTGTGTTGTACCATTCTTACCCACAAAATAAACTATTAATTCAGTAATTCCGTACGGTCCAGAAACAGTGGTGACATGAAGGCTAGATTTTTTTCCCCTTCTTTTGTCATCCATTCAGCCAATTGTCAGCTCTGTAGGGTTTTGATGGATTCAGATGTTTAGAGAGCAGACGGTTTATATTATTTTCTTCCGGGCTTGATTTCCAAACACAGCAGAAAAGTTCTTGGCAAGAGAGTCTTGCCTCCTTTTCAAAATATTTGGCACGCTGAAGTTGCGAGGTACCATTTTTTAACGCTCATGTACCTGAACCCATTTCTCCCGTCTCTAAGATTTAAGGACCCACTAATAGCACTATGTAAACTTCCCAACTTTTCCCCCGCCAAAATCCTTCCCTGGACTCGCCAACTACATGAAAATAACATGAATACTACTGACCAATAACAAATAAGCCAGCGTGATGGCTTACCGTTGATTGGTTGTATTGGATCACCTGACTTCACAAGTGCATGACGTCATTTACTCAGCAAGGAACAAGACGTACAAGTGTGAAGAGAACTGCGAATTGCTTGTCCTCATCTTTCTAGTTCAAGTTAGAATTCTGGTAAGAGAAAGTCCCATTTATTTGGGCAGTTTTCTCACTATTTGTGTTTAGTTTAATTTTCGGTCGGTTTTGGTCGGGTTTTCAGTTTTATGAATCCAGAACGGACGTCTTCTGTCCGGTGTGGCCGCCAGTGAGACGGTCTGGGTGACCTTAACTTGAGTGCAGAAAAAAATGCAAACAAAATCTGGCCACTTTTACTCAACATTTTACTTGGCACAATAGCAGACAAAATTCTCCAAACTTTGCACGAGGAAAGACAAGGTCCTCGGTATTTTATCAGCCAAGTTTGAGGTCTCAATTCAATTTTGAAAAGAGAGCTTTCTTCAAAAATCATCCACCTAAGAGTGATGGAACCGGAAAGTGATTTCAATTTGAAGCCAAAGATTAGACTGGTGTTATGTCCAACTATTTGAAAAGATTGACCCTTCAGTAGTCTGGTGGCATGACCATAGAGAATGTGTAGCAATAGAGCTGGTCACCAGACATTTCTTTGGCCACAGTTGTTGATGCAGTACTAAAGGGGTGTTGACTGGTTGTTTCATGCGCCAGTCTATTTTCTTGAGTTGCATGTTTTCAATACCTTAAGTTTTTGGACTCTCATATATACAGTATTTAGAGTCCCAAATATTCGGACTTAGCTGGCTGAGACACTGTTTACATATTAAACGGAAAACGATACAGTTTATTTACATAATAGTTACAAGTTTATTTTTCTGCAGTATAATTTTACTGACATGACTGAGTAAAATAATGCTGGAATATGAGAAAATTTTGAAGTTCCTTGTTTTGAACAAAACTGTGTGCAGTTTCCACACCAAAAAATAAAAGCTGAAACATTTTGGCATAAGTATTATTTCTGTGTAAAATACAGAATCTCAACTACAAAATAAACAACTGATACTAACACAGGTGTGTAAGTTTGTGTGTACAGCAAGTTGGTTAAATTATAAGAAAATTATTAAACATTAAAAAAAAGAACTTTTCAATTAAGTATTTCAAATTTCAATCAATCTGATAATTGATTTTAAATCAAAAGAAATCGATGGATTTGACTGAAAGAATTTTCAGGACTTGAGCAAAAATCAAATATGTTTTATACCAAACCAATACTGAGCCCAGGCAAGAAGTTGTCCTTAATACAATAATCAACTAAACAATTAAGTTACTCACTTTTTTCATTAAAATTACAAAACAAAATGCAAAGGACAGCTAGAAAGTTAAACACAATAAAATTGCCTTTTGATTTTACAAATTTTATTATCTTGATTTTTCGTGATTTTCTTCCGAACCCCCCCCCCAACATTGAATTTTTTCTCTATACAAATCTTTTTCATGTATCCAATGTTGTTTGCTATAAAATGCACCAATAATTCTTTTTTTCATGACATGTCAACAGTTTGTCAAGTTCTAAAGAGACCAAAAAAAGGTAAGAATTTCGTAAAATCAGAGTTGATGCTTAGAAAACTACGAACGTAGACAATAAAATAATGAAAGACTACAGAAATTGTTGAATTGCTAAACGTATGTGAAACACATCTACACATCTACACATTTTATGACTATTTACACCATAAACAACCAACATCCACAACCAATCAAAGAAATATTTAAAGCTGTATACAGGGTCAGTGAAAAAAACCCCCAAATGGCAGGACTATTGTTTTAAAGTTCTGTCCACGGATCACAAAAAGGTAAGTGTTCTTTTAGCAAAACAAAAACAAATCACAAATTGTTCATGTTTTGCTGAAAGAATACACACTTTTTTTGTGATCCGTGGACAAAACTTGAAAATGGTGGTTGTGTTCAAAATTCCGTAACTTGAAAAGTACATGAGTGATTTGAATGATTCTTGTACTACAAGAAAGCTTACGAATTGGGCTTTCATATCCTAGATTTTGAAAGTGCTACATGCAGAACTTCCCTAAAACAATAGTCCGGACATGTGGGTGTTTTTATTTTTTTACTCTGATGTTATCGTCTGTGGTAATGTAACATTTTGCATGATTTTGGTGCAACTTGTGGTACACAAGCTGCCAAGTTAGAGTCCCGAGAGACAGACATGATTAAACCGTTTGTGCATTTAATGTTACCGATTGGCAGATTGGTGCAAAATATGATAGAATTGTTCATTTGATGATGAAAGCATGAAAGTTGGCAGTCAGAACATGCCCTCGAGAAACTTTTTTGCTATAGCGCCATTGCGGATTTGTACTTGTTATTCTACCTATATTTTTGCAAAGGACAGATCTGAGATGGCCCTATAGCCAAACATGTTTCTCATGACATGTGTGCCAAATGCCGTGCTTTTATCATCAAATGAACAATCCCATCACCAATCTTCCGTACTATGAATTGAAATAAAGAACACTTTGAGACGCTGACAGAACATACAACTATAATGTGGCGTGCAATGAATTCAACAATTTTTCATTTAAACTAACACATCCATTGTATATGCTCTACCATACAAGTCAAATTGTAATTCATCTCAAATTTATAAAAAAAAACGTCTTGAAGAAGCAGGAAATAAAGAAGAGCGAAATACAGGATACAGAAATTAGTTTGTTCTTGGCCCACATCATTGCATATTGCTTCATGGCGTATTTGTATGATTGCATACCAGAACAAAACACTTGGTAAAGGCACGGTTTGGCTTCAAAGATTCGTTTCAATACAAAAATAGTTGGAGGATTTGGAAAAAAATTTGATCACATTTTAAGTGGGAATCTGGTTAAATATTATACAGGGTGAGTTAAAAAAAAAATACCCAAATGTCGGGACCATTGTTTTAGTGAAAATCTGCATGTAGCACTTTTAAAATATAGGATATGAAAGCCCAATTCATAAGCTTTTTTTTAGTACTTTTCAAGTTACGGAGTTTTAAACACAACCACTGTTTTTAAGTTCTGTCCACAGATCACAAAAAGTTCAGTGTTCTTTCAGCAAAACGAAAACAAATCACATCAGGATGTGTGTGAATTGTTTTCGTTTTGCTGAAAGAACGCACACCTTTTTTGTGATCCGTGGACAGAACTTTAAAATGGTGGTTGTGTTTAAAACTCTGTAACTTGAAAAGTACATGAGTGATTAGAATGATTCTTGTACTAAAAGAAAGCTTATAAATTGGGCTTTCATATCCTATATTTTGAAAGTGCTACATGCAGAACTTCACTAAAACAATGGTCCCGACATTTGGGTTTCATTTTTTTTTTACTCACCCTGTAGATCAGGTGAAAACTGTAAGAGCTAATTTCCAGTACTTCTACATCTTTCTGAATGAATAGATGTCATCTTTTCCAAAGAATTGTCTATATTTACAAACTGGAATTCCACAACGGTTCAGAGATAATAAATTACCTATTCCACATATTAAATGAAGTTACAACTGGTTTCTGCAGTACCGCATTATTTATCAAGGTGTTTGTCACTACCAACATGGGCTGGTCTGTTTGCCTCTTTTTTATAACATCACCCGTTGTTTTCACTTTTTTTCCTCTCCGGATATTATTAAGAAAAGAAACCGGCCAACCGATCCCGTTAGCTCGGTGGTCGAGTGGTAAGACATCTGCACTAGAAAGCAGGAGGTCGTGGGTTCGAGTCCCACCCGAGTGATTTTTCCACCTTTCACTCGGGAGGTAACACACTGAGTATACAGTGTTTGAAAACGTCGGTGAAGGGAAAAACCTAATTTGATCTCCGAATATTGCACCACAATCTTTTTTCTTTTTTGGTGTGACCAAGATCAGGACACAGGCACTTGTACAGGAATGTTTTTCGGGTGGTAAAACTTTTTCGTCCCCTCTGACGTGGGTACTGTCACCCTGTGTGTGTCACCGTGTGTCGATGGTTTTGTCCCCGTGTGGTTGGTCACGGTCGTGTTCCTAGTGCTGGGGATGTGGCTCTCCTTCAGGTAGACCATTTTGGTGTTCATGACCTCACAGTCGATCTGCATCATGGAGATGTGGTCCCTGGGCTTATTCAGCGAGGATTCTAGAAACAAAGAGAGAAAAGAGGTTAACCAAATAATCTACCCAGGAAACTTGAACAGTTTACTCTAAATCACATTTCAATAAAGTAAAGAAAAGCAGAAATCACACCTGAAGCCACCGGGCTTTACTAGCCATAGCGCTATATTAAATTACTGGAGTGCTAACTCCTAATTCCCCGCGGAGATACTTTGAAGCCATCCTGAGCGCAGGCATTTTGATTTCATGTGCGTGTTTGTAGAAGATAACGAAATTAGATGGGATGAATTTCGAATAATGTACTCTAAATGCAACGCGCAAGTATAACGTACGTGAATAACGTAAGCGTGTTTTCTAGGAGTATATGACACACACGTATCAACGTTTGCGTTGCTCGCACAGAGCAAAATGAAACGCTCATTTACTGATTGTGCGTTTCGGTTTTGGGCGTATCGGCTTCGATAACGCACCTGTATAGAATACAAAAAACGCAGATATGCAAATAGCCATACAAAAGCCGTACTAAATTCTGAATTTTCCACAGGTATGTGCACAAACATGGATGCTGCCAGAAGACTTCACTTTGTACAGCAAGTTAGCACTCTAGTAATTCAACATAGCTCTATGGTCCAAGCATATTTTGACAATCCCTTGATCAGAATAAAAAAAATTGACTAAAGTGGGATTCAAGCCTGTAGCCACTGGAACACTGTACTGACGTTGTACCCAAGGGCAGATCCAGGGGGGGGGGGGGGCCAAAGGGGGCCATGGCCCCTCCCAAAATGAAACCAATTTTTTTTTTTTTAATGTGACGTCGCAATAAAGGCAGGCAAGGAGTACACCACCATCTTTTCCTCCAAAAACATTGGTTAAAGTGGTCAGAAATTGCCTCAGATCGTACCACAGAGCATCTAGAATCCAAAAATTTTTCGTGGCCCTTAAGCGGGCCCCGAACCCCACACTGTAATTTTTTTGACCCACTTTTTGGGGGACCAACATTTTTTTTGGCCCCCCAAAAATTGTGTTCTGGATCCGCCCTTGGTTGTACCAAATAAGCCAATCAGACCGATGCTGGAAGCCTTTCATTTGTCCTGAAAAATGAAAATGACCAAAGAAAGATCTGAACTTCCAACCTCTGGAAACCAAACAGCACTCTACCAACTTGGCTACCTAGCTCCTTAACCACTGTTTCATGCTTTAACAACTTCAAAGAGAAGACTTGTCTGCTTAACCCCATGCGTACGGGAAGCGGTCATGGCCGCAGCTGTTAATCCTCATTGGAATGCAGTTGCCAGCTGTGGTAGGCCGTGGCACAGGGCTAGTGGGTAGTTCCACAGCTGCTGCTTTTGTGCAGGCCCGCTACCACACAAAGGCTGTGCAGTCATGCGGGCCACTTGCTCTATGTGTGGAGGAATGTCCCCATTTCACCCCGTCCTTAAGGGGTTAAGACGGATATCCACAGACATCAAAAGCCAGAGAGCATCGGGGATCCACTGATAAACACCTTCAGACAGCAGCAATTAATGTAAAGTGCCTTGCTCAGGAACACCAAAGTCTTTTACATCCTGTGCCTTCCACATATATAGAGAGTGCACCTACCGTTGACTCCAACTGAAGGCATGACCAGGGACATTCTGGGCCTCTTGGTGTTGTTATGAGCTGTGGCCGGCAGCAATGTGTGATCCTGGAAGAAAAAGAAGACCACACCATCATCATTAAGCATGTTAGGGATGCATGTACTCATTTTTACTGTTTTTATTATTTACAATAGTTTTTTTTAACTTGTTTTTTGTTTGTATTTGAAAGTAGGACTTATTTTGTGATCTTATTCTTAAATTAAACTTCTTAATCTGCACTTTTGTCTATCGTCGTTTTCATATACACATTTATATTGTTTATGTTAAACCCGTTCATGTTTCTTTTATTTAATGATTATTATTTAACGGTTATAGTTTTATATGATCTTATTTCCTATTTGTTTTGATAATTTTATACACTTTTAATCCTTTAAATTGTTAGTCTTGTTTTATTAATTTTAAATTATATGCTCAGGGCCCCGTGGAAGACCACATTATTTTGTGAACGGGCTACCCTGGTAAAAGATCAGAAATAAATAAATAAATAAATAAATAAATTAAGGAATAAAAAGATTTTGTTTGGAGTACAGAATTGTTTACGACCACTACGAATGGCTGGTTTTTACTGCTTCACCCTGATTGCCTCATTGGAAGAGTTGCCATCCTTTTTGTATACACTGGCAAATGGTTTTCATTTTTTTGGACATTAGTGTCTACCTTGAAATATTCATGCAAAGAACACAATTTCACTGTAAAACTTCCAAACACATTTTAGTTTTTTTGTGGTACCACACTTGAGTGATGAAGATGAACTGAAGGCCTCTCTTCCAGGTGAATGCATATTAGCACACCTGATTGCAAATTGGTTCCATTCATTGCAAATCTTACCCTCCTGAAGGACACGACATAGAAGGTGTCGTCCCGCCTCTCCAGCGAATCCAAGAGATTGTCGTAAGTGCGCTGGAAGAGACTGTCGTAGACTTGCAGACCTGTCTCGTCCGGGTCGACAAATATCGGCTGGGGATCCCTCCTACGGAAGGGGTTACGCTTTGCCGGTTTCTTCTTAGGCGTTTTCTGTCGGGGGAGGAAAAAACAAACCAAATAAAGTGGATCTCTTAGAAATGAGAATTTTTTTTCCATTAAGTTAATTTCCATAAGCATTAGAAAAAATGCAATCTGTGGTTTGAAATATTGAATTACACACTCTGATATCTGTGGCTGTTGGTGAAAAAGTCAACAGTTTCTGTTGAGTTTTTGAGTCAGGTTTTCAAGTATTCCTATTTTTCCCTGGGTTCTTGTTTTTACCTTGCTCCTACTTTTCTTCTGTTTTTCTTCAAATTCCTACTTTTCCCTGCAGTTTCCTATCTTGTTTTTGCTTTAATTGAGGATGGAGCACAAGTGTTGTTAGTACAGAACATGCCAAAATATGATGCTGTGGACATGGGTTAGTATCAACCAAAACTACTCCTGAAAGCCTGCAAAAATCCTACTTTTATCCTGATTTTGTCCTCCAAAGTCCTACATTTGTCCCCCTTTTTTTAATGAAAATATTGATCCTACTTTTCTGCCACTTTTTTCAACTGGGTCTGTTTCAATACCTTGCTTCTTCTCAATCTCACTACAGTTTCAAGCGTTGTTTAATCTTGCTACTGAATTTTCTTACCCTCTTCTTTTCTTTGATCTTCTGTTCTTGGTTGTGTTTCCTCTGCTCGTCCTGGTGTTTTTGCGCCCAGCCCATCAGAACGTCGGCAAGTCTGAAATAAAAGTAGTAGACATACATCTCAGATATTCCCTCCATGAATTTCTCCATGTTTTTTTTTTGTCTGACCCACCTGGTTTTAGTTCCCTGAAGTAAGGGAAACAAAACAGTGAGAATTGAAGTCTGATATTCTTTGGAAAAAAAGTTTCTATTTTCTTTGCGCAATGAGAGAATGTGTGTGACAAAATATCCAATCTTTCAAGTCCATCGGCTTAGAAAATGCTGAGGATTTTTTTGGAAGCTGGGACATTGGACATGGCAGCATGTGGTCTAATCGTGGGTAAATACTTTCAGGGAACTGAGGACCAATGTGCATGTCTGCAAATCATCTTTGCGTTTCTTCTTAGCAAGAAGTTGAACTACCATTTGACAACCCACTGACAACATGATAAGCTGAGTTTCAAATGGATGATTTGTAGGCATGCCAGGCTGGGGACATGGCAGAAGAAGGGACCTGACTATGCATTCCCACCTGTGCGATTCGGTCATGTTGAGCTGGGGGCAAGACGGCTGCTCCTCCTTAGACAGCATGTAGTCGGCCATGTCTCGGATGACCATCAGCTCCTTGCGGCTCAGCGGATTCCTGGGGGCGCCGTTCCCGTCGGTCGCGTTGTGCATGGCGGCTTCAATCCGGCCATAGTCAGTGTGCTGCTGCAGGTCGCTATCTTGCAATTGGCTGAGTGTCTGGGGGTTTTCCGTGTAGCCTAACAGTGCTCTTCCCCCGTGGTGAGTGGTTGCATAATCACCTCCTTCTGAGCTAAAAATGCTGTTTAGAGCAAAACACAATTCCTCAGACTTTATACAAGATTAAGGCTTTTCAGTGTTTTTTTTAGTCAGTAATACTTGATACTACACATCTACAGTCCCTTACATGGTTAGTTAGTTGTTTTTTTGGGGGGAGGCATTTTCAAGGCTTGGTAAGGGGCCATGAAAAGTAGATGGTTGACTGCATTAAAAACTTGTTCAAGTTGCATAACCCGTGCTCTTCATAATATGGAATATTTTTTTCTCCTGATGAATTTTCAATTGATATGTTTTGTTTTAACGAAAAAAAAAGAAGTTATTTTATTCAGATTGTGGGCGTCTGCAACCCTCTTAAAGGAGGGCGTTCATTTTGAGCACAAATGAACCAGCCCTTCGAGAGCCGAAATATTGCATGGCAGCTAATAATTTGAATTTTGTGAAAAATATTCTTAAGACTTAATGTCAGGGAGTTTATTTTTCCAGGTGAAACTCAAAAATAGCATGGAGAACGAATGTTTAATTTTCTAATACATGTAATGTGTCTTTCCACGGCAAAAACTATAAAGACTTCTATAGCGAAGTGTTCCCCCTGAATATCTCAACAATTCTCAGTTTAAGAAAGCAAATTCTGTTGACTTTTAAGAGCTTAGCTCTCACCTGAATGGGGCAAGATTGAAGCCCAGTAGCAGCAAGACGGCTAAAAGACAAGTGGCGGTCTTGTTTGATGATGGCAGTAATGATTGCAACTTCCTCAGTCGATTGTTCTAGAAAACAAAAACCCAGAGAACTCAACATTTACTTTTTTCATCAAGCCATTCTTACTTTACTAATTAAAACTGGAACGAGTAACAAACACAGAGTTGTAATAACTGAGTCAAGTCAATCACAATCACAATCACAAGTCAAATCACAAGTCATATCACAAGTCAAATCACAAGTCAAATCACAATTCAAATCACAAGTCAAATCACAAGTCAAATCACAAGTCAAATCACAAGTCAAATAACAAGTCAAAGCACAAGTCAAATCACAAGTCCATCACAAGTCAATCTCAAGTCCATCACAAGTCCATCACAAGTCAAAGCACAAGTCAATCACAATTCAATCACAAGTCAATCACAAGTCAAAGCACAAGTCAATCACAAGTCAAATCACAAGTCCATCACAAGTCAAATCACAAGTCAATCACAATCACAAGTCCATCACAAGTCCATCACAAGTCAATCACAAGACCATCACAAGTCAATCACAAGGCCATCACAAGTAAAATCAGAAGTCAGGTCATGAGTAACAGGAGATAAACAATGAAATAGGAGTGCTTTTTTTATAGTTCATTTGAATAGCTTGTAACTTTGAGATTTGAGGATGTGGTGAGACTTGCGGTGCCTTGTTACTTAGCCGACTCCGTTTCAGTTCTGGTGAGTGTGGTTAGACAAGATTGGACTAGACAGTCAGACAAACAAACAGACTCATTCATTACCTCAATGGTTAATTCCTCTACCCTCTTCCTGAGTAAGCAATTCTCCTCATGGAGTCTGGTGTTCTCTTGATCAATAGATTCCATCTTACCTTCAAGACCTTGTAAGTACTAGAATGGAAAAAAAAACCCACAAACTTTGTCACCAACTGTTACCACAATTACCAATATTTGCAATCAAATAAAGTGTTTCTTACAAAGGGCACGTATCCACCATATTGGTGCTCAAGGCGCTACATCATTATTACCCTGCTCATTGGGCCAATGAAACATTCCAAAGACAATCTCAGTTCCCTAGGGAGTATACAGCTCGATGCTGCCATTTCGGCGCTAAGCAGCTAAATCAACCACAATAAAAAAAATTCTTGTCTGATATTACCTCTTTTTTCTTCTTTCGAGATAAACAAGCTGATTCTCTGTTCTTGATCATTCGTTGCTGCCTCTTCCATGCTCGGACCTGCCAAATATATCAAACAATATCAATTACATTTGTTTTATTTACAACTGAAAATTAACTTTCACACAATACATGAAGAACATCTTTGCCGCCTGTCTGTAATGGGCAGGCAATGTCTTTCTCAAAGTCAGGACATCAGACCAAAGATGTGTTCTACTTCGGGAAAATTTGGCGAAATTCAAAGATCTTTTTTGAATTTACAGCAGAAAGTTATTGGCAAACGTCTGCATTGTTGCCATTATATGATAGAAAACACCAGGTCGGAAATGTCTCTTACGTCAATGTTGGGCGGTACTTGCTGGTGGTCGTCCGGTTTGGCCGCGACAGGAATGCTGGCCACTGTGTGGTTGTGGGCCACTTTGGCCTGTTTGGCCGGAGGCGGCTGACACTTGATCACGCCCTGGGCGGTCAACCGGGCTACATCCGCCTGGGTAAGCACGATGGGCTGACCGACTGAAATGAGAGTAAACAATACACAGCATAAGCAATAAACAGACAAAAAATAAAAACATAGGTTGTGATAAAGAATCAAACATCTGTTTATGCCTTTTCTGGTACCTTGCCTGCTTACGGCCTTTGACATGTTTAACTAGGATTTTCAATATCTGTGTGTTCTCATTTTGAGCACTGCAAGTATTTCTATTAATTATTTTTAGGTTATGAAACCAAGGTTGCCCATGATAAGGTACTTCCACATCATGAGAAAAAACCTGTGGATAGATGATGGAAACATGTTCAATTTTAGAGGCAGGGGAAAAACTAGGCAAACATTATGAGGAAAGAGAAGGACTTTGGGAGGGCACCAACAAGAGTAGGGGGAATGTGGCCTACTGGTTAGGGTTTGTGACTCGTGGTCAGAGGGTCAGGGGTTCAAATCCAACTCCTGGCCATGTGTGTGTGTCCTTGGGCAAGCCACTTCACCCCCACTTGCCTGTCTCCACTCAGGAGTATAAATGGTACCAGCATTAGCTGGGGAGTAACCTGCGATGGACTGGCATCCCATCCCAGGGGACAGAAATCAGGAATGAGACTGTCAATTTAAAAAAGGTCTAAAAATTGGATGAAAGGTCTGAAAGATGCATTTCTTTCTATTCTGATAACGTCTTTCTCTCAGATTCAAAAAGTCTGATTTCAGACACAAGTCTGAAAAATCTCATGCCTGAAAGAAATATCCTTGGTCGTTTCATGCCTAAGAAACCGGAGATAAACGCCGGCCTGATGGGCCATATGGGCTTGTGAAAGACTTGACTTGACTTTACCAACAAGAGCTGAATAACAAATCCACATTTGAGCAATCAATCAATCAAAAGAAATTTATAAAGCGCCAAAATCAAAAAGGTTGCTCTGAGCCCCATTTTGCTGAATTGCATGACCTCTGACCCTAGACTTCCCCCCTAGTCTTACCAGCTAGTGGCTTGGTTGTGGATCCCTGCTGCTGCTGGGATGCAACCTTGGGGGCAACCTTGGGTGCGATGCGGGGTACCGCCTTGACGCTCCCATTGCTCAGTGGGAAATGCTGGATGTCGGCGTTATCTCTGGGTGGGGTCAGGGGCGGGGACTCCAGTTTGACTTGGAGGAGGGGGTTGTGAAAATTCTAAAGAGCAAAACAAGTGAGGGACATAAGAACATTTTAATTACAATCACTATTATTATTACCATCATTTGTTTACAGACCTGAATTCATGACATCACATTCAGCGCAAGCCTGCACACTAAATGTATACATGCACACACATTTTTATGCTTACTGCGCTGCTTCTCAATTTTACATAACAATTATAAGAAGCATTGATTATGATGTCTTGAAACTTTAGTCTATTCAGGAATTCATATTGTGTTATTTTTCCACATACATGTAAATATACAATGTAATTTTGGAATCTGTGCATTCAAACATAGGCCAATATGGCAAATACAACAAATTAAAATTTGTAATACTGGCTATGTTTGCAAAAATGTGGTAATCATTCATATGACAATCATTTGGAATACTCATGATTTTAATCACATTTCCTTTTGGCGTGACAATTTTTCATCAAGGGTGATTTCCATTCTATTCTCTTGAATGCATGTTTTTCGCTTATTTCAGAATTGCCATCTGCTTTCAACAAAGATGCAGAAATGCTACGAGTTTCCAAACAGGATGTAAAACGAAAAACAGGTTGACTGAAGACAGATCATCGGAGAGAAGCGAATTTTCACCATTGTACGTACCGTGACTGGAGGAAAGGAATCCCCAGAGGCGTCGGACGAAGAAGATGACGGGGGTGGAGACAAAGGCTCCGACTTGATGATAATACCTGGTAAACAATCAAAGCATGGAAATGATTCATCACAAAGAAAGTTGGAAATATGTTACAGAGTACGGTTCCATTTCCAAGTCTTATTTATTCTTAATGTCTGAGAAATTTCAACTAGAAAATATTTACCTAAATCGCCCATACAAATCCTTCGGTAACAAAAATGCGGACCAGACCTTGGAACGATCACTATTGGAGATGACCCCACATGACGTCACACTTCTACAGCGTATTCACACTTAATATAATACTACCATGTCATCACGTCAATTTTTATTTCGAGGTTTGCTCTGTTTTGTTGTCACCTTTACTCTTGTGTACCACAACTGTTATTAAATTGCGGTAAATGTGTCATAGAAATTCACAATAATTATATCAGATTTAGGTCAAGTATGTGCTTCCTGTACTGCATGGGTTCTACCTTGTGCAGACCTTGATTGTTATAAAGCCTACCTTCAATGGTGCATGGGTTATGTTCGTCTTCCTTCATCCAGGTAAAATCGGACAAACAAGACTCGTCCAGCATGCCATGGCCAGTATTATCGTTGCTAATCGGGTTTGTCTATACAATGTTTGAAAACCATGAAAAATGACCAGATTTACAAATTAGACGCAAGAAAAGTTTTCATTGAGTGTGGCCTATGCAAACATAAAAATATGTTAGCCATAACAAAACTTTCCAGAAACTACATAATTACATACATATTATAAACATATACAACATAACAATTTGTCATCAAGCTTGGCACAATGCCAAGCATAAAATTAAGTGTTTTTGGTTTTACCATTCAAGCAATATAATATTGATGGTCAATATGCTAGCTACAACTTACGTATAATTTGCAGCGTCAATAAAATTTATTGCACTCTGTAAAGTGCTTTGAATTAAAACGTCACTCAAAAACATCACTCATGACATTTTGTCAGCCACTTTGAATCAGGATTGTTCATCCATTATTACTCAGATTTATTTATTGGTTAGAATTTTCTGCAATCAAAAATTTTCAATTTCAATATGGACATGATAACGGACATTTTTGGCTCTTAAACTATTGACCAATCTAGGCATGATCAATTCTATCATGGAAGCTCCCTTCAATGGCAAAAAGCATTGTGCTAGCTATTGTTTAGATAATCCATCACGGGGCAGTTGCTTTGTACTATAGCATTCACAATGGTTTCTGCATTGAAGGGGGCCTCATGAGTATCATGAGTATGTTTGATCATGTGCCTGGTTTTGTCTTAGCCTAACACCGCCCTCCAAAATTTATTTTACCAGTGTCATTCAAATAGTGAATTTGCAAATGGACATTTGATAGTGTACTGCATGTACATGCACAGGACATTTACCGTAAGATTATTTTTCAAGCAAAGTAGGCCTACTCTAAATGCATTTTGCATACGTGGAAGCTAAAAATTTGTTTATCCAAACAATTTTGTGTATAATTTCACACCCTGTCATTCATAATATTTGCTTCCACCAAAATTACCCAAAAAAAAAAAGAATGGAAAAAAAAAACGGAAAAGAGGAAAACAACCCTTCCAATTTGTGCGTACCTCGAATGATGTGAAATCCCGCATGAGGTCATCAGCATCCGAAAAGCCATTACCCAGCCCGTTGTCATGGAAATGTGAGAAGTCATCCGCTGAATAAAAAAAAAACACACAATGACATATTTGTAAGTTTACATCTGAACTCAATAAAAACATATGACGAGGCATAAAGGAGAATCAGAAGAACAACAAAACAACATAATGAAATTTAAGAAATTTTTGTTTGTGGACTGACTATCAGGGATCATATATAGAATATTAAGTTAAGATAATTGAAAATGATTTGATTAGTCACTAAAATGTAAAGAATATTTTTTTTTGGGGGGGGGGGGGAGAGGATGGACAATAACAAAAACTGCATAGGCACATTACAATTTGCCTTTAGTGATCACATTTTTGGACGGCTGGAGTGTTTTACTGTAGGTATTTTTCATAAGTGTCAAGGGTTTTAACCTGCTAAAAGGATAGGAACAACGAACCACCGTCGACAAAAAATAGTGGCATCTGACAATAAAGCGCCGGAATTTTTACAATTAAATAACATCACAGTCATGTGTGAACATGCCTACATGTGTTTATTATATATTTTTTTTCGAATACTCAAACTGGCAAAAAGCTATTTGAATATTCAGTAGACTCAGAACAGACCTATTGAGGATTCACTGACAGCACATATGCTGAATATTTGAATATTCAAATATTCAGTAGACTCAGAACAGACCTATTGAGGATTCACTGACAGCACATATGCTGAATATTCGAATATTCAAATATTCAGTAGACTTTGGACAGACCTATTGAGGATTCACTGACAGCACATATGCTGAATATTTGAATATTCAAATATTCAGTAGACTCAGAACAGACCTATTGAGGATTCACTGACAGCACATATGCTGAATATTCGAATATTCAAATATTCAGTAGACTTGGGACAGACCTATTGAGGATTCACTGACAGCACATATGCTGAATATTCAAATATTCAAATATTCAGTAGACTTGGGACAGACCTACTGAGGATTCACTGACAGCACATATGTATGCTGGACAACTGTTCCAAATCAAGCACAAAAATGGAGCAATCAACAGCTTTTTATCGGATTGAGCCATGCGTAAATTTCAGCCTTGAACGCAAACGGGCGAACACAAAAGGCCTGGACTGGACTATAAATAAAAAAGACAATGAGCTACGTGTGGCCATCTTAATAATAATAATAATTCAACCATGATGTCACACACAATATTAAATTGTACACGAGTCGAGCTGAAATGACGCGCACGCAATGCATGAACACAAAAAAAACCACCCAAAAACGCATGAATGTGCAAATTTAACACTTGACTGCTTGGGTCATGCTATTTTTAGAAATCCAACAAATGGTCAAACAAAGATCTGGACGTGTCACATGTCGTCAGTGGATATGCATGTTATCAATATTACAACAGTGCATCGCTCAAGCAAGGGTTGGCAGACCAAATTATCATATTAATAGATTAATGATATAGTGCAGAGAATATCAAGAATCAATAAATAAAAAAAAACGTGAAATCAGCTTTCCAATATACCAAATGGTCCGCAGCTGTTCTTTCAATAAACTGACAAGAAATTGAAATAAAATATATACACGTGCTCAAAAATATTCTTCTAAAAAAATAAAAAATGAAAAACATGAAATTAAAAACTCCTGATTAGACCACAAAAAAAATAAGTCGGTCTCTAGTCAGTGCACGCGTCGATTTTAATCATGCGCGTCGATCTTTTTTTTTCCAAAATGTTCCGCGGTAGCTCCAACAGCGCCCTCTATTGCCGCACCTCCTCAATTTTTTTTTACCAAAGAGCACCAAGGAATGGGAAATTGCACCAAGGCAAATGATCGAAAGCACCAAGGCAAATTATGGAGGACACCAATGTACATGAGGACACCAAAAAAGCAAAATAGTACCCACCTTGTCTGTACAATCCAAGCTTGAAGGAAAAAAAAAAAAAGCAAAAAAAAAAAAAAAGTCACCTGCCCTGGCCGCGTCAATTCCGGAACTTTGGTCTGACCAGAGACCGAATATATATTTTTTTTGGCCTTAACAATATAAAATGTATAGGCCTAAAGGAACAAAAAATTAAGAGATTTTATATTACATTTTTTAATAATTCTGCTTCTGGTTGGGGGGGGGGGGGGGGAGAGAGCAAAATGAGGGGGGAAAAACTGAAAATCATCAATTACTTGTACCTTTTACCCTTGACTACCATGACTACATGCAGGCACCTCCAAATGATCGTTCACGCACAAAAAAATTGCCCCCCAAAATAGTTCCCCACCTACCTACCCTATTTTCAAATGCCATGTTATTGGAAGCAGAACTATTGTTTTTTTGGCCCAACTCAACTGTATCATCTCACAACAAAATCTCTCTTGGAAAGCCTTGACTGAAATGCCGTGCCAATTTTGTTTTTGTTTTCCTCCAGGAGGCCTTCTTTCTTAGTGTGCTCACTGCTCAGTGGATCACAATACTTTGATTAAGGTCCATTGTGCTGCCGAGCGTGCCGAGCCAGCCTTGAATTACACAGGAAAATTATAATTTCTCTGGAAATTATAATTTCTGAGGAAAATTATAATATTTTTGCTGTTGCAGTACATCAATGGGTCAAATAATGCTGAAAATTGTTCTTTATATCAAAACTGTGGCAAGGAGTTCGTACAACCTGTGCATGTCATTAGATTCAATCGCTTTCTTGTAGTATTAACTACCAGATACATACGTACACGTAGCATGATCTTGGAATAATGACTTGAACGCAATTTACTTCTTGGCATGTTTGGGAGAAAATTTAGATTAATTGTTAGAGTGACGATCTGAAATAAATGTTCAATTTTGTCTTCAAAATTATGCAAGCACAGATGCCATTAGTTGGGGATTGTAAAAAAATATACATTTATGTATAAAGGTTAACAAAGCTACAATTTTAGGCAATTTATAAATTGCTATTTTTGAGGAGAGTATAAAGGTTATTCGGTCAAATCCTTTTATTTCTGTTTCAAATTATAATCATCAATTAGGTACAGATGTCAGATGTCATTGTTGATCCTGAAAGAGGAGTGCACACACACATGTACATGTACACATTCAGTAAGGCAAAATAAGCAATAACAATTAACATGGCACTACTAAGCATGCTACCATTCACCACACGCAATGACGGTATTTTCACAGTTTCAATTTCCTCTTAAATTGTCTAGTTCCTGAGTCCAATTTTATGATACTTAGGGTGACAGCAATCACAATGTGAATTGCTTTTAATTTAGCAAGATGCATATATAATTAGGTAATATACAACATTTACTGTTGCTGTAATTTTCAGAAATGGACAGATTTGGGGGTTTATAGCATTTTATAGCAAATATTGTTCCACTGTGTTCATTGGTGCCGGGGGGGGGGGGGGGGGGGGGGGGGTTACCCAAAAGATGGAAAAAAAACACCACACTGTTCTTGTTGTCTGGTTCCCTGACCTGATGCTTCAGATGAAACGGAACAATTTACGGACATCAGCGAATTGTCAGGCCAGGGGACCAGACTAGCAAGCTTGCACCCATTTACAGATACATGTGTATGTAACCGATTGCAAACAAAATGTGGACTAACTAAATTCGGTCAATGAGGAGCAATATTTGAAGAAAAAAAAAATCCACTTTTTTGTAACAATGGTTGGCCAACCATTCATGTACATGTACATGTAGTTCAAAATTGATACAAAATTCCACTTTTCTTAAAAATTACAACATTACAGGCGCAACAATTTCACAGGATGCTTGAGGTTATTGTTTACTTTTAAGTTACCTTTACTTTTATGTTTTGTTGATAAATATCAAAGTACATGTTCATGTAATCAATCAGTAATTAAAAGTTTTACTTCAATACTCCAAAGCATGAAGCACATTCACACCATTTTTTTTTAGAAAATCAATTATCCAGTTCCATTCAAAGAACACCACAATGTCCATCCTAAAACAATAAGGCCAAGTAAAAAAAGAACATGTTTAGCATCGTGCATTTTTGAAAAAAAAGGGAGGAGGAGACCCCTTTTCAGGAAATGACATACCAGCTTCATACAGGCTACATGTAGATGCAACAGACAAAGAGGCCAAAATTATGTCACTCTTTAAAATTGATAATTTTTTTGATTTAAAAAAAAAGGAGGCGGCCTCCCAAAAGGAAGTGGGCTGGATGCTAAACATGTTTCTTTTTTATTTGGCCTAACATAATAGTCATATAGAATTGTACATAACTGATACCCATACATCTTTGTAATAATTTTTATTATACATATATTATATTTTGTTCTTCAGTTGTTTCAATTTTTTATGTTGCTTTTTAATGGCTTTTCCCATATTTTAATTTATAATGCCACCATCTGTTTTCTTTTGTTTTGTTTGTTTGGGGTAACATAATTAACAATGTACATGTATCTCATGTTATTTATTGCCTTTGACAAAGATTGTGCTGGGATCAAAATGCTACATGTAGGCCCTCTAACTTTTTAAATTTATTAACACTGATATAATATTTTTTTTAAATCGTTTCATTTCAATATTTTCATTGGTTTATTCGTCAAACTTTTTTGGGGCCAAAATGCCCATTGTACTTGTACTAGTTTAGCTATAATTATAAAACAAGAATTTATTAAATAGTTAAATTAAGAAGTTAACAAACATGTCAAAACACATGTCTTAAGGGTAAGATACACTTTAACTAATATTACAATTTACGTGTAGGCCCTACCTGGTTAACTTTTAAAAGAGCCGAACATAGCAAAGAAATGGGCCTGAATACATCAATAAACTAAAAAAAATCCATCCAACAATTGAACAACATGTCCAAGAACTGAACAACTCAATGCTGAAGAAAAATGTATAATTTATGATAAGAAATTGAATACAACAACAATCACCATCATGGGTCATTTCCCATGAAATTTGATTCCAAACTTCTTCGTTGGGGTATCATCAGATCAGACAGAGTGAATTCGACATCAAACAAGACGAAGCGGAACCGAGCGGAACAAACATGACAAACAACCCGGCCAGTTGTGCAGCGTGAGCATGGTGAGCCAATGCGGCAACCTGCTTCAAAACCGGAACCCCAAAACCGTTCAATTTGAAGTGTTTCACACTCACCCCAATCTTCCGATGACAGGAGATTGTCCGCCAAAAACCTGGTGTCAGGTGTACTGATGAAATCCATAGCCATTTTCCGACCAGAAAACTGTGAAAAATGAAGTGGAAAAATCGCAGTTACACCCACTTCTCCGAGGAACGTACACTGTTTGCGTGGATTTACTATATTGAAATTAGTCTGTGCACCGTGTATAATACGTTATGAACAATACGTACGTGTACGTGTACTTGAAAATCTCATTATGAGGAGGCTGGGGCCATATCGCGATACACGCTTTCCATTGATGGTTCTTCCATTTCATACATAGGGAGGAATGTTTATTTTAAAAGAATTACAAATTATCATTTTAAGTAAGTAGAATGAAGTAGGACCTAAAGTGTACTTTAGTTCCACTTCCCATAAAGAGAAATATGATTCTTTATGTGATAAACCTATTACAATTCGAATACAAGTTATAGGGATTATTAAACTGTTGAAATATCCCCTTGTAGTAGATATGGAACATAACATGTGGTGTGCTTAAATTAAATTTTGACGTCATTAAGTTTTTTAAATGAAATAGTTTTTAATGTAGTAAAATACAAATTTTTAGCATAATCAAATTCATTTTAGAAAAAAGTGCATTGTGTAGTCTTGTTAGGAGTTTTAGATCTGGTATTTTTTTCTCATGGTATGATTTTCTCAATTAAGGATTAGTATTTATTGTTTGGTGGAAGAGTCTAAAAATTTCAATATGGCGGCGCCCATGGTGCGGCAGGTAGCTCAAATTTAGTTGGCCAATTCCTCCTTTTTGTACGCAAATTGAGCACACACTGCTTCGAAAATAGCTTTTGCTAAAGACATAATGTTTCGGTCATGCACTGTAGCTAAATTAATATTCATAAATTATCGATTTGTACCAAAGAAGAGCGTCTTGTTTGAGAGACATGAACTCATCCGGCGGGCCGTCGCCGTTGTCGGCTACGCCAGCAAAGCAGGCTCCGGCAGCAGTGTTCAACATGTTCAAAAAGACAAGAAATCGGAAAGGATGCAAGGGAAGTTGGAAAAGATGCGCAGACGACAACAGAGACAGGATCAAATTGAGTCCTCAAATGTTAAGGCAAGTCAGTATTTTTTTCTAAAGTAGGCCTAAAATAAAATTTAAAAAGACATGAATTTTGATTGACATTGATTTATTTATGGCTATGCGCCTATCATTCAATTGTCCCCCCCCCCCCAAGCTGCCCCACCCAAGACGTGGGGATTGTCACTTTTGAAGTTACAAAATTTAGGACAATTTCCGACATACATCCGTGGGGCGCCTTTCCTGTAGTACTATGCAGTACGCCAATGCAATGGTAACTATGTTTTTGATTGACCGAAATCCCCATCCTCATGACCCTGGCATGCCTGGCACATACAAAGTCACATTAACATAGTAAGCGCGGAACCAGATCAAGATTTGTCATGGTAAAAATGCAATTCAATTGAACTAAATTTGTTTTATTGTCTACATTAAAAATATAGAAATTTGGTGCCCACTGATGTATCTTATTCTTATATAGCCCCATAATGTGGCCAGTTTACTGGACTGCCTCCGTAAACATAGGCCACACATCCGCCATCTTGGAATCTGACTCGGCGAAATTTTGAAAGTGATTTCCACATTGCGACTTCAGACCCAGTTCATTTATGCTTTAAAAATACACTCACCCTCCTAATAACAAAATTGGAACCTGCTGCCAGTGTCAGTTGCCCAGCTGCTGCGTAATTTACGATTATTTCTGGAGCCTTCTTGGCAACTTGGATTCTACCTCCATGGTCCAACTGAACAATGCCCTCGCGCAATATGCAATATGCAGGGATCGTTCACCTGTCGATGTCAATCACGCGTGCAGGATAGGCACGCCGCAGGCCTGGTGGTAGTCTGGTTCCCAGACCTGACAATTATTCCCGACGCTCACGTCTAAATAAGGCGGCATCCGAATCAACTGTCTAGAGCTAGGTCTAGGTCCACGCCCATTGAAAATACGTGAGAACGCGCTGACAATAGACCTAGCCGTAGCTCTGAAGCCCGTTTTGGACACGACGTCATCAGGAATAGTCAGAATCTTTTGGTCTGGGAACCGGACTACCACCGGGCCTGCGGCGTGCCTCCTGCACGCATGATTGACAGGTGAACGATATCCCTGCATATCGCATATTGCGCGAGGGCATTGTTCAGTTGGACCATGGAGGTAGAATCCAAGTTGCCAAGAAGGCTCCAGAAATAATCGTAAATTACGCAGCAGCTGGGCAACTGACACTGGCAGCAGGTTCCAATTTTGTTATTAAGAGGGTGAGTGTATTTTTAAAGCATAAATGAACTGGGTCTGAAGTCGCAATGTGGAAATCACTTTCAAAATTTCGCCGAGTCAGATTCCAAGATGGCGGATGTGTGGCCTACGTTTACGGAGGCAGTCCAGTAAACTGGCCACATTATGGGGCTAATTCTTATAATACACATATTTATAAACAAATAAAATAATGTAATAAGTCCCCCAAAATACTCACTGTACAATGTTCAGTGCAGTGCTGGTTCAGCAATGAAAATGATCAGGCGAAAAAATGTTGCATCCTGACCCCACTTTTTTCATCATATATTATCTCAATGAAGTTTCATAGCTATTGCAAACATTTTGAAAAGACATGAATCTGGGACTGAGAAACGTTTCCAATGTTGTTAGCAAATACTTTGAAAAATGCTCTCAACTCTCCATAGACTTTGTACACGACCAAAGAAGTGGCGTCTGGATAATTCTTTCCAAAGGGGTGTTTCTACAAGCAAGCTTACTTGTAGCACCATGGATGTTTCCAAAAATACACACTGGACTTCCTCCGTGCGCATGCTAAATTTCCTGAAATGTTGTGATGACGATTATGCCGAAATTGAAATCTATTTTTTCCCTCACTTTATATGGAAGCTAGTACATGCCTGGTTAAAGCAGGGTTGGCGATTTTTTTTTATTTTTTAAAAAAAAAATCAAGAAAATCAGATTTATTTGATTTAAATCAGATTTTTTTATTTAAATCAGATTTTTTTTATTTCTTTAACTTTCAAAATATTGATTTGTCTAAACATGTGTCTAAATCTCCCCATGCACCCTTACACCCATCACAAAGGAGTTTACAGGTTCCTATAATACCCATCATCCACAAAACTCAATAAATTGATAAATGCTTTTGAAAAAAAATTGTATTGAATCAGTGTTTAAAAAAAATCACTTGATTTCTTCCACATGTAGTCTACATTCATTGGTTCAATTGTACATTAATACTGAAGACACTTTAAAGGTGCATTGCTTGATTGATACAGCTGAGATACGTTGTGTGTGGATATGAATGAAAACTTGATTTATGGTACCTGTACATGGTATACAAAAAAAATACGACAGTTCTCCATGGGCATGTTGATTTCATAAAAATGCTTCTAATTTCAAAACCGGCGGCACTGATCCTTGTGTAACTTATAGTGTGTGTTTGATGATCAACGGTGGAGAACAGAAATCAGGCCTTACACCATTAAAAGGTTTTATATAAATCTCAATCTAAATTTGTAGGGAGAAACGTCAGGAATAAGACTATCAATTGGAACTTTTAATACACCTTTTGATGGTTCATGTAAGCCTACACCAGCACAGTTGATTCACATTACTGTAAACAGATCTATGTAATAATTAAAGCATGGAGCTATAGATTGAAGCAAATGTGAGTGTGCTCTCTTTAAAATTAAGAACTTTGAAGAAAAACTTTTAAACTCAGATCCTGACTTAATCAAAACAATGAATTTGTGTAAATTTTTGCAAAACCTAAATTGAGTCGATGGGATGAAGTAGGGGTGTTTGAATGTGTTAACAACATCTTACACTTTGTAATTAAGTGGAATCAGTTGATTTAAATGATTAAAATGACCCTCAATAAATCGAATTCGCCAAAAATAAGACTTTTACAAAAAATGATTTAAATCAGTGATTTTTATGAAAAAATCATTTGATTTAAATCGCGATTTAAATCAGTCAATCCTGGGTTAAAATGCAGGAAAAATCTACATTTGCCCCCAAATTACAGGATAACTAGACATCTAGAGATATAAAATTCTATTTTCCTGGTTGTTTACAAGGCAAGTTTCTACCATGTAGAAAATATAAAGTGAAAAAAACAGTATTGATTTTGATTTCAGTAAAACAAGTTTACCTCACACAAAGCTAAAAAAAATTCAATCCAGTCTCGAGTTCCCTAATTATTCACCAGATATTATTGTGTATCTTTCCCCCAAAGTTGTCATGATAGTGTTTTTCCTAAGTAATTCCCATTTTTTGTCAAATGTTTTTGAAAATTTGGACTTTAAATTATCCCCTACATCATCTGTCCTATCTCAACCCCACTGCCCCCCCCCCCCTTGATCCTCATGCACCCACACCACACTCCTTTGTTCCATCATAAACAGGTAGGATGATTTATGGGCCACATCAAGCATTTTTACTTTAACAGCTAAATGTAAGTTACAGTGACAATTACCTTTCGTGTAGTGTACAAGACAATGATATACCAAAGAGGAAATATGACTTTGAATCCTCTGCAATACACAGAACATGTTTTAAAATACATTTCCACAAGTATTCATGTAGGTGGTTGGGACCGTTCTACAACTTATTACACTGCCTTTTCAGCTTTCTACATTTTTTTTGCTGTTCCCAGAGAATGAAAACTGCAAATAAAATATATTTTATATATTCAGCTGGCAGGCTTCCCGCAATAAAACCTTGAAATACCATTAACTCAAACTCTATACTACATGTAGGCACCTTGCCTGGAACCATCCTGAATCTTCCCTGCGTAAAAACAACAACGTTACAACAACAACAACAACAACAACAACAACAACAACAACAACAACAACAACAACAACAACAGCATTTGAACCTAAATTTACTGAGAATTGGCTCTTCCTTCAAAATCTTCCAAACCCAACCTGGTGGATTTTGAAAGATCCAGTAGCAATATGTGCCCTAATTTCTCTCTGGTGTTTTATTTAGACATGTCTAACAAATCTCTTAATCAGAAATTATTTAGAAGTTGGGTTTTCCTGTCACTTACATTTTTTTGAAGAGAACATACAACATTTGCTTTTGCTGTAATTTTCAGAAATTGATGGATTTGGGGGGATTAGTATTTTATGGCAAATGTTGTTACACTGGCTTGTTTGAAGTTTTGTGTTCGTAGATGCTGAAAAACCAAGAAAACAATCACGTTCTTGTAGTCTGGTTCCTTGACCCCACTTAAGATAAAACTAAGCTGTTTATAGACTTACGGGAATTGTAAGGTCAGGGAATCAGTTTTAGCTGGCTTGTACCTGTTCAGAGGTGTGTAATTGATTGCAAAGAAAATGCAGAATAACTAAATATGATTAATTTTTTAGCAGTATTTGAAAAAAAGGCAGTTTTTTTCCCAACGCTGGTCGGCTGACCAGGGTTGGAAATTGATACAAAATACCACTTTAAAAAAAAATGACAGCACACCAGGTGCCAGGATTGTACAGGATGATTTAGACTGTCATTCACTAAACAACCCAGTAAGGTATTTCTTCATAATTTGGTAGTTTTGTTTTTTGATGTTTGCAAGTGTTGTAAATTCTCTTTAAAGGGAAAGTACAACATTTGCTTTTGCTGCAATTTTCAGAAATAAATGGATTTGGAGGATTAGTATGTTAAAGCAAATATTGTTAAAATGACTTGTTTCACGTTTTGGGCTTGTAGATGCTGGAAAAACCAAGAAAACCATACATGTTCTTGTAGTCTGGTTCCCTGACCCCACTTAAGATGAAATGGAGAATTTATAGACTTTGGGGAATTGTAAGGTCAGAGAATCAGTCTAGCAGGCTTGTACCCCTTGACAGTTGTGTAATCAATTGCAAAGAAAACGAGGAATAACTAATTATGAAAAATTAGGAGCAGTTTTTGAAAAAAGCCAGTTTTCTCCAACGCTGGTCTGCCGACCAGCGTTGGAAAAATACCATTTTTCTTGAAAATGTCAGCACACCAGGAGCCATGATTTTACAGGATGCTTTAGACTGTCATTCCCTAACAATCCAGTATGGTATTTTGTGATAATTTGATCATTTCGTTTTGTGATGTTTGCAAATATTGTATCTTCCCTCCATTGCAATATTGTTATTCCTCCATTGCAGAATAGAACAAGCCAGATACTGTATTCACAACTAAACTTATGATGGAGTGGACTCTCTCAGGTCAAACGCATGCTAAGTGCCTTCAGTAAACAATAACCCATGCAAGTCTATACGTCATGTATTCACTGGGTGTCTTTGAACTTTTGGCGTGGCCGTCAATCCAGAACCAGTTTTTAGAATGGTCATTCCCTATAAGGACAGTGGGCTGAAGTTGTGATTCTTCACACTTATATGTTCATTCATTGGAAAAGCAAATTTTATGCAACACACCAGCGTTTAGATCAAGTTGGCAGGTCACTGAGTAAACTGAACTGTGATGGGTAGTTTCTTCAAGGGTGTACTCAATTGGGCTTGTGTCCAAGGCTTTTAATACTTTCAGCATTTGAACATTGGGTTTCCAAATTTGTGTTGGATTGAAAAACAGGATGAGCAAGTTTCTAAACGTAGCATGCATTTGCAGTTATCAAATTGGGTGTTCTAAATAGCCTAAGTACAGGGTTGTCAAACCATGCATGCCCAACCATGTTTGCTGACTCCTAGCCTGTCAATAGAGTTTTGATAATTTGTGACCTTTTGTGTACCCAAGGCCGCACTTCCATTCGTTCACAGTGAATATTTGAAAGCCATATATAATGGCATGTCGTGGTCATTGTTAGATGCAACTTTGGCAGCGCACAGTATTACATGTATATGGGTTCTTGCTTTTCCTGTGGTTTCAGATTAAAACCAAGCAGAGCAAATCTTGGCAACCCAAGGAGGTCGTTACCTATGATATACCAACCATGCCTGGTGAAAAGAAAGGTACGTGTTGTATTCTTCTTATTCAAATAAATGTTGGTCAACTTAGTAACTTTAACCATAGAGCAAGGCACGTATAAATGACAGCATTTTTATCTGTTTGTATGAGCAATGGGTGTTTTAACATTTCATTGAAAAAGAAAAAGGAATTTTCTGTACTTTCTTTTTGAAACGGGCACCTTGTTAAAAGTCTTAAAATATTCTTAATTAAATTTAAAGCAATCTGCATCTGAAAATAAAAACTAATTAAGGTTTTTTTGTGTTATTAGCTAACAGTATTTATTAGCCTCTTAGTTTAGTGATTTATTATTAGAAGTATAGTTTTGCATGTGTCTGTAATAAAAAAAGTATCCAAATAAATGAGTTATTGTTCATGTTTATTTGTAAGTAAAAAGAGACTACTGTACATATGAATGAAGGAAATGATTTTTGATCTGAACTCTTGAAACCTTCCAGATACCAGCGTGCCTCTGCCAGATTCCTACAGCCCCACGTATGTTGAAAGCTCATGGTATGAGTGGTGGGAGAAGATGGGCTTCTTCAAACCAGAGTACAGGGTATGTCAACCTTCATGTAAGCCGTGTTTACGTTTGTTTTGCCCAAATTTTACCAAGATGGTGGTCGGGGGTGTTAATCCCGGGGGAAGTGGTGGATATATTCCCCTCCCACCAGGGGCATGGGCCATTTATTCATCCCCCCACTTTTTTTGTGATGAGAAACAAAAAAATGCGGATTTTGAGTTTCTCTTTTAACAACATCCTAATTGTATTAAATAGGGTAGAAAAATGGAGAAGAAACAATACAAATGCATTAATATGTCGTTTTGGTTTAAGGCACATAAGCAAGTATACCTAAGATGTGCATTTGTATCAGAAACAGCACCCTCTAGTGCAATGTGGTGTCCAGCTCCCCGCCCCTCTCCCCCACCCCTCCCCCACCCCTCCTCCCCGCTTTTTTAATTTCCACGGCCAGGCACTTTTAGGATTTTGGTCATCCCTCATCCCCCCCACCCCACTCGCCTACACGGATTTACGCCACTGACAATGGTCAAAACCAACATTTTAGAAGCAATTCCTGTCTGGTACATAAATCAATTTTTTTTAGATGCGCTTTTAACAATGTTTTTCATTTTAATATTGTCCGTGTTGATTTCTTGTTTTTGATAACTGAAGGATCATTTTGTTCTTTGCTTGGTTTCACTTCAGGCCAGTGGGAGTGCTGACATCAAGCCTTACGTCACCTGCCTGCCTCCTCCCAATGTGACAGGCACACTGCATCTTGGCCACACGCTCATGGTAGCTATTGAAGACAGCCTAGTCCGATGGTAAGAATCTCTTTCAAGATTTCAATCTTTGTTTCTCACCATCTAAAGAATTTTTATTAAAGAGTCCCCAAAAAATTGGTAAGCTGGATAGAGAGATAGAGAGATAGAGGCAGGTTCGATTCCTGCTTCATTAAAATCTGTTCAGTTGTTTCTTCATTGTTTCGTTTGAAACAGTTGGAACAATCGTTTGAAACAATTGGAACTATTCTTGTTGAAAATATAAATTTTAGTTATTTCAATTGAAAACCGAGTCTTTACTGAAGGAAGCTTATGCTTTCTAACTGTGTTCCTCAAAACAAAAGTAGCTAACATTAGTTTACTGCATAATTGAAAGAATCTAGTGAATAAATATTACTTGCTCCTTTGTATGAAATTCTGAAGGGAAGACAAGGCCTTCTTAGATGAGCTGAACCAAAAGGACTCAGTTTCGGACACTAGTGACTCAGTCAGTTAGTGCCTCGGTTAGTGACTCAGTCGGTCAATAGACAATAAGCTGAGCCTTCAGGTCCTGCAAAAACAACCAAATATGGTTGTTCCGACCAAGGGCGTCAATCGCTTCTCAAAAGTGGAGGGGGACAAACCTTGATGAGCACTTATGCGAGCGCATTGTGCGAAGCCCTAACGGCGTGGGGTTCGGGGCCCGCTTAAGGGCCCCAAAAATGTTGGATTCTAGATGCTCTGCTGTGCAATCTGAGGCAATTTCTGACCACTAAAACCAGCTATAGAATCATTATAGTAGGCTACACATTTTTATTCAAGGACGAAAAAATCACCCTTACTCTAAAAATATCCCCCTTACTTTAAAAGTGGGGAAGGGGGGGGGGGGGGTGGGGGGACTTGTCCCCCAACAATTGACGCCCATGGTTCGGACAACTTTGGACAAAGGTAGATTTTTTGGTAAATTATTTTCCGTATGTTGTCACAGGCACAGGATGAGAGGGAGACCGACGCTGTGGATACCAGGCAGCGACCATGCCGGCATAGCCACCCAGATCATGGTGGAGAAGTCACTCTGGCAATACCACCAGAAAACCAGGCATGATCTAGGCCGGGAAAAGTTCACGGAAGAAGTGTGGAAGTGGAAGAAGGAGTGAGTTTTTGCTGGATTCAAAACACCAGCCTATAGACCTTTATCATGCTGCCACCATTTCAGTCATGTTCCCTGTATCCAATAACAGTACTGAATGATAGTGTTTTTTGTGCAAAGAGGAACCAGACTATTTTTCCTTCCAGCCTTGCTTTATGTTGATTTGAATGGGAAAAATCAAGATGGTTGCAACTTGATAGCGGTCTATTGTTTTCGGACTGACTGATTGTCTGACTGTCGACTGACTGACGGACTGAGTTACTGGGTAAATAATGACTTAATCAGAGTCACTCTTGTCCAGATTGAGTCAACAAGCCCTGTATTGTCTTTATTAGGCTTAATTTGAACAAATTATCAGTGTAGGGGATTCCTTGACTTGTGACAGGATTTTTGTTTTTCTTTTTTAGAAAAGGAGATGAGATTTACCGACAGCTGAAAAAGCTTGGTGCCTCCTTGGACTGGGACAGGTCAAAGTTCACCATGGATGAGGTATGTCTGCCTTGTTTTTGGTCTCGTCCAATTCTTGAGTTCCTCCTTCATATTTTTCAAACCAGTTCTGATCAGTTCCTTGCACAATCTTGGTAAAGTTACCTTAACAAGAGTCTCCCCATGCCTCATGTAAAATTCATCCTAATCATCTATTCAAACTTTGCTTTCAAACAGTACAAGGTATACATGTAATAGCAGCATTTTGGTTGTGTAGTCGGCGTTGTACAATGAGCCCCTCACAAGTCCAGTCACAAGTAACAGCAGATGAATAGTCGCAAAGGAATGCTTTTCTCAAAGTTCATTTGAATAGCTTCTGGCTTGACATGGGACTGCATGAGTTGTGATTTCCTTATGAAGCCTGGTTCAAACTCGGGGCGAAAGCAAACGCGAACGCGAATTCTTGTCGTCAGGGTGTGTTTTCGCGATGCGAATTCGCTCAAGTTGAACACATTTCAATGTTCCCTGACGTCAAGTTCGCTTCGCATTCGCATTCGCGTGGAGTATGAACCGGGCTTAAGGACTTGTGATGGATGTGACCACAATACCAACCGTTCTTTACGTTTCTTGCGTGCCGACAGGACTATGCTCGCGCAGTGAGGGAGGCCTTCATACGACTCCACGACCGAGGGACCATTTACCGCAGCACCCAGCTAGTCAACTGGTCCTGCTCCCTCAAGTCAGTCATATCCGATATCGAGGTAAAATACTTGAAAATGATGATTTAAATAATTTCACCAAAAAAGAAATGAAGTACAATTACGGAGCTTAAAAGTTACTTTCAGAGATTTTGTTGGGCTGGAATTTGGCCTTAAAACACACCTGCAGTGTTTTTTTTCTGCACAGGAATGTTATGAAGCTGATTTCTCTATTGACTTTTTTGTCGCAGGTTGAGACCAAATCCATAGATGGCAGAAAAGCATTGCCGGTACCTGGGTATGCAGACCCTGTGGAGTTTGGTACCCTGACTCTGTTTTCCTACCCTGTACATAATTCAGGTGTGTATGGACAGCTTGACTCAGTAAACAAAAATGGGTGCTGACTGTTGGCAAGTAAGAGCAAGTTGAGACAAGGACTATAGTTAAACCTAGTGTGACTAACTTCACTCGCACACAGGATGGTTCGTGTGAAGTTTGCTCAGGAAAATAAGACATTTCTCCACTGCGTTTAGCCGAGTACATAAATTTGTTAAACTGTTTTTCTCTGCTAAACAGAAATTTGTTGATGAAAGAGTTCTTCCATTTTAATGTCTTTATTTCTCAAAGACGAGAAAATCACCGTGGCAACCACCCGCCTAGAGACGATGCTAGGAGACACGGCATTGGCCGTTCATCCCGACGACACGAGGTACCTCCATCTGATTGGGCAAACCGTGGACCACCCCTTTATGAAGAGGTCTCTGCCAATCGTAGCAGACCCTTCGGTAGTCCGAGAGTTCGGGACGGGTGAGTGACTGGGGAATTTGATTCTAAGAGCCTTCATAAAGCTTTCAAAATCCTCTACTGTACATGAATCCAATGGCTTACTCTTTCTACCTACCAAGTTTCAAGGGGCATCAAGCCCAGTGTGAAGTAATAGTGGCTGGGCTTTACCTTCCTCAATCCTACAAATCCTCCACTGTGCAGGTATCCAATGGTACAATCTTTCTACCTACCAAGTTTCAATGGGCATCAAGCCCCATGTGAAGTAATGTTGGCTGGGCTTTACCTTCCTCAATCCTCCAAATCCAAGTGCAGAAATCCAATGGCACTCTATGTTTAATACCTATTAAGTTTAAAAAAGTATCAACTCTCCATGTTGAGAAACAGTGACTGGACCCTTTTTCAATCCTGCAAATCCTTCAACTTTGCGTAGATTTGCGTATTTTTCAAGTAACTCGGTTTTTCTGTTGACCTTAGATTTTTGCTTGAACTAATATTTTTTATGGATCGTGGTTCGAACATGGTTAAAACCATTATAGCACACAACCAACTAAAATGTTCAGCCTTGTGCAGAGTACTGGCACTTTATCCTGGAGGTCATGGGTTCAAATCCTGCTTGCTGTAGTCACAGGTATCACTAGCCCTACTATTGTTTCAATCAAGTGCCGATAATTTCTTGTGAATGATTTCCTCTTTTCCATTTCCTCATAAAAAGGGGTTGTAAAGATCACGCCCGCCCACGACTTCAGAGACTACGACTTTGGCCAGCGTCACAACTTGCCGTCCGTCACTGTCATTGATGACACTGGTCGCATGACAGACGACTGCAAAAAATTCAAGGTAAAATCTGACTGGCAGAAAAATTGAAAATTACAGTACAATGGAGAAACAATTACCAATTTAAATGATTAATGTGAGGTTTTGTTATAAATCCCCCCACAAAATTGTGCCAATTTAGTTTATATGCTTCTTGGTGTGGTGCTGAAAGTGTTTCTGGTAACATTCAGGGCATGAAACGTTTTGAAGCGCGGAAGGCCGTGGCAGACGCTTTGAAAGAGAAGAAGTTGTACGTGGAGACCAGGGATCACCCGATGGACGTTCCACTCTGCAGGTAACAATGTGAAGGTGATATCTATCTAACATTTTTTTTGTGTGCACAAGACTCCCTCAAGATAAAAAGGGAGACTTGGGAGAGACCACTGAGAGAGACATTTGAATGCATTGCTGACGATGCCTGACGCTCACACAAAGATAATTTGGCTTTGTGCACACTCAGAATAGAATTAGTTGAGTGTATGTTGCGCCCTATGACTTGGTTTCTTAAAACACAGGAGTGTTTCTTAAACAATGAGTAAACTTGATCATTTCTCACTTCTCAGACGATCCAAGGACATTGTTGAACCCATGCTTAAGACCCAGTGGTTTGTGGATACGAGCAAGATGGCTCAGGACGCTGTCGCATCAGTCGAGACCGGCGAACTAAAGATTGTCCCTGAAGCACACAAGAAAGTGTGGTACAGTTGGCTGAAAAACCTCAGGTAATGCACTGAAAAGTGTTCAAATGCTAAAATAAAAAATGCACCAAAACAAAGCAAAAACAAAAAAAGGTTAAAAAGCCATAGCAATTCCACTCTTTTACGTGAGTATGAAGCCATTTTAAAGTGAAAATTCTGGATATGATTTGCCTAAGATGAAATAGATTAAACCTTCGTGAATTTGAAGCACAAGTTCTTATTCAGATGACTCTTATTTGTATTGTGTTCACTTTTACTCTTTAGCAACCATTTAGGAAGCGAGTGGATTTGAAAGCTTATCTTTGAACTTAAAAAAAAAATGGTTTTAAAAAGTGTTTTTACCACAACATTGCTGTTGCAGAGATTGGTGCATTTCTCGTCAGCTGTGGTGGGGCCATCGCATTCCGGTCTATCACATGACCATCAAAGAGGAAAATCACAGTCAACAAATGGTGAGCATTGGGACGATCAAGGGAATTTAAAAAAAGAAATTTTGGATAATGAAACAAGGATTGGGGTGGGGGGGAAGTGATAGAAAGAGCCTCCTGGTAAAAAGTTTGTTTCTGAAACATGATAACTGTCATTTTGTGACCTTTTGGAATTCTGTCCATTCCTGGTTGCTTAAACTTAATTTAAGAATACATTAACCCTTACCCTACTAGACCCTCCAACGCATGCCAATATGTGCCTCAAGAAAATCTCCTATGTTTTTTGCATGGCCCTCCAATATCTGCCATGTCATTTCAAGGGTAACTGGACAGGCACTCCAATACATGCCACAGAGAACAATGAGAGTCCTCTGATAACAAAGTGAGTGCCCCCAGCTGGTCAGTATCAGGCACCCTCCAGGGCCTCCAACTCCTGCCAATTGGAGCCTTCACTGCTACATCAAAGTATCCTCCAATAAACTGCAGCTGGAGGGCATTGGCATAACCAACTGACATGCAGTAAACTACCCTCAGAGAGTAAGGGTTAAAGCAAAAAAGTAGCTTGGAAAAAGAGGTTATACTCTGTATGTTGTGTATCGTGCAATTTTTTCACTTCTTTTATAAATGGATATATCGTGCTTTGAAAATAACCTCTTCAGTTTTCTCACTCCAAGCTAAGATCCAAACTTACCTGGTGACCATAATAAGAAGCCATTTCCTCAGTCAATATGAAGCATGTGCACAGGTTGTACACACATACTCGATGCTCCTTTAACCAATAGCATGTTTTCCAAATTGAGAACCAAACGGCAGTTTTCATATTGTTGTTTTAAATATTGTGCCTCTCTCCCATTAAATACAGGAAAATTGCTGGGTCGGTGCCCACACAGAGGAAGAAGCTATCGCAAAAGCAGCTCTGAAATTCCAAGTTCCTGTTGAGAAAATAGAAGCAATGCAAGGTACTACATCTTTCAAATTTCCCCTTGTTACGGTTTTGTCTTTGCTCTTTCGGGGGTAGGGGTTGATGATTTCGTAATTTCGGACCTCAAGCAACAAATTTGTATAAATTTCAAGAAGGCAGCTTTTATCTAATTGTTAAATTTATTTCATCTGCATATCCAATTTTATAAGGGAACACATTGTCATTTTACATCAAAGTAAAACTGTTTTCATAAAACTAGTTCCATTGAACATCATCTGCTGAATTTGTCTCCTTCTGTAGATCCTGATGTTCTAGACACGTGGTTCTCTTCCGCCCTGTTCCCGTTTGCTGTTCTCGGCTGGCCAGATGAGGTAAAAGTACCTGAATGACTGTCAATCAAAGACTTTTCTAACTTTTGGTGGTGAAAGGTTCCTTGCCAGATTTCAGTGATCCAAGCATTGGTCTCAAACCTCAATGTTTCTTGGTTTTTTTCTCTTCCATTTTTTAGACGGCAGATTTGCAGCGCTACTTCCCGACGACCATGCTGGAGACCGGGCATGACATCCTGTTTTTCTGGGTGGCTCGTATGGTGATGATGAGCGGGGAACTCATGGGGAAATTGCCGTTCACGGAGGTGTGAGACAAATTCAAATCACTCAGCATCTGTAGCTGCCTGTCAGATTTTTTCTGCTGCACAGTTTATGGGGCTTATATTTCTGGTAATAACAGCAAGGGCTCCTTAGAAAGTACAGGGACTGTATTCACGGATGCCTGAGGAAAATTAAAAAAACTTCAGTTGAAGGAGAAGACGATGAAGAAGTTGTGGTCAATTTTTGGGGGTGGGAGGAAAACCCCAGATTTTATTGCAGGGAAACCCACAGAATCAGGTAGGGGCTGACAACCACTTCAACATGTCAGCATTGGGGGGGGGGGGGAGGGGGGAGGGGATAGGGGATTTGAACCTCGGTCACATACAATTGAAGGTGAAGGGTAAGGAAGTACATCTCCGCCAAGCCTTCCTCCCCATAACTGCCCATGATCGTGACTAGTAACGTCTGATGAACTTTCTGTGTACAGGTTTATCTGCACTCTATGATCAGGGATGCCCACGGACGCAAGATGAGTAAATCACTGGGCAATGTCATCGATCCGCTAGATGTGATCCATGGAAGCTCCTTAGAGGTAACTTTAAACTCCTCAAAGCTGGGAAACCACAAAAAGTATCACGAGTAGCAGATCTGGGGGGGGGGGGGGGGGAGGAGGGAAAGAGGGGTTGCAACACCCCCCCCCCCTCCAGCTGCTGACTATTGCTATGATACTAGTAAAACTGGGGTCAAGAATGCTCAAGTTCCTAAAATTTATTCTCAAATTGCCTTAGAATGCAGGAGAAAGCATTGTAGATTTCAACATTTTCCAGTGGGGAAGTGGGGGGATGTCCCTGGACCGCCTTAGCAGCACGTGCAGCACACCTTCACTCAAACCCCCCTCCCCCCCCCCCCCCCATATCAGCACCCCCGCCCATACAATTTCCTGTAAAATGTTTGTATTTTGTTTTTCCTTTTTTTCCCCAGGATCTCCACAAGAAGCTGATGTCTGGTGTCAAGTTGGACGAGCCAGAGCTGAGCATAGCCCTCAAGGGTCAAAGGTCAGATTTCCCCAATGGGATACCAGAGTGCGGGACGGACGCGCTGAGGTTTGCGTTGTGTACCTACAAGGCACAAGGTGAGGTTGGCCAGCCCATTGATATAGAGGGCGCTCTAACAATATAAAGTAATTTTCATGGATTATTTCAAATTCAAGCACATTACAGAGGTTCAGATTTGACACACACACGAAAACTGCTGTTTTTAGCTTTTTTTGCTTTTTTTTTTTGCTGCCTTGTACACTGATTGTGGTAATGCTAAGTTTACTTTCTGGTTGTTATCACGAAGTGGTGTTTGTTTTGCAGTTGAGGATCTGAATCTTAATATCGACACCGTTTTGGAGTATCGTCGTTTCTGCAACAAGATCTGGAATGCAACAAGGTTCACATTGAGTCGACTGGGCCAAGACTTCACCCCTCTCCCGCTTCCTGAGGTAAACTCAGAAACTGGCCAGTTTTGGAATCTATTGACAGGCTTGTTTGGTTAATTCCCTTGATGATATAAGATTTAGGATAAGATATAAGATAAGATTATAATATTTAGGCTTTGCATGGTGGGGTATCGGTATCGTTTCGGTTTGCGGTAACACCATGTGGTAATAACTACTGCTTAGAAGATATTAGTTCTGAAAAGAACTTGTCCTGCTTATTATCAACTTTGCTAAGTAGTTTTTTGTTCTGATAAGAACAGTCCTGCTGTAAGTTCTAAATTGCTCTAAACTCGACTAGCCTGCTCTAGTCATCGTCAAGAGACGATGACTGGAGCAGGCTAGTCGAAACGTTGAGACCAAAGACAAGTTCGTTTAGAACTTACAGCAGGACTGTTCTTACCAGAACAAAAAAACTACTTAGCAAAGTTGATAATAAGCAGGACAAGTTCTTTTCAGAACTAATATCTTCTAAGCAGTAGTTATTACCACATGGTGTTACCGCAAACCGAAACGATCCCTTGATGATCTTAACTAATATTTCTTCATCACGCATCTGCCTCTGTTCATATTCAGAATTGTTGGTTACAATTCTACAAGCACTTGTTAGGAATGTTTGCTTGAAATACCAAAAGGCATTTTGATGGCGTTGAATTAAAAAAAAAAAAAAATTGTGTGAGTTTTCTGAGTGTCCTGTTTCTCTTGTAGATTGCCTCTGAGTTACGGCCCATGGATTGCTGGGTCTTGAGCAAGCTATCAGTCGCTACGGATGTCTGTAACAAGGCTTTAGAAGGCTATGAGTTCCCAACTGCCACAAGCGCTGTACACCAGTTCTGGATACAGGCCTTCTGTGATGTCTACTTGGTGGGTGTCCAAAGCCAAATTTATCAAGCTTGTGATTGAGTTGCAATTGACTTGTGACTGACTAGTTATTGACTTGTGATGGAATTGTGATTGTTACTGATTGACTCACAATTGATTTGTAATTGACTCGTGATTGACTTGTGATTGCTTGTTATCTACTTGTGATCAACTTGTGATTGATTTGTGATTGCTTGTGAATGACTTGTGATTGTCATATGACTGACTTGTGACTGACCCCTGCTTGACTTGTGATTGTCTTTTGATTGACTTGTGATTGCTTGTGATTGACTTGTGATTGATTTGTGATTGCTTGTGATTGACTTGTGATTGTCATATGACTGACTTGTGACTGGCCCCTGCTTGACTTGTGATTGTCTTTTGATTGACTTGTGATTGCTTGTGATTGACTTGTGATTGATTTGTGATTGCTTGTGAATGATTTTGTGATTGTTATATGACTGACTTGTGACTGACCCCTGCTTGACTTGTGATTGTCTTTTGATTGACTTGTGACTAACACACATTGAATTGTGATTGACAACTGATTGAAAACCGATTGACTTGGGATTGCTTGTGATTGACGTTCAGTTGACTTGCGATTGTCTTGTGATTTCCTTGTGATCGACTTGATTTCAACTCAGAGCCACACTCTGCATTGTCCCTCTATCTCACATTGGGTATTGAACTATCTTTGTTTATTCCTGTCTCTGCTTCATCTTGAAGGAATCTGTCAAGGGTGTCTTAGCCTCCGCAGACCAGCCGTCAGTCTTAGCAGCCCAGCACACCCTATACCACTGTGTGCATGCCGGCCTACGCCTCCTCAGCCCGTTCATGCCTTACCTGACTGAGGAGCTGTATCAGAGACTACCAAAGGTCAAAGGTGACAACTGCCCCAGCGTGTGCGTGGCAGAGTATCCAGCCAGTGATCATGTGAGTTGCGTATTTTAACCTAACACCCTCTGTTTTTACAAATGATTAATTCCCCAGAGATGCCGCTTTTCAGGTTTTAACCTGAATTTAGGGGGGTTTTTTTTCAAAAAAAATATGACAATTAAAAGTGTTGGATTTGGTCTGAAGCATCTAGAAAACACATTTTTGAAAGGAGGTTAGGGTAGTTTCAGGTTTTTATAGTAGTGTTTCAGGCTTTTTATTGATATATTGGTGGCATCTCTGATTCCTTGGCGAATTCTTAAGACCTTTAATACAGTAGGCGCGGTTGGTGGCATCTTTGATTCCTTGATGAATTCTTAAGACCTTTAATACAGTAGGCGCGGTTGGTGGCATCTTTGATTCCTTGGCGAATTCTTAAGACCTTTAATACAGTAGGTGCGGTTGGTGGCATCTCTGATTCCTTGATGAATTCTTAAGACCTTTAATACAGTAGGCGCGGTTGGTGGCATCTTTGATTCCTTGGTGAATTCTTAAGACCTTTAATACAGTAGGGGCAGTTGGGGCGGAACAGGGAGTACATGTAATAGACCAAGTATTTTGGGCCATTTCAGGGAGTAACAGGTTTAGCTGGAGCATTGTTTTGGCATTTTCAGTGTAAGTGCTTAGCTACACACAGAGCCAATTTAGCTTACGTGGTGTCTGTTTAATCTGTTGTTCTCCAGTTTCCAGCTAGAGATGTGGAACTTGAGACAGACGTTGAGTTGGTTACGGAGGCCGTTCACACCATGCGCTCCCTCCAGAAGGAGTTCGGCATCAAGATGGCCAAGGCCTCAGGTTGGTAAAAATACTAGCATAAGCCTTGTTGCTTACATGTCTGTGGAAATACCTTTGTTTAAAGATGATATAAATTATTATTATTATTATTATTAATCATTTCTGGTAATGAAACCAAGGATTCCTTAAAAACGCCCTGGGCACTGTAGCTCGCAAGCCTGAAGAAACCTGAAGAGAGGAGACAATGAAGAGAAGTTACAGTTTTAGAGGTGGGAGGAAAAGCCCAGAAGAATATACTGAGGTAAACCCATGGAATCAGGCAGGGACTGAAAACCCAATCCACATATTGGCCCGGGCGGGATTTGAACCCGGGTCACAGCGGCGGAAGGCGAGGAAAGTACCGCTATGCCAACCTGACCTTATTCAACGGAAAATCTGTTGCCTGAGTTGAATTTCATTCACTCGGGAGGTAACACACCAAGTATACAGTGGTTATATGTCGGTGAGGGGCAAAACCTTAGATTGATTTACATCCCCTGACGCAGAATTCCATCTTATGAATAGTTGAATTTCTTGTTTAATAACTGTTTATATAACAAATTTATCTCTTTTAATTTTGTTCCTCTTCCCACAGCTCAAATTGTTTCTAATGATATCGCAACTCAAAACGCGCTGGAGAGGTTTTCTGATACTATCACGTCCCTGTCCCGCTGTTCGGATGTGGCTGTTACAACAGTCCCACCACCTCCCTCCGGCTGGGTGTATGGTTTGATGAACGATCGAGGCACGGTGTATATCAGTATAAAGGTAAAATATGGTTTGAACATCTCAAAATGAAAATTGAAAAATCGTTTACAAAATTGTTGGAATATAAAATATGAAAGATTTCTCTTTGGGAATTGGGTTATGAAAGTTACCATTTTGATTATTCAAAAGGATTCAAATTGCCATGGCAACAGTTCAGATGATGTGGTCAGATTTTCTTTGCACATCTAAAAGTTGTCGTAAAAATTGCCCATCAGGTTTTTTATCTATTAAGTTTCAATATAATTTGGTCCCCCAGTGTGCCTTTTGTGCCATATCTCTGAGAGTTCCCAACTCGAAAAAGGTTGTTAGATAATTGTTTTTCTTTTGCCAAACTCTCTGTTCAGGACTCGGTAGATGTGCAAGAGGTAATGCATAAACTTAGAGCTCGAAGCAAAAAGCTGCACACGCAACTTGAGAACCACCAGAATTCAGCTGATGGCGACATTTGCAGCGAGAAAGTACCGCTTAAAGTCCAAGAGGCCAATAGACAAAAGGTGCCAAGCTGAGTTTATCATGAATATGCATGAAAGGTCATAGGGTCATGGGACATTGTTGCTTTTTTTTGTCTTTGACTAGTTGCTGATGTGGATTGTGGAATATAGATTATTGGGGATCATACAGGATTTTTTTTCTATCAACTTGAACATTGGAGGATTTTGAAAATGGAGGATTTTTTTATTTTTTATTTTATAAAATGGCCGAGTAATTATATTTTTAATCTTGCAAATGAAGACTTTCAGACAAATTGTTTAAAAACTGTTCTATTGCTTGCTTTTTGTTGTACAAATTATTATGGTAATTTTACAATATCATAATTTGTCGATTTTCTCTTTTCACCTTTTTTTATAATCTTTAGACACATCGTTTGCAGTCGGAGTTGCAGAAATTGGAGGACACAATGAAACAACTGGCAGATGCCAGCTGACAGTGTGAAGACAGATGACCACCATTTTGATTTTTTTTTAATTAGACATCTTTAAAACTTGGGTTTTTTTTAACAGCTTGGACCATTTAAGCTTGTGCTTTTGATGTCATATACATTTGTTTTTACTTCGCCATTAGCGTGACTGGAAAATCAACTCTGTGTGATTTAAACCTGTGATAGTGAACCATATGATGCATATATAACTCAGTCTATATACGAAAGGCAATGACATTTATTGGTAACTACGCAAAGTAAAACTGGTTCCTTATTATGAGTGCATATGTCCCTGTGGGAGATTCACAGGCTACCAGTCAAAGGCACCACGTAGAAATGTTTCACTCTCAACAAAGGCAAAATGTCACAGTATAAAACTTAATATGCCCCAGTTCCTGAAATTGGCATAAACACACTGTGGTTGCCTGAAGCAACATGCCGAAAAAAAATTGTTCAAAATCCATATATTTTAGAACATTTCTAATTTTGTCATATTATCTGCTGAAAGGTTATATTTATTTTTACACTATTCAAGTTTTAATAAAACTTAGTGACTCGCTCTCACAAAAGAACATTTTCACTCATTCTAATAAGTAAGGGAAAAGTTGTTTTGAAAATGATTTTTCACCAAAGCAAACAGTGAGTTTGTGGGTTGACTTGGTCAAGAGCAAATATATTTTTGAGGTCTTGGCAAACTTTTATCGATCGGCTGATCTGCTGAATGCTAAGCAGAAAATGTTGCTTAGCCAAGTTAAATTAAGCACAAAGCAAAAATCAGGGCCCAATTTTCATGGCTTGCTAACCACAGAATTCCGCACTTACGATCATCATTTTGTGCTAACCGCGCTATAAAAATTCTGTGCTAAATCTGTAAGCACAGAATCCTTAGTTAGTGGATGTATGCATGTGCAGCAGCTGACATTCCTCGCTAACCCGTGAAATAAGCTTACCTTAAGCAGGGAATGTTCTGCTTCAGTAAGCAGGGATGTTTCGCTATAAGCAGGGCCACGAAATTGGGTCCAGGAGAGAGCAAGAAAGTCATAAGAATCAATTTCCTTCACTGGGCTTGTTTTTATGGTATCTGTTCTTGTACAGAAAACTTTTTTGGTAACTTTTTTTGATGGAAAGAGTGCTTCTGAGCCTTGTTCTGATAAGCAGCTCAGTGGGGAAAAGTATTTGTGCAATTATTGTGCCATACAGCAAAAATCCAGTTTTAGTGATTTGAAAGTTACTTTTGATGCATAAAATGCATTTTGATTCGTTGTCTCCATACAGTTTGTCAAACCAAGTTGTGACATATTCACTAAAATAATCTGAACTTTTGGAGTTTCGGCTGGTTGGTGACATTTGATAATAAAATGTTGAATAAAACCATTGATTGCTATAATCTTTTGTGGTTTTCATTTCCTGTTTATTTCACTAAAGGCACATTGGAATATTTTCAATTACCAGGAAGTGTACCTATTGATATAATAACGAGAAAACCCTTGTTTAAGGTGAAGATGGGACTGGTACCAAATACCTTGTGAAATTACTCCGATTGAAATGGTGTCATTCAGAAGAAAACAATCATTGAAGGTAGTTTTAAAAAGTGTGCCCATGGGCATACTTTTTTGTACGTGCGTTTGCAACAGAATCCAGTAACGAGACTCCGACTGTAAATTCCTTATCTCTATTTTCTCAAAATGTAAGGTATCAACTAAGACGACACAACAGTTGTTATGAACTCTTGAGATTTTTTAGCAATTTTGTTGCTTCAAACGTAAAAAAAAAAATGCACAAAATGATATGATCCTACCCAAAAGTATAATAAAACAAAAAATATTTTCTTGGCAATTTATTTTGGGATGGGGAGCGGAGATTGAAGAAAAAATAGTTCACCCTTTGATAACAAATATCTCCACAACTAGTTTGAATGGAACTTGGGAGGTCCTCGAATTATAATTATCCATTCTATTAAATTTTTTAGCATAATATATTCGGGCGTGCGTGCCAAATTTTGGCAAACTATAGATTACCCATGGAGGAATATTCCTCCATGGATTACCGAAGTAAATTTACTCCTTACATTTTGAATGCACTTCTCAACTTTTTGTGGAATTTATGATCATTACCATAATGTTATAAGACTGAGATTTAAAAAGACAAACTTCGTGAAAAAAAAAATATGAAACAGAATTGTAAATTTGTTGCTGTTCTAAGATTTTCGGGGGTTTTTTTTTGGGGGGGGGGCGGGGTCGCATTTCGACGAATTACGTAATCTGCTAACAAACAGCTTGCTACAAGTCCATCGAACAACGAATTCTAGGGAAGACTGGAACAGAAACCGAATGCACATGAACCATTTGCAGTGCATAAAACGCAAAAAGACCGAGACAAGTCTATGACATTAAAAACTGCCAATTCATGACATGCATCATTTTAATACGTAGCGTAGCGGTAGATAGGACGTGTGCACTGCTGAATCGAGAAACTCCACAAGACCAAACAAATTATCCTGAACTTCTGAAGAAAACCGAGAAAGGTTTATTCAGAAATCGACACACGTACTTAGTTCTCATCTCAACTCTATTTCAAGACCTAGACTAGAGGTAAGGTGTCGGAAAGAAAGTTGGAAAGATTGTTGTATCCAGACGCCTTTGGTCATGTTGGTTGTGTATAACTAAAGACTATGGTCAGATTCGGGGGGGGGGGGGGGGGGGGGGGCGTAATACGTAATACGTAATACGTAATACGTAATGCGTAATTACGTAATACAAAGACTATGGAGAGTCGAGTGCATTTTCTAACAACGCAGTGGCTATTGTTACGGCAGCCGTAACGCATTTCCCATTTTCTATCGTTACGGTAGACTGCAACTTTTATAAAAACATGACAAGAAAATATAAAATTAGAAGGAAAAAAGTGAATTTGAACGTTATGAAATTCGGACTTTATTTCCCTTTTAAAAAAAATCCTCCAAGGCCTCAGGTTAGAAAAGGAAAAAAATTGGAGTGCAAAACTGAGATTCGAACCCGCAACCTCGCGGTGCAAAATCCTACCTCGAGTCTATCGACTGAGCTGTCGCACTGCTCGCTAAAATGTGTTGAAACAAATAAATATATACCTGCGTGCGTGTCAAAAAAGTATCGTAGAGGGCGCTAAACAACGACTGCCGTAACGATAGCCACTTCGTTCTAACAAAATTGGAAATGTTTCTCAGTCCCAGATTCATGTCTTTTCAACATTTTTGCAATGACTGACCTTCATTGAGAAAAAAGTGGTGACAGGATGCAGCATTCTTCCCGTATATACAATTAATAGACTAGTCGTTTTCCTAGTTCCGGATTAGCAAACATGATTCAGGCTGCATGCTTTCGGCTCAACTACTCTACGAATTCAAGTGACATTGATTAAAAAGTTTACCTTGAGTGATGGAGAGACCACAAAATAATTCTGAAAATTTAAGCGCTTTTTATTTTGATTTTACGACGTCTAAAGTATCGATGTCACTTTTCCTAGTTCCGGATCAGTTCAATCAGTTCCGAATCGATCAAAAATCACGTGAGAAATTTTTTTTCAGCCAAAACCAACCGAATCAAGCATATTTTCTGATAAAGTATTATTTCATTTTCCAAAAATAGTTCATTCAAGAGAATTCCAGCAAATTTTAAAAAGAGAAAAAAACGTAAATGATTTTGAAACTTTTGTCTGCAGCGCAATGGCTCGAACTGACGCACGGACCGACAATCTTTGACCCAGCACAGAAACCGTCACACAAAATCGATTAACGCGCGTGTAGTTGGGTCAAATGTGCACGCGCTATCCGGAACTAGGCAAAAGCATACGGTCATTCGTTGGCGAATTTAAAAAAATTAGAGACTTTACAACTTATTTCGATTCAACAAGCATTCGATGGAAGAGTTTATACGACTGTACCGTATGAACAAAATATTCGAAATCACACGGTACAAGTGATATACCGAGGAGAATATTTATCGTCGATTCGCAGCTCCCGCGATTTTCTACAAACCGTCCAAACATGTCAAAGTGTGAGTCGGAAATTTGCCCAAAATTCCTCTTCTATAGATTTTATCGGAAATTTTTTTGTGTATCAAGGAGCTTGCATTTTCCTTGTACATCATCCGAAAATTTTTTTATTGGAGACTTATCCAAAAGAGGTAGGTTTTTATTTGAAGCTATCCGGAACTAGGAAAAATCCGGAACTAGGAAAGCGACTGTATGAGTAAGGATGAAGGTCAGGGCCGTGAGTTATTGCAAAAATGTTAAAAAGAATGTGACGATTGTGTAGTGTAGGGCCCTTGTCATGCTTGTTTATAGTTTCGATCAAATTAGAGTCGAGGGTGTTTTCTTATTACTCAAAAATTACCTTTTCAGACTTCTCTAAATATAATAACAACTTTCTTTTTGTTATTTTTAAACAGTTTCTTGGGGTAAAAATTATGATTTTCTTACGCGGTTTTGGTGCTGTGTGATTCAGTGTGCCTTTCGCGTTCACAGTGTATCGCGCTGTGATCGTCATCTTCATTTTTGTGCTGCGTTTTGTCATAGAGCATGGTCGTTGGCATCATTTTACCCCCAAATTTCCCTCGAAAATTCAAAGGACAGATTCCCATATCTGGCCATCTCTAATTTTGCCCTTCAGTGAAGTATCAGCCATCAGAAATATGTCCTAAAAAGTCTAGTTTAGCACAAAAATATTGAAGTATTTACTGAGAAAACACTTAGAAATGTTCAGACCAGTCTCACAAGTGATGGCCAGATATGGGAATCTTTCCGAGTCCTTACTCCGCTACATGTAACTGATCCATATCTCTTCAGTTATTATTATATTAAGTTTAAAGTTTGGGAACAATGTTTGTTGGTCTATCATTACAGTTTTAAATCCCATAAATATGGTGACCCCAAAAATGATGGTGGTAGTTGTAGAAGTAGCCATTGACAGCTTTTCACGTTAAATTAGTACATGTACCATTGCATTTCATGTTCAACTCTTAATAATATACATCATAAAACAATGTTACAGGTTTAGATATTGGTAGATTAACTGGAGCTTCTCTAAAAAAAGTTTTCATCAAAATTGATAAATATGTCGGTTAGGCCCTATTCATTAATCAAGTTTCTGATGACTTTCCTTGTAGCTGCAGACGGGCTGAGCTAAACTTTGACCTTGACCACCCTGCCACACATTGCTCTGTATTCAAGAGCCGTCCTGCAGGTTTCTTTCGTCAGTCAGCTCAGTAGCAGCTCGCTGGTCAAACAATGGGAACGGAGGGCCCAGCCAGATTCCCCACAGCGTCGCTCATGTACATCAGTCCAGGCAACATCCTGAACTACCACAATCTGAAGAAGACAATCCCCAAGACATCAACGGACGAGGTATCACTTTAAGATGATGCTAGTGTCATTGTTGAGTCCATCGCGAGTCCTCATAACTCCATTACATGTCATCAATTGAAGTGAGATAGACAGATAAAGGCTCTCTATCGCTCATTCCCTGTTATTTGTGACAGGACGTGTGTTGAGGGGTGTGCATTTACGTGTAGTACAGGAACCAAGTATCTGATTGAAAAAACCACAGGTACCCGGGTACTCGGCTGCCCGTTAAAGAAACCCAACCCCAACATTTTAATCTCAGAAGTTGCTGCTCACATTGCTCATAAAGGTCTGCACAATAATACTACCACATCACTGCGTCAATACAGCAAGATACAAGTGTTTACAGTCAGCTGTTTAGCTTTATAGTGTAAATTTCATTTTCACAAGCGTCATAAATGTGAACATTTTCCCATGTAGGCTACATGGGGAAAAAATGTAGCCTGGTTTTCATTTTGAAAATGCCCCACAAGTGACATTTAAATCCTTTCTTTTTCAATGTCTGAGAAGTTACTAAGTAATTTGTTAAGTTTCTTACTGGTACTCGATCCCATAATCTGGAACCAGTTCCTGCCATCAACGGTCGGGTACTAGCGACGGACATGACTGCCATACTAAATGTATATTACAAACAAATGTCCCCTTTAGGGGGATGGTTTCTACAATGATTAGATGTGGAGTTTCATGATTATAATTCATAATTTTACAGGATGCTTTAGACTGTCATTTACCAACATCCTAGTAAGGTATTTCGTAAAAACTTGGTAGTTTTATTTTTCGATGTTTGTAAATGTTGTATATTCCTTTAAATTTACTGTGATTTTATCATCTTCTATTTGTCCAGCTTAAGATGGTGCTCAACAACGCCCTGAAGCTCTCCCCCTCAAGCTCGCCGATCATAGACAACATCACCAACAACAAGAGTGAGGAGGTAGTGTTCTCAGACCCCAACCCCAAGATAGAATACAGCGGCTGCGTTACCCCCGACGAGGTGAAGATCACCGTCAAGCTGATGCTGAGTAACGCTGATATGGGCATCGCCACGCAGGCAGTGGCCATGGGTGAGTGTATTCTTGGGGCAAGACTAGACTTGTATTTCATTGAACCGGTCCCGATCGCTAGCACGCTTGGTCAAGCTGCTGTGGCAGTAGAGGACACCATTAATAAGATGGATCAACCCAGCGTTGGGAACTGTGGCACTCATCAGACCCAAGAATTCCGGGCATACCTTATGCAGGCTCATTAGCTTGAACATAGTGTGCATGAAGTATGCTCACAGCTTCCCGGGTCTGAGTGCCAAAATTCCCAAGATTTGATTTGATTCATCTTGTTGGTAGTTCCGCCTACTGCCATGGCTTGGCCACGCTTGCCTGGTATTGGGAACCGCTGCATTAGAAGAACATAATCCAAATCAAGTCTTAGACACAAGTAACCCCTCTCTTCCTACCCAAGAACTGAAAATGAGAATCTTTCATCATCAGGCCACTTCCTTTGTGTGCAGCAATTACATGCAGGTGTACTAATGCATGCCAACTTGGCTGGTGTGATTCAATTATCGATTCCGAATTTCGAATTGGAATTCTAACTCCTCTCTGAGGCTCTGTAGTAGCCATTTCTGTTCCCTTGAAGTTCATTTTTAAGCACAGAATCAAGAGTTAAAGCTTACAGCCCTTTTTGATGTCTGAGATAACTGTTGTTCTTGCCTTCCACAGCCCTCAAGGAACTGGGAACCAGCAAGATAGATGGCGTGCTTCTCTCAATGCCGGCCAGGCCGTTTGACGAAGAGCTGACCGTCGATCACTACAAGCCAGTCTGGAAGGAGCTGGAGGAACTGGTCCGACAGGACCGGATCAAGACACTGGGAGTGTGCGACATGGAACTGGGGATGCTCACGGAATTTTATTCTTGGGCGCAGGTGAGGGGTCATCGAACCATCCCTGACTGGGTAGCCATTCCAAACTGGGAAGCTATCCAAGACTGGGTGGCTATCCCCAGATGGGCAGCCATCCTAAATTGGGTGGCCATTTCAAACTGGATGGCCATTTTATAAAACTGGGCAATGATTTCAAACTGGGTGATTAATCCAACTTGGGGGACAATCTTAAACCGGGCAACCATTCTCAAACTAGATTTGTCTGGAAAAGAGAAATGATTACTGTTCTAGTAGCCACTGAAATCTCTATAACGTGACCAACATGTCATTATTTTGATGCAGTGCTTCTTAATCCGCTTTTATGTTAAATGCTATGTGGCATAATCTGAAGATAACGTTATTCACTCTTGGTTTGAATTGTTATAGGTCAAGCCCACCACCAACCAGATGAACCAAGCCTCCTGCTGTGTCATTCCTCCAGCACTCAAAGAGTTTGCCAACGAGAACACTATCCAGCTGGTCTCCCATTCAGACTCAAATGGTGAGCATCGTCCAAGTTCCTCGGCAGTCATACTCTTCGTTGTACCGGCCGTGTTACCTGGCCTCCATTTGTGGCAAAGCATTTAAAAATAAACAAACATAGTGAGCATCAAAACTTGTCAACCCCAGAAGTCTGGAAATGTTCTGGATGTTGAAATATTTCCACAAGACACTTGATGGCGGGTATTGTTTATTGCAGAACATTCTTCCTGTATTTCCATCTCAGTACTTGTGGGTAAGCACGCATCCACATAATTCTAGAGTATCACTCCAAATAGGAATGGAAGGCGTGCTATCAACAACATCTTGTGTATGGATCCCCAAAAGTTGGTCACTTGCTCTAAAAAAAAAAATAATCTACTTTTCTTTTCTGTTTAGATATTCTTCCCCCGGATGTTTTCCAAGATGTTCTGCGGACCCACTACCCAGAGCATGCCGACTCGGCCAGCTGGCATCCATCCTGGGTCCTACGCTACACAGCGCTGATCAAGAACCGTGGAATCATCACGACCAAGGGTTACATAGTCAGAGCTCAGCGGGTACTACCTCTTAACTAAAGATAACAGATGTTATGTAAATTAATACATGCTGCTACACATTTTGATATTTTGGATTTGTCAGTCACTGACATCGTATTACGGACTGTAAACTCAGTGCTATCCAGAGCTTGAAAAAGTGGGGGGTTCGAGTCCCACCCGAGAAAGCTGGTAAATTTTTTTTATTTCGCACAAGTTCTACGTATTCAGGGCTTTTAAACATTAAGCACTGGTGAAGGGCAAAATCGATTATTAGTACATGTATCTAAATTTCTGACGCAAAAGTCTGTTGTTTTAACAGAGACTCTGTAATTTGCCAAATTTTTGCATGCCACTTACATTTGTCAAATGGAATTTACCACTTAGAAGGTACATATGAGCAATGTCTTTGGCATTTTTTGAAAAACATTCATGCATACATTGTTTGTAAATTTTGATAGTGTTTGCATCTCTACAGCGTAGTGTCATGAATTGTGGCCAATTTTGGCCTATAGCATTTTACTGCTTTCAAAAGTATTGAGTTTTGCAAGCTTTGGGATATATAATTCTAATTTTTTGATCCGAGGATCAAATTATTTGTATAGAATGCCTGCAGATAATGTGAAGCTTTTTTTTGCTAAAATCTTTTGCTATTGTTGGGAATAATGCAACCAAACAGTATGCAGCCTCAATCGAAAGACAAAATATTTCATTTTGTCAAAACTTTCAACTTAAATGGATATTTGTACAGAATCAGCGAGGGGTCTATTTTTTAAAAGGTGTTTCATATGTAAATAATCCTGCTAAACATATAGAGGAAATTTGAATATTTTTGTGTAAAATACTTTTCCCCACTAATAATCATTGTACATTTTCTTTATTATTTCGATTTTTTTCTAAGCACACTTTCTCGAACTTTTTAAAACTGTTCAGTTTAGTATTTTAGGAGCAAACAGTTTGTGCCCAGTGGCTGCTCTAAACTTCACAATTTTATTAAGCCTAAATAGCCAAAGTGCAGCCTCGGGTTTTGCGGTATTTTAGGTTTAAAAACCACCTACTCTGATTTAGCTGTGAATTTAGAATCTAAACTGACGTTGTGATAGAGTCTAATCCCAAATCGAGTCGCAATTGTTTTAACACGGGATGAAAAAATGACCAAGAATGTCTCCATGGCAGATCATTTGAACCGCTTGTGATTCGGCACCAGACTCAACGACTTGGGATCGACTTAAAATTGCGTTCCCCACGCTCGTCACCAAATTCATATATTTTCCATAAATATATTTTCATTATGAGCACAAACAAATCCACTATGCGAGCAGACTTGCTACTGGTCCGCACCTTATCTGTACTGATTGTGGGGGGGGGGGGGGGGGGAACAGCCTACCCAGCGAGAACGGAATCATTGTATGGCAGCTCATTTGAAATTGTAAGGTAATAATTCGATTACTAAAAATAAACATGGGCCGATTTTTTTATTTAGTCTGAGTCTCATTCAAAATAGCTTTTGTATTGCTAGAAAAGTAGCAATTAAGAAGTGAAAATTTGTTTTCTTCGGAATTACACTAAAAAAAAGCATGGGGATTGGGGAATGTACCTTTAATTAATAATAAATTTGATTTCATCAATATTTTGTTAAAATCGGAGGAAATTGATTTATTCATTGTTCCAAACTGGAAGCTGAATGCCATTGCAAATGTTAGGTAAGGTAATTGTAAGGTAGTACCTTACCTCAGAGCCATATATCCCATTTAAACACAATTTTTGTCACAGTGTTGTCTTAGTGTAAAATGGATAAAAACATTTTTTTTAAAAACTGTATTGGTTAATTATGCTTTTAAAATCATGACAAGACTTGAATAAAAGAATATAATTTCTATATCGATTCAGTACGCTGTGTTTTTTTTGAGTGAGATTTCAGATTTTATGTCCAGTAGAAAGAGCTGGTTTTTTTTTTAGCAGTTTACCCCTAACAACTGAACATGTGGTTGTACTGGGAATCTCGAAAGGCATTTTAACCTGATGCTGAAAAATGTTGAGCCATTTGGTGACTGAAAAAAGTTTTGACATTTTTGGAACAAGTTCTGAAGTAACAAAGCATGGAGTCTTCACACTATATAGTGCTTCTTACTATTCACGCTATCCCATAATTCAGTGTCTGTGTCAGAGGTTAGGGGTCAAAGGGTCATAACCTTTGACAGCAGTTTTTGAATTGAAAAGGTGGCACCAGCCAGAGAGATGAAGAGGAGCACACAGTGTGAGGTTGCAGTATGAAGCAAAGTTTCTGCATTCTTGGCGAACTGTTGCAAGTCCTGCATTTGTAGGTGAGTGATTTGAGACATTCAACAGAAAACTTGCTGCCAATTTCTTCATTATTTCACAGACTATTTAGTGTCTTCTGCATGGTGGAGTAGAATGGTACTTGTGCAGCTACAGTCTATTTCAGCCACATACATTGTATGCTTTAGTATACATGTACCATTGGAGGTATGGCCATTCTGGCTAGTACTACATTAGCCCCATAAATGTGGCCTATTTCCTGGACTACCTCTGTAAACATAGGCCACACATCCACATGTACAAAAACGTGTCGCACTTTGCCAAATTTTGATTTTCACATTTAGGCTTAGTTTGTAGCAAGGGCGGATCCAGGGGGGGGGGGGGGCCAAAGGGGGCCATGGCCCCCCCCAAAACGAAATCAATTTTTTGTTTTGTTTTATGTGACATCGCAATAACGGCAGGCAATGAGTACACCACCATCTTTTCCTCAAAAAAAAACATTGGTTAAAGTGGTCAGAAATTGCCTCAGATCGCACCACAGAGCATCTAGAATCCAAAAAAATTTCGGGGCCCTTAAGCGGGCCCCGAACCCCACGCCGTAATTTTTTGGACCCACTTTTTGACATCGCAATAAAGGCAGGCAATGAGTACACCACCAACTTTTCCTCAAAAAAAAAATTGGTTAAAGTGGTCAGAAATCGCCTCATATCACACCACAGAGCATCTAGAATCCAAAATTTTTTCGGGGCCCTTAAGCGGGCCCCGAACCCCACGCCGTAATTTTTTGGACCCACTTTTTGGGGGGAACCAAAAAATTTTTTGGGCCCCCCCCCAAAATTGTGTTCTGGATCCGCCCTTGGTTTGTAGGGTTTTTTTGCTTTAGAAGCATACTCACCCTCTTTATAGGCTAATCAGAAAGTGCTGCCTTTTTCAGATGTCTAATTTTTGTGAAATTTTATGTTGAAATTTTGATACGCAAACGTGTGCAAATGAATCTGGAAATTTCACGAAAAATGGACATCTGAAAAAGGCGACACGGCAAAGTGCGACACGTTTTTGTACATGTGGATGTGTGGCCTATGTTTACGGAGGTAGTCCAGTAAATAGGCCACATTTATGGGGCTAGTAGTACATGTACTATTGCACATGCATGCAACAACATGTTAACCAATTATTTCACACGCGTCATGATTATTGTACTGACTTTCAAGTAATCTTTAAATTTTTTATTCCACTTTTGTCCAGCATACATAATGGTCATTGAAATACAGTTTCATTATATTAAGGTTTACAAGTATTTACATATTAACAAGTTTACTTAATGACCGTGCGTTGGGCCGATTTTAAACAATGCTTTGCTTGGATTAAAAATCATATTCAAAACAAAACATTACAACTTGATATCCTGTTTTATAAAAAAAAATCATGTAAGATTAATGTACCCTTTCTCCATGATGAGCCCAACACCTACTGAGCGCTGTCAACAAATTGAGGGTTTGAAAATCGATTACTTAAACATTTGTTACCATTTCTGGAGGTCAAAACAAGAATTGTTATAAGCTGCATTGAAAAGTGTACATCATTTGCTATTCACCTTAATATCATAACACACTCTTTGAACTTTGGATGATAAAATGTGTGATTCGGTTTGCACAAACACACGTATGGCTGCTTTCTGTGTGGACATACAACACAGCTGGTTTTTTTCTCCGCACCTTGTACAAATATTAACAGCTGCATCTTTTGAGTTGTTATATGCGCAGATTTTTACAATGTACATAGATGTACTTCGATAAACGGCAGATTTTGCCACACAATCTAGCCATGAACTGTGTCTAATGGACCTTATTCGCGAGGCAGCCATTTTCGATCGTGTTCCCTGAATCCATTTCATGAATTGTAAACTGGTGAACGGGATGGTGCCAGACTATTTTATGATTGAAGTGCGTTCCAAGCCTCACTTTCAAATTTTGTTTTATAAGTGGCTTAAAACATTAGGGTACATGTATGTTTAGTACTTCTTTTTTTTAAAAATGCATCAGAGCAGACTGGTATCAATTTGTAATGAAATTTCATTTCATTGCTTTCATTTCTACTCGCAAGTTCCAAAAATTAAGACTTTACCTCGCGTTCAATTTAATGTGACCGACTCGTGAATAAATTCTTTTGTGTAGCGTTAGGCTGTGTTGGAAGAAGACGACTGTCAACAGTGAATTTATCGTAGGCAACACAATAGGCTGGAATTGAGAAGCTTAATTTGTGCTATGGTACTTTCAGCTTCCGGTATGGTAGAGACCAATCTCGGCACGCTATCAAATCTATCATGAAGACCACCTTAAGTGGCAAAATCGTTGTGCTACATGTAGCTATTGTCCAAATAATCCATCACGGAGCAGTTGCGTGCACGGATGTGTGCATGCACAATGGTTTCTCCATTGATGGGGGCCTCATAGGTGTACAATAATCAGGCACCCGAATTTGTCTATTCCAAAGATTTGACATCACCTTTCACATTCTAGACACATGAGCACACTGGGCCGTACCTAAATATCCTTGTTAGACAACAATTTTTTAAAACGCATTGAAATTAACATTAGTGATAAAAAACAAATACAAAACAATCATTAATTCCTTTGCAACAACATAAACAACACATGTCTATGCATGGCAAGTAATACTTCAACACAGTACTGTTAACAATAACAAAAAAAAAATTGCTTTTTCTTTGTAAGTACCAAAATACACGCATCTCAGCCAAATTTTAGCTCCCCCTCCTAAAAAAAAAGTCACCAATTTTGTCCTTTCAACAATAAATTAATATCCTGCTCAAAGCAATTTGAAATTTACAGAATTATTTGCGGTATATACTGAACATGTACATTCTCAGACGGTGAATTTAAGACATTTGTTGCTATCAGGATATGTAAAAGGCATACCTACACTACACGTGGCATAGATTTGGGGGAAATTCTGGGAGACAATTCCAAATGTACGGGCAAGTCCTTCTGAATCATTCAAAGGTTTTAATATTAAAGATGGATACATATGCCGAAGTAAATTCATGGCTACGCATACACAGGGAGGTTTTGAGTGTATGGCTCCCCCCCTAAAATAAAAAAACTACTAACACCCCCCCCCTACAAAAACATGCGCGTTCTTTCACAAATCATAGTATATATTACAGCAATTCTTCTGTTTTAATACAAAGCATGGAAAAACGTTTCTTTACGATGCATGTTTATATTTGGCCATGATAAAAGACTGAACATCATTTAAAAAACAAAACAAATCTAGAACATTTCCTCCCTGATTAAATTTATAAACAAACCTTTTTATTCCTAAAAACTCAACTGATTCATTTATTAGCTGTTCACTTTTTGCTTCACCGCACAGCAATGGTGAACAAGTTGGGGCTACCTTAGCACAGATGGTTTCCCTTCACTAAATGTTGAGCATTAATAAGCCTCTGTACTGATGACGTCACACTTTGTTTACGTGTGTGCTTTCCTATGGTGCTCAGTGGACCGTGGACCCCCACTGGCTCCATAGGAAAGTGCACATGTAAACAAAGTGTGACGACATCAGTACAGAGGCTTATTATGAATTCCATTGGAACGCTGTGAATTTTTTTCAGTAATTTCTTCTTTTGTTTTACTTCGACGGCTGGGTTGGAATTCAGGCAAGGTTGCTTTACATATTACGTTTTTGCATTGCTCGCTGTGTCAAACCACGGGGAGAAGACACAGCGATCAGACATTAATTACTTCTGCTTCCTGCTTTGAAGAACGTAAAAACCTCTATCCCTTACTTTTACCAATGTGATTTAGATTGGTTGAATTAAACCACAAGTATGAGTCACGAGCAACATGGGATGAACAGTGACGAACGGAATGCCGCCTTTATTACAGCTCATTGAAGAATTGTCTCTTTTAGACTAGAGACTTGAGGATTTGTGACTGACTTTTTTAGTTAACCCTAACCGCCCTGAATCTGTCAACATCCTCTTTGCCAAAGTGGAGGAATTTAGAGGATTGAGGTTACATGGCAAAAGTGCGTTACTGATTTCGTAGGATGCACTTTGTCAAGGTGTTGGGCCGGACCTTGTGTTGTTTTTGCTCAGCCATGCATAAATATAGGCCTGGATTATGCTTGAAATCCTCCGCGCTACTCCTGGATGTCACTGGCCAAGCCTCAACATATTGACAGTCACTGCCGCAGGATTTTGCAAGATTCAGGCAGTGGTCACCCCTCAACTGCCCATATTCAAGAAATAATGGAGGAATTTGCAGGATTGAGGCTATATGCTATTTTTCCATGAGGCCAATTGGAGGATTTTGCAGGAATAGATTACAACTCTTACTGTGTGGCGAGTTTTAATTTTGAATTGGCAGCATATAAGGTGATTTGTGAATTATATTCACAGTACTTCGTAGCCAGGTCCTTCTAGGAAGGCTTCAAGAGCGTCGTATTCCGTCTTCGTCTTAGTGGATCCCTCCTCTTCCTCCTTTCTGACTGATGAGGACCTTTTCTTCTTCTTGCCCTCTCCTTTGTCCTCGCCGTGCGACTCCTTCTCCCCGTGTCTATCACCATGTTTGTCACTGTGTCTGTCGTGGTCTCTGTTCTTTTCCCTGTGCTTTTTGTGCCTGTGTTTCCGCGAGCCCTTCTCTTCATCCTGTAAGAAGGAAAGAGTCAACGATTCTTGACCCATTTGTTTTCAAAGCGTCTTAAGACACCTTGCTTTTTACCCTTTACTGTCTTTACACACTGCTGTAGAATTCTGAAAACAGCCGAAATAATCAGTCAATATCGACTCTACCATCAGCTTCAAAATGGAAATCTGTGCGGAGGCTTCCAATCTGAATTTGTTTTTGTAAAGCTGTTTAAGAAGTAAATGACGTTGTGTACTAGTGTGAATGCTGGTGAATATTTCTCTGACAATCTGAGTACGAAAATCAACAACCGGTGGGTTTGAAACATAATTGACGGTTTCAGAAAAAAAAAAATTTCACAATTCTATGAACTCCTATTGAAGGCAAATAAGGAACAGATAGCAGTGCTGATTTTGTCAGCTATGGGCTCCACGCAACAACATTTTAGAGTCACTATGTGGCCATTCTATAACACAAGGCTTACCATTGTACGCTCTGTACTTCTGCGAGCCTGTTAGAAAACTTTCACACATACATTAGCCCCTTTTCCAAACTTGTACTTGGAAGTAAACAAGCTTGTGATCTATCTTACCCTGTCCTTGTCTTTGCTTTTATGCTTCTTCTTCTTGACAGCAGAGCTGCTGGTGCTCGTGCTTGTCATGGTGTCAGTGTCACTGATGTCCTCGTCTTTGGTGACAGACAGGAGATTGTCAAAGTCATCCGCTGGCAGGGAGGGTCTTTCTGTAAAAGCGTTACCGTAAAAGAAACTTGGAATTTACCCTGAGAATGAAATGCATCTGCCATGGTGGATGTCAATTGTTTTCTAGACATAGATTTCCCCAATTTTTTATTTTTTTCTGGACTATTTCTGAAGTATCCAGGGTTTCCCGCAGGACACAAAAACTATAAAATTACTCTACCGTCTTCTGTCAATATTTCTACTGGTTTGCAAGTTGCAGGAACCTTGTGATTTCGTCCAGAATTTGAAATGGTCACCAAAATTAAAATAGAAGTTTTCAATTGGTAACACTGATACTCATGCATGTAAGCCAACACATCACTTAAACAGGGGTAGAAATTTATCTGGACACAACTCAAAATTGACCTTCTCATATTTGTATGTATACTTGGACCAACTGCCCACAGAGGCCTGTAGGGTTCAGTTTTTGGTAACGCACCAAACAGTTTTAAAAGTGTCGTGGGTTGAAAATCCACGATAATCAATTTCTTAGTCACCACAAGAAACTTTGATCAGCACTCTCAAACTGAATAGATGGAATCAGTGATTCTGTAGTGAGAGTAGTTCGCTGCAGAGCTAGAGATGACTGCTTACTTGTTAGTCCTGGTTTCTTGGTAGATCCTACACTCTCTAGGAAGTTGAAGTCTTCCTGCTGGAGTTGGATCATCGGGGAAGCTGGGGACGTGTCCTGGTCAGTGGTCTGGCTGGACGTTCTACTGACGTGCTGCCAAGAAAAATATCATCTGCTTGAAGTTGCTTGCTTAAAGTATGATTGACAATTTGTGTGTCTGGTTGAAAGTGAAGGTATATCACATATCAACACCTGTACTACATTGTATCACATTGTGTTTATTCTCAGCTGAAGCCACAAAACCATACAGTATAGGTTAATGAACTTAGTTGACATTGTACTGTATCCAGATGACCAATTTTAGTTTGTATGTAATTCACGAGAACAACTTGTCGTGTGCCCGGCAGAAGGGCATTTGTGCATATGCCCTTATGCAATAGCGCGTAATCATCAAAATGTTCCCAGCAAAAGGCATAATACTGCCTCTTTTTTCGTGAAATAAAAAAAAAAAAATCGTGAAATAAAAAAAAAAAAAAGCTCTCGCCAAGTTCATCGTGCCATTGCCAGAGCTAAAGCTATCCCCAGAAATCTAGCTCTCACGGGAAAGGCCCCTGATGCCATGGCCAAACCCATGATTCCCCTGGTTACCACGTTTCACCCCAATCTCCCTCCCCTTCGCAAAATCACTAATGACAATCATCATATCCTCCATACTTCAGATCGCCTTGCCCGCGCCATCCCCAACGGCCCCACATTGGCTTACAGGCGTCCTCGAAATCTACGGGACTTGATTGTTCGAGCTGAAGTCCCATCCTTAGATGCATCCCCTCCCACCCAGCATGGTACTTTCAAGTGCAGTTCCAGATGTGTTGTCTGCCAGATTCATATCCAGGAGTCTGACTCCTTTTCTGGCCACTCTTCTGTCACTACCCACAGAACCATTGGTAACATCACTTGTAACACCTCTAATGTCATATATCTCATTTCTTGCAGGGTCTGTGGAGTGCAGTATGTAGGTGAGACTAAGAATACGCTCAAGAAGCGTTTCTATGCCCACCGGTCAACGGTCAACACCAAGAAACTAGACACCCCTGTTGGTCATCACTTCAACCTGCCTAACCACTCCATTTCTGATATGATTTTGCAGGGCATTGAATCTCTTGGCCATCGCAAGGACTCAGTTCGCCTCAGCAGAGAGAAAGTGTGGATGAATCGTCTTCGAACTATTCAACCACATGGTCTCAACATCCAACTTGGAAATGATTAATCCTTTTTTTTTTTTTTTCCTCCATTGTCTTCTGTTACAGATAATCCATCTGGTCTTCCTTGTTTGTGTTTACCCATCTTCCCCCATCTTTCATCCCTTTCCACCTCCATACTGTTTCCCCCCCACCCCCCCCCCCCCTGCATTATCCCTTCACTCTCACACTCTTTTGTCCGTTCCCACTCCCTGTGACCTTTGATCCTTCCCCTTTCTGGTCCCTCCCCTGTTCACACCAGACCCCTTGTGGTTTGCCATCTCCCTTTGTTTCTTTGTTCTCTCATCCACCCTCCCCTGCATCTTTCCACACCTTTCCCACTTAATCCTCCTTTTGTGTTTCTTCTTTCAGCCCTGCATGTTTGTGTGCACCCCCATGTTAATGTATGCACCTCTGTCATTTCTGTTTTAGCCTCTGAAGAAGAACTTGCTAAGTTCGCAACGTCAGGCCACATTAATTTTAAGAAAAAAAAAAATCGTCAGAATTTTAAATTAATACAAGTTGTTCCAAAACTTATGATTCATACTAGGGTGTGACACATTTCAAATGATGTATATTATGTGTGGGAGAACATTAGATTCGTAATACGTGCGGGGGAATGAAACCTTTCGATGCAATTTTCTTGAAAAACTGTACGACAAATTGTACTGCAAGAATGTTTACACTTTCAATCAAGAGACAATGCTTCGCCAAAGCGGTATCAGTTTCGTCTTAATTAATCCAACTGAAAATATCTCTGTATCCATCATTACTCTCTATGAAGTTTTGATCAAACCTTAGTCCATGAAATGGATTTTGGAGGATTAAGGGTAGCATTGATGTTTACCGGATAAATTGAAACCGGTTTAAACCTACCTCTCGACTTTGTTCATTATCGCTGCCGCTGTCCGTTCTTGCCAGCTGCTCGTGCGACAGTGACGATTCCGTATCGCTCCCCCTGGACTTTGTTTTGTTATTCTTTGATTTTGCACTGTCCGTACTGTCCTTTCCTACAATGGAGTTTGAGAATACGCTCAGCCCCTTGTCCTGATTGGCCGACTGTTGGAGATGCCTCAGCGATAACGGCGCAGGTTTCAGATCTTCGTCCGATAGGTCTTGGTCTGGTGCCACGGCGGGCTCTTGGTCGCTCTCGCTGGACAGCTCCACGTCGAAGCTGGTGAGCACTGGGGCCGCCTGTTGGATGGAGTTGGTGGGTTTGAATGGCGAGACATCATCGTCTGAGTCCAGGTCCTCCTGGAAGCCTGCTACCATCGGGTTGACGTCATCTTCCTCACTGGTTTGAGAACGGAAATTATGAAACAGTAAATCAGTTTCTACAATAGGGACTTTCAAGGCCCTTGCAAACAAGACTTCCTGGACCTATCTTTAAAATTATTGAAAGGAGTCAAACTTTGTTGAATTGAGCTTTAAGTAGGTTATGGCTCAGTCCATTAACCGCCGCCACGTTTCACTTGTTCATTAAGGATATACAGTGCAGTAAAAGATTGGGTTATCACAGATGTGCTCCCATTCGAGACCACGTGTCATCAAGGCCACATTAAAACTGACAAAACCCAAGTGTTCTCTCTCCAACTTTTCTTCTAACCGTACAAGAAGTTTTCTTGAGTATGCAAAGGCACTCAGGACAGTGTATCTGAATTCGGCAAGTGAGCTGTTGGGAGTGTGCCTGTTCCTGAGGCTGTGAGGTAATGCATCATGCTCACTTTTTTTTTTAAAAATAAATGAAAACAAAAAAGGAATAACCAAATGCAAGAGTTCTGAACCTGTCACTCTGTCCTGCAGGAGGAGTAGGTTTAGCAGCCTGCACTGGTTTCTTCTTGGCTTTCCCTTTCTTGCTCCCTGGTCCATCAACATCGTCCAGGAAGCCTCCAAGACCCTCCCCTGGAACAAACTCGTCCACGTTGGAGATGGGAGCAGTCTTGACCTCGGCCACTGTCTCCACGACTAACAGCAAGATGAGATACAAGGAGAAATGACATGAGATGGTTACACTGCCTCAGAAGGAAAGACTGGTTATTTTTCAGCATGGGGGACAGTATGAGTTGCTGTCTAAGCGCTGGAGATGGGAGCAGTCTGGACCTGGGCCACTGTCTCCACGACTAACAGCAAGATGTGATGCAAAGAGAAATGAGATGAGATGAAGAAACTGCCATAGGAGGAAAGAATGGTTGCTTGTCAGAGTGGGGGGACAGTATGAGTTGCTGTCTAAGTGCAACAGACCAATCAACAATCAGTGTGCCTCTGGAAAGCAACAGAAATATTGTCATAATAACGACAGATGGAAAAAAGCCCACCTGCATGTTTTTCGTCCTCTTCTTTCACTCCTTGTTGCACCCTGGATTCGCCGCCTCCGAACCACTTGGAGAAACGCTGCGACAGAGTCGCGGCGGATCCCTGCTTGTCCGAGGGTGGCGTCGCCTCTTTGGGTCCCTTGGTCTGTTCTGGAGTTGGTGTGGTTTCCTTGCGGGATGTGGTGGGCGTTGAGGTCGGGGTGTTCTGTTTGGGTGTGGTGGCTGGGCTGAGCTTGACCGGGGTGGTACGATTTGATCCTTGCTTGCTGCCTGGGGCTGTGAAGTGACGCCAAAAAAATCTCCAGGTCAAACGATCCTTTGACAATTACTGACGAGCATTTTTATTTAGGTACACGGATATCTGAGCTTTTGTTCAACACCCTGTTCTGAAGACACTTTTCAGACACCTTGCTTTATTTGCATGTTAGATAGTGTGGACTTTAAAGAGGTTGTGGAATGCTCGAAGACATTTCCGTCATTTTTTGGGTATATGTAGCCTTAGGTGTGATGAAATAAAAACGACTATTGTTTCTGTCATGAAATGAGTACAAAGGGTACTTTTGAGAGCTGTTTTTCAGGTCCTGTTTCGACCCGAACGTGCAATTTGTGTAAAAGTCGTCGTTGCGGGCAGCAAACAAAACACAGTAAATCGTGACGTAATAAACAGGACTCGTATGCAAATTGCACGTTCGGGTCGAAACAGGCATGACAAAACTTGAAAAACAGCTCTCAAAAGTACCTTTTGTACTCATTTCATGACAGAAACAATAGTCGTTTTTATTTCATCACACCTTAGGCTACATATACCCAAAAAATGACGGAAATGTCTTCGAGCATTCCACAACCTCTTTAAACAGCCCGTTTGATTATTTTCAAGTGCTGGTTTTTCCAACCGAGAGCTTGCTTTACCGTTTAATTTAGATTGTAATACTTATATTAAGCACTTTTCAAAACCTCCACAGTGCAACAAAAAAACTTGATTAACAAGAGTAAAAAAAATTACACTTCTTGAATCACAAAGATATTGCAAAATTACAGCAAACAGTTTATGTCGACGCCGATCCATAATTCTGTGCTTTCCAAGCTACAGAATACCCATCGAACACACATTTTTTGGAGAACACTCCAACTTGCCACTGAGAACACTGATATTTTCTTCAACAAGATATGGTGTTAGAGGCATTCAATGATGATGTTAACTCACATGGTGACGTTTGAGGCGCTTGGCCGTTGGGCACTGACGGGCTGAGCATTGTGGGCGTGGTCGCTTTGGTTTTCTTCTGCTTTCGTCGTTCTTCTAGACTCGTCAGGTATCTGAAGTGGGGAGAGTGCAAGGGAAAATGATCAATGACTGAATCTTGGCCACATTTTGAATTCGGAATATGAAAAAAAAAAAAGGAAATTTCAAAAATGATCTTGAAGATTGCTGAAAAAATAGCAGGCAAAGGGCCCAGAAGGGAAACAATTCCAAAGTCCTTTGGTTGAGTTGCAATTCTTCACATCTTTCCTTCCTCGACTCTAACTCTGTATGAATCCAGTTGCAATGTCTAATTCACGCACATATTTTTTTGTCTCAAAGAACTAACTGATATATTGGATGCACATATTTTTTTTAGTATGGTCATTCCTTTTTGTTGTGCAAAATTCAGCCAAATTAGGACAGCCATTATTCAAAATCTGACTACAGGATCCATAACTATAGAATGGGTATACTACAGCAGTCCTTCTGATTTGAGGCGTGCGATCACACCCCCACGCCATTGCACGCCTAAAAGCCTCCCGAGAAGTGCGAATAATTGCACCCCTGAATTTCCCTGGATCACAGAATCACACAACTAGAAAATCACACATCTAGAAAAACCACACGCCTGGAAAAATCCAGGTGTGCCTTTTTCCACACACCTGTGATTTTCAAATCAGAAGGACTGCTACAGATTGGCACTTACAGATCATAGTTTTGGTCGATTGATTCCTTCCTCATATCCAGCTCATCTAGTGTTGCACTTATCTCCAGTTTATTTGTCTCTAATTGCCGTAGTAATGTTTCTCTCTGTGGTAAACCAATAAAACAATGAACTGATTAAGGGCCGATTTCATAAAGCTGATTTCATAATTTTTTAAGCTAGAAAAACAATTAGCAACTTTATGTGCTCGGAAAAAATAAGCTGAAATCAGTTCCCCCAAGTCTAAAAAAAACTAATTAAAGATAAACTTCAGTGAGAATTACAAAACTAAGCCTTGAAAGGACAAACTGATTGGAAAGCTTTCATTACAACAACCTGTGGATTGTTCAATTGTACAGCGTTTTTTGTTTTTTAAATAATTCATATTATTATTACTATTATTGTTATTATTTGTAGTACCTGGAGTTGTAGGAATGGAACGTTGAAGAATGTGTGTAGATATTTCAGTCCAAATCCATTCTTCATGGAGGCTTCTGCGAGTAGTACGGTGGCAGAATCTGGTGGTCTGATTATAGCAAAAACGAGATTAAAAATAGAAAAATTTACATGATTATTTTTTTCCCCATGCATGGTCTGCTTTGAGGTGCATCATACAAACATATTACAAGAAACTTGTCTCTTTAACTTGTTTCAACTGAAAATTGTGACCGGCTCCACAAAAGGGTATTATGTCGCAAAAAAGTGAAATTTAGTTATAAACATGGTTGGAAAGCCCACAATGTAAGCTTTCATTTGGTATATAATAGAGCTCCATAGCCCCTCCCAGTCTGGAGATATGACGTATTTGCATATCAATTACTTCCTTAACCCTAACCCTCCAGGGTATTTTGGCTAGAAACCCTGCCAAATGCAGCAACATGCAACACTTCTCTAAGTGACAAGCCTGCTCAGTGTAGCAAGATCCATCAGGTCAAAAGTCCCAAGGCCAAACTGCCTCAGAGTCTGTGGTCCCCCAACGCAGCAGGATACAACTTGGGCATTGTTCTATGGGACTAGCTCTCGGTGTCTCAGAAGTGGCCTGGTTTATGCACTGGTGTTGGTAGCATTTTCCATCAAAGTGCACCAAACTTTTCCACCTGATGCAGTGTGCTGCGTCTGGCAGGGTTAGGGTTAAGAGTTCAAATTGCACAACTGAGAAAACAGGCCTTGAAATAGCTGGCTTTGTTGTTGAACAACAGAACGATGCACATAAAAAGGTTGTTTCTTCCACTTTGTTCATCAAAATTCAAATTTCTGTGAATGAAACCTGAAACTGTAGGTATTAAAAATGTCATTCATGACAAAAAGAGAAAATCACATTTTGACAAAATTTTCACCCTCTCAATGTTGAGCAGGCCATTACACAATAATGCTCAGCGCGACTTAATACTCTTTTTTGTGGAGCCGGTCACAATTGTTATCTTATAAAGGCAGTTATGGACGATTTGTTTTGGACTTGCACTATATTTGTATGGATGTTTTGTTTTTTGCTAGGATGCAACCTCAATCCTGCAAAATCCTCCAACTGCCTCCATTTAAAAATTGCATACAGCCTCAATCCTCCAAAATCATCCGCTTTTTCTTGAATGTGGTCCTTGCAGGGGTGACCACTGCCTCAATCCTGCAAAATCCTCCAGCAATCACTGTCAATAATGTTGAGGCAGAGCTAGTGACATCCTAGAGCAGTGCGGAGGATTTCAAGTATAACTTCAAGCTAGGCTTAAATGTATGCATGGCTGAACATGAACAACGCAAGGTCCGGCTCAAGACCTTGACACAGTGTATCCTCCAAAATCAGCCACACATTTTTGCCACATAGCCTCAATCCTGCAAAATCCTCGATTTTGCGAAGATGATTTTGGAGGATTTGGGAAGGTTAGGGCTACGGAATATTGATTAGGCATAAAAGTCATTGATTTGGAGAGAAAGAAAACTCCAAAAACTTTCTTATTAACAGTCGACGATTTCAAATCACTATTCTTCTTCTATTTTTCAACTTATGGTCCAATAACGATTCAAGACAATTCAAAAACAAAAAAAGACTTCCAGAAATGAAGTTTAATAGTATTCCAAGATGTACTACCTTTCATAGTTTTCAATGAAGTATCTCATGGTGTCTTCGGCAACTGTTCGGTGGTCTGCCATGTCTCTGAAACTTGCCAAGACTAGAACTGGAATGTGGTTTGGTACAGAGGGCAGCTCACGTTCTACATATCCCCAAGTCCTGAAAGTAGTAGAAAAGTTTATCGTGAGTGAAATTTGATTTTTTTTGGAAATTTGTGACTTTCTCCCCAAACATTGATAGTACCATGCCAAAGTATCAGACAATTACGTATACATCTTTCAAAATTGCTTACATAACAGTCAGTTAAAGTGTTCTTTTTGTAACAAACTGCTTTGACCCTGACCCTGAAGGAATTGTTGCCACAAGCTGTTTTTATTCCTTCAAAAACCAATTGCATTCTCTAAAATGATGGAAAAATTTCACTTTAAGTCCGATGCACAGCATTTGTGCCTGGGCCTTGCAGGTCATGCAGAATCATGCGATGCATACATTTCTGAAAATGGGTATTTAAAAAAAATGTTTAAAAGAAAATTATAATTGTTCCAGTATTTTCTCAAGCGTGGCATGTCAAATATTAGTATAAAAATCAATTTGGCAAGATTAGAGTAAAAACTTAATTTTAATTCATTTGCAAAATTGTGTCTATTTCCATGATACGTTTCAGGCAAAAATAATTCTGAAAAAGATGATGTTTCTTTCTTTGAGAGGGTTAGGGTTAATATTAACAAGACAATGGTTGACAAAAATGCTGTATCAGATAGGCCTTCAGACTTACCACTGTTTTGTTACGTCTACCATAAACACCACGCCATTGGCTCCCTTGTACACATTCAGAAACCTTGCATCTAGGCACGGCTCATCTGTCTCGTCCAAATCCTGGGAATTCTCCAGTTTCAGGCTGTCCGATTTCTTCTTGGCTTTGCCTTTGTCCACAACGTCCCAGACCTCCACTTTGACAACGTCATCAGTCGCTGTTAAGATCAGGATAATAATTTTAATTAAAAATATCATTATCTTGGTGGATTTTAAATGATCTGGGAGGATGAGGGTTTTTAATGATCTTAGTACTGCCAGAACCAATATTAAGATTTTTGACGATCACCTTTGTAATTCCACTGTATACTGCCAACTTGTATCTCTGGTGTTGGGATATACTCCTCCTTAAACCTTTCTCCCTGCAGCCGGCGAAACAGTGTTGACTTGCCTGTGTTGCGGTCACCTTTAATTATTATTTTCACTGAAAGACAAGAATATTTTTTATTAATCAGAGCTTAGAGAGAATTTAGTATCCAGATGCCACTCCTCTGCTTGTGTACAGACTATGAGAGCCAAGTACATTTTCTAACAAAATTGGAAATGTTTTTCAGTCCCAGATTCATGTCTTTTCAACATTATTGCTATTGGTTCCTTTTCTAATTTCAGTTTTAGTATACGTTATGATAATTGCTTTGCCATTGTACTTGTTTCATTTGTTGGTTGAATAAATAATAATAATAATGTTTGTAATGACTAACCTTGATTGAGATAATTTATGATGAAAAAAGTGGAGTCAGGATGCAACATTCCCATAGCTTTAAAGCAAGTGCTAAATATATTAATTTCAAAATAATACTTACAGTATGAAGGATTACATGATAAAATTAGTATTTTTTAACAGTACCACATAAACTTATTAATCATAAATTGGCATCAGAACTGGTGTTTACATTTTGTCAATAATAAATACTGTTTTAAACTTTAAACTTACTGTTATACTGCACACCCTTGGCAAATCTCCTCTGCAGATTCTGTCCCATGGCTTGCATGCCCGTGGGCATACTGCCCTTGCCGACATGTTGCTCGTTGGTAACAAATTTCTTCAATGCGTTAAACATCTTCTCGGCTTGAAGTCAATTACTAGAAACAACACTTGTTGTATAGTTCTGACTGAAACAGGCCCCTTTAAAAAAGGCTCTCTGTCGTCCCAACACTTGTTAGAATTTCAGGACAGTTTTGGTCTTACGTAAGCAGTTTTTAGAACACTCGCTGGTTACTTTTTCCATCTCCTAATCCTATTTTTGCAGAAGTGCAGTGACACTGACCATGCACTGACAGACGATCACAAGTCTTGTGTGTGCAGTTTCTAATGCAAAATATTAGCAATAAAAGCACACATCCCGACTCTCTTCATGGCTAGTCATTGCGGTGAGAAATCTCTTCGTTCGCCTAAATAGCTTTTATCAAGGCAAAGCAAGGGCTCCAAGTGGACAAAGATTCACATGGGATTAAATTTCAAGGAAAATTCGTGGGGAAACTGTCACGTAAACAACCGTACAACTCGACGAAGCGATCAGCTGCCGAACAACAACCCCTATCACCGATGAACACATCCGCCTGACGTCATATTTAGTTCCATTTGCCCGTTTTTGGAGACAAAATGCTCTTCTTTCGAACAATTTTGAATCTAATGCCATTAAAATTTAATTTCATAGACGTCTGGCTGCTAAAATGTTCCATTTAGATTAATTTTCAGTGAAATGTAGTAATAATGTATGCGAAACGATGTGATGCGGTTTCTACAACCCCTGAACTTTCACTTCCGGAGGTCGCAAACTTTGACCGTTTGCGAGGGGTCATCAGTTTAGTCTGTCACCCATGATAGTGCTACACAAAATACTGCTTCTATAAGCGTGGATACGTCTGAGATCAAGACCAAAGCATGTGTTGATTTTCTGCTTCGCGGAGCAGACGACCACCACACTCCAGTGCCATCTTCATTTCGCTCGTCCGAAAAGTTGACTCTAAGTTTAGTTAGTTCCTGCGCCGGCCGCACTGGAAAATGTTGAAAATTTGCAATGCATGTCGACAGAAAATATTCTGTCAGCAGCTTAAACGGAATCTTCACCAAACTAAGAAGGTTCTTTGTTCAGAAGTTGAGATACACCACAACAAGAAAAGAGGTGAACGGACGTCGCGTTGAATTGACTGACACTGTGACAGCCACAACACAGCAGGCGTTAATAATGTTGTGCCCATTCTTGAAAATCACGCATTCTCGAAAATGGGCATGCACATTCTCGAGAATGGGCGCGCATTCTAAGAATGAGCGCCCATTCTTAAGAACGAGCACGCGTTCTTAAGAATGAGCGCTCATTCTTAAGATTGGTTGGGAATATCACGTGCACAATTTATTAATTTTGCCCAATCTTAACAAACATTGCACGACATAATTATGTTAAATGAATTGTATAGCGGTTAAAAGGGAAACAATTCATATATTGAGGAAAGAAAATGTGCTATGCTTCTGTACTCGTATAATTACGATAATTTGAATCAAATTAAACCTGTTATTATTGCTTTTTTCTGCCCACTATGGGAAGTTTTGTAATAACGGAGGACTGGGAACTAGTCTGGGAAGTGCTTTGTTTAGGCTAGACAAGTTACAAGTCCCTGCATGTATCATATGCGTGCCACAAAAAAAACCGATGTCCAGAAGCTGCCAGAATTGCTCTTTTGACTAGATAGAATCCAGCTCTGCGACGTTATGGTGGGATGTGAACAATAAATTGGTGGCAATTTAAATGGGAAATAGCATTAGCACTATGGGATGTCGCAGTATTCATTCTCATTCTTCACATTCTTCATTCTTACGTCCCCCCCCCCCCCGCTTTTATTATCCCAAAAATCAGAATTCTTTGCACTAGTATTATTATGTCTCTTATATTTTCCCGGTCCCCCCCCCCATATTAATACGCCTTTACTTATCATATCCACTCTACTTTTCAGCGCCTGGCGTTGCAACAGTATAATTATTGAGAATCAGTGAACGAGGATTCAGCTAGACTTGCCAAGCGCAGCCGGTGCTCGGCATCGACAAGACCGTTATCTTGTCGCGCATTCTCGAGAATGTGCGCTCAATCTGGAAGAGTTATTTTTTGCCAAGATTGAGCAAGGATCCAGTTGCACATTCTCAAGAATGTGCATGCCCATTCTCGAGAATGCGTGATTTTCAAGAATGGGCACAACAATAATACTTAATAGGCAGAAGGGAAAAAATGTTGCAACTTGCAAGTGCAACCTGCCGCTACGTCAGCGGTTGTGTACAAAGTCTATGGAGAGTCAGTACTCAGTAGGAAGTACTGTATTTCCTAACAAAACTGGAAATGTTTCTCAGTCCCAGATTCATGTCTTTTCATCATTTTTGCAATGACTGACCTTCATTGAGATAACGTGAAGAAAAAAAGTAGCGTCAGGTTGCAACGTTCTTTCCAGCAGGATGTTGTATTGTATAAACTATAATAAATTATATGGCGAAGTAAAAAAAAAACATGTTTCTGGTCCCCGCCCACTTCCTTTTTGGAGGCCGCCTGGATTATTTTATTATTTTTTATTTTTGAAAAATGCAGTTAAAAAACACCGAAAAAGCCCACAAATTCATCGGAAAATAAATACTTGCGAAAAACTGTTCATTGTAGACCAATACAACTCTAAATGACACTGTAAATATGTTCAGTTCTCTTGTCCAACTTGTCTTTCATTTTAAAAGTGTCTTTGTACAAAAGTGTCTTTGTTCATACATAGAATTCGGATTCTTCAGCGCCCACTTTTCATCATGCCCATCCCGGCAAATTCTCAGCCCAAAACTTGCCTTTTTTAGTTTAATTAAGCATAGTGGATATTTGGCCAATCCTGGTTTTCTTCACGGAGGCTTATCTCTGTTTGGCTGACATACGATAATGTCATGTTGGCTATGCTGGCTTTCTTTTTTATAGTATAAAAATGTACTTTCTAGATAAACATTAAATGCAAAAATTTGTCAAATTTCATTCCAAATTCCTCTAATCCTCTTCTAAAATCATCAAAAGAGAAAAATGCAACGTTTGCTCAATCAAGTTTAAGACTGAAGCTTCAAACTATGAAGACATTAATAAGTTATTATGGAAATTAAAGTTGACATAAAAGCAAATTTGTCAAATTTCATTCCAAATTCCTCTTCCAAAATCATTAAAGGAAAAAACTGCAAATTTTGCTCAATCAAGTTTAAGACTGAAGCTTTAAACTATGAAGACATTAATAAGTTATTATGGAAATTAAAGTTGACATAAAAGCAAAGGGCAACGCGGAGAATGAAAATATTGGCACATAATGGAAAAGAAAAGGTGCAGTTTAAAAGACTCAGTGAAAATATTTTTTCGAAATTGACTTTGCCGTTCCAGCTCCAAACAGCTTTTCCTGGAGAACGCATTCATGTGGGGAGCTATCGGCAGCCCAGGTTGGAGAGTCGGTCATGCTATGTGGATGGATCCAACACAAACGCTACAACTTTATGCTGACTGTGAGGGACTCCTACGGCGTTACGCAAGTTGTGCTTCCAAAAGAAGAGAAGGTGTGTGGTCAATGTGGTGTTTTGTAGTCAAGACCCTTCCATACTGGGTAACCAGATTCAACAGCAGGCAATTTTTGCTTGACCCTAAAGGCTGCAGCTTTCCATACTCCGACAGAGTCATGAACTGACTTAACCATTGACTGAGTCACTGACTGACATTCATTGACTGACTGAGTCTCTCCCCGAGTCTCTGATTGACTGAGTCACTAACTGACTAAGTCATTGACTTACTGAGTCAGTGAGTGCAAAAAATATCCTTAAACTGAAACCTTCTACTTGGTGACCTCCTGTCAAACTAAATTGGGTCCAGGTTCACGAGGCTAACCTGGTCTTGTTTGTTTGACTCTGTAATCTTGGGGTGAACCCAAAACGTTTTTACTCGAGCTGTTGTAATTTGTTGGAGTCATCAGGCTGCATGCTGAACTGTTCATGGATTTTGCTACATTAATGAGGATAGGAGTCTTCTCATAATGCACAAATGTTGGCTTGTGACAATCGTGTTACATGTTTACTTATTTTCTGTTCTTAAATCTTATTTTGCCAGTCAGTCAGTTAGTTACCACTTTTGATGTTTTTTTAATTTTTCTTCTCAGGAGTCACTTTCCACAACGGATACAGTAGACGAAATCCACTTAGAATCCGTTGTCATGATAACAGGAAAAGTGCAATTGAGACCAGAGGGCCTAACAAACCCGGTAAGTGCTGTTTTGAAGACATTTGGCATATAGATTCTTATAAATTTTGATTGTGGTTATTAGCCATTCATAGTCTTTTGTCAATGAGGTTAATTCATTCATTCATTATTTTCAAAAACTGGAACACACCCCAACCCTCATGCAGGGAGACTTACATCAAAATCTTAGAATATTGTAGATTGACAGAAGAAAACAAGGTTAATAAAATGCATAAGAAACTCTGATTTTCCTTAAACTTCCAAAGACGAAACTCAGTGACCCAATTCATTCATTCGTCTGATAACTCATCCAGGGAATAAATCAATTGTAAAAATACCTGAAGATATCTTTCTTGTCTTGTTTTCAGGGCCCAATTCCTTGACCCATTTTCATTGCTTTGCAAATTTAAATGCAAAGCCAAAATCAGCTGGTCACATAAGGTCAACGTCCTGGAGCTGTTAAGAACTGAAGTTTGCTTAAGCATAGGAAATTTGCAAAACCTGGGCTCAGTGTCATGACTCTGTTTTGAAGGCACATCATTTACAGCTATCCCAAAAATAACTGATAAAATTATTGAAGAAACGCTTCAAGTTTAAAGATAGTAATGGCACTAAACTGTCTGTGAAATGATTCTTTCTGGCATGCTGTCATTTTGAAGAAAACAATAAAAGGTCATTTCCAAAGATGCGTCTAAAGACGCATTTTTGGAAATTTCCATGGACGCATTGGCTTCTTGATCATTGTTTTTGATCTGAAACCTCTCAATATGCACAAATTAAGGCCTTAATTTCAGCTTTTTTTTTTTTTTTTAATTTTGTTCTTCCCATCAGAAAATGGCAACTGGCGACATTGAAGTTGCAGCTAGTGAAATCAAGGTGTTGAATCCCAGCAAGGAAAAACTTCCCATACATATTAATGATTTCCAACAGGTAAAAAAACAATGGTTTAGTTACTTAGTTTTCAAAACCAAATCTCAACAGATTGCTTAATATTCGTTTCTGTATTTGTTTCATAATAAAACTTATGCATCTATTTATTTTCTAGGAGAACTGCTCACTGTAAATAAACGAAATGAAATAAGTTATCTGAGTTTTTTTCATAACATCCATGATCCTCAGGATGTAAAACAAGAGTAGGTTCAACTTTATTTGTTAACATATAGGATTGTAATTGTTTTAAACTTTACAATTGTCTCAGAGAATCATAGTGAATAAGTAAATTAAGAGAATGCTGTAATTAGATTGGGGTTTTTGTGAAATTGTTTACAGCACATGTAAGGAAGGTATTTAAGAATCATATTCTTGTTTTCAAAACAACAAAAAATGTCAAAGATATGCTAAGGCCCCAAAAAATAAAAATAGTCGGTCTCTGGTCAGACCAAAGTTTCAGAATTGATGCGGTGATGCGTTTTTATTTTTCTCTTCTGCTTTTTTTTCAAGCTTGGATTGTACAGACAAGAAGGGTACTATTTGCTTTTTTTGTGTCCGCATATACTTTGGTGTCCTCCATCATTAACCTTGGTGCCCTCCATCATTTGGAGTTGAGCTCCCCACAAAAACTTGAGGCGGTTCAAAAAAAGAGGGTGCTGTTGTAGCTTCTAAGGAAAATTTGAAAAAAAAAAAAAAAAATTAATGCATATGATCAGAGTCGACGTGCGCACTGACCAGAGACCGATTAATTGACCTTATTTGGAGAACCTTAGAGATAATTTGCTGACATAAGGGACCGTGACCATTCAGCCCTGGTATGAAAAGGCCCCCCCCCCCCCCCCCCCCCCCCGGTACCTTGTCCGGTCCAGAGCCAGTCCGGTCTTCAGCCCAGTCCGGTCTTCAGCCCAGTCTCGTCCGGTACATGGTCCTGTCTGACCAGAAGTTTTGAAGTCAGTCAGGCGCATCAATTTATTGCCCTTTGGAGAACGTTCTGAGCAGAACAATAGCAGACTTATCAGATTAAAGATAAAATCCTTCCAAACGCTTTGGTAATTTACGGTCCCATTGTGCGCGAAACCACATGGCAGGAGTTTTGATCTGCGCCGACAAAAGTGTTCTATTGTTTCGCACTGAGAGATGAAAACCACAAGCAGGTTTCTTCTGGGATATATTACATGTGTCAATACTTGCAAACAATAGACCCCAGGATAGAGGAGTTCCTGATTAGCAACCGGACCAGCTCCTGGGCCGGTAGCTGGGACAGTACGAAAGGACTTCTACGGAGGGGACAAGCTTAACGGGGGGGCCCTTTTCATACCGGGGCTGAATGGTCACGGTCCCTAAATGACAGCTTCTTTGCTATGCTTGACAGGCCAAGGAATCACTGCGGATGCAGTACAGATACCTGGATCTTAGGAGTAACAGGATGCAGCACAATCTCCGGCTCCGGTCTGAGATTATCATGAAGATGAGGGAATTCTTATGTAATCAGCATGGTAAGGAGATATTGGCCTCAACAAAATAGGACAATGACATTAAGAGGATGAAACGAGCATCTCACTCAAAAACAAAAACTCAGAGTTAAAATTGTGTTTAAAAACATCAAAAGTGCTGAGTTTCTTGATAAATCCTATAGAACTGGTTTGATATTTTGAAAGTAAAGAGTTACTCTGTTTTGGGGTTACACCTCTATGTTCCGACACCCCTATGTTCCGACTACGCATATTCCTATTCCTAACCCTAACCCTAACCCTAACCCTAACTTAACCGGGAGTAACACAATCTAGGTTGTCGGAACATTGGGGTGTCGGAACATAGAGCAGTCACCCTGTTTTGGTGTTTCAATCGTTCTCAATATTTGTTGTGATAACTTAACCAGGAATATGTTTAAGATTTGCACTTGCTACAATATATTGCCCAGGAGTGAGATTCTGAAGTGGTCTTTTTGAGGGAATAATACAGAACCAAGTTCATATTTTTAAAAACATTATTACAATTACCTTGCGATTCTTTTTTTTTTATCAATATAATTTTGTTTCCATAATATATTTGTATAGTATCTCAATTCATGTATGTGACGTGGTACATGTATGTCAAAACCAGGTAGAATTGGGCGAGGCTACCGATGGAAAAACGGCTGCAAAATGACATGGATAACTTTTCAGCAATTTTGAGGTGTTTTTTTTAATGTGGGATGCTACTTTTAATGTTTAAACTGAGTTTTTCGTTGACAGGTATTTTGTAGAACACTTTTAGAGAGGCATGTCATTTCACAAAATGACACTTTTTTCACGATTTTGTTCTGAAATGATACATAATATAATAAGTGTGGCATTTTGGACAGTCCGATTTCAAAATTTATTAAACTCCACTTTGGAATATCCAATTTTCAACAAAAAAAACCAAAGCGGCAGTTGAAAGAGCAAGGTCTATATTTTAAAAATATTGCAATCACTCAAACTTGAGTTCTTGCCCCAAAGTGCCTGATTTGTTGACATACCACAACATGTCTATTTTTATCCTTGCAGTACCTCATTTCTGTACTAGCTAATCTTGGTGTCAACCATCTCATAGTCCAATTCTATTTTCCTTCAACTCTTTGTTTTCAGGTTTTGTTGATGTGGAGACGCCCTCTCTATTCAGAAGAACCCCAGGCGGAGCCAAGGAATTCTTAGTCCCGACCCACCAACCGGGGAAGTTTTATACCTTGCCTCAAAGCCCTCAGCAGGTCAGTGAATTATTTGAATGATTGTCTCCATAATTAGGTCATTTAAACAAAACTGAATTTTTTGACAATGATTCTTCTGTAGATCACATAAACCCTCCTAGTCTTTGGCACTTCACAACCCTTCGAGTTACTTTTGCCTCTACAGTTAGCACCCACACTAGAAATTTCTTTAAGATAATCATCTATGGAGTATGGATGTAGCACTTCAAATTCCTGCACAGTTCTTTAGTGTGGTATAAGCTCAGCACCCGATTTCATCAAACTCTTCGTAACTTACGATGCATCGCAGCGATGCGACGCGTCGTATCTCTACGATGCGTCGCAGCTGCGACGCGTCCTGCGATCCGTTTCACAAAACACGTCGTAAGTGCGACGCGTCGTAGGTGTATTTATAGCACAACTTGGTGACTGTTTTATGTATTTAGTCAGCGTACAGTAAATAGTCGTCTGATATTCAACAAAGAGTCGTCAGATCTCAGCTTGAAATTTGTTAAAACGTAAAACAAAATGGCGGCCGTGCGATGCAATTTTGAAGGAAAACAAACTCTCATCATGCTCATTGGACTGTATAGCTACTTTGAAATTTCAATTCTAATATTCCGGTCTAATTCATAATTATTCAATTGAATTTTCTATTTACAACTTTACACACATTGCCTCGGTAACATAATCTCGTTAATGTAATGTTTATGGCATAAAACTGGTTTAGAAATGACTCTTCTTATTTTGCGACGACCACTAGACAGTTTTAACTTGCGACGTGTTTTAAGCCGTTGTCAAGGAACTTACGACGTGTTCAATACATCGCAACTTTCGTGAAATTGAAGATACGACGCGTCGCGAGTTGCGACGTCTTACACGTCGTAACTCGAGTTGCGACGCGTCGCAGCACTTCGTGAAATCGGGTGCAGGGCAAGCAGGCAGATTCAGTCACGCTTCACTTCTCTCCACAGTGCTGTTTTTTTTTCGTGACAAGGTAACTTTAATGCCTAAGATCCCTTCACCTGACACTGACCTGCAGGTTTTTAAAGGGTTTTACATATTGCTGTGAATATTTACTTCCCACTGGGAGGGCTAGCGTAACCACCCTTGCAAATTTTGACTACAAAATTCCCCTAATCCGCCCAAGCAAGGGTGAATCGGTAAAACTGATGTTGGTATGGATTTCATCTCATTTTCATTTTGACAATTTCCAGGTGAGTATTATGTTCTGCTGAAATTGTAAATATGCAAACAGAAACATGTCAACATCAATTGCTCTTATAAGAAATGATGAATTATAAATGTTACTTCGATCTGAAAAATAGGTTAACTGCTTTGCCCTGAAGCAAGATGTGGCGAGAATTAATATTCCAAAAAGAATTTTTTTTTTTTGGTTACATTTAATCTTGCCCAGCTGGGATCAAGTCCAGTTGAGGTTTATAGTTTACCATAGTACGACTAACTTCGCTCGAACTCAGGATTGTCGGACTGCTCTAGTTGACTGTTTGGAACCAGACCACTAGGGCACGGTTCCATCACTGGTTCCCAATAGTCACATGCATCATTGTGCACAGCGGGGAGCCAGGATCAAGATGTTTCGTGATGACCAGCTGACCAGCATTTGACAGGAAGTGTTCGCAGGTAACTAATTAGTGCGCAGGCGTACGTTACATCACGAATCAACCTGTAGTTGATCTTTGGTCCTCGCCAAACTTGCTCTTGGTGGCACACCTGTCAGAGAGATTGTTTTTGATGAAATCCCGGTGGTTTCCACAGTTCAAACAGTTGTTGATGGTGGGAGGGTTAGACCGCTACTTCCAGATTGCCAGGTGCTACAGAGACGAAGGCAGCAGAGCAGACAGGCAACCAGAATTCACACAGGTGGGTTCATTTGTTGGTATAAATCTGTTGGCTCCATTAAAACCCCTCCCTCAACTCACCCTCCCCCTCCCCCTCTACCTACCCCCACCCCCCCCCCCACAAAAAAAGGAAAACAGGACCAATGGCTACCAAAAGTTAAGACGGTAGTGTCCTTGACTCCAACTCTCAGAGTTTTGCCAGGAAGCTTGTTGAATCTTTCAAAATCACCACCCTCCAAAAATGTTAAAAAAAAAAAAAGATTAGGGTGAACATTTCTCAGTTTTGTATGGGAGAAAGTGGCATCAACACTAGGAAGCTTTTGGGAGGGGAGTGGTCACTCGTGAGAGAGATACATCTACTATGGCCTTATGAATAAGTTTCAAGGGCGAATGGGGAGGGGGGGGGAGGCACACAGTGGGAGCCATGGCCCTACCTAAACAGGTGATTTATCTTTTGTTTTGAGTGTTTTTAGTAATAAAAGGAGTAAAAGCAAATGAAATATGTGAAATATGAATAAAAATAGAGAGGCCCCTAGTGTGAAATGAGATTGAGCACAATAAACCTTTTGCAAAACAGCTGGTTGGCCCCCACCGCCACCACCCCCCACCACCCCCCACCACCCCCCAATCCCCTGAAATGTTGCTTCTGGATTCATCCTTGCTAACTTCTCAGGTAGACATAGAAATGTCTTTCACCAGCAAGGAGGACCTCTATGCAATGATTGAACAACTTCTGGAGTACTCCTGGCCCCGTGATAAGCCCAAGCTAGAAACGCCGTTCCCAAGAATGAGCTACTCGCAGGCAATGGACGAGGTATGTTCCAGTCCAGAATACTGAGACCGGGGGATGTTGGGGGCTTGAAAGGCTTATTTACACACATATGTGATTTTCACACAAGTTTATCGCGCGGAAGTGTCCGCAAATACACGATACGTCGCATGATTCAGGGGATTCACAATGCAGTGCGCCACCAGGAGTTTGCCATGGAGAGTCCATTTTTCCAGTTTACGGTCGACAAAACATGGCCCATTTGAATGAGTGTCGGTAGACAACTTGAGCTAATATGTTATAGATTGGGGCGTAGTGTTCTGCCGCCTTACAAAAAAACAACATATTGATAAAAAGAAAAGAACAGGGTAAACAGATACTCCAATCATACGCTTACGAAACTACTGACCGGAAAAACGAACCATTTCAAATGTCCCGCATTGCGAATTTGTCGACCATCTCCCACAATGCACTGGGAAAAATGAACTCTCTGTTGCAAACTCTTGGTGGCGCACTGCATTGTGAATCGCCCGAATTGTAAGGTCCACAGTTCATTCATATTGCATAGGTTCCAGGTGAAATGTGTATGCAACATGTTGTGGTACGCAATAAAATTGCCCGGCCATGGAACACCACATTACACTAGGGGGCACTCTTCAGGATATAGATGTATATCAATATGTATGCTCGCGTTTACCTCAAATAGCCGCATTTTTAAAGCTTTTGTAATTTGTTTCTCCACTTTTCAGTGCTGTTGAATACATTTTGGTTTTTGGGATGTTGAAAAGACCTCGAAATCCACATTTTTTTCTCATCCCAAAAAAGGGTGGGGAGGGGGGCATTATTCCATAGCCCATCCCCCCCCCCCCAGTCAAAAAGTGTGGAGGGATATATACCCCCCCCCCCCAGTCAAAAAGTGTGGAGGGATATATACCCCCCCCCCCCCCCCCGGATTTACGCCCCTGATGTTGAAACAAGGTGCAAAAATGACTACTGAAAATCCATCATTTTAGCAAACAAACATGTATTTTTTGGACCCCCCCACTTTAATAACTACATTCCATCTTACTGCCTCATTACTCAAATGAAAGGCCTCATTGGCCCCTTAAGGTCTTGTCCCCCAATAGTTCTGAATATTTCATAAATTTTCCACTTTTTAGCCATATCCACTTCTCAGTGGAATTGCCCTACGTACAGTGCATGCTTTCTTGATGAATCCCTGTTAAATTGAAAAAAAAGAGATCTTGACGTAGATCAGAAATTCTGTTTAAAAAAAATTAATTCATCATTTGCCACAAACAGATAATAAATGTAATAAATGTACTTCTCATTATGTGTATGATGTAAAGGTGATCAATTATGTTTTCATCATAATCAGAGCTGCTCTTTTTAAGAAAATGATTTTATCCTACAAAGCCAGGTAGCAGTTTCTAGAAACATGGAAGTAGGACCTAGATGTAAAGTTGATTTCCTCTAAAAAGTGATGTCATAATAGGCTGAATACTTCTTCGACCATGGTTATTTTTTTAATTAGAACCGATTTTTTCCTTTTGAAGATAACTGGGACAGCGACATTAATTCATGAGCCATTTCCTCCTGAAAAATAAATAATTCTTTAAACTCAATGTTTTTTTTATCCGAATTGATTATTTCCTTTTGAAGATAACTGGAACAATGACACTAATTCAAGAGACATTTCTTCCTGAAAAATAAAAAAAATTGTTGAACTCTATTTTGTTTTTTAATCCGAATTGATTATTTCCTTATGGAGATTATTGGAACAGTGGTTCAAGAGCAATTTCCTCTCGAAAACACAAACCATTCTTTGATCTCGATTTTGTTTTTTTACTCAGAATTGATTATTTCCCATTGAAGATAACTGGCACAGTCACACTAATTCAAGAGACATTTCTTCCTGAAAAATAAATTATTCTTTGATCTTGATTTTGTTTTTTTTAATCCGAATTGATTATTTCCTTTTGAAGATTATTGGACAGTGGTTCAAGAGCAATTTCCTCTCGAAAAACAAACAATTCTTTGATCTCAATTTGTTTGAATCAGGAATTTATTATTTCCTTTTAAGATTTCTGGAACGGCGACAATAAACAGAGACATTTCTTCCTGAAAAATAAATAATTCTTTGATCTTGATTTTGTTCCTTTAATCCGAATTGATTATTTCCTTTTTGAAGATTATTGGAACAGTGGTTCAAGAGCAATTTCCTCTCGAAAAATAAACAATTCTTTGATCTCAATTTGTCTGAATCAGAATTAATTATTTCCTTTTAAGATTTCTGGAACGGCGACAATAATTCAAGAGCCCATGTTCCTCCTGGAAAATAAAAATTCCTTGGAACAACTAGGAAGTGTTATTGCTAGAAACAGAACTTGACTATCAGACTTCCCTATCTGTACATACAGGGCATTGTCCTGATTGACTAAAGGTCTGGTTTTCGCATTTGTGATTTTTAAAAGGAAGTATTTGAAGCTTGACACTATGGGTTTCCTGAACTAAAGTACCCGGTAAATGTCTGCATGTGTGTGTGACTTGTAAATGTTGGTAAAATTAAAGGTGTAATTTTGTTCTTTTAAAGGGAAGATACAACATTTGCAAACATCAAAAAATGAAACGATCAAATTATCACGAAATACCTTACTGAATTGTTAGGGATTGACAGTCTAAAGCATCCTGTAAAATTGTGGCTCCTGGTGTGCTGACATTTTCATGAAAAACTGTATTTTTCCAACGCTGGTCGGCCGACCAGCGTTGGAAAACACTGGCTTTTTCAAAAACTGTTCCTTTTTTTTCATATTTAGTTATTCCGCATTTTCTTTGCAATAGATTACACACCTGTGAAGGGGTACACACCTGCTAGAGTGATTCTTTGACCTTACAACTCCCCCAAAGTCTTAACGTTTCTCTGTTTCATCTTAAGTGGGGTCGGGGAACCAGACTACAAGAAAATGATTGGTTTTCTTGGTTTTTCCAGCATAAACAAGCCCAAAACGTGAAACAAGTCAGTTGAACAATATTTGCTATAACATACTAATCCTCCAAATCAATTTATTTCTGAAAATTGCAGCAAAAGCAAATGTTGTACATTCCCTTTAAATTCACTGTCTTCAATGTTGAATTTCAATTGTCCATTTTTTTCTTCACCTATTTATTTTAGTATGGCTCTGACAAACCAGACACAAGATTTGATTGGAAGGTAGGACATGAAGAAGTTACAAAAAAAAAATATTTGCTACCTACTTAACTGGATAATTTTGAAGGCGTTACCGTAAACACACAATATTTTTTGGCCTCTGTATTGAATGTTTTCCATTTATCAACCTTTCTGTAATCTTTAACTGAAGAACGTGTGCTTTTGTTACCAATACATCACTGCATTCAAATAACTGGTTTTTTTCAATTTTTTTTTACATTTTCAGATTATAGATGTGACAACTGCTCTCAAGGGATGTGGTCCTTCCATGTTTGATTCAGAGAAAGACGAGTTTACAATAAGAGCAGTCAATTGTAAAGGCGCATTGGTATGTTAAATTGCAATAATTTTGTATTCGACTTTTTGTTTTCCAAATATATAATTTGAATGCATTCAATACAGCAGTGGTCGAGAATTTGTATATTTGGAAATTCTCAGCAATACAGGGTGGTCCAAAACAGATGCAGATTTCTCAACATTCGGAAGACCGTGTTGAAATTGTTTTAAGACATTCCTAAACTACAAGATCTTGTTGGTATATGGTGAAAACGGCGTTGAAAATAAAGTCTAAGTGAAGAAACAGTGGCCATTTACAGAAAAAATTTCAAAAACCAGTTTGTCTACACGCAAGTCTATGAGACATGGTCAAAACAGTAGGACTGTGTGCACAAAGAACTGCAATAACGATGACCATATCTGCGCCAGGAGTGTCACTATGTGACAGACAAGGCGCATTACAAGTCTACATTATTATTATTCGATAGTAGGGAGACACGGGCTTAATAGGGAGACACCTAGGTGTCTCCCTATTGGCGCAGCCCCCCTTTAGAGGAAAAATTTTGCTGTCGAAATTAGGTTATATTTGTTGCTCGTGGTTTAATTAGTAAAAATACCGAAATTCGTAGAAAAAGGACCAGGGAATATCGGGTTAGGGCACATTTAAATCGGAAATTTTTTTTGCACAAGTCTATGGGAAAGTCTCCCTATTACCCCATTGCCGGTTATTATTATTATTATTATTATTATTGTATAATAAGCGTGTGGACAAACTGGTTTTTGACCACTTTTCTGTAAATGGCTGCCATTTCTTAATTTAGATTTTTTGTTTGTATATTTCAATGACACAGGAGCACCTGTCTAGCAACGACTTCAGCAAGATCCAGCAAGAAGCCAAAAAGCATTTTACAGCTGGCATCTTGGTCATTCAGTGTAAGGATGAGCACACCTGGAAATCCCCCATTGTGAAACACCTGCCAGAGACTAGCAGGCTTGAAGTGGGGAGGCTAGCAGGTGCATCAGGGGGTGATGTGCTGCTTGTCGCTGCAGGTGGACGCAGTAGTGTGGTAAGGTATCTCCGATTCAGACGAAATAGTTAGGCATGCCTTACCTGGCACCTATCATTGGTTACCAATAGTGAAGCATTGTACCTCACAACATTTTTTGCTAGCATCCTTCTTTTCCTAGGCAATCATCAATTACTTAATGCATTTCCATGCTGAGGAACGTCATGCAGGAATGCATGACGACATAATTGAAGTGTCACAAAATCATGGAAGACAATGGAGTATATAATTTTTAGATTTTTTGAAATTTCAAAATGGTAAAAATAACAGATGATTAACAAAAAGGTTTGTTATTTTATTTTTAATATCAATAAAAGTGTCTTCTTATTTTCCTCATTTGTTTTAACGGGAATATAATCTTTTTATGACTCCTCTTTTTCCCCACATAGACTAAAGTGCTGGGACAGTTAAGACTTGTGTGTGCTGATATGCTAGAATCCAAAGGTACATGTATGATCAAATAAGCTAGACTTTTTGCCATTTTCTCTTCTCACAATACTTCTGTTGGTCAGTAATGTTGAACTAGGGCAGAACTTAATTCATCCCTTTTCTGATGTTCAAAGACCATCAAGTTTTCACATGAATTTTCTGAATGCCAGTAACAAAATTTGTTGAAATGTAACATAAAATGGCAATTCACTGTTATTTTTCGAGTTCATTGTTGTAAATTTAAGTTGAAATTCAACGTTAAAAAGACTTCAGTTTTGGAGCATTTGTGAGAAGCAGATCTGTCCTAAACGTTAACAAAAATAGATTGATACAGCAGTGTGTGTTGGCTTAGATTGGCAATGTCTGTTTACTTAATTTTTGTCCTGTTTATATTCAGGAGTTCCTGTGAGAGATCCCGATGTTTACCGTTTCCTGTGGGTGGAAGACTTTCCACTCTTTCTCCCCAGTGAAGACGGAGCTGATGGGGACTTGGAATCGTCGCATCATCCATTCACAGCTCCAGTGCCTCAACATGTTGACCTCATGTATACCGATCCACTAAAGGTGAGAAGAAACGATTCATAGTCTACTCCTACCTTCACCAACGCATCTGCTTGCTCGTCTGTACTCTTAGGCACAACATTTGTAACTTGACCAATGGTAACTTGTAAATTCGACAACTTGTACCTTTGACATACTTACACCAACTCATACTTTTGCCATCTCGCCAGAGTTGTAATGACTTGAGTCAATGACTCGACTTAAGTCCGACTCGATTCACAATTTCTGGCAACTCGACTTGACTCGAGTCCTGACGGGTAAATGACTCCACTCGACTCGAGTCACTGCGAGCAAATGACTTGACTCGACTCGAGTCCCTCATCAGAATGACACGACTCGACTCGAGGAAGGCTAATAAGACTTGAGTCCCAAAAATAAAAGCAAAACTTTGCAATGACTTGTCGGTGCCGGTTTTGTACACGTCACGTTAGTATGTTCGAGAATAATGTATACAGTCGAGTCTCGTTAATACAAACTCGTTCGGACCTAGCCAAATTGTTTGTTATATCAGAATTTTGTATTAAGAGGAACATCAGTCCCATTCATTCTGCACATAAATGCACAGTCGGGACTAAGGCTTTATGTTTGTTATAACCAGAATTTTGTATTAACAGAGTTTGTACTAACGAGATTCGACTGTACATATATTATGTTATGAGTTGACAAAGGTCCAAGTCAGAATAGCAGTTTGCGAGTCCCGTTTCAGAAAAAAAAAACATTTATTGCTTATCTTTCATTGGAACTTTTACATGAGATCTGTATTTGTTAAAATTGTGCTAGTAGACCACTAAATGTCCTGATTGCTCAACTTCATGATTACTGGGGAATTTTCGTGTATAAATACATTATTGTCATTTTAACAAATATGGTTCTGTGAATCCATATAAACCATTTAATTGAAGATCTCTCTAAAAATTTGTTTCAATGGGAAGTGCTGTTTGTAGTCGAGATTAACCTATCCAAAGGCAAATACTCGAGCCATTGTCGCAATCAGTACAAGTCCGACACAACCTAAAGCCCTCATTTTCTTGTCTTTCCTGTCTGACTAGGTTCAAGGTCAACACTATGATCTGGTATTGAATGGTTCAGAGATTGGTGGGGGATCCATCAGAATACATAACGCTGAACTGCAGGAGTACGTCTTGCAGAACATTCTCAAGGTACAAATGTGCACTTCTTTTCCTTCGTAATTCTGTGCATCATTGGAATGTCATGCAAGTTTCCTGTTAATATGTCATCAAGATTGCCTGTTCCTAGCAAACTACCTGCAATCACATCATGTTTTTTTCCTCTGATTTAAACCGGTTTGACGTCATTTCCTGTACTTAAATTTGACTGGATTTATTTTTGCATTATCACCTGCCTCCCCCCTCCCCTTCCTCCCAACTTTCCTTCTTCTAGAACTCTTGTCTGTTAGTTTGTCTTATTGTGTCTGACTGTGTGTCTACATCTGTAGGCTTGTCTCTTCTTTGTCTTTATACTGATTTTTCTATGTACAGTGAAATCTTGATAAGTCAAGCCTCAAGGGCACCGGTTCAAAATTTGTCCTAAGCATAGTTTTGAGTTAAGCAGGGTTGTATATCATTGTTATATATTACTGAAAGCAATGGATTCTTTGTTTGACTTAACGGTTGTTTTGAGTTAATCAGAGTTTGACTTATCGAGATTTCACTGTACATCGATTACATTTGGAAATTCTGATCTTTGACTACAAAATAATTTGCCTGATTTTGGCAGAATAGAAAAAAGTGCAACATTAGGCAAAAAAAAAGTCTCCGGTTTCTGGTATGGAGCTTGTCCAAAAAGTGGTGCGGCGACGCGGCTTTTTTTTTTTTTTTACCTGACTTTTTTGCTTCAAATGTCGGCTGAGGACTGCAAATGGTGCCCGACTAAACTTAGTGCAAATATATGGGAGTCCAGAGAGGCCACATAAAGCTTATTCTCGATCATAACCCCATCTAAAAACACGTTAAAATTGTGCAGCAGCAGGATTCCAGTCAAACCAGTGAGTTTGGCGGTTTTGAGACATCATCTTTCATTGAAAAAAAACCTTTTTCATTTTGCCAACGCGCATGGCTACGGCGACGCGCGCACATACCAGAAACCGGAGACTTTTTTTTTGGCCTTACTTATGTTGAGCTGATATGTCATCTCCACATCTCCAGTGGTTACAGTGACATGTACAAAAAAATTAAAATGCACCAATACAAATTTGACAGTAAGCCAGATTGGTATTCCAACTGCATATGTGTACTTCAAGATTTGTTTCTGTTAGGACACACAAGTCACCGTATGTGTTCAGATTGTAGCGGGTATCGGCAAAATTAAGAAATTGTCTTGAATTTCAAGAACTTTTGACAGCGAAGTCTGTGCAGGTGTTCTGTATGCCCCAACTTTTGTGCCAACCAAAGTTTTGATTGTGTTTTTGATTGCATGAACAATTGCAGAGTGCAGATTTGGTTACCACATCCTCATAGACACATCCTCATAGCGCATTTATCTGTCGTGTTTAAAAATCATTGAATCTTGTCATTTCATCTCCTTTTCTTTTGCCACAAGTTTAAGGAAATTGGACCATTTTCTTGTTTGCCATAGGAGGATTCGTCTTGCTTGAGGCATCTCTTAGATGCCTTGCGGTCAGGCTGCCCGCCCCATGGAGGCATTGCATTGGGTAAGTCAAAACTTCTTTTCTCATTAACTTTTCTCATCTTATAGACTTTATTCCCGAGTCGGCCACATTGAATTGAAAGGGAGACAAAGTCTTCATTTTAAGAACTTGCGAGTTCTTAAACATACCATAATGTTTTAAGCCAAATTAAAAAAAGAAAGAAAGTGAGGCTTTGTACGCACTCCAATCATGAAATAGTCTGGCACCATCCCATTCAACAGTTAACAATTTATAAAACAGATTCTGGGAACACGATCGAAAATGGCTTACTCATGAAAAAGGTCTATACTGTTGCATGAGGTGTTTCTTGCACATGTACATAGTCAGTCTGTTTTTTTCTCTTGTTCTGTATGTGCAAATGTACTAGCTAGAAGACTGTTTATTTTTGCAGGCACATATGCATTCAGTATTTTGTATTTGATATGAATATGCAACCATCCTAGGAAATGCTAGCATCCTTATGAAATTTCGGGTAAATGTACTTCTTGGAACATGTATGTAAAGATGTAATTTCAGCTTGTTGTTTCAGAATCCTTTTTGCGTTATATTCGCGTTCATAGCAGATAATGTACACACTGTACATGAATAGGGAAGCTATTGTGGTACCATTCAGCACTCCAGACTCAAGAGCCATTGAGTTTTATGAAAAAAAATGGGACTGGGAACGTGTTAAAGCTATAGTCCATCATTTGCAGCCATCCGAAAAAGTAACTGGCGTATTATTGTTGAAAAACAAACTTGGTTGAAAGATAGTAAGTGGACTAAACTCCCTGTGAAATTATTCTTTCTGGCAAGCTATCATTTTGAAGTAATCAACGATTCAGGCCTTTCCAACGGTGCGTCTTAAGACGTACCGTAGGAAAATTTAAATTAGTAGTTTTGTTATTCGGTGCAGCGCGCGCAAGCATTGGCACGACGCACAGGCGCACGCGGTTGCTATAAATTCCACCATTATTTCTTGAATATGGTCCGTGGAGGGGTGACCACTGCCTGAATCTTGCCAAATCCTGCGGCAGTGACTGTCAATATGTTGAGGCTTGGCCAGTGACATCCTGGAGCAGTACGGATTTCAAGCATAATCCAGGCCTATATTTATGCATGGCTGAGCAAAAACAACACAAGGTCTGGCTCAAAACCTTGACAAAGTGCATCCTGAAATCAGTAACGCACTTTTGCCATGTAACCTCAATCCTCCAAATTTCTCCACTTTGGCAAAGAGGATTTTGAAGGAGTCAGGGCGGTTAGGGTTAAAAGAGTTTAGGGCGTGCCTGGCATGGTTGCCCTATGCCACTAGTGATGCTGAACTGACACGTAGATAGCCTTGAAATTGCAGCTTTGTGGCACTTGAAAAGTGTCACATATTGTGGTAGCATAATGATTGTAGTGTCTGCCTAGTTTCCGTTGAGTATTAGCGTGATTTAGTATCCAAACTACTTCCTGTCAAACTCACACTGACTTTTAGTTTGAAGTTCTCTCTTTACATATTCCCATGATCCGGTAATGATATCTTATACTTTCTGCATGTGCACAAAATCTGCTGTATCCTTCTATGTAAGTGGCTAACTTTTACATTTCCAAAACACCTTTATTCTGAAAAGTAAATTTTCCAGATAATAGCCTGCAGCTGATTTCATGAAACAGTGCGTAGCCTTTGCATTTGGTTTACATAATACATTTGTTATAGCTGCGAATAAACTTGCGATCGATTTCCCGCAACTTGGCATAGCTTGACAACGTCTGCAAAAATTCAAATGTCTTGGATGAGAATAACAACAGCTTTTGCGATGTCTTTTTGTGTATGATTACTGTTCGATCCCAAAACTGTTGTTGCATCACCTCCGCCTGCCATTTTGGAAATAAATTTGTCCAACTTTCTAAAAGTATTGTCATAGAAAAAAAATACATATTCATTTACTTTAAAAACAAAGCTGTGAGTTTCTTGTATCGACCTTGATAAGTTTGACAATAACAAGCTCCAGGACAATCATGATAAGGCAGTAAAATAGTCAATTTTCAGGCACTATGCCATAACTTGCGCCACTTTAGGTTACACAATAAGTTGTTGGGTAAGTTTTGGACTTGCGCATTGTGCAACTTTTGTAAAGTGTGTCATAGGTGAAACCTGAATGTTGCGCAACTTTTGCAATAAAATGTGGCGTAAGTTGAATTATGCCATTGACCAAAGTTTTGTAAAATCAGCTGCTGGCATTTTCAATTTAAGATGCATGGAAAAAAACTTCAATATTCTTCTCAATTAAACATTTGCACTTCAATCCATTTTTTTGTGACCTAAAAATGACAAACACATTTACCAGAAAATATTCAAAATCTTAAGTTTCAAGAATTGATATAATTACAAACATTTGGTTTGGCTTGGATGGCATACGGAAATAATAACATTCATGTACATGAAGTCGTAAACACGCAAATGTAAAAAAGCTTGCGAATGGACATATATAAACATTGAAAATAACCCACACAAAGTCCACCAATAAAAGAAAAACGCAAGAAAGAATAAAATCATAAGATTAACTAGTACGGACTACTGACATTGAAATGTTAATTTTCAGGTCTCGATCGTCTCATATCCATCCTTTGCGGGGAACCGTCTATTCGTGATGTCATCGCGTTTCCCAAAACGATAGAAGGTAACGATCTGATGAGTGGGGCGCCCTCTAGTGTTGAGGATGTTGACTTGGCGCGGTACCATGTCAGGATTGATAGTCCCAAAGAAAGTGATGTTTCTGAAGAATTGTGATTCACATGTTAACCCCTGCACGCCGGGTGATGGCTATAGCCGCGGACCAGTATGCCCGCGTATGCGGTCTGTGAGCTGCTGCTAGGCAGCTGCTACTGTGCAGTGCCGCTACTGGCGCTACTGTGCAGTGAATCATATAAGCCTGTGTAGTGAGGCATGAAAACCCGGCCACAAGGGGTTAAGTCAACGGTTGTGGTAGTGTAGCCTGTGTGCACAAGCACCCCCTCAATGGTGAAAAGGAGAGAGGCTTGAAGGACATTGCCACTATGGGCTCTGTGCACAAGTACCCCCCTGGAAAAGCAAAAAAATGGAAGGGGAAAAAAGAAAAGAAAAAGAGGTGTGAAGTCATATTTGCTTTTAATTTAAAACACATTTAACAAAATCTGCAGGGGTTCCAATGGGGGTGGGGGTTGGTAAATGTCTCTCGCCCACCCTCGAAAAAAAGATAAATTGAGAATATGCTAGAGAAAATACAAGGATTTGGGGGGGGGGGAATGTGTTTTGCCCCCCCCCCCCTTAGAAAAAATCCTGGCGACGCCCATGCTGGGTATGCCCGGGGTTGAGTTCAACTAAGGCCAAGCACAACACTGGAATTTCTCAGTTCCAAAGTGCCATCTCTACACAAACCCCAAGTTGAAAATAGTATATATTTTTAAGTTTCAAAGTCTAAGTCTCCCTTTACTAAATTCAGCAAAGGAAATGATGGGGTCAAGTTTCAGAATTTATACCTTTGTCAAAACGTCAATTCATCTTGTTTTACTTAGGTTTGATTATTCAAATCTCTTGCTTATAGCACTTTTTTGTGTGTAAATTATAGGGACAAGAAAACAAGTATATTTGTCAAGGCATCGCATAAACGCTCCAACATACATGTACCCTCTCAATAGAAAGTGAAAATGATAACATCAAAGTGGAAGCTGCTTTTTAAATGAGAGTCTATTGATTATGGAATGTGATTTTTAAAAGTTGAACAAAGAAATTGACTGGAGCATGGTTTGAACCTGCGACCTCCGGATTGCTGTTCCGGTGCTCTACCAACTGCGCTGTCCTTCCCTGTGTTGGCGGTTCCCTGCCAACATTAGGGCTGGATTACAGAATGTGTTGGAACGTGGATTGTAAAGCTGTGTATGTTTATGTCGCTGTAAGAATTCCCCAACTTACTCCATGTTGCGAAATGCTCATTAGTCATGTTGAAAAAAAGTCGCATTTTAATCACTTTGATATAACGGGAAGCCACAAGAACACTGCCTTATATGGTCATGATAACAACTATCTGGATGAGTGAAACTGCATCATTTCTTATCAACTTCCAATTTCTGGATTTCCCCATATCCAACAGCTGTTTCTCACACTAGCCAGTCTGTATGACCCACAGATACGGGACTTCCTTCCTTACCTTGATTTGTGAATGAAATAGGAAATGCTCAAGGCCACGTGCTTTTATACTGCTCATGAATCCGTTCCGTTACATTCAAAAGAAAAAGCAGTTTGATGCGGTTTGATGCGGTTCGATGCCAACATCCATTGGGTATTAAACTTCTTTTGTCTGCGTACTGGGTTCATTTGTCCGTGCCTAACAAAATTCTAAAGAGCACAAGCGCAAGCATGTTTAGTCAGTTGTAATAATGGGCAAATAAGTTCTTTTCCTAATTACTCATCATTCAGCTATTCGCATTTCACAATATATGACATCATGGAAAATACATTGGGCAACTTCCTTACTTTTGTTTTAATATTACGTCATTTTTTGTTTCCATTTCGTCTTGCAAATAAACAAAGGACTGGCTGTCATTCTCCAGTCAATATTTATCAAAACAAATTATGAGGTGGTGCGTTGTTGTTTTTGTGTGTTATTTTTGGTTTTGATTAAGTTTTTCAAATGATATTTCAAGACTAAATGCATACTGGTCATTCTAATAACCCCGTGTATACTAAGCCCTGCTTTCAAGGGAATTTGTCATTGTTACTTACAAATATTATTTATCAAGTTGACCGTTATGTAATCTCATCCTTTATTGCGAGTCTCGGCTGATCTTGTTTTCATTAAAAAAAAACACCTCCCATTTCTAAAATCGCCCTCTGAAATACTGACGGTCTGTGGCACATGACGTGATTATTGCTGCTCAGTCAGCCATGCATGGTTTTGGTGATAGTACGGCGTATAGGGGATTGTTCGTTTGATAATATAAGCATGGAATTTGGCACACAGTCAGAGTATGTCATGAGAAAGATGTGTGGCTATTGGGCCATCGCAGATTTGTCCTTTGAAAAACTATAGGTAAAATAACAGTAATGGCAGCCAGTTTGATAATTGCTTGTTATTCTACTCATATTTTTTCAAATGACAAATGTGCGATGGCCCTATATAGCCAAATATCTTTCTTAAGACATACTCTGACCATGGAGCTACTCTGACAGTGTGCCAAATGCCATGCTTTTATCATCAAAGTGATCAATCCCCCAAATATATTCCCTACCTATATGAGAGTCAGTCCTGAAAAAGGACTTTCAACCTGATGTTTTTGACCCTGTATACGTAATTGAATGAACAGGTGGATTTTAGTTTGAGATCCACCGGCTATTTCAAAGCTTCCTTATTGTGTTCCAAGGCCGGAATCGATTTTAGAAACCTCTGGAAGTGTGTCAGTACGTCAGGGTGCACCCTTGTGTGGCACTGTGTGAACTTTTCCCCATTGATGTCAATTCTATATTAACCCTCGTCACATCCTTCTTGTAATGTGGTTGTGCGTGGGATTTCGGTACCCTACTATCCGTCACTTTGTATCAGTGGCACGGTTTCAAACAAATTGAACTTTGGTATGGAATGTTATCTGATTTCCTGTCCAATTATGGAAATGTTTGTTCATCAACTCCGAAAATGACATGCCAATAAACAATTCCAGTCTATTTTTGGAAAAAAATCAGGAACATTCTTTCTCCGATTTTAAAAAACTCTCGGACAAACTTTTTTTTTTTTAAATGATAAAGCGATTGCAGTTTAATTTACTACGAAATGGCTGTATTCGTATTTTGTATTGGTGTCTCTCTCAAGTTAATTTGCCTTAAGCATGTTCGTGAAAAATTGAAAGTACAAGACATTTCTTAGTTATCGATAAGATGATTTTGAAGCAAATACGATCGACTCAGTGTCAAATAGATGTAGCATGTACAGGAAACATCGTTACAATTAGTTTTTTTGTGTTTATTTCGACCTGCAAAATGCGCAGTGACCTGATTTGACTCCATTCTTGTCAACTTGCAGAGTATTCACCTTTCTTTTTGTTACCCCGACTTTCCGAATTCATAAATCTTCCTCTATATAATCGTTCCCCACAATTATTGTGTTTTCATAAATTTGGTCCTATTCAACTAAGGTCAAGTTAGGTTAAGGGCCATAGATAAATAAATATTTGCGGTGCGTCTGTGAGAATTGGATTGGGAAATCGGAATGAAATCGAATTGAGATTTTAATCGATTGTCTGCCATAATGAGTAGTTAGAGAAATCACCTGTCATCCAAGGGAATCAATATCTTTGTCCTGATATAATGGCACCAGATAGCTGTATATTATGTTTTTGTTGAAAAGTTCAAGTTGGTCAATTGAGCATTCCAACTTCAACACCTGAAATGAATTATGGTTGTCGTGGTTTGCAGAGTGTCTTCGGTACAACCACAGAGCAAGTTGTAACCCGGTCGATTAGAAAGTCTTTCTGACCGTAAGAACATCTTGCGGCTTTCGGAGCAAATTCTTTCAAGCTCGTAAAATTAAAAGTCCGTCTCAGCCGGGGTGAGGTGCGTTGAAGACGGATGTGTTTCTTCCGTTGACGAGGAGCTTGGTATGTTGTCCGGCACGCTTTTTTCCCTGGCTTTGTTTTTCCGGAGGTCTATTTTTGCGATTGGAAGGATCCTGAAATTATTGTGGTTTGCCAAAATAGGAAGTGATGTGGTTTTAAAATAAAGATGGTGACGGTTTTGTGAGTCACTGGTGAAGAATGCAAACCAGGTTTTGCCTTTTAATGTTATATTTTTTAAATACGAATTTTTTTCTGAGTGTTGTGAACATTTTGACCACTTCCAAAGTCTGGTCGGGAAGTGGCTGTGAAGGGGTGGGAGGGGGAAGCATGTTGACATTGTTTTGATCAATCAATAACGATATTTTCTCTGAAACAATTGATTCAAATGAGAGCAACATTCTTAACCTGTGACGAATCAAACTGTTCTAACACAGGGTGAGTAAAAAAAAGCGGAACCAAAACCCCAACAAATATATTTGATATTTAAAAAAAAATATGTAGCACCAGATATAATGATGACTGGAAAGCCAATTTCATAAGCTACTTTTAGATGAAAAAAATACTGAAATTGCTCATTCTGTTCAAAGAGTATCACCATTTAAACGCAATTACTCTAAAACTTGTTTCGTCCCCAAAAAACAAACAGTTTAGCATGTATTCTGACTGTTGGAACAACACTGACACAGAATACTTGTTTCAACAACTGTAAACAACTGTAGTACACAATATCTTTATTAACAACCCTGGTTAGGCAAACAATTCGATTTATAACATCCACTGTTTTGAAAAGACGGGGCTTTAAAAGGACTTTATTGAATATTTTTAACTTTTAAACAGGTTTTATCACTGGTGATGTTTGAAGACAATTGTGACGACGATTCTTGAAATCGCATTTTTGGACGAAAGAGGTTTTAGGGTCATTGTGTTTAAATGGTGATATTCTTTGAACGGATTGAGCAATTTCATTTTTTTTTTCTCATCTAAAAGTAGCTAATGAAATTGGCTTTCCAGTCATTGTTATGTCCGGTGCTACTTTTTTTTTTAATATGAAATATTATTTTGGGGGTTTGGGTTCCGCTTTTTTGACTCGCCCTGTGTTGCGGACCAAAAATTTGAAAACCATATTAAAGTAGGTATTTTATTGGAGGTTCTTTTTTTTTAAGTAAAATAAAATAAGAAGTTTTTAAATTGTTTATTTTCCATATGATTATTAAAAATATCCAAAATATTCCACATTGCCTCTACAGTGTTGAACCGCTATAGACTGAACGATGCGAAATCGGGCTGTAGTTGGGTGATTGAAATTAATGACAGTGATGAACTTGATCAACAAAAACCTTTCTCCAATTTCCTGGATACGGGTGGGCTGTGGGAACGGGTTGTGGTCGCCATATGGCGGTATCTTCCAAATACCACTGCAGAATTCAAGTCATTGACAGTCTTTTAAAAAAAGAAACCACAGGGATCACGAGTAAATTCATCTTAAAGTGCAGAGACATTTTATTCGAAAAATAAACTTGTACACGGAGGCCTCTCACAATGTAAAAAATATATATGTACTACAAAATCTTATCTTATTTCAAAGTGAAGCTAAGGGAAGACATTGACAATTATTATCAGTAATTTAAATAATACTGCAATGACAGAAAATTCAGTAATAATTGCAGAATTCCCGGTGCAAAAATCGGACTGTTATTATTAATACATCTGTTACGATTTCATGATTTTAGTGATTTCGGATAGAACAAAACATCCATTCTCTATACGTGTATACACGGCAGCGTTCGGTTACTATATACACACAAATCTCAGCAAGAAAGAATTACATTTTGTTTGTTAAATAAATATAAACATCAAGTACTGTTTTGGTATGATAAGTTTGCACAAATCTTCGAATTATAAGAAATGCCTTTAACATTTTAGTACGTGATATGCTTTTTTCGTCACAAAAGTATTTCAAACACATGTGGAAATATCAACGGAATAAATAGTTATAAAATAAGTTAATAGAATTGTACACACCAACCAGGATATAAAAATATAAATATTCAAGTTCTATCTACATGTAAATATTAATCATTACTATTATCAGCATATTATGCACCGGAATATAAGAAAACGTCAAGTTTGTTCAACATTAAGGATGACTGGATGTTGGAAGTGCAATTCTTCAACCCTGTCTTGCCTAATAAATTCAAAATCAGACATACGAAATACCTTGCAAATCTGTCACAAAAACACTAATCTTAAAGTTACACATTCAAAAACGTTTTTAAGTACATGTATTTGAAAATTCTCGAATGAAAACGGTGCAATATTGCATAATACATGTAGACGGCGAATATCGCCATACAGTAGGCCTACTAACTTAGAGTCAGGAATCGCAGAAACAACAGAGTGAGTAACACAGATGTGATTAAACCAATCATTGCTCAATTATTAAACAAATACCGCATCATCTTGAGCGATGGAAAATGAGTTTCCTTGTTGGATAAAAATGACAGTTTTAAATCGTGTCCAGGATCTAAGTTTATCCCCACGTGACAAACAAATGTCATGACAAATGGAGAAAACAAAAATTGGCGCAATCACGCGGTTTTCATTTCTTCCGCGTGACCGTGTTCCCTTTGCCTGATATATTTTTTTTTACTCACTCTGTATGAATCTTGCTGACACGTAATACACGTGTAGTTTCGCTGCGACCATTACCGGCCGGATTTTAGTATACGTTTATAATCATAGGAAACAGCATTATTGCACGACCACAGGCGACATAATACTGCCCTGTTATATTCATCGGATATTGCATAATATCCTCATGTCATATTATAGAGGAGCAAACAGTATAAAAAAAAACACAGGACGGAAGTGAACTTAGTGAAGGGCTTTTTTAAATAGAACTTATTTCAACTTCCTTCGTTGGCATCATCAAAATTGTAAGTGTCGACCCCGGACGTTGAGGTCAAAGTGTAAAGTTCACGCACTCGGCCAAAGTTCTTTACCTGCCCGAGAAAGTTGAAATTGTTCTTAACATGGATCACACTTTCTAGCACCAGTGTTCGATTAAGATGTATAGTTATAGATGATTGTTTTAAATATGACTCGAATACATTCATTTGTAGGTGCAACAATTAAATAGAAAACACAATGTCTACATACAATAAGTTAAATAAATTATTACTTAGAAAATAACCTCCGACAAACGCGGACCTGAATATATACAATCGAGACATCAATATGGAAAGACATCGCATAAAAAGGTATAAAATAAATAGATAAACATATAAATGGTCTTTTTGAACACATTGCATTTTTTCAGCTGTTATTATTCAAACCCAGTCTATAGTTCTTACTGATGACGGTGGGCCAGCTTCTTGTAGTCATGCATCACGTGCGGCATGTACTCGTGAAACTCTTGCAAAACGAACAGAGTGCGCATGTTCCGTTCCTGGATGGTGACGTCACTGTGGAACTCTGGAATGGAGGACTCAACATGAATGATGCTGTCTTCTTGCCCATTCAAAATCATCTGTCAAAAATGAAACATAATCACGTCAAATTCAATTCGTACACATACGGAAATCTGTTGACGTCAGCTCAAGTGTTTTTATTCCTTTGTGGCAGGAAATCTGTGACTAAATTTCATCGAGAATCTTTTTAATTTTATTTTTTATGGGAGACAAGGAAGAAAACGGTGACTTTTTTTAGGAATGCCTTGTAAAATTGAGAGAAACCTCGTGTAATTATTGAGGAACCGATAAGAATCGATCCGCATGATGTGTGGTATGGATGGGGTGGAACTACAGGGTCACCAATGGTGGAGGGCAAATAAAAGCGCCACTGCGTCAACACTAACTTGCATTTGACTTATTTTGTAAGTCAATATTATGTTTGCCTTCAGATAAACTTTAAAATACTCGGTTCAGCCAATATTATGCGTGACATAAATTCGATCTTAGAATCTAATTCCTTGACGGTTTTGTGCCGGACACGTGACACATTAAAGTTCTTTAAAATACCGCGCACTTACCGTGGTTTCTAGCCTGTTGATGACCAAGCGCAGCGGCCTAATGACGGCGTCGACTCGCTCGGAGACATTCCGTGTCTCACTGTCCCGCACTCTGGCCAGTGTGTCCCTGAAGATGATGAGATTGTTGTAGTGCACAGTAACCAGCTCCGAGTCCTGAAATGTACGAAAGGAGGAATTGAAAACTGATTGCATTTCTTCTACCAGTGGTTTTGTTTTAAAAAAAAAAACCTTTTAGTTAGAAGTTTGGTACTGCGACAGCTTCACAAACACTATATGGATATTTTGTGCCTCAAATAGCATGCAGGCTAAGTAAAAAAAGGATCCTTCTAGAATCACACTTTGTGGGTCCTGATAGATCGTATACAGCTGTAAACACCTAACAGGGTCTTGTACTTGAGCAAAAGTTATACTGTGTACCTGTCACATTTTTGTGTGTGTAAACATGCGGAATATTATAGTAGTGAGAGTCTGTGTACTGAAAGTTCACCCAACACAGTTTAGCCCAATTGGCATTATTATAGCAGCACACAATAGAAGGGGAGAGCAGTTGAGGGCATTCGCATTCTAACCCCATTGTGAATTAACAGTGCGTAGCGTATTATCCTATTTCTGTGTATGAGTACGTGTGTAATCATGTGCGCCGCCGAAAGTGAAACAGCTTTTTATCCACTGATAGTCATAGAAATTGGATAAAATATGACTTCCTTGTTGAATCAGTGCTATTTAATAACGAAAATGACAGCTGAAACGGCATAGCTTATCAAACAGGAAGAGTGATCTAACCATAAAAGGTTTGGCGCATGCAGATACATACGATTTGCATACGACACGCCGCTAATTACAGACAAGGGTCATATTCCGATTTTATTTTTTTTTTTTTGCTCCGATAATTGGTGTTGCAGAACGCGATTTAGGGTTGTCCATAATTATATTAAATATGGTATTTATATTACTTATACAATGTAGAAATGTTGGGCATTTTTTTTTCGTAAAATAAAACTATATTGCCCAACAGTGTTAAATATTCGCCCATCGTTGGTCGAACAATCAGCCCATTTTGCCCAACTTGTTTTTTTACAGTGTAGAATATAGATAAACGAAGAAGTGTTAGTCTTTCGAATTTTGCACAGTATCAACATCGTTGAGCATGATTCATCCACAAAAAACCGTGAATAGTATTGTACTACTACAGTCACTTCAAAAGCCGCCCCGACCTAGACGTCAATTATTGAAAGACTGTGACGTCAATAAAATCCCCCCAAAACTATAATGACATTGTCACCGAGAGTTGCTTAACAAAAAGATGCCATTTTTTTGATCGTCTGAAAGTCGTACTATCCTTTTGAGTGCACAAGGAAGCGTGACAAAGCGTTTTCTCTGCCCAGTGTGTTATGAGTAAAACCGAAAATAATAAGAGGCAAGTAATAACGGAATCGTGATGACTTGCGAGGTTTTTTTTTTAAAGCTCGAATTTCAAAACAAGTGACATCAACAGTCGTGATCTGCGTCTAAATCTAGTTACAAGTGATCTAAATATATTCATCGTTTTTGTTTTTAGTTCACCCCTTTTTGTTGGATATCCAAGGTATATAGCAAGGCACACATACAATAATTAAATTTTATTTTAGTTTTTGTCATGTCGAAAATATACCTAAAAACATTAACGAAAATATTCAGGTTTTGTTTAATTTGTAAAATAACTGCGGATCCGCACATCAATATTTTAGTATCTTCACTTCCAGGTTAACACCCCACCGCACGCATTAAAAATCATGGAGGGTAAACAGTATTGGAACAAAAACCCATATCGTTCTCTATTGAATAACTTTGGACTGCATGCTACAGTATTTTTTGTGCTCCAACTGTACTTCTGAATTTAATTGAATTTAAAAATTGAAAATGTGGTTACAATTGCATCCAGAGCTATAGACTCGTATATACTCTATCTGCGGTGTTAATCCAAAGTGAACATCATGTAAAAGTTGATAATTATGCAAACTTTGCTGTTGTAATACCCGGGAAAAAACACCGGGCTTGTTTGAATCAATTCTTTCATAATTGAGCTTACCGGTAGAGACGATCTGACAATCTCGTGCGCCAAGTCGTGCACACTCGGCAGGTAACTTAGGCCCATGTCGCGTACAATCGGGTCCGTATCATTGCCAAAGCGCTCCCGTTTCTATATACAAAAAGAAGCGAAATAAAATGAAAAGTTAAAATTTATTTTTAAAATGCAGGTGTATAACATGCAGTCGGACTCGTTAAAAGGCAGCGGAGTTAGGTGTACATTTCACGTGCACGAGTTAATAAATTATAGAAATATTAATTAAAAGCTTCATTCTCGATTTTTGGAATATAGCTCTCATCGGTAAGAGTTTGTCACTTGTGCATCGTGCATCCGCAAACGTCTCCAAAGTTGTTCTCTCCGTCATGAAAATCCCCAAATTTAATTGACACTTCATCAAGATAAAGAAACGCAGCAAAAATGCATGCCTCACCATCCCACATTATTCACCTGGTGCTTAGCATTTACACTGCAAAACTGCGGTGTTAATTTAACACTGTACGGTGTTAATTGAACACTGCACGGTGTTAATTGAACACTGCACCTGCAGTCTCTGCTTGAGTGTATACAAATGTAGTGAACATAGAGAAATAATAGTTTAAAAACTGTATTATACTCACGTAGTTTGAATACAACTCCTGATGTTCTCTCGAGACTACATGTACTTCTGTGTGAAGTAAGTTGTAGTGCATACTGAGGGAATCGGCGCTCCGTGCCTGGCGAACGACGCGGGCACTCGGGGAGGCAGACACCGTAGACAAGCTCTCTTCTGTAGTGGGGACGCTGGACTCGAGGGTTGTACCGGTCGTAGTACTGGCCGACCTCCGTAACCTAGACAGGAGGTTGATGGGGACCGGCGACGCGCTGAGCCCCACGAAGACGACGCTCAAGAGTAGGACGGATAGAGGTAGTCTCGCTTGAAGTTCCATTATTTGCAGCTTTTTTTTTGTTAACTTGCTGTTTTCTTGTAAGACCTTATCGAGGTGAAGTTTTGAACTGATGGAGGTGGCAAATGTGAGGCCTTTATAGACCTTTACATCCGCGACACGTGGTGCGGGGTGCCTGATGCACATTTTGTGGGGCATGCCTCGTTGCTAAATGTAGGTGCATTACGCACCGTGCAACACCGTGACCTTGCCGTAAGCGCTAAACCTCAGCGACAGTACACAACTAGATAGCGCACACACCCTGACCCAGTGACGTCATTCATGGGATACCCAGAACTCAGTCACGCAGGATGCGGGGAAATACCCCTAACCACGGACAGGTATACCCTGCGCATGTTCGTGTGCACGTGTGTTCATTGTAGGGGTTGTTGACATAAGGCAATCCACCTGTATGTGGCGTATGTAGTCGATCGTGCTTGTTTCTATGCATGGCATTTCCTGCGCGTAAAAGTAATTCATTAGGTTAACATAACGGGCCAAAGCTTAATTTAGTTTCATGGTGCTTCATACAATCAAACAGGCAATATAAATATTATAGGCTGTAATCAGAAACAGTTATCGAACCAAATAAGGAGAAAGAATGAGAGAATATTATCGTGCCAAAATAATCGTGTTTTTTTTCCTTCTCATATCCTGTTTTTGTTTTGTATTTTCAAAAAAAAGGAGGAAAAAAATATGCACATTTCGATAAAGTTGTCTTAGTCACGGATTGTAAAAATACAGGGTTTTGCCCAATCACATGAACTACGAATTTTGCAATCTGGTTTAAAAAAAAACCCAAGGACAGAAACCAATCCATTGTGAATCGCGGTTAATGAATATAATAACAGCGTTTTTCTATTCACTTCTGTAGAGGTGGACGCGGACATCCGGGAATTTTTGTAATTGTCTCAAGGATCTAGAGCTCCCACACTTATATTCTTGAGACCATGCCATGGGCGTCGCCAGGATTTTTTTCGGGGGGGGGGGGCAAAGCAAAATTTTCCCCCAAAATTCCTTAACTTTTCATTATAAATTTATCATTTTCTGAGCGTGAGCAGGGGAGCATTTGCCCACCCCCCCCCCCCATCAAATTAACAGCAATATGGCTTCGCACCTCTTTTTCCTTCCTCCCCCCCTCTTTTTTTCCCGTTTTCCAAGGGGGGGGGTGCCCCCCCCCCCCCCCCTGCGACGCCCATGCTTGAGACTCAATGGTTGTTGAGTCTGGAGTACTGAATGGTAACACCATGGACAAATAAACAAATAACTCAATTAACCTATCGCGGTAGAATCGCGTCAACGCAGCTTGTGAAATATTGTCCACTTACATGCTATACAAATGGACGCGGAACGCACAAAATGTGAGAACAAATAAAACTTAACGTATACAAAATTCCATGGGGTTGTCTTGGGGGCTTGGCTAACTCGCAAGCGGCGATAGGTCAATAACACATGACTACAGATGAAACTGGTTTGCATATGAATGGATGTTTTCATCAGATGACGTTAGCCCGCCCCCACCTATACCGAGAGAAATGTCAGTGGCTTCAGGCAAGCGCCTGAAGCCATGGTTAATGGTTAACGTCATTGAGAGGGCCTATTCCCAATATTTCACCGGTGAAAAGCTTTCGGCTATATTGAATACCCCGAAAAGAAACGGTTTGGCAATGATAATTACTTTGCGATATCACAATTAACTTTTTTTCTTGCACCCACACGATATTGACTTAGTTATCGCATGGTACAACTTGACAATTAAAACGTCATTTATGGTAAACAAAAAAAAGCATTATGGTGAGTGGAAGGTGAAAATAAAAGTGGGACGGAAGTGGGTTTCCGGAAGTATGTAGTCAAAACTCCGAGAAATTTCGTCAACATTAGAATATGCGGAGGGTCGTACGTATCATGTTTTTTACACTCTGTGGTATACATTTACTTGAAATGGTTCTCAATGGGAGGGGGTTGGATATTGGAATGGATTGCCAGAGGAAAAATTAAATAGCAATCCACAGCATTTTCCTAATAAAAATCCTGGCATAATGATATAATGAACCTACCAAGAATATTCAATACAATATTGTATAGGATACAATGTGTATAACACAATTCACCGGGCAATCCCCTGTACTTGCTTAAAGCCATGCAACCTAATTTTCAAAATGTTATAATGAATTTCTCCCTTGGGCCGCAAAAAAAAAGATTTCATGCAAAATAGCACCCCCCCCCCCCACGTTCATAGGCACAAACGTCCGTGTTGAGTCTTGACCCAAATCGTGCATCTAACGGCATGATTAGACCAGCGCGCCTGCTTGTGCAAGGGCGCTCTACAACAATGCAACCATCGCTGTCGATCACTGACGTCTTGGGCCATGCGCCAAGACTATAGTGTGGAGGCGCTTCAGCATCAAACGAGACCAACATGTTCATGTTTGCTTTAGTCTATCCATTCAGTTGTTGGATGTTTCTTAAACTTTCTTAGTTGACTTCACACCTGACAGTTAATCGGTGAGAATGTTTGACTTAGAAACACGCTCGATATGCCACCATTTTGAGTTCACATGTTTGTATATAGCAAGACTGTAAAGTGCGTGGCTGAAGTGACGTCATAGCCCCTCATTTCTCAGGAAATAATCATAACATGGAAATTACGAAGAGCCAGTGTGAACGAATTAATTCAAATGGGGGTTTCGTGATTTTCACACAGTTCGGAGGACTAGGAATGGATATGTACCCCAATGTGTGTTTAAGTGTAAGATTAACTTCACTGCCCTTGCATGCCGTGGACAGTAATTAACAACGGAATCTTTTGCCAGCATTTCAACGCCGTAACAGTGCGAAGTACGTAGGTATCGTGTATGTGATATTTAAGTAGCCTTCCAACAGAGATTCCGATAAACACAGCAAAAGCCTCAAACCGACTACAGATTTATTTTTCTTGCAAATAGATGACATTTGCGTTGGTGAATTTTTATTTTTCAAAATCCCTCTGGGCAACACTGAGTATATACATAATTGTTGATTATAATACGTCACGTCGGCAAAGGGCAAGATCCTGATAATCACACAATGTTGAAAAGAGACCTTTTCTGCCCTTTAATAAACAAAAGGGGCTTATCCTTAGGTAATTACTATAAATTATTGACCTTTGTAGTTTTGATGATAAGGTTTCCGTCCGGCATATGATCATAATAGTTCAGGGTCCAGGATGTTGGAGAGAAACACCCTAGGTCCATCAAAACCAGTACAAGCCTTTCCCTTCTGTTTTGTTCATTATTTCCGAAGCCCCCCGCACAAGAAACTGTATCGCGCGTGTCATACTGGAGACCGCCTGCCCGGATTTCCACCGGTAGTCCCCTTGAAAACTTTCACAGAAAAGCGGTCTGTAAAAGTCTTGTCCGGGATTTATATGAAGTTGAAACGATAATAATTGCGTCATTATAGTCATTAAAGGCCTATAAACAGCAGTTGCGAAATGGAAAAATTCAATTTCACTTGTGGGTTCTCCTACATTCTTTTTTTTTTTTTTAATTTGTCCCATCCAAATCGAATCCGCGTCTGACTCAACTACGGATGCTGTTTTAGTGTCTGCAGAAGGATGAACACGGGAGCTATTTTAATTGAATGAAATAATGACTGTGAGTGATTAGAGGGGTGTATTCCTGAACATTATGATGACGTTCGGGCAGGATATAATACCAAAATAGTATTATGTATCATGACATTATGTATCATTCAAGTGTGGACAACTGTAGTACGAAGTCCAAATCTTTATAACTTTTTAACCCACTTGTTTTCATATGCAAATTAATAGATGGGGCATACTCATTTTCATACATCAGTCAGTTTGACATCTGTAATATTGATTTTGCATCATTTAAGATGTTTTTATATAAATCAGTTTAGACTATAAGTTTGTCAATATAAGGGCCGGTCATATACCCGTCGCTCTCGGCGCGTTTTCTCGCTGCGAATTGGCTAGAGTTGATCATAAGCGATCAAGTAGGCCTAACCAGTTTTGTGAATTAAGCTTCACTGTTTTTTATTTCTTGATTGACCACGTGTGAGTATCGTCCCTAAAACCATATTTCCTCCCTTCGGAATGGATAATAAGTTTTTGTGTAAATGTCGACATAAAACACAAAATAATGCTAATGTTTTGAATTTTTTGAACTCTAATATTCTAACAAAAAAATGATTCGTAAAATCAGACTTACACCTTAGGTTTTTAGCCCCAATTTGCCAGTCACACACTGCTCTTGAATTATATTGAGCACGTAACAACGATTTCATTTAATTAGTCGGGTTTGTGGAGGTCTGGTAACACGCATTGCTCCAAAAAACTAAAACAGTTCGGTTTAGTCGGCTCATAAAAACTGGCTCATTTTTATCGAAACCCCCCAAAAAATTTGCGAAAAGACATCTATTGCATGTGAATTTTGCGTTCAGTATCGCATGGCCCTGTGAATGTCTAGAAATCTTAAACGAAAAACGTGACACAATAGTTAACAGTCCTGACTCCTCCCATTTCAATATAATTTTGCAAACCCACCAATCCTAGGGAGTTAGCAACCACTTTCCATGGGAAAATTTACCACACGAAACTTTTCCCCCGACATAAATTTCTAGCCATTTAGGGCTTGCCTAATATATAACATTGCTTTAAAGTAACATACTTATGTAAAGTAACATAATTATGCGCGTAAAAAGCAGTTGAACTTGGCAAGAGGAAGTGACTGGTTGCCAGGGATGGTTTCGTATGGTTTCCGAGGGCGCAGTCAAGTTCCCGCCGCACCTATACTGTTAACCGATAAATATGGCACTTTCTATGGGAGTGAAACGTGCTTGATAGTTGGATAAGTTCAAGGTGTTTAGAGGGGTTTCCCCAGATCCACCTGTGCCCGATTGTCCAGATTGCAATTGAGCAGAACTGCGTGGGTTGCAGTTGTTAGTTTGTAAGTTTTGCTTGATTGATTACTGTATTGTCAAAATTTCTTTGAGGGCTTGTTTGTTATGTACGTAATTTCCCCCGAAGATTGAAAAGTTCACCAGAGTGCGCTCGAGACATCGTCAAAAGCTCGGAAACCCAGAGTGCACACATTATTATGCATATATGGGCATAGATCGACGTATTTGAGTATAGCACAACATTATTCTGCTCGACTTGACGAGCAACAATAACAGAGGGCTTTATATCGACAGGATTCTGGGAACTTCGGTTCGACCGCGTA